GGGTATTCCTCATTGACCCCCATCAATGCAGAGGAAGATTACATCATGGAGGAGACTACTCCTGAATTGCGGCGGATCCCCAGCGCGAGAGGCGAGATTGGTTATGCCGAATAGACTGAGTATTGATGATCACTCTTGCCATACAACACCAGTTAAATTGGATCTACCATTTACCGTTACCTCATCTATCTCTGTGTCATGTCGTTTGAGACAGGTACCATTGGTCTATCCACCATCGCCATGACCAAACGCAGTCTGCCACCCCTTTGACCCTTTCCTTTGTCACTTCCCTTTGTCAATTTCCTTTGTCAAAATATCCATCCGTGAGCCTCACTTTCATCCTCTGGCCACCTGTACGATTCTGATATCCCCATTACCCTGTATCCCATTGTTGCCCTTGCGAGCTCGTCATTCCGGTTCGATCTGTTGATACCCCTCGTCGCCCCATGTTTCATCTTTACCATATGCATAAATTCGATTTTTTCTTATTCCTGTTGAATACATAGCTGATAAATTCTTATCTCCCTTCCGGCACTTTTTTGCACATAGTTGGCGGCTTCTGTCTGTTTTGATCTACCCTTCTTCCATTGTTGTGAATCAGAGCTATTCTTTTGGCAATTTTCTGATTTCACTTTCTGCATCCAGCAGTGTTTAGCTTACATTGAGATATAGCATGGCATTTATGAGATCCCCATTGAATGTGTTTAGTTAACCCGAGCAGCCATTGCTGGACTGGTTTTTTTGTATCCAATATTACGGTCATATGTACGGGCTTCAATATATATTTTGTTCCTATCTGGAAAATTTATACATTATTGTATCAGAATTCTCCAATATATCAATATGTGCTTTGATTGAGGTATAATTTGCCGTTGTATATCCCTAATGCAGATAGTCCTGGTGAGAATGCTGACAGTTCCAGACTCCATCTTATTCGTAAGCAACCTCGGGACCCGAGGTCGGGGAGCACGTCATCCTTTGTCGGCTTCAACTCTCTTGAATCGCAAGCAACAATTGATATACCTACAAGCACAATACAACAAGTACTGACAAATCTCACCATGGTAAGTCTCTGCAACCTTCCAGCCTTGGAAACCCCCCAGTCAAATCACCCCCAGCAAGCTCCAGAGACTTCCGGACCAAAATCTCGACCCAATTATTCAGCGTCTTACCTAAGCTCTGCTGGGAACGTCATTGCCTTATAAAAACCTAGCGCCCCTCTACCCCTCCAATCGAGATACTTATATCAACTCCAGTTCAAGCCCGCATTCCGTTCTACCAGAATCATCTCCGGAGTCCAGCGCACTTTCAGACCTTTTTCTTCTACACCTATCCCGCGCTTCACGCCTTCTTCTTTCAAAATGGGTGTCACTCCTATCACCTCGTAAGTGTTGATTTTGCTCTACCGCCCTCGCATCTGCATCTGTATTTGTGTCGGGAACAAACATGCAGGAAACGAACATTCCCCCATATTCCTCCACCCTTGGTTCCCCGTTTCGCACAACATCTTCGAAACACACAGCTAACACATCCGTCTAGCGCTGAGGAGTACAAGACCAAGGTCACTGAGGCCACCGGCCCCGTCGTTGTCGACTTCCACGCCGTCTGGTGCGGTCCCTGCAAGGCCATTGCCCCTACCCTCGAGAAGCTCAGCGAGGCCCACACCAACGTCCAGTTCTACAAGGTCGACGTCGATGATCTCGCCGAGGTCGCTGCTGCCAACGGTGTCTCTGCCATGCCTACCTTCCACTTCTACAACGGTGGTGAGCGCAAGCAGGAGGTCAAGGGTGCTAACCCCCCTGCCATCCAGGCTGGTCTCAAGGCTATCCTTGCATAAATTCGAAAATTGAGATTGAGGGTCGGGCTTGATAGCTTTGATCCTATGTTTTTTTTTAGAGGGATGGGCGATTTAATTGAATGCTGAATACATACCGTTCCATAAATTGTGTCGCGACGTAGATTTTAGTTTTTTTTTGCAGGGGTGTTAGATGGTTGGATTTCGGGAGTCTGGTGGGATGATGCATTTGGTGAAATCCGCAAATGAAGAGTAGACTTTGGTTTTGAGTTGGAAAAAGAAAGGGTACTTTCTGTACAAGTTCTGTCTTACAGCCTGCATGCAGCCCGATCGACGTGCATCAACCTGCAGTGCAATTCCCCACAGTTCGATAGAACGATCGTAGAACGACCGTAGAATCGTTTCGAGTATGCCCAGGTGCGGATCATCTGAGTTCTACCACGGTACGTCCTGTTCCTATGTGAAATCGACCTCTGATTGGTTCCACGTTTTGGTCATTTGTACTCTCATCGAGGTATAGGGGAAATAAGACATATTTCGCGAGCAGGTAGGAGAGGCTGCCCTATAACTATGTCTACAGGGTAGAGCAAATGGGTATAAATCCTTATGCTATGAAAGAAAGCCAAACCTGAGCTTTATGGCATAGATGTGAAGAGCCGAGAGAAGTTTTGCCTAACAAACAATGGTATAAATCAACCGTGAGTTTTAAAGCTTCTCTATCATCTTGCTCTCCATATACCATATCTATCCACTCCCTCAGCTCACTCGAAATCATGTCATCCCCCTCTTCAGGTATGGACTCTGATTCCAGCAATTGTATGGATGTAGATGGCACACAGATCCGCCCTGCAAAGGCCTTCCGATCTCAGAATTTGCATTTCTTCAGTTAAAACCCCAGGGATCATGACAAGGTTTTCAATTCTATTCAACGGTATTCATCTTCAATCATCAACTACTGCGCATCGACCCTACGCCCGATGGACCTCAACTTCACCTCCAGCGTTGCCAAACACCTCCAGAAGAAATCACATTTGTTTGTGATCATCTATGGGAAATTCTTTAACGCCTATGGATAAGCTCAGCCTATTAGTACACTCTTCCTGGAGGCATCCCATCGAGACATGGCTCATCATCGATGCTCCAAACTGGGGATTGGAATACTAGTGGATTATCGACGTCTTGAAGCTGAGGTCATCGACTGGGCTTTGAGCTGGACTTTCAACAGCGCCGGCCTACACCGGGTGGAGATGGATATTCCAGCATGGAACACACGCATGGGGGAGGTGTGTTTGACGCTTGGGTTTTGCGCAGATGGAAATAGGAGGGGGTGTTATCACAAGAATGGCCAGTGGTGGGATGAAGCGAACATGTCGATTTTGAAGAGGGAGTGGAAGCAACTTCATTGCTAGGAGGTTACCTGGGAGTGACTCGGGAGTGATCTGGAAGTGCAGTTGACACAATACAGAGCGGTTTCTACGCTTCGATGGCATGTCTAACCTGATTTTGATTTTGATTTTGAGTTTGAGTTATTGTAGTAAGAGTAAGCGAGAAAGGAAATGCTGAAGAAACAAACCTGATCTGTATAACATATAAACCCTTGCATACGCGGCTTAACATTCAATTCTCCCCGAAGCCAACCAACTGCACGTAATCCCCATCGACGTTTTTATCCTTTCGATATATCATCGCCACGCGATTGACAGGTGACAGTGTGTTCGGTCAATTTGTCTCAATAGAGAATAGTTGACCCATCATACTCCATATCTTCAGTACCAAGGTTAATATGTCAAACCTCTCCACCACATAAGGTGCGAAAAAAAAACTTCAAAAGTGGGCAAAGGCGTCTAGCGCCAAGCCAAGTGTAAAAGATGTCTCTTGAGCCGACGGTACGATCTAAGTGGACTGGACAAGATCATACTTTTGTTTGCCTTGAGGCAAACCTGCTTTCTTATGATCAAGGAGAAAAAAGCAAAAAAAACTCTGGGGGATGTGCGTGGAAGGAATTTTTAATCTATAATGCACATCTTTAATTGTGGGCCTTTAATATGGCCCTATATTGTCTCTTTTTTTAATGGCTTTGGTTTCTCCGAGGCGAATTCGTTAATTAATTAATTAGCTTATGACTTTCATATAGAGTACTCCGTACAATAGATGATCTTCCATGCAACCTAGGCGCATCCCGGATTCCGGGATAGATTGCGAACTACTATCTTATGGCGTATGTGCTAACGAGAATGTGATTGATCAATATCTTCGGTACTTCGTATTTAACCTCTACATTGGGACGAACGGTCCGGTTGAACATGTTATAAATATACTTTGTCAGAGATCCAAATGAAGTGTGGGCCTTTGAGATGTGTAGCTGAAGTCGCTTGTTAGCTTCGTTCGAGCCTCCAATAATTAATCTAAATCGTATTCAACAATTTCTATTGTATGGAGAAGAAAAACAATATCGGCCCCATCAAAAAATTACTTTCCACGGTTGATAACAGCAGCATCGGAGCTGTATCAAATCGAGATACTAAAATCCGGTGCCTACGGGCCATTGGCGTGGTGTTAGGCCTCTGATACGCCTCGGTAGCCACCCCTGCCCACATAGTTCTCTTTCCGCACCGATCCGATCTAGATCACCCCCGAGCGAATCAGCATGAGATCCAAGCCATCCTCGGTTGCGATACCTAATCTATTAAAGCTAAATGGAACTTTAGGGCCTCCAGATCCCTGTTGTTTGTTCCCTACTATTGGATCAGATTAATTGAGTCGAAGAGGATCGGCCTCGGCATACACTTGTCGGGTTTTTTCTTTGTGTGTTTTGATGTGTGAGCTGGGGACATGGGGTTAGTGAGAAGCCAATGCAACTGAATGCATAGCCCTTTTGGTGGAGCTTCTATCTAAATCCGACTAGGGCTCCATTGTAGTACACGTCAATTCATTTATCCAGCACTCGGAAAGGTTTTATTCGTACCGTGGATCTATAATATGCGGCTTGACAGGCGCTTGGGCTTATAAGATGTTTATCTCGAGCCCTGTTCCACTGATTCGGACTTTGTGTTTTTTGGATATCTGTTTGGCTTTCCACGCTTAGATCTCTTCATGTCACGTTTATATTGATTAGAACAGTCGGTTCCGACTATACCAACTATATATACGCAGCCATCCGCTCGAATAACGAAATCCCAACACCACTCGCTTTCTTTCCCTCACAATGTCGACAGACGACCATGAACCGCCGATGCGGGTCACGTACCTGGCGGGGTACATAGTCCTCTCTTATGTGATCAGTGCAATGGGGTGCACAACCACATTGGAGCTGCTTCACCGGCGGACCTCGAGGTCCGGTCTGTACAACTGGTATGCTTGAAACCTCATCCCAACCCCAGAATTACAACTAATCCAAAATGAAAAGGTACCTTCTCTTAACCGCCTCGATCACAATGGGCGGCATAGGGATTTGGTGTATGCACTTTATCGGAAATCGTGCCATCGTCCTCGGCGAAGGCGAGGCACATGTGCAAGCCATGTATAATGTTGCCTTCACGGGAACTTCCTTCGTGCTCCCCGTGGTAGTACTATTATTTGCCTTCTACGCCGTGGGCGTGGAGGAGAAGGCAGGCTATCTTCGCATCGTCATCGGAGGCTTGCTCACCGGTAGCTCTGTCTGCGGTATGCACTACGTTGGTCAACTCGGAATCTCGAACTATAGGTGCACCTACCACGTTGCCAACGTCGTGGGTGCGGCGATCATTGCTATTTTCTCCAGCACAACTGCTCTGGGTATCTTTTTCCGCTGGAGAGCCACTTGGACTGATAGCTGGTGGAGGCGAGGGATCTGTGCTTGCCTATTGGCAGGTGCTGTCTCGGGTATGCATTGGACTGCGGCTGTTGGAACGGAGTATTTGGACCACGACCGCATGGTCATGAATGGGACTCAGTTGTCGAGGAGTCAGGTTGTCATTGTCTGCACTGTCCTGGTATGTTTTGGAGATTTCTTCGAAGAGAGGGGATTGGAGACTGACAACTGTCTAGGCCTGTGTTGCTTGTTTGATTTTGTCGATGTGTGCTATTCTCGCTGGGCGGAATCGTAGAAAGTCGACGACACGTGCCCATCAGCTCGTTCTCGCCTGTGCCTACTTTGATCCCAGTGGACGGATTATGGTTACAACGCAGGCTATGCTTCCTACGAGGAAGATTGTCGATCATTATATCGGACGGGTATGTCTCTGAGCTATCGGATTATGGGAGGTTAAGCTAACTAATTGTGAACTAGACTTTCAAAGATGACGACCTCACTCGCACCCACCCTACTTTCCTGTGGGCGTTTAGGGCAACTCGAAACTGGCCTGTCATAAAAGATCTGATTCCCTTCATGCGAAACCGCCTTGATTCCGAAGAAAGCGCTATTGAGAAACACATGCTATCCCGAGGAGTCTTTATGGACAAGGATACAGAGTTACAAACTGATTTTGATACCTTGTTCAAGCAACTCTTCTGTGTCACAGCCAAAGAGCTCTCAGAAGAACTCCGTTTGCCTCTCCAGGATCTGGGTACCCTCTACGACGATGTTCTCTCCACTGCTATCCCCATCTCCCGACTTTCTCGAGCCATGGGCCGCTCGTCCCTCCGCACCGGCAAGGGTCAGTTGATGTTTACCGTTCGACAGCTACAGAAACATGAAGCAGCACGTTTGAAATCGCAGGGATTCCGGTTTGCAACAATCGAGCATGTCACAGGAATGCTCTCCCGACGCATCCACGTTCCCGAAGCAAGCCTAGCCAACTCCCTCCGCGATATGCGCGACTACGCAAGCTCAAATCGAGGCTTCGACGAGGGAGTACACCTCGTTTCCTTCATGATGCGCCCAACAATCCACGATCACTTCGAGATCCTAACCGCAAAGGGTGCCGGAAACCCCCTTCCATCCGCAACTCTCCCAATGAAGCAACTCCAAATCCACCACCTAGAACTCATCTCCCACATGGAAGGATGGTCCATGGATGTATGCATGCGATACCTCGAGTCCGCCGCTGCAACAGAAGCCTTCCCCAACCTCGCCGAATTCCGCACCCATCTGACCAAAGCCATCATCTCCCTCTCAAAAACCATCCCAGAAGACATGCGCGGAGCAGCACAACTTTCCTCCCGCCCGCTAACAGCCCCCTGCCACACCGGATCCTCCGACCCCGAAACATCCATGCAAAATAACTGCACCCTCCTAGCCTTCTGCGCCGTCGGCACACTCGACACTCAAATCTCCAACCCAGACTACACCTTCACACCCTTCCGCCTCTTCCGCGTCCAGCAACAGATAAATGAAGCCTTTAGCGACCATGACGACTTTGCCCGCGAACTGGGCCAAGAACTCTTTTGCACAGACGTGCGATCAGGCTCGACCGCCAGCGAGAACGATCACACCTCCACGGCTAAAATGGCCATCCTACGTCTGTGGCCGTCGCGCAAGAGCGCACCGACTTCGAGCTCTGGCTCTGGCTCGCGATACTCCCAGGAGTCCTATGTGGATCCTACCGCGACTGCGTTACGGGATATCACCGTTCGCAAGGAAGTCCGCGTTGATTATACTCACCTTCATGAGAACTCCAACCAGAATAATCTCAGTAACCGCGACTCGAAAGTTACTGTTTCCGGTGGCATTGAAACTACGCCTACGAGTTACGTCGATGAGTTGTATAGTCTTTGCTATGCGCCAGGAATTCGGTTGAGACCTGATGCGTCGTTACAGAATATTTCGCGTGGTTCGACTGCATGCTGATTACCTTCTTTTTTTTCTTTACTTTGCTTTTGGCGAGTTATGGCTGGCGCGAGATGGAATACATCGATGAATTGGGGCTGGTGTTTTATATGCTTTGTTATGTCATACTCATCAAAAACCCTGGACATGGTCCAGGATTGTATATATAATTCTTACTTGACGAGTACATAGATGATATCAGTACAGATGCGTGCATGATTCAAGTTTCAGTTGCTTTTCCAAAAGTCTTATTATCAGAAGAGATCCAAAAAAATACCTGTTAATACATGAGATGAGCTCCATTAGGTCATAGAGAAAAGTAGAATATCGTCACACATGTCCAAAACACCCAAAAAGACTCATTAACCAAAACATGCAAGAGATGCCATATACTCATTGCTGCACACCCGCTGAGAGCGAGTCGACAACAAATGCGATATAGAAAGAAGGACTGGCCAACTAAGTAAATACCAGCCAAGCCAATGATCAGATACTACAGAGCAAGACTCGCACAGATCACACATTAGAAGTAGGATCCTCGCGCTCCAAAAATGAAGGATCAGCATCAATGCGCCGCTCGAACTTCGCCCACCAGTTCTGGAAGCTCTTCAGTGGTACAACATCCTGCCCCTTGTCATTCTCCGCAAAGCTCGCGAGGAAATTAAACGCATTTCCAATAATACGCTGCGCCAGCACCTTCGTCGAGATCTGTTTCTGTGCTACAGCCTGTGGAACCAGCGCGGAAGACATCTGACCCGAAGGACGCTCCCCTTCCAATGCAGCCAGCTGCGGCGCAATATTTTGCGCTTCTTCGATCGAAATGCCCAGTGTCAGGACGCCCGCTGCAGCAGCGCTCGCTTCGTCGAGCATCTCGTCTTCTTCCTCGGCTTCTGAGCGACGCATTGTGCTGCCCGGTGGACGGACGGTAAAAATGCCTGAGGGCTTTTCGTTTGCTAATGCGCCGATGAAGCGGAAGTTGGAGGGTGCGCCGGTGTTGGGGTCTGGGAGTTGGGCGTAAATTGCGGCACCGGTGTTTGGTGGGAGTGTCGTTCCTGGTAGAAAGAAGACGACTATATCACTGAATGATGGGGTGAGAGGGATCGTGAAGGCGAATTTGGTTGCTTGACCGTTTGGTTGGCCGTCTATTGCGATGATGTCTGTGAGGCACGGGCGGCCTGGGACCACGACGGAGAACATGGTGTGTGGTTGAAGGGGCTATAGAGCTTGAGGAGTCGTTGAAGCCGGGGATTGCGAGTTGAGCAGCGTTGAGGATTCTCTGTACAGTTCTTTAAGCTTCTTCAAGCTTCTCTTTGTCCTGTTTTTCGATGACGAAAGTGACATTCAGAGGGGCTGCCCTTATCGGCGGTCGATAAGGGTTTGGCTTGGCTAAACAAACCTCCGGTATATCAACTTCCCGACTTCGACTTCATATTTGGGATCAGCTTCTGTGTTCAGAGATCATTATGGGCAAATCAAATTTAGAACTGGTTGGCGAATGCGATAAGTAAAGCTGTCCCAACTCGATTGCTCTACTCGCGATTTCGTCTTACACCACGCAGCTTCCCCTACTACGAGGATGATCGCGCCGCATACACGGAGAACCTGAACAACTACCATGCATTCAAAGTATCTGGATACGATTGTACACTCGGCTATATTCTCAATGCAGTTGTTGAGAAATTCCCCTGGTCCGAGAACAGTTGGGCCATCGACTCGACCGCGCAAACCGTGACGCTAGTAACACCGGAAGGGGCCACCCCCGCACACCGGAGCAAGCTCGTCGAAGCAGACATAGCCGAAGCCGCGAAGCAAAACAAATTCGAAGTCCTGAAAGGCTGGCGCAACGAGAATTACGCAGTCTACGGCCCAGGTGGAGAATTCCTCCTGGAGATGGAACGCGCCGCAACCCCGCTCTTCGGCATCGTCTCATACGGCGCCCACATGACAGGCTACGTAGAGGATGACTCCGGAATCAAGATCTGGGTTCCGCGCCGCGCGAAGACCAAGCAGACATACCCTAGCCTCCTCGATAACACCGTCGCCGGCGGCATGTGCACCAACGAGACGCCGTTTGAATGTATCGTCCGCGAAGCTATGGAAGAAGCTTCCTTGCCCGAGGCAGCGGTGCGCGCTGCGACTGTCTCTACGGGCTGTGTGACGTACTCGCACGTGCGGGATGTGCGCGCAGGTGGCGAGACGGGCCTGATCCAGCCTGAGGTTGAGTATATATACGATCTCAAACTTGATGCTGATACTATTCCCCAACCTGGAGATAATGAGGTGGAGGAATTCAAATTGATGTCGGTTACGGAGGTGAAGGAGGCTTTGGCGCGTGGCGAGTTCAAGCCCAATTGTGCTAATATCATGATTGATTTCTTCGTGAGGCATGGGCTGCTGACGCCGGAGAATGAGCCGGATTACTTGGAGATCGTTGCTAGGTTGCATCGTCGCTTGGAGTACCCGATTGCTTCGCATTGCACGAGGTAGATTATGCATGATACCTGAGTTGCAGAGTACATATAGTTATGTTGAACATAAGATCTATCAATTTCGCTTCTAAACCTACATTTGGGGTTCCTATAGGCATTCTTTGTAAGAATTGCAACTTTCATATAGGAAATGATTCGATGAAGATATGGTGATAACCGCATTCACATCTATTATCAGCGCGAGCAAGAATAAAACTGAAACAATAGACTCAGATCGGTCGGGGATTGTGAATCTCGAAGGCCCAACTAAGAATGAGAATAAGGCACACCGTGCGATTTCAGCAATTACAACTTTATGCGATGTTAACCCGCTCTGAGACGGGATTTGGTTATCGAACGGTCAAGGTTCATTTCATCAATCCCATGAAAATCATGTTTGTTATGATAATCTATTGGTATTCCCAAATCAAAATGCAAAGAACGCCTGCGCTGCACCCCATAAGAACGATATGAACATCGGTCCGGCTTAAATACACCGACTTTTCCCCCATTTGGGCTTTGCCTCAAGATCAATCCAAGATCCATCTCATCCTGTGCCAAGGTCGTAAGCAAAAAAGAGAATTTCAATGACAAGCTTATTTCTTAAGCAACAAGTACACGTAATCGATTCTCAACGGAGCAAGCTTCTTGTAGGGACCCTCCAGGTAGAGAAGCAGACCTCCAAAGGACACGAAGACAGCCCTGAAAATATATTAGTTTCCGCAAGAACCAACACATCAGTAATGGGGCTCACATGGTATCCTTAGTGGCACCCTCCTCAAAGCGGTATACCTTGCCGTGGCAAACATAATCGTAGTCATCCGCCAGGGTCTGCTCACCCATGCTGACCTCCCTCCAGCTGGCGCGGGTATCTTCCTTGCCGTCAAGAGAGAGAGTCGAGGCCAGAGCGAGGGACAGCGACTCGCCGACCGCGCATGGGTACAGCTCAGTGTTCACATCCAGGGTGAAAGTGAGAGAGGCATCGTTGGAGTTGCAAGTAAGACGGGAGACGCGGTCATACTTCTGGGCGTTGATCGATGTGATCGTGAAGGTATCTTCGAAGAGGAGCGGGTCGGACATGATGAAGGTTGCGACCGCGGGCTTTTCGGTCTATGGATGAGGAATTCGGTAGAGTAGATTATTCGCAGACAGTCGCACACAGATTATGGTATGTTGCAAGGCCCACAATGGCTGGTTGGTGGCGAGAGAGTGGTGAAGAGAAGAGTTGGAGTCGGAGATGGAGAGGTTGATCGGAGAATTGAAGCTTTTTTTTTCTGCCGCCTTTTGGTCCCCGCCGATAACGATTTCGTTGGTTTGACATCAGCTCCTTGCCTATAGTTTTCTTCTGTCTTTTAATATTTGATTCAAAGTTCTCCGTCATGTCCTTTCGCAAGCGAAACATTGGTCTGTCTCCTGGGGTTGACCGCAACGCAGTTCCCAATGCTACAGCACAGCCCGCTGCGCCAGAAAGCACGCCGGGCATTCGCCCCTCCCCCGATGATGGACGACCAACAACCTCGACAGGGACTCGCTCTCTAGATAATCTTCTTGCAGGCCATGCAGGGCTTCCAATGGGAAAATTGTTATTGATTGAAGAAAACGGAACTACGGATTTTGCGGGCGCATTGCTGCGTTACTATGCGGCTGAAGGTGTAATCCAAGAGCAGAAGGTTCATGTGGTTGGAGTGCCAGAACAATGGGGCCGAAGTCTACCTGGTCTGATAGGTTCAGCGGAGGCTCTGGATGAGAAGAGATCCGACAGGCGCAAGGATGATCGCATGAAGATTGCATGGCGATACGAGCGACTGGGCGAGTTTGGAGCAGTCGCTGGTTCGCGGGGTGGTGAGCATCAAAACAAAACACCTTCTAGCCTCAATTTGCTGATGAATATAGCCCCTACGAATTCCGGAGAACAGGATGCAGTAGCAAAAGAAGCGCCCGCTTTCTGTCATGCCTTCGATCTCACGAAACGTCTCACCCATCCATCTATCACAAACATGTCTTTCATCCCACTTATGCCTTCTCAAGAGTCACCGTTCCTCGCTATCCTTAAACGACTCCAGACAGCAATCACAACCAGCGCCGCCAATACGATTCATCGTATTGTCATTCCCTCCCTACTCAATCCCACAATTTACCCACCAAACGCTTGCCAACCCGAACATGTGCTCCAATTCTTCCACGCGCTCAAGGCGATGATGAGCGCGCACAACACTCGCGTGACCGCAATGGTCACCATGCCTCTGTCTCTCTATCCCCGCTCATCGGGGCTGGTTCGCTGGATCGAACTACTCAGTGACGGCGTTATTGAGCTATGTCCCTTCCCGCACTCTGCGGATGCCATGGCTACCTCGGGAGCGGCGACCTCACAAGAAGAACCACCGCAGGGTATGCTCAAGACGCATCGGCTTCCAGTTTTGCATGAACGTGGGGGTGGAAGCGATCAGAATGTTGGAGAGGATTGGGCATTTATTCTGAGCCGACGGAGATTTGAGATTAAACCGTTCAGTCTGCCGCCGGCCGAAGGGGACACAGAAGCGCAAGATGCGTCGGCCCCAAGAGGAATGCCCAAGAAATCTGATCTCGAATTCTGAGACGCTTGGCGATTGGTGTGATTCCTTAGATTCAATCGTCCTCCTCAAAGTGGCGTTGAGTCCCGGGTTCTGCTAGCATTTCGTCCATCTCAATCTGCTCGGACATAGCAGGACCCGAATTGGCCATTGTGCGCAGGTAGCTCGCTCCGTATCCATCCAACCCTGGTCGGATTGAACGGAAGCGATTTCCTAGGCAGGATGAAGCTGCAAGCCATGCTGTTTGGTATTAGTGATGCGCTCGTGACTAGCTGTCTAAGGATGCTGCACGATACTGACCAATAAAGAGGAGCAGGGGTGCAAAGAATACCAGGAACAGCAATAGTAGGAAATCCATGGTGCAGTATAAATGAAGAAATATAGAATACTCAACGAATGCCAATGAAGATGATGATAAACACCGATGTTCAGCAGTTCGATTGCCAAGAAGGGCTATTCCTAAATAAGGCTAGCGTATAAGCTCAGCTTTTCCTTTTCTTCTTTTTTTTTTGTTCCTCTTCCTCTTCTCTTCTCTCATCAACCCTGGCTTTGCTGGTCAAATCCAAAGATCTTGGGTGTTTGATTGATGTTCTCGACAATTTGATACTTTTTTAATGGTAAGCTTCCCACTCATCTATTTCACCCATCTCCCCACTCGCATGATTATTTAACTACAATCTGTCAATCCCCTGAAGCTCTTTGATACGTCACTGAGCGCTTGCTGAGAAACGTACTGGAAAATGATTCGCGATACCCAAATTTACCTTACTGGCTACCTGCATATTTGCATTTTGGACAAGTGCTAACTGTTCTTGTCACAGAATATTTGAAAAATCCCACAAATCTCAAATCAGAAAGAAAAAAAAATTATGGATTTCCAACCAGACCTTCCCATCCCGATCTCTTATGTATCCGGTAGATATCTGTTGTTCTCAATTGACGCCGTGACGTATCTGCGACGTGAGCATCACATCTGCGGTGTGCTCATCGGGACTCTGCCTCAGATCCCTCAGCAGAATGTCTTCCTGGGTCTCCCACTCGAGCTGATGCCCGAGGAGGCACGGCTGTTAGTGGACAAGGGTGTAGCTTGCATCGTAGACGAAGCCAAGGCACACGAAGGCATGAACACCCTATTAGAAGAGGATCGCAGACGGTACCTCCGTGACCTCGAATCCCAAGGCCTGCATGTCTCGCGCATCCAATCGGATCGCAAAGAGCGCAACCGAGAGCAGACATTGAAAAAATTAGAAGAAAAGAAAGCAAAGGCCAAGGCGAAGGCCAGTGCTGCTGCTGCCCAGACACCTACGGTTCCTGATGAGGGCATTTCCACCCCGTCGCCCAAGAACGCTGCAATCGTTGACATCTTCAACGCAGAGGACCGCTCATCGTCGCCATCCACCGGCTCAATGAGTACACCTCCAGCCGCAACGGCAATTACGCCTGCAACATCTTACCCGCCTCTTTCCACACCTCCGCCATCAACACACCTTTCAGCGCCCGCAGTGCCACCCTCCTATCCTCTCTTCGCTCACCTCCACTCAAAAGGATACTTCCTTTCTCCCGGCCTGCGCTTCGGCTGCCAGTACATGGCCTACCCAGGTGACCCGCTGCGCTTCCACTCGCACTTCCTCGTGGTTTCCTACGACTGGGACCAGCGTATCGATATAATGGATCTCGTTGTCGGTGGCAGACTAGGTACTGGTGTGAAGAAGGGTTTCTTGATCGGTGGAGCACAGAAGGGAATCGATGAGGTCGATTCGGAGGCTGATCGTGTGGATACTGTGCGTGCTTTCAGTCTTGAATGGGCTGGAATGTGAGGAATGAAGGATGTGAAGGGGTTTATATCCTTCATTTGTTTTCCCCGTATATAAATCAGGCCTGTGGCTTCGATTTGCCCTCGCTCGGGTTGCATGGATCATGCACCACGCTACCAGGTCGTTCTTGCCTGTCTTCGGGTTCTTGAACCAGATGCACGACTTTCTACTGTGTCTTGGTGTCGTTGAGCCCGATACCTTGGTTTTATGAATCATCTTCGATTCACAAAGTCCCAGATGGCACCCCCGCCCAAAAGTGGTCTACCATGACAGCGAAGCTATCGTTAGAACTCACCTTCTATCGGACGCTTTGAAGGGCTAACCTCGTGGTTGAGAAGAGTTGTCATGCCTTCAGTCTGTTCGTGCATTGCCCGACTCGATATACCATACCGCATGACTATGAATAGATTCGCAGGAAACTCTGCATCACATAAATACCTACACATTACATTGATCATTGTAGTAAATATATAGCATCATCTCGCTGTTCGAATGGTACCTTCGCTTTTAGGCATCTCTAGCTAACTAATAGGGCGAAGTTTCTAAAATATTTGTTCCAATTGAACGTCCTCCCTGGCGACTTGATGAGTTGCCTGAGCTGAAGTTTTGTGTTCGGCGCTCTTTCCTTTGCTGTGCAAGGTGTGGGTGCCTTTCCGTGTCGGGCTTGCACACTGTGATCTTACAGTATCACTCAGCGGCTGTAGCGAAACAAGACCGAGTCTAGCTTCAGAGACACTAGCATGCCCCCGTAAAGTACGTCTTTGAAGCTCAAGGCTCAAGTCTCACAGACTCTCGACTGTATCAACATTTATGGCAGCAGCGCACTTGCAACGCTCGATTCCGCTCCACGATTGAGCAGTCATTTCCATCGGTAGCAGATTGATGATAAACAGACAGATTGATCGCCCTCTCAAATGTAATCGATATTCCTCCACTTGAACTTCTTGTTAGCTCTGTCCACAGACCGATTCTCGAATTGGTTTCCATGCAGCTCAAAAACCAACGGCATAGGAGCTTTAGCATCAGACCCAGTCAGCTGATCTTTCCCCTCAAACGGCGTTGACCCAGGCACAGGAACCGTGAACCGGAAGACAGTATGCTCCTTCGGTATCGCTGCACAAACAAAACCAAATCAGCATCATCCCAATATCGCATCTCGCACTCCACAAGACTCACTCTTCATCTCATCCTTCTCGGTAACAATGACAAACGTAAATTTCGTATCCCGCACCACAATCCCCTTAGCACCAACCCTTCCAGCACACCCACTCCTAACAACCTCAACCTCAGCCCCATGGTAATCCGCACTGACAAGCTTACTTCCATGCGACGTCGGCGAAACATGGCCATGTGTTCCGCCCTTCAGATCTAGAATCTCCTGCATATATCCGACCCACAGCTCATGTAGGCCCTTGAAAATGTGGTATTTGCATTCTTCCTTGGGCAGGTCGTACAGCCCGGTCTTGCGCTTTTCGCGCGCTGATAGTGGTTGCGGCTTCTGATGGCGGAGGAAGTATTCTTTCTTGCGGAGGCGGTGGAGGCGGCGGCGGGAGCGGTTGTCGGATGCTGAGGGAGAGGTTGCGCGGAGGAAGAGTGGTTTTTGTTTGACGCGCTCGGTGAATTGTTGCGTTGCGCTGTCTGGGGAGTGGGCGCGTGAGAGGAGAGTGTGGGCGATGTGGGATTTGGGAGCTGGCGAGGAGGCCATTTTGCGTGCTTATGTGTGATTTTTGTATAGGCTTTTTTGTTCTGCCAATGGATGGGAGACTGGGAGTTGGGGTTCGTGGGATTTGTGGTTGTTGGAGGTTGGAGAAAAATCGATGTCACACCGATAAGATATGCAGACCATTTATAGATCGAAGGTACATCCAGTTTATATGCATTATTGCGACACGATCAAGTCTGATATTGAATTCTCTACAAACAGATATAATATATATTCTCGCATATAAGACCTTTTCAGTGATTAGGCTTGGATCGTCCCTCGGCTCTTTGATGCTTCCCCGCATATATCATCTATAGGGTGATTAAATAGCAAACCGACACCCAGCCGCATGCCCGAAGTGTTATACAACATCTGAAAAAGACGTTAGATAGCTACTGTCTACTATTGACCCCCCATACTTTGCTTATATCAACATGCAGTCCCGTACCGATCAAAAGGACATCCCCAAAAACTTCCCAGGGCTTCCACCCTTCCCAGATGATGTCCCTACAGCACCCCTTCTTCGACTATCCTCGGGTAAGCTATTAGCAGGTGACACGATCGAGCAAGAAAGACTGTTCCAAGCATCTACCGACATTGGGTTCTTCTATCTCGATCTATCGGACTCACAGCAAGGCTCACCCCTCCTCGGCGACGCAGATAATCTGTTCCAAGTCGGCGAGAGACTATTCGACCTGAGCTCCGAGGAGAAAAACCAGTATGATTTCAGCGGACAGAGCTCCTACTTTGGATATAAAGCGCAGGGAGCTGCGGTTGTTGACAAGCAGGGGAATCTAGACCGAAACGAGTTCTACAATGTACGTCAGCCCTGAGCCCATCTAGCTGTACCCTCACAGCAGCTAATACAACTATCTACAGGTTTCCAAAGACGATATCTTGGGTATCAGTGATCCTCTACCAACACCAGAGATTCTGCACAAAAACCGAGCCCGACTGGGCTCATTCATGCGAGGGTCACATGCAATTGTAACCCTAATTCTGGACATCCTGAACGATCAACTTGGCCTACCAAAAGACACACTATCCAATCTGCACCGACAACAAGCTGTAAGCGGCAATCAGGTGCGGTTTGTCAAAGCACCACCACAGCCAGTAGACGACAGACGCACCGCGATGGGCCAGCACACGGACTTTGGAAGCGTGACGGTTCTGTTCAACCGACTGGGGGGACTGCAAGTGCTACCGCCCGGGGCTGACGCCGAATGGGTCTATGTCCGACCGCTGCCTGGCCATGCTATTGTAAACCTTGGGGACGCAATGGTCAAGTTTACGAATGGGCTTTTCCGATCGAACATTCATCGGGTTGTGGCGCCGCCGGGGCTGCAGGCTGAATCGACGCGGTACAGTCTCGTGTACTTTGCACGACCTGAGGATAGTGTGATGCTGCGTCGGTTGGAGGGATCTGATCGGATTCCTGTTATAGAGGATGGTCAGACTGAAGAGGAAATCAATAGCAAGGACTGGATTCTTCGGCGGGCTTTGGGTCGTCGGGTGGATCGTGTGAATGATATTGATTTTGAGAAGTCTGCAGGGACGGAGCAACTGAGTCGGAGGATCAAGGTATAGCATTGATCTGGTGTTATTCTGCGATACAAATCGGACACGGTTGAATGGGTTATGGATTGGGTGCAACGCGCTTGCGTGTAATGTGTTAACGTGGGCACTTACGAAGATTGGATGACTATCACTATGATCTATATTCGTGGTATGGAGCACATATAGAATAGTGCGACCAGTCGATGATCTTCCAACCGATAAAAACAATATTGGAAGGCAACATGTATTCACCCTCAAGTTTTCCAAATCAGGAAGGTACTTCAGTTGGGACTATCTGCATATCTCCCCTGACACTACGGAGTATGGAGTATGGAGTAAGATAGTCGATCGATGTACTTCGTATTCGTACCCCATAGATTAACAATCATTAAGGATGGGCTCGACAAGGGGCAAAACTAGTAGAAACTACTGAATCCACCAAGCTCAGGAGATTACTACACCCCTCTAGGCAAGAGGGTCTACTTTAAATCAGCCCTCTGACCCACGAAGACAAAGTCTAAGTAGATTGGGGAAAATATCTCCATCGAACAGGCGGTTAGAATCTCCTGAAGATACGACAGCTTCGATTGTTCAATCCGGTACTTTGGTCAGGACAGGTTGGCGGGGATCTAAATTTCCCCAGACCCTGCTCATGTATTTGTCATCTCTTCTATCTTGCGATACCGTCCACAGGTGGAAATTACACAACAAACATCATGTACAATTTACATTCCTCCGAAACTAGAAAGTGGTAAGTCGTATGTCTAGTGCAATCCGACATCGTGGGCATTGACGTGCCAAGATCTAGATGGGGTAGGAGGTCTAACCGGATTGAATTGGCGACATGTGTTGTATTGACGCAAGGCTGGCACTAGGCAAACGCTCCAACATGACAGCCTGTTCTCTCTTCTCTCTACCATGTCGATCCTCTACGATCTATACTAGCAATAGCTCACATCCTCCAAGCTGTGGCGACTATTTTCTCTAGTTGAACTGGTACATTTCTGATTTTCTAGTGATGATAGCGTGTTGTCGATCGTTTTTCCAGGTCTCGACCAGCCGCGTTTCACCCGCGTAGAGCAATACAAAACAAAAGGAACGCAATAGCTTCTTAATTAGGCTAGTTGGCCGTTGAAATAGATTCTAATCTCCATTTCCCACTACAATAAAGCATATTGTATTAATTTTTTTTTTGGAAAAAAAAGGACATTTCGGGTGTCTTTCCCTCCCAGCCGCTCTATTCCCGGTGTTCTGGAACCGGGTTATCCCCTCTCTTCCCTAAGCGACCCCCTGACTTATTGACATCTGTGGATTATGCGAAAAACTCAAAGAATATAGTACAACCCTCACATAAGCATCAGTCTTCCGTGTCCAGACCTCGGGATTTGCTGCAAAGCCCGCGACCCAACAATCTGGATCTGTGTAGTGCATGCGTTGTGACAGCGGGTGGTCGTCTCCGGGTTTCCGGCGGCTTGTGCCCCTGTGGTTTTTATGCAGTAGTCTGCATACTTGGTGACTTTGTACTCTGTCCTCTGTCCTCTGTACGGAGTACCATACAGTTGGTAGTTGAGACGAGGGGGATCTGCAGAACTAGGAACAGGTGACAGGGGGGGTACTCCGTATAGTACTTTTGTTTCCGCCGAAAAAGCAAAAGCATATATTGTACTCCCCGTGCTCCATCTAGATCGTGAGGACCAGAGGACTGACATGAAGTAGATAAGCTCTGTTAAGAAATACGAGTCCAAATCTTCAAACCTTCCAGTCCCCATCGGACAAGTCTCGCCAAAGTTAAAGAGCCAGAAATCGGGAAAATAGCGGCTACGGGCGATTTCCAGACCAATGACCATTGTACTCCGTTCCGTGCCCCACTATGCATTATTCTCGCCTTTTAATGAATTCGGCTCGTATACAATCCTTTACAAGCTATGCTATGCTATGTCTAGTGTGCGGTGCCTATGTATCTTGTGCATTTCCCAGAGTATGAAAATGATTGGGAAATTCGGATGCACCTCAATGGGTTCAATCTATATTGAAACAAAAAACGGCTCGGACCGTTCAAATGGAACCACACGGGCTATGTTGTCCCCATTCGAGTTACGCTAAATACGTTTAGAACTGTATTTCAAATGTGGCACGATGTCCTCGGCCGAAATGAATCTTCTTTGGCTGCATCGGAAGATTTCCGGTGTACTTTCCGTGGCGTTGTGCCCCATCATTTTAAGGTAGATGTCAGCCCGGGGAGGAATTGCAGATTTGGAATGATCGGAGTGGTGAGAAGGTACAAGGCAGAAAGTAGGCATGGACCTGGAGGCAATTGCGCATGCAGATCCATGCAAGACATGACGTAGGCGATTCTATATGATTTGAGACGAACAAAGACATAGAACTTGGGTGGATTAGGCATAAACGCCGTTAGCGTGGAGGGGCGTGGTCCTTTGAAGGAAAGTGTGTCCGGTGGATGTACAACATACTTTGCAACGCTTATACTTCCATCAAAAGTCTATCGCCTATGTCTCTGTATTCAAACTGTACGATGTCTGATCACCCAGGAAATGGCGCGACAGTCTATTTTTGTGGCGAAGTGGAATTCCTGGGTTAAGTGCCGGGTTTCATATTCCGATGCCACGAAAACTAGTATCTTATCTTACATGTGAACAGCCTGTTCCCTTACGTTTAAACACTCTGCGTCATATACAATATCCATGTCCGCCATCGGCGTCATGGAATGTACACATCATCAGGACCCATGTTAGGGCGCATGCACGGCTATGTAGACCCTTGAAAGTGGAAATAACGAGGCGTTGGTAGTTCATTTTCGGCACGGAGCCCCGAAGCGACCCCTGTAAGGGGAACGAGTTGACTTCATTGTGCAGATGGGAATACCATCCCATGTATGTGATGTACTGTCTTGCTTGAAAGGTGACATATAGATAATAAAAAAGCTCTTATCGGGATGAATTGAATAACGTGAGAGAAAATCAATGGAGTAAACGCGGGATATCATCAAGGATTGTGTTGGTCGGCACAGATCAATCGGGTCGACGTTGTATATGCTCAAGCCGCGTCAACAACGTCTACTTGATGTTCAAGTGCCATAGCTGCTAGTTTCTCTTCAATGCTCTTGAGAACCTCCGGACTGGTTTCCGGTTTGACCTTTTAGGACTGCAAGAGAGACCAAATGTTAGCAAGAACCCCCCCAAGCTATGTATGCAATAGGGTATCACACGTACGGGATTCGTCTAGTGAGATCGCACTTCGCCTGACCACAATTCGAACAAGTTTCCACATTACCCTGGAACCAAGTCTGACAGACATGACATTCGTAATGGATCCTGCGACGAGGTTTCTTGAACGTGCGCTCCGGCCTCGGTTTGGGCGGATCTGCATCGCCCGCGTAGCCATCAGGGTATTTATCGAGTTTAGCCGGGTCCCGCGGGCAAATCTTGCAGCGGACATGGCTGCAGCTTGGACATTCCTTGGAGCCGGGGGTGAAAAGTGAGGCGCAGAGGTGACAGTAGCGGTGGATGCGCTGGCGAACCGGACGCCGGACGAAGTCCGCGCCGCCTGTGGGCGACGGCATCTTGATTGACATTTCCTTGGTGGTGCTGAGCTTGAGGTGCGAGGTCCTAGGGAACAGTCTGGGGACGTGGGCATATGCGTCTGGGATCTTGGGCTTGCGGGTCGGTTCGCCATCCTTATTGCGGGCGGGTGGGTATCGGGGACATTTTGTGCAGCGAGTGTGCTGGCAATTGATGCATACTTTGTCTGCGCCGAAGGTTGTTTCGCAGCGGTGGCAGGTGCGACGCACTCGCATGCGAATTGGCTTTGTTACACGGGTGACCTGGAGGTCGGTGGGTGTCTTCCATTCGCTGGAGTCGACAGTCAAGCCGTATTTGGCGAAGAGGGCGCGGGCCTTTTCGTTCTGGGTTGTTCTGTAATCGGTGTACATGACTGGTCCTGGTGTGCTGAGATCCTGGGCTGGTTCTGATACTGGTGCTTGAGCAGGTGCTGGTGCTGATGCCGGTACAGGAGCTGGCTCCGGTGATGTTTCCTTTGGTTCGCTATATTTGAACATTAGTATATAGTGTATATAGTGTACAGGTAGACGAATGTAAATCGTACGTCGTTTCGACTGGAGCCGCTGTCCCAGGAGTGATAGATTGGCGTTTGGACATTGACCGAGGCCGGAGGACGGTCTTCATACGCTTGAGGTATTTAGAGAAGCCCTCCGGCTTCTCTTCGCGCCCATCTTGAGACATTATTCGAACCAGAATGTGTGAAATACTCTGATATCCCAAGGTTCATTCCATATAAAAGTGTGAAGGATATGCAGGTGGGCAGGTGGGATTCCCAGACGAGAGGGAAACGGATCCAATTATAGAGAATATCTATAATACCAAAGAGGTACATTAGTGTATAAAAAAAAGGTCCAAAGCTCAGACGTGGGGATTCCGATACTGTGGTTCTGTGGGTTCGGGATATCTCGAATATTTTCATTTTTCATTTGATATTTTTTTTATTTTATTTTTTATTTTTCTATTTTAATTTTTCATTTTGGCCTTTTTATTTGATATTTTCATATATTTTTTGGGGTCTAATTTTCTTCAGATTATATCTCCGAATTGGCTACATCGACCAAAGTATTTCTCCATGCTAACCACTATGGGAAGATACCGCCAATCGTGTACCATATCACTGGTCATAGCCCTGGTAACTTTGGCATCCCTCCCCTTTAGTCTCTGATGTGCACTCCCCACTCTTTTTCCTCCAACCAGGTGTGGAAAAAATGGCTTTGGCCTCGAAACTCTCTGGCTTCAGGAGATTCTCTCCATAACTCATATCCGAGAATAGAGTCCACATTTGACTGGAACAGCCATGGCCCCCTGTTTCTTGGCACGTCATTGGTTCCTTTGGCGTCGGACCTTCAGAGAGCAAACGTCTTGTGTTTCGTCATGCCACCAAAAGTACATACTCTGTACGGAGTATAAAAAGATCAATTACCTAACAGCATAATTCTGTAGTCCTCCCCGGTTGACCATGCAAAGCCCCAAGGGTGGGGAGAGTTGGCCTCTCCCCACGGCAGCACCCGCCATCCCGGCTGCCTGTCCCAAAGCAGGTAGGTTATTGGGTTATCAGTGGGAGCGGATCGGGGAGGAAATGTGGTCGAGGGGCACGGTGATAAGCACGTCTTTCATTTGTTCGCTATTGTAGTCGATCAGGAGGTTCGACTTTGCTTTGAAACAGGGATTTGAAGTACCGCGGAGATCGTGAACTTTTTTGAGTTTGGTCTTTGTCTTCACAGTCTGTATAACCTGTATGCATTGCGGTGTACGATGTACTACCTTGTACAGCATACAACGTCAGAGTACTGGATTGGAAATATGTACGTGCGCTGGACCTTGGTATAATTATTTTGAACGTTTTTCCCGCGTAGCGTTCTTGATATTGCTGACTAAATTATTGACTGGGATTGTGAAGAAGCCCATGCAGAATCCCCCTAGTATGGAAGGGTGGCGAAAGAACTTTTTGACAGCCACACGGGGATCTCTCCGACCATTGGGCCGGAAATGCATGACAGAGTCCCAAAGCGCAAAATACGAAAGGCATCAACAGCCGTCATGAGCGATGTAAGTGAGAATGAAATTGAAGAATACAAAAAAAAAAAAAAAAAAATAGGGAGAATGGGGGTGACTTTGACCAGAAGGTACTGCAACTACTGCAGATTAAGCCATTGTCGAAGGACACCGACAGATGAAAATCTGGGAGGTCAATAGTAATGTATTTTTTTTTATAAAAAAAATTGCCGGGAAAATAAAAAGCAAGTTAATGTAAATTCCTCTCAAGTGGGCCATGGAAGAATGGAGGTCCAGAGCAGAGATATTTACGCACACATTATAGTCTCGATGCAAAGTACCGGTGTACGGAGGACGGAGTACAACATACTTGAACGTATGGGCCTTCTGCAGTAAGCATGACCCGTCCCATGTGGGAATATTGAGAAGTATACGGACTATATTTGTACACGGTAACCCACTTGGCTGCTCTATTGGATCTGCTCTCCCAGGATGGATGCATCCTAATTCTCTCGATGCTCTCTTCTATACTGCATATGCAAATCTGCACGCGACCCAGGGCAATGGCCCTGGTAAACGGATGACACATCCGCTTTGCCACCGCCATTCCCATGTCGGGATTCCGGGCCTTGTACCACCCCGTTGGTACAACTACATGGGCTCCTTAGACGGTGTAAATGCATCACTTACATGGTCATGTAACCCTCTCGAATCATGAGTCCCAATTTTTCTCCCTGCACACTCTACTTCCAGCTAAAAAAGAAAGGGTTTAGTGAACGGTGGAGAGGGCACATAATGATCGCATTTACAGAGACCAATCAATCACTGTCGGATATATTGCATGTCCACTTAATCCACAGTGTAACTGAACAAGGACAGGCCGCCAATTGTATCAAGGAATAGACCCCGAACCTTTTTCATCGGCTACATAAACGGCGGGACCAGCAGAACCATACGAGCGTACGAACTAACAATGAAGATGATCATCAATATCTGAAAGGGTGGTGAGATTGAAAACATTGTATGGATAGCTGGGGCTGGCTCCCTAGTGAGCACAGCGTTCGTTAGATCGATCAGCTTAGGTGTTCATCCGTGGCGGCTATCGATGGCTGAGCTGGCGACATATTGGGCATCACCCCTCCGTGGAGGAATGGTAATCGTAAACAAAACCTCATTACAAGCGTGCTGTCATCAAGACCTGTCCCCATCTAGTGTCAACTGACTGCAACGTAGGCTAACTGAGCCCAGAACACCGGCATCTCCGAATGACAGGCCTTGGCCATTCTCACCGGGAAACTCAAAAACATGGGCTACTTGAGAGTACATAGTTCGTGAGATCGACCACTAGCGGAGGGTATACGAACTGCACCGTTAATAACATCCATCTAGTTGATAGATCACAAATTCCGTCCCATGGTGTTGTGAGATCGCCAGCATGGGATCCCGGGTATTTGGTTAGTCTAAGGCAGTCAGGCGCGTGTCAGATTTCGAATTCCAGAAGTACATTCGACACCCACATAGGGTGGTTCTGGGTGTACGTGGGCGGCATTTCCATCCAAGCCAATTAAGATCCAGCCATTGCGCAAGAAAAAAAAAAGATAAAAAAACGCCTCTCTATACAAATCCCACGCCTTGGGTATATGCTCAATCCACCGACGGACATGCTCTCCAATCAAGAGATACATTCACTAGCCCGGATGCCTTAATCCGACCCAGTCAGCTTGGACTTGATGTCGATGATATCTTCATCGGCCTCCACCTCGATCACCCGGTTGACTTGGGCACTGGTGCGCATCAACTCCACTGCATTTGCATACGACATCCGTTGCATCGGGTTACAGTTCTCGGGGAGCCAGTAGAGGAGGACATAAGGGACTGAGGGACGTCCGTCCTTCTGTGAGTGCATATCTCATTTAGTACGAATGTCATGGGTCGGATGGAGACTGTATTTCCAATAGACAACTTACCGTGGTCATTGGGTAGCTGAGGAGGATGAACCGGGGCGAGGAGTCGGGCAGATCATCGGCCAGATCTTCCATCTTCGAGTAGACTTCATCGTCTTGCGGCCTAATCTCCTGGGTCTTTGCATCAATGATATCTATCATAAGCCACGGTCAGTTTCAGACACAGGCAGAGATATCGGTGTGTTGGTGATTGGCACTCAGTACGTGCTGTATAGACCGACTTCTGTCGAAATGCATGGGATGTGTGGGAAAACGCGGATTTAGGGGCCCGTACAGATGATAGCTTGCGCGTCCTTGGCTCTCGATGTGCCCAGGCGGAATTTGCGCAGCTTCTCCTTGGTCTCGGGAGAGAATGAATATAGTCGTGAATCAGACTACCATAAGTTAGCGCCTGGTGGGGGAAATCTGCTAGCATATGCCATTCAACCTGGCGCGGAAGGACATCTCACCATTTTGGACTTTGACTGTGGAATACGCAGAGAAGGTAAGGAAACAAAAGGTCTGAGTCGAGCGCTAATAATGCACTGAATAAAAATGATACTGGATATGTTCAACTTGAAAACCCGGAGAATGTTGAAAGACGAGATGGAGATGCGGGCGGAGTGTCCCTGTTTCCCCCACTTCACTCTACGCTTTGAACAATCCAGATCCAAACTCATCCTACACCTATCTCTCCATGCTCAACCGACTGAATCTACTGACTCGACAATTCCAACGTCCATTCAGTCCTCATCGTCCAATCAGCCCTTCCTTCTCGACCCCGTCCCTGGCCCCTCGCTCAGGTCCGTTCGCGATGACATCAGCCGCGCTCAAGCCCATCCACACGGCGGCATGCCTCATTATCGGCGATGAGGTTCTCAATGGAAAGGTAATGGAAGACATCCACAGGCTCCCTCATGAGAAGAATGGTTCTGACATTCCCTCCACCCTTAGACAATCGACACCAACTCGCCCTACCTAGCCAAGTTCTGCTTCTCGCTCGGCATCGACCTGAAGCGAGTCGAAGTCATCCCCGATGATGAAGAGGATATAATCGAAGCCGTACGACGTATGAGCTCCCGCTATGACTTCGTCGTTACCAGTGGAGGCATTGGGCCCACGTGCGTGCAACAAACCCCATCCCTAGTTTCTCCGCATGGAGAAACTCATCCAAGCGACAACGCCCAAGCAACGCGCTTCATATAAACCCACAGCTAACACCTATCCCACTGTCTACAGACACGATGATATCACATACTCTTCAATCGCCAAGGCATTCAACCTGAAGCTGGCATTGCACAAGCCAGCCTTCGAGCGCATGAAGCGCCTCTCTAAACCTCACCCCATGCAACTCAACTTCGACTGGGAGACACCCTCACCGGGCCTGACCGCTAAGCTGCGCATGGTCGAGCTGCCCTATGACCCCAATGTACCCGCCGAGTCACAGGCTTTGTTCGTCGCCGACGACTTGTGGGTGCCGATCGCGGTGGTGAACGGCAACGTGCATATTCTCCCCGGCGTGCCGCGGCTCTTTGAGCGTCTGCTCCAGAGCTTGAAGCCTTCTCTTATTCCCCGTTTGACGGACCCGGAGGGTAAGGGGACATTCCGCTTGATGGTCAGCACGCCGTTGCCCGAGAGTGCGGTGGCGCCGTACCTGACCGAGCTTGCAGCCAAGGTTGAGCCTCGGGGGATCAAGGTTGGTAGCTACCCGCGCTGGGGCAAAAAGCGCAATACTGTTACTTTGGTCGGGGCGGATAAGGAATACATTGAGTCGTTGGTCGGTGAGGTGGAGGAGAATGTTCAGGGTAAGCGGGTTACCAAGGAGGATGAGTTGGATGTTCCGTCCGATTCGGAGCAAGTTTTCAGTCAGTAGATTGTTCATTAGATATATAGATTGCGACGTTGGGAACACGCATAGCACATTTAGCATATCATATTGAGCATAGCACATCGAGCATAGCAATTCGATATGTATATTTCAGTCGAGAGTTTCCAACATGTGAATATTGACCAGACTAGCTAATCACATGTAGCTATGAGCGAGTCTGCAAGGACATCCTATGAGCTAGCTGTCATAGCCTCGCGACAAGTGAATCCTTGCCAGCAGGTATAAGAACATTGATATGAGATATCAAACCGAATGGATTGACTATCGGGGATAGATGGACATATATCTTTTGTACGCAGGAGCAATGGATAAAACAATCATACCAGGACAACCTCAAAAAACCAAGGTACATATTGCAATGATGGAAAGCAATCCACCTTGCCATGAAAGAACATATATTGACAGCCGTGTCGTCTGGAGCGACCAAGAATAATGATAATAAAAAGGCGATAGATAAACAAACACCAGGGATCTTTCGCAAAGACTTCAACAGAAAAATAATAAAAAGGGACTAAAACAAAGACGCAATCGAAGAACAAAAGGGGAATCAAAATGTTTCGTGAGACGAGGTTGGGCGTCAAGGTCGGCAGTCATCAAGAATGCGAGTTGAGAACAACCCACAAACATCCGTAACACAAACGACAATGCCACTTCTTCGGTAATTTTTTTCAGGTTTGGTTGTTTTTCGAGGTTGCAATGTTGCAGTCTCCGTATTTCCCATGCTGTAGATCTGAATGGCGGTTGCAGATTAAGGCCATTCAAAAAGGTAAACATATCCAACTTTCCCAAGTGTGCACTCGGACGTATAAATCCTTTGAACTCGTCCCGTGCGTGTTCCGGTGGGCCCGAGATTTCGAGGGTATTGCGATTCGGATCATTTTGGTGTTTTACATGATGACGCACTTGGAGCAGCAGCCCGCGCTCTCGCCGGGTTCGCTCACGTCCATCTTGCCCTCTGGTGCGCGGGCGCCGAACGCGCCGGAGCCGGACGGGTACGAGGACATTTCCTTGTTGTAGCGACGGATCTCGCGGACGAGGTCGTAGAAGGCGTTCTCGACGTTGATGCGGGACTTGGCGGAGGTTTCGATGAACTTGCAACCGAACTGGCGGGCGAGCGCTTCGCCCTCTGTTATGAGAGAATGGTTAGCGATGTAAAGCGGAATTCGGCATGGGGTTGAGTTTAGGCTTCAAAGGGGGAGTGGAGAGGAGGTAGAGAAGGAAACAATGGAACATACCCTGCTCGGAGACCACACGCTCCTTTTCCAAATCGCACTTGTTGGCAACGACAATGATGGGGAAGTAATCCTTGTCCTTGACGCGCAGGATTTGCTGTTGGAAGGTCATGATTTCTTCGAAGGATTGGCGCGATGTAATGGAGTAGATGAGCAGGAATCCCTCGCCGGTTCGCATGTATTGTTCTCGCATAGCCGAGTATTCCTCCTGGCCTGCTGTATCCAGGACATCCAACAAAGCGACTTCATCATCGATCACACACTGCTTGCGGTAGGAATCTGTAGACGGAAAAAGGTTCCGAATCAGCGATGTTGTTCAACGGAAGTCAGGCATCCCTGGGAAGACGCGGCGCGCGGCTGATGAAACGGGGGAGGGGCTTGGTGCTCACCTTCAATTGTTGGATCGTACTCATCCACGAAGTGACTCTGGATCAGCTGGATGGTCAAGCAGGACTTGCCGACGCCACCACCGCCGACAACCACCAGCTTGTATTCTCTTAGGAACTGTGGATGAATCAGGGTTAGCTATTGGGATGTCCGGAACTCGTAGCAGATTGGGATCAAAGTCACCTTCGAGGCCATTATGAGTTTCAAATAAAGAAAATGAAACGAGAGAGAGATATTAAGGCGATAAGAAAGGGATCGCAAGACAATTTAGAGCGAAATCCACCTTGGGGAAAAACAATGGGAGAGTTAGGGGGAGTTCGGAGGTGGAAGGTTGGAACGGGAAGAAATAAGAGAGCTTCCGTTCTTCGTTTCCTTTTCGAGAATTAGTCTCGAAGGTCTGGGGTAGAATATAAAATCAAAATCAAAAGTGACCTGTTTTCCTTTAAGATAGAAAAAAGAAGAAGGGAGAGAAGGGGCAAAGGGAAATTCAGGAGATAGTGGGGAGAAAATGGTGATTGGGCCAGAAAAAGGGGACATGCGCGCCATTGAATGGTGTTGGATTGCTTGGATATTTCCTTTGCTTTTTTTTTCTTTTATTTATTCAGTCCTTGAGTTCTATTCGATTCTACTTTTCATTGTGCCATGAGATATAATCGTGTTGTTGCTCTGTTGTTCCCCTACAAAAACAACCCCCTTTCTCAATCCCCATTCCGTGCTATAATAGATGGCTTTGGTACGCTACTAAATTGTGTCTCTCCAAGGGGATTGATTGGCTTAAGCCACGGCCCCATTGAGGAACGTGCAATTAACGACAATATATAGCGGAGATTATCTTACACCTCCTTTTACTCGCAATCTACATTAAGTTTGCAATCGCTTACTTTGGTCATGTCTACTAGCTATAAATTATGTATCCGGAGAACCAGAAGTCCAGAAGCCCAGTTCCTAAGTGGATCTGCCGTCCCGGTGGAGATGGGTCCCTCTTTGGCGCTTTTAGGGCCTATGTCCTAGATCATACCAGTGATACCAGTTGGCTTCAGACATGCAATTCAGATAACTCAGTGTTGGGCCTCAAATTGTATAGTTTGCTCAACACCGCATATTTATGGCCTCTTATACGCTTGGATTGCCTTGTATGGCTTGCAGGTAGATGCCTGCCTTGCATCATTGCATCATCCCGCCGCAACATAATCACCTCTGTCACTTTTGGTGATTGGATATATCGGAAAAATTCCCATTCTCACTAACGTCCCACTTTTGGAACCCCCATCATAGTCAAATCATCGGAGCGCTCGATGCTGATCAACCATGTTTTTATTAATCCCCATATATTCTACTCCGTACGGAGCACTAGGGTCTGAGTCACGCCGTTTTTTGACAGATGCAAAGCTGCAGATCGGGAGTTTGATCCGTACCATTTCCCGTCTTTTCTCCAATCCTCGACTAGGCCCAACGGCTACTCATCGACTTATATGATCATTGACAACAACCCCGCGACTTCAAAGTTGGACCTCGGATGTGTACAGAGTCACATTTAGGTGTGGGTCACCTCGAGCTGGGTAACGATCGTCTATAACACTTCAACTCCTTTACACTCTGTTAACTTGCCAATTATTGACTTCGGACGTTAAAGCAAAAATAAAATAAATTCTGCTCTGTCCACGGTTTTTTTCCGGGCGCGATGCCTGTCTTGACCTAAGCGCGACTCTGTTGATTCCTTTCCCATGGGTGACCGGAACTCAATTCCTGCCCGAATTGTAAGTTTGAATCTCTCAAGTGTAAGAAATGACTATAGGAAAGAACCGTCATATTTCATTCGCGAGCTGACATGGGCTGACATTCAAATTTCAGTGTTTTATTCTTAGAATCCGATAATCAGTAAGGCTGCATCCGCTTCATTTCCACTGTGGGCCGATTGTGATATGATCTGTCAAACGGACGGTGATTGATCATGACTCGGGGGACTATGCATCTGTTAGCATCCGGCAAGTGGTACGAAGTGTGTTTCAAGGCAATGCTTGAGGGGAACTATGGAGCACGATGGGATGAGACCGAAAATGAGCCGCATAAAGGGATGTGATAGGAAGGACTATTGGTAGAGACTGTGCAATATCTGACAAATCCACAGGGGTCACACAAACGTGATACATACTGAAATATTTTTCTAGAACCACACCAGTTGCATAGCGTGGATCGACACATATCTGTTAACAGTCAAGGGCAATTTGAAATCGAAGCATATGAACAGCCCTCAATATTGAGTCCTTTTTTTGCAGATAACAGATCGCTAAATGTGGGCCCAGAATTGCAGCTGAACTAGGAGATAAAAAAGATCCGATTTGAACCTGGTACTCCGTATTCCGTACATGCACCAGAATCGCTCGTCGGCTAAGAAAAAGCCCGAGGTTGAATCGCACTTAACTCAACTAGGAGCCTAAAGCATCGCCAATCGTTCAATGTGCCACAGACGGTGGGGGTACAAGTCCCTGGGCACATGAGCAGAGTGTGATGAATACAACGTGTCCAATATGTCGGAAAATTTAAGTATCTGACTCTGAAGAAATCACCGATCACCGATCACCGTAACGCCTGCATCGTGGAGATAGAATGTGCGCTACCCAACTCGTGCCTACCCAACGCCAGAGGAGACCAAGCAAGCCCAACAAGCCCGAAATCGAAGATCCCGAGGATCAGCCAATCATCTCCAGATGTCTCTTGCAGATCTCAAAGTCGGTGGACTCTATGTCATTCTCCAAGCCCGTCAAGAACCACCCGAGGCCAATGAGTTCTACTGGGGCCTGTATCTCCACTCTGACTCCGTTGGAGGCATGGCATATCACGTCGTAGATATAGGATCAGGTCTAAGACCCGAGCATGAGTATACTGGTCGAATTTTTGATACTCCCCTTCTTACGGGTCTATTCCGAATCGCCGATATCACTCGTCCCCTGCATCCGTTTGTCGACAGGGTGATAAGGTCTTACGACAGCAGCCTCAATTGCCCTGGACGGAGCAGTAATAGCAAGTTCTGGGTTTTGAATGTCCTCGCACTACTGATCCAACCAACGGTTACGGGATGGCTTCCAGTGAACTGTCATAACTTGCCGATCCTGGAGCAGGAAATCCGCGATTGGGGTAATCGGATGTCCCACGGGAGATGTATCTATCAAAGGCCCAAACCAATTGGATCTTCGACAATCTGCGGTTTGCCAGAGTGGAAAACACAGCGTGAGTTACCCATTCCCCTCGGCAATCTCGGCGTGGGGGAATTATGGATTGACACAATAGCCATGGAATAAATAGCCGAACATCCAATCTATTCAACCAAATGATCCAATCATGCGAGTAGGATCTCTCGGATCGAGTGCTGATCGGCCAATGTCCCTCGTGTTTTCAAATTAAGCAATTGCATATGATACCTATCAGTTTTCCAACCTGGTCTATTCAATTCCAAATCTAAAGCATACCACTCTTAGCCATCGTAGCCCGCTCTTCATGTACCACAACAGCTTCCGCCATAATATCTCTCGGCGGCTCAAGTCCAGTCCAAAGTGAAAACTGGTCGAACGCCTGTGCAAGCAGTACCTCCACACCCGTGACCGTGTCCCACCCTTGATTCTGCTGTGCTGCCGTCAAGAGTGGCGTCTGTCTCGGTTTGTATGACATATCGACACACAACCCCCGATCCCCAAACAACGAGGCGAACTGATCTTCTGTGGTCGTCTCTGCGGGTACAGTGCCGATGATGATTTCTGGCTTCTCCAGAAGATCCTGAAGACTTGAGATAACCTTGATGTCAAACACGTTCTTAAAATCGTCTCTGACTTGCTCGGCGGTGACCAAGGTCCGGTTTACAAGGTAGATACGTTTGACTCCAGCTTTGTGCAGCGCGTAGAGTGCGGCTCTTGCGGCGCCCCCAGCCCCGAGGACTAGTCCGGTGCTAGCTTGTATTTGTGTCTTTGTTGAGTGTGCAGCCATAATACTGTACAGACCAGACCAATCTGTGTTATCGCCGGTAATTATCCGATCGCTGCCACTCCCTTTCACAATGAGAGTGTTGATTGCACCAATTAATCGAGCAGTTTCCGTTTGCTCGTCGCAGAACTTGTGAGCTTGGAGCTTGTGTGGCATTGTGACACTCGCTCCGCCAAAGGAATCTTTTGCGATTAACGCAGCAGCGCCGTCAATGCTGTTGGACTCGTAGATTGTGTAGGTAAAGGGAAGGCCATAGTGATGGAAGCCTGCGTTGTGGATGGTAGGTGAAATGCTAAACGATATCCCTTTTCCGAAGATGTGGAAGTTCTTTTCCATGATCGTATGAAGTAAATGGCATAGAGAGCAAGAAAGACAATTTATTTCCTATGCTATAAACTAATGCTCGAAAGGGATAGGTGACTCGAACTATATATCGCATCGGGTATGAATTTAATCGACTGCGGAATCCATCACCGTCAACACGGATAATCTATATCCGCATAGATGTCACAATTCCAGTGTAAGAAGTTCAGTGGTATTTAATAATCTGTCAGTAATCAGAGTATCAGGCTTAAAGTCACATCTTGCTCATGTTGATATTCCCTTGACCGAAAATGACGCAACAGTCCCAAGAAATGACCCTCCACCTGGTGGGATTGGGTGTCACCCACTCCATCGCTTATAGCATGCACAACTATATTGCAAAATCTCTCGGTCTCCCCTGGACATTTTACTCAACAGAATGTCCCACAGTTGACGATCTCCTCAAGGTCGCCAAGGCACCCACCACAGCGGGGTTAGTGGTGACCATGCCATACAAGAACTCGATCATGAAACATGTTGACGAGCTGGATGAACTGTGTTCCATGATTGGAGCTTGCAATAATGTGTATTACAAGAGCGGTACTACGCGACTCATGTGTGGTACCAACACAGACTGGCGCGGGATCAAGGGTTGCCTTTTGGAAAAAGGCAATGAGAACGAGAGGCCCTCGGCGAATTCACCTGCCACGGCCTTGATTGTGGGAGCTGGAGGTGCCAGTCGCGCAGCTGTCTATGCACTGTCTATGCACTTGCATTGCCCGACGATTTACGTCTTGAACCGCGACGGCCAGGAAGTTGCCGACCTCATCCACGACGCGCAAAAGCTGGCCAGGGTCCCGACGATCATCCATGTGAAAACGATCGAGCAGGGAAGGAAGCTGCCCAGTCCTTACTACATCGTTGGAACAGTGCCAGATGTTGAGCCGCAGACCGAGACCGAAATCACAGTGGCTACTGTCCTTGCGTCATTCCTGTCGCGGCCGGATAAGGGTGTTCTGTTGGACATGTGTTTCAAGCCGCGGAGGACAAGGATGATCAAACAGGGTGAAAAGCTGGGATGGCCTTGTGTGGAGGGGACCCATATTATTGGGTACCAGATTGAGGAGCAATGGCGTTTATGGGCTGGAGAGGAATATGCCCTGAAACTGGACCGGGAGGGTGCATGGGATGTCTTGCTCAAGGCAGCCGAAGAGAGCAAAGGAATTAATTTTTAGCAATTGAAGAAAGAGTACTATATACATGCTACATCTTGATCTCCCTATGGCAATACTGAATTTTACGGGACAAATTACTTTATTTATTTTGAGGGTGTGCGCTATGAGTCTGATGTATATATATAATGGGCGCGTCTCATCGGCAATGAATTCAGCCGTCCAAATGATTACCCGCACCCCGCAAACAGGGTATACTTATATCTGTCAATCTTCTGTACAGACAATTTACACAAAATAGATTCCATTATGCCTGACTTGCACTCTTTACCAGAGGGAACTTGGCCTGAAAATGCCTTTCGCAACAACGGACCAGATAACCTGGTCCTCGAGCGAGCAAAACTCCGTGAGCTAGCTGAGGGATGGCCTTGCTACCGGTAAGAAAAAACCTACAAGATTATATCTTTGAGCTCAAGCTAAACAACAGCTCTAGTGACGCCTGTGAATGGGAGAATTTCGAATCAATCTTCCACCCAGGTGCATACGTCTATACCACATGGTCTGGCCGAGTTTCCTACCTGGACTTTATGGCAGCCTCCAAAGCTGGAATGGATAAGGGTGCATTCATCATGCACCGATGCCACGGGGTAACGACCGATATAACCCCGGACGCCAGTCGTGCCGTCACCAAGATGAAGGCGACTATCACGCAGCGATTCACAATCGACGGAATAGAAGTGGACGCGGAGGCGGATTGCCGCTTTTGCTTCTTCTTCGAGAAAGTTGATGGTCGCTGGGGTGCAACATTCGTGAGGCATTGGTATGAGAAGGATAAGCTGTTGCCTGTGATCCCGAACCTGTTCCCCGAAATTGACGTGCAGAAGCTCAACTCTTATCCCGAGGGATATAAGTGCCTGGCATATTGCCAGGAGCTTACCATGGGTGTTACAGTGCTGCGAGATATGCCTGGGCATCGTCGAAATGCTGGAACTATTTGCGGGGAGAAGCATGATTTATTGTATCGACTTGCTAAAGACTGGTTGGATGGAAAGGAGATCGATGTATAGAAAGTTGAGATGCCGTGGAACATATATTGTGTATACTTATATACAGCAGTCCTCAGTCTGACATAATTACTAGAAAGATCAATCGAGCTGAAGCCTCTGCTGCAGCTTCTTCCAAGACGCGATACCCCTCTGCGCATGCTGATCAGGTACATTTTGACCTTCTGCGGCCATCGTTCTCGAGAATAACTCCATTGAGACCCATCCCTTGTATCCCAATCCTGAAATAATGCTTTTTGCAACCTCTTCAACTGGCAGATATACTCCACGGTCCTCCTCGTACATGTATGCTCGCGCATTCCGCGACCAGCTCATCCGCGCCGGTTGGCCTTCTACATGGAAAGGGTGACCAGGAACCAATGGCGATTCCATCCTCTCTGCATCCACAACTTGAAGATAAAAGACTTTTGCAACATCGATCTCAGTAACCATTTGCTCGAGGGACTTCTTTAAATCGGAATCCGCATTGACTGTCTTGCCAGTGGGCGAGGCCGGATCCGCCCACACTCTCCCCGCGATATTGAAGGTGTCCAGACAGATGCCAAAATTTGGTCGGTCAACTCGCTTGACCACATCCCAGGCTCTCTCCCAGGTATCATTGAACGTACTCCAGCAGAGGTTTTCATACGCATAGCGGACAGTAGGAGTTTCGGCTGCGCCCATATCCGCCAGTTGCCTCAGATCGGCAACTATGATATCGATTTCATCGGTGATTTGGTCTGCTGGGAGGAAATTGGCAGGAATCTGTATGGTGTTGGTGTTTAAGCGTTTAACGAGTTGTAGCCAGAGTTTCATCTTTTCAATCAGCTTTGCATGCTGCTCTCGATCTTTGAGTCCCTCGTAGAAGAGGAATGGTTGCAGTGTGATGATATCGAGGGCGTAAGTTTGGCAGATTGAGTAAATTTCATCTGCTGCTTGGAGCAGTTGGTCGGGTGTCGGGGTGTCGTTCCCAGAAATCTGTCGTGCGAGATAATCGAGGTCTTCATAGAAGATTTCTATTCCTTTAAAACCTGCCTTTGACGCCTGGCCGATCTTGTAGTCAAAATCATGGAGCCAAGCTCGTCCTAGGGAGACGCTCATAATAGCAGGCTGGTATGTCATATTGTATTTTTGGAGGCTGTTTTTGACAATGAATTGGAGTTGATGAGATATTTCCATACAAGATGGCATTAGAAAGTCAGAGGTGATGCTACGAGGGACATTCACCCGCTCAGTTGCGGGGATAGGTTAAGAAATTGCCCGTGTCGCTTCAGATTTTAGCCGTAAGTATAGAGGAAGATTATACGATCAAATACAATGAGATTCTATCGTCATGACGGATTCTTTGTAATTATAAACTGGATTCCAAGTCGACCAGCGAACTAAAAAGACTTTAACAACAAGTGGGAGATCATTTTATATAGAAATACCCTTTGTTGATAGCCTCTTCTTGAACAGCTCGCTGCATGACGTGCACCGGTGCTGGTCTCTGTGTAAAGAGCTCGTATTGGACAATGCCTTGTTTGACAAGAACCTTTAATCCATCGACGATGACCCACCCTTTCATTGACCAGGGAGTCATCTGCTCCATCAAACAGGTCTTCGACGGACCGTAGCCAACCTAATGAAGGTGTCAGTTGCCTAAGATGGCCAGAGGAAGAGAGGCAAAAACAGCTTACCTCAACAAATACTCCTCCCGTTCGACTTCCAAGCCAGCTCTCAGAGACTTGAAAGATGACAGGCAACTGAGTGCCAACATGCCTCCCAGGAATGCAGGAAATCAAGATTGTTGGAAGACGGAAGTCTGATGGCCAGGGGTCTTCTACTGACTCGAGAACATCTAAATGAAAGATCCTGTCCCCCTTGGACCTGGCCCATGCATTATAGTAACGGGCCAGCTTTTGGGCGTTTGAAAGTGTTCTGTTGTAGATAAAAATCTGTCGAACTCCTAATTGATAACAGGCATACACAGCAGCATGGGCCATTCCACCAGCGCCGATAATCAGAGCCGTACTACCATTCCGAACTGCGTTTGCTGGAGAGAGGTGACTGTGAACGCAATCTTTGATTCCGATGTAGTCCGTATTGTATCCACGGTAAAAGGGAGTCCTCACTCCATTCGACTGAATTTTGTGCTCGAGTACCACGGTGTTGACTGCATTGATGTCTCTGGCGTCAGGACTGATTTCGTCGAGCAATGGCAGAACATCATTTTTGAATGGCAAGGAAATGATTAAACCACCAAACCTGTCATCAAAGGATGGTGCCTTCAACAAGAGTTCAATTTCGCGAAAGCTTTGGATCTCATCGTAGTCATACTTATGGGGGAGCCCACAGGAAGAATAGGCTGCATTGTGCATTGCAGGCGACAGACTATGACGGAGATCTTGGCCCACAATCTTGAACAACTTAGTAGAACGTAGAGACAAAGATTTCAGGGCATGCTGCATGTCTTGCAGAGAAAGTATAGAGCCTTGACCAGGACTGACTCGTATCGGGGACAAGGTCGGGTTCAAGAGGATGGAAGCTCGCTCGTCTGGCTTGGTATGATATGCGATGACTGGAATATTGAGAGCATTTGTCAACATTTGGCGGAAAGCAATGCAGGAAAGTGCGTCTTCTGCAACTGCATGTTGACCGGTGATGCGAAGAGCATCGAACCCCGGGTCTTCCAGCCACGTTCGAAGATTAGGAATATGGGAGCCAGACATCTCAACTCCTAGAGGTCCCTTTTGGTCATATAGGGCGATCATTTTAGAATGACCTTTGGTAGCATGAATTCGCCGAACAGTCTCTTTATTTCGGAGCACACAAGTGAAAGCATCAGGAGCTACCCGTGGTGCTACCATTTCCAAGAATTTCAAATAGCTTGTCGAGTCCCTCTCTGTATCTGTTTGTGCATCAAGGATTATTGGGATGCGGGTGTGTTTCCTGATAAACGTCATATAGGCCGATAGTAGAGCCAATATATTATCACGACTATATTCCTCATGACTCAATGTCAGATGAATGGCATCAGCACCTGCATCCAAACATTCGGGGTCCAGATTCGCCTCAAACAAGGACAGGACAAGGGCGTATGTATGAGTGGCAGAAAAAAAATCAACCGAAAAAAGCTGCTTGTGTGAAGTGCCAAATATGCGATGTAAAAAGGCAACAAATATACGTTCAACCTCTTTCAGTTTGAGTGGTGTGTGTGTCTGACTCTCGGCCAGTGGACTCGACTCTTGCGTCATGTTGAAAAAGTCAAAGTTGGAACATGACTCGAAGAAAGCATTCTCAATGTGAAAGATGTGGTCAAAAGTATTCGGGTTGATTTCTATAAAGTGTCGAAGGTCTGTTTTGCTTCTTCGCACATACACAATGGGATGGTGCTGTGCAAAAGTTCCCAACAATTGCCGCTGAGCCGGACTGCCTGCAAAGCCAAGGCCAGCAATGACACAGCCAGTTTGATACTTTGTGAGAATATCATGAGACACCTCTATCTCTACTTCGCGATATCGCCTGAACCCATGTTCTGCAATAAACTCTTGAGGTGAGAAGTGGAATTGGCCTCGGAAGAATGCGTCGAAGTCAATAAAGCGTCGACGAAGAGCAACGGAGGCAATGAGTCCTAGAGTTTTCTTGCCAGCTCCAAAATGTCCAACCAGTAAAATGGTAGCATCGGCGCTGTATCGTCGAGAGCCAGGGCCTTCTTGTGGACCAGACGCACTTGAGGGAGATGGTGACTGTGCTGCTGACATATTTACCGCTCATATGAACGCATTGAATCGATTCAGTCTTTCTTCTTTCCTCTCATGATACCATTTGTCACTCAAAGGTGAGGAAGTCGTTGCCGTTGAGTTTCGGCTAAAAGCATTACCGATCACGTGGTATAGCAAACGACATCAGTTTTGATGTCCATGAAAGGTCGAGAGCGAATGGTGGTTATCTTGTTATCGATAAAACATGCCTAGCCCTCGGCCTTCCAAACGACAGCGAATTTGCCGGGCATGCGATCAATGTCGTCGGCGAAAGTCCAAGTGTGACGGGGGACAGCCTACTTGCTCCATCTGCCACACGGCAAATCGTACTTGCAGTTATCAAAATGGCGGTGGGCGACGAGGCTTGGCCCCTGGATATGTTCGAAGCTTGGAAACAGTCCTTGGGCTTGTTCTGCAGCATGTGCCGAACAGTGAGAGAACAGTGCATGATCTTTTGACAAAGTCGAGAAACAATGACCACTTCCTCTCTAGAGATCCTGCAACAATCTGGCGACAGTCCCGCCTTGTCAAATATTTGTCCAGATTGATTGAGAATGATTCTCAAGAGCATTTAACAACAGCCGCTTATGATGAATCAGAATGGGATACCTTGGAGACAATCAACACAACCGGCGTGGTTACTGCTGGTACTGAGCCTGCAACCTCGGGCGTGAATGAGCCTTCCATGCCGCAAGAAATTCGAAATGCTGGAACAAACCAGCCGGATTGTCTGTTTCTACCGTTTCCACCGGATACACTCAGCATGCTAGAGAATTATTTCACATATACGCACTGCTGGTTCCCAATTCTGGAGCGCCGTGATCTATTTCGGACAATGCATACCAGTCTCGGACCCGAAGCTAGCCCAAGTCATGTTTCAAGCTTAGTTCTGTGGGCAGTCGTAGCTTACGAATCATCCACAAAAAATGGCACAGACTCAAAGCAGCCAGATCCTTTGCGAATACAACAATCAATCTGCGGACGAGTTATGACTCATTCGCCAAATTTGGAACTCGGACACATACAAGCAGTCATTATTCTCGCTCTCCTCCAGCTGAGGCTAGGTGATATCAAAAATTCGTGGAGGCTTGCTGGTCAGGCTTCCAGAATGCTGGTGACTTTGCCGATGACTTCTAAGAACAACCGATATCGTAATACTTTCCATGGATGCATTCTACTTGACAACATTTTGTCCGCTGTTTTGAACAAAGCACCGTGCATGTCATTGGAAGAGCAACAGAAAGAAGGGCCAATCAACGAAGATACCATAGAAGAGTGGGATGTATGGTCGGTACCCCAACGAGCTTCAGAGGGTGGATATCAAAATACGCCCAAAGGGCCCCTGCGAGCCTTGAGCATTTTTAATAGCCTCCGTCAGATCATGATGTATCTGGCTCGAATCTTATACATGTCGACCAATCTGCTGCGCGCAGATGAGCGCGAGTTGTCAGCTACTCTACAAGCCGTTGAGGCCCTACAGAAAGTATCTGTTGAGAAATACCCACACACCAGAGGCTCAGAGTACAACAATCCCTCATTACTCACATTGCATCTCACATGCCTCTTTGTGAAGTTGGATTCCTTGAAAAGAAGCCCAACGCATGACATGACCGAAAAGGCCTTGCTTGTCAATCTTGTCCAATCCAGTATTAATTTGTTGGATAGATATTTGGAATTAACTGGCGCAGTACATTTATCACCCCTCCTGTGTTGCTTTGCTCTACAATGTCAGCAGTGCTTTAGTATTGTTCATCCTGATATTGACTCAGATGAAAGACGGGCCTTCGAAAACCGACTTCGTTTGTACCTGCAGAATTTGGAGGCCGGGATGGGAACTCTCCAGAGATTTGTTAATGTACAATCTACAAGAGTCGAGAATGTTCGAATTGACGCCTTTTCTAATGGGGTTGTCCACCCACCTGATTTACAAATGTTGGAAACGCACCCGGAAAATTCCATCATTGCCCCAGCGAATCCCGCTGTCGATACTTGTGCTATTTCAACTTTGCAATCACCGGCAGGGATTACTTTTGCAGAAACCGAGGGATTTGATGCCTTGTTCGAGGAAATGGTCACCTCCATTCCGATGAACAGGTATGTGGCTTTTTTCTCAAATGTTCATCCATACTGACGCTGTGTAGACAACAACCTCTTTTCGCTCAAAATCTAGGCTTTTACGCTGGTGATTTGGATCAAGACTTTTTGGAGCAACTTCAACAGCCGGCGGACGGCTGACCTCATAAAGCATCGGCTATATACGTCTGACCCGAGGGTTAGATGATGATTGATTGAAGTGATGTTCAATTTTCTGACTGCGAATAAAAAGCAAGAGCCGGTATCATGAAAATGTGGAACATACGTAGCGAAAAAAACCCCCCGAGGATTCTTGCCAGCCTTTCACGCCAAAGATGAAGCAAGGGAAAGCCAACCCAAACCTGCTGATGCTGCTTCGATGCCTTTGGTATCCTTTTGTGGAGGATAGCTGACGCGAGCCAACCTTGATAATTGAACCGCGAGCAAATGCTCTCTGAAATAATAGTCCAGGCCACCGACCATGTGAATGCTGTGATCAGCACCATTACCCCCCTTCTTCTCTCCCCAACACAGCCTGGGGCCAACAATTTCATCTTCCATCTTCCCAGTCCTGCTTCCACTCTTAGCCCACACACGCTTGGTTTCATACAAAGTCTCCCAAGCGATACCAAAGCTCCCAAACATCCCACTCTCCTTCTTACCCTCTGCTGCAGCAGTCTTCCAAACGAAATTGCGCCCCCCCCGTACTCAAATCGTCGCGGCGACCAATCCTTTCTCTGGGCCTCTCCATCCGGAACCTCAGTTATTGCGCCCATATCAGGGATTGTCCGTGTAATCATCCGGAAAGTACCTCCTTTCATCTTCTGTAATTTCACACTCGTCGCTCCGATTTGGGGTAAGAATTCACCGGCGCGTCGGAGGACGGTCTCGACGATGGGTGCTTCGTTGCTCCAGACGAATTGAAGGGCGTATAAGATGTGTGTGTTTGTCGAGTCTTTGACGAAAAACCAATATGAGCGCATACCCAGATTGACAAGCTCCGAGGAATGCGTGATCCGATAAGTGATCGTAGGTGCCGACGGAGAAAGGGTCAGCGAGAAGAAGGGGCGTTGCGCGGTGTCGGTATTGAGGAATGGGCGGATATGGGCTGGAGCTGTGCTGATATCCTTTGTAGATTTACTGGGATCATCTCCGTGGAAAGTATTCAGATCTCTCCGGATCTGAATGTTGAGAAGTGTCAGCAATTTGGAAGAGGTGTGCCACGCCCCGGATGTTGTGGCTGACCTGGGTTAACGACCAAGTCTTCCCGTCCTCGATCTCCATTTCCTCCATCGCATCTAGGATCGTCGGAGGCAAGATTATATCATCGAAGCTGCCTTTGCGCTTTAGATCGTCGAGATAGGCCAAGCGTTCTCGATGAACTTGGACCTGTCTCTCGAACATTTTTCTGTTGATTTTGAGGACATTGCCTTTCTTGTATACCTTGGTTGCTTCATCTAAAATACTAATGGCGCTCTTGTAGACTTTAATGGCTTCATCGTAGTCGCCTTTGCGTTCCAAAATAAAGGGCATGGCGGCTAGCTTATAGATCTTATTGTTGACATCGATCTTTCCTGCCATTGCTGCGGTAGCGAAATAGTTGATTGATGTGAGAAATGACTTGTCTGGTAGTAGTGATGCTTTTTATTCTTCAGGTGGTGGGAATAGTAAACCTTTGCGGGATGGTGCAGATAACCCTCCTTTATAGAGAATCGAGGAAGTCAGAGCTCCTTCTTGTAGTCTACGCCAAGGCAGAAATATGCCTTGCCAAGGGGCTTCTAAGCATAAAATCAAGCCTAAATGGGAGCTGTTTGAATGTGACCGCTGTCACGAACGACTGTACTCGAATCAGGTTGCAGCGTGGGCATCCTTCGGAAGAAATATCTTGGAAGTTTGGTGGGAAGTGATCACCTGCAGCATCAGCCACAATGGTAGGCTGTCTCCAATGCCTTAGGCTATTCAGTCGAGATAGGCATGGTTGGCTCGTGAAGAGAAGGAGACTAGCTAATCGCTTAGTTTTACTCTATTTGAAGCTTGGCAATTAGCTTCAGCCAACCACCCTGTTAGCTTAGCGGACTTCCGGTTGGTAGATACTTTGGGGCACAAGGCTACCCAGCGAGGCAGCTTGCATTTCGCAACTCGGGGCTCACGGATGATTTTCAAAATGTTGTGTTTGCGGAGCTTCGGACCGAATTGAAGAGGCTTCAACGCGGCTATCGATGGATGTGAGTAGAAACAAATGATCAACGAAAAGGAGCTTTAGAAGACCACTTTTTGAACGACGCGGTAATAGCGATGGGCATCAAAAACAAAAATAAAATCAGTTGACCCTGCCGTCTGACTAAGGTCTTGACGGAATGAATCGCTCATACCTAGGGTACGCAATATTCCGTGTGTAGAAAAGTAATTTCCTATCTGGCAAGAATCCCCACTGCAGATAAGTGATCTTGAATGCTAAAATGCTAAAATGGCTATCAACTCGAACCCAACAAAATTGGTCAGCATTGAGGAATCCGGGATAGAAGGGGTTGAGGCTGAAGGCAGTCTCAGTGAGGCACTCTGCTAAGGACTAGCTTGATGCTAATTTTCAAAGATCCACCACTTTGTGATATGAATGATACAAATGTACTAGCACACACCTTCAGGTAAGGAGATCTCATAGTTGGCTGGAGAGTAATTTGCCCAGACAAGAGAGAGTCCAGATTCCCACAGACATCCATCTTTCATCTGTTTCATTTGGCTGAAACCTGGAGTTCAATGTATTGTGCCTCTTAATTCTTAGGGGCAAGTTGCCCCTTCGGAGCTATTTTTGCAGTGGCTAAAGGGGTTCAGATGGCCTGATTGGGTATAGTGTAGATTTCATCGAGACTAGCCCCACGCTAATGCCCAAATAGGTTAGACAATATCACTTGATCCTTCAGGATGCGAACAAAGCAGCCAATAGGAACTCTCCATTTCAACGCCATTTATGCATTATCCCAATTAGCTTTAGACTGGGCCCTGGGACCTCCAGGGCTGTTTGCTGCCCCGAAATAAATACCATGAGCCATGGCCCTGTTCTCTCATATCTTCGCAAAAAGTCCCCTGTCGTTCGTTTGACTATACCCCCACATTCGTTATATTAACTCTATACAACATGCGTATCCAATCTCTCGCTGTTCTGGCCGGTGCCACTGCCGCGATCGCTGCCGAGACAGTCACTCTGTTCCTCCCGGGCTTCGATGAGCAGCGCATTGAGGGCAAGGTCATTGGTACCGTAAGCGCAACCATCCATCGATGAATGAATCCTGAAAAAAGCTAATTGATATCTATTCCAGTCCGGCTCCATGACCCAATACTTCATCAATTGTCCTGCCGACGTCGATTCCGACGAATGTGGTCTTCCCCCTAACGGCATGACCGTAGCCCAGGGCTCTTCAACCGTCAGTCTAGGATACAAAATGGATCAGATGTCAGTATCTAGCCCTGCAAACAATCCACTTCTACTCCACAAGGCATAGCTGATCTTTTCCTGAAATAGTACGATTGCTGAGAGCTGCAAGTACGATTCCAAAACTGCCGACTGCGGCGCAACTTTCGATGAGCATGGCTCAACCTCCACGTTTACCTCTGCCGTGGCCCTCACTGAAATCCCCGGTGGCGCATTGATGCCCGTTACGATCACCGCAACTGAGACTGACAAGGCTGCCGCCACTAAGGGTGCCTCGGCCTCAGTTTCTACCGCTGCTTCGACTAGCGGCGCTACTTTGACCACCTCCGCTTCGACTACCAGTGGCACCAGCACTGGCACTAGCACTGGTGGTCCCTCGGATAGCAGCAGCGCTGCCGCTACCAGCCAAACGGAGAGTGGCAACGCTGCTATGCCTATGATTACTGGAAACGCGCGCTGGGCTGCCGGTGGTGTTGCAGCTGTTCTGGCTCTTGCCGCTCTCTGATCATCTGGTCATGTTTGCAATGAGGTTGGGGGAAAATAACCGTGACTTGGTTAACGTCGCTCCGCCTCAATAATAGATGTGTACATTTCTCATGTATACTATGCAATATACGAAGCATGATATCTTTCATTAGGCCTTACGGACCCAACCCGAATCTATATTGTGGCGATAAAATATGTTCTTCGTATTGATGCGGCAGCACGTGAGCGTTCCGGAATATGTACACTGAGCGCTACAAGCCTCTAAATGTTCATTCGAATTCGTGGCGTGCAAGTTATGACTTGCGGTGCAAGATACCAGCCGCAGCCTACAGAACAATTAATACCTGTACACAGGAAAATCTAACTGCAAAAAAGAACTTACCTGGTGGCTGGGGAAGACCAGGGTATCGGCGATAACAACATTCTCACGACGCCCAGCGGCAAAGACTACAATCTCCGCGATGTCATCACCAGTCAATGGCTCGACACCCCTGCCAATGGTTAGTTACATTGCGTGTTTTGGTTATTTGGCATGACTTACTTGTAGACAGCATCAGCCTTGGACTTATCTCCATTGAATCGCACAACGGAGAACTCCTATTCATAGGTATCAGCATCATACCAAAGGTAACTGTAAGTCTTTGCGATAACCATACCGTCTCAACCTGACCAGGGTCAATTTCAATAACACGAATCCTCGTGGCGATGAGCTCCTTTCTCATCGCATCAGTGAAGGAACGGACAGCAGCCTTGGTGGCGCAGTAGATGCTACCGCCAGAGTAAGGCTCGCGACCGGCAATGCTGCCAATGTTAATAATATCACCACGGCCACCCTCAGAGCGCTTCTTGAAGATGGGCAGGATGGCCTGGGTCATGTTGATAAGACCAGTGACGTTGGTGTCAAACATGACCTTGATATCCTCGGCAGCGATCTCAGGTGCCTGGGCAACACCCTTGACCAAACCACTGCACGTCTGATATCAGTATCAATCTTACATATCAATCAGTTCAACTTGATGTGGATGACTCACGCATTGTTGACAAGGACATCAATCTCTCTGAACTCCTCTGGCAGGGAGGAAACAAAGTTATTGACCTCCTCCGGGTTGCTGACATCCAGCTTGACAGGGAGAACTTGGACACCATCGCCAACCTCCTGCTTGATCTCTGCTGCGACTTCCTTCAATGTATCGATCCGGCGCGCGGTGATGATCAACTTCAGGTTTTTGGGCGACGTGCGGGCGAACTCCTTGGCAGTGCTCTTTCCAATGCCCGACGAGGCACCAGTAACAACAATAGTCTTGCCTTCGAGACGCTTTGCCATTGCGGAAGCCATGGTGCGTCGAATAGAGGTTCGGTAGGCTGTGAGAGGGAAGGGGGTGGGGTTTGCGGAGAGAAGTGAGGGTTTAAAGGGATGGGGGAGTCGCAGGTGTCCAATTGATCTGATACACGCTCGTAAATAGGTCATGGATCAAAATTTCCAACAGAAACGAAGCGTCGAAGCCAAAATAAATAGAACAATCACGAGCTGTGCGGGGGACTCTGGCGTCATTTATTATGTAAGCACATACAGCGCGGCAAGAAGGCCGATTCCTTATCTTACAATCGGACTACGACCAAAAGGGAAATTTTACTCGCCGTGCAGGAAATCGTGTAAGTGATTGTGTAGGTTATCCGGACCCTATGTAGAAGCTTTAACCGGACGCCTAAGTCGTTCCTTTTTGTTTACTGCTGTTGTCTCATACTGTACACTGTAGATATAAATACAACGGAGTCAGAAACTCGGAGATTGTGAGGAAAGTAGATAACGTAAGTGCAATCTTAAGTAATCATGAACTACCACCAGGGCAAGTTTGGCAGAAACTATCAGCATGCACGAAGCGGAAGAATGGTTGAACCTTTGCGGAACATATATATGTGGTAATTTCCTAGGTACTCACGCCATTATACAGCACATATAATAATTTTACCCAACGTGCACATAGCTTTGCTCTACTAGTTTGAGAGTTGGCAAGAACTAGGCTATTTTTGATACAAGAATCATGTACATCTCGTATGAACGTGCCATACAATAGACAACTTTATAGCACAAGCTTTACAAGTTGTAGCGCTCACCAACACTCCTTTCTATGTTAAGCATTTGACATGATTATTCGGGGGCAATGCATGTAATGTGGGTTGTCTCTGAATACATGTCATGTTATTCTTTGTATATACTGGAGGATGGTCAGAATGAGAGACAAAGCCTCTTCTTGTCTCATTGAGATTGTTAAAGAAACGGGGTCCCTTTGAAGCCCTAATTGGGGTGGTCATCTTGGACTTAACAAAGAACCCAACACACTATAATGATAAACAACTTGAGACTCGTTATAACTGTACAAAGATAAAATGAATGCCATTGTGTTCACTTCCTCGTCGGATGTCGATAAATAGTCCTAAGCCCCGGTCACTGCCCCCGATCAATCTAATATATAGGCTTGAGGATTCCCATATAGCAGTCTATAGCAAACACTTATTCCTACTCACCTGAGACTATTTTGTGAGCTTTGTTCAGGCAAAAAGAGCAAAGCACCGCGTTCCTTCTATATCCAAGACAACACAGGACAGCATAAACACCACGGTAACCTAGCACCTCTTCCCAGAGACAATCTTGCTTACCTTCTAACATTTGCTTCGCATATACATCGATCTAAGCACTGCATACCCACTTGCTATTTAACAATTATATCATCAATATCAATATTGCGAAACTCTATCAAAATGCCGCCTTCCGTCAAGGTTTGTTATATGGATCCTCTGCAAATTGTGCCAGAGCAGGACAGAAACTTACATAAATCTTCTTCAACCCAGACTGCTCCACTTGACGAGCTTTTTCGTCGTTGTGATTTTGATTGGGCAGAGGACGCCGAAGAGGTGGCTACGAATACCTCCAACACACATGAATCTCTCAACTATTCTTTGCCAGAGGCAAACCTTCACAATGAAATCCATCCCATTCCTCGCCATCTCATACAGCCCAAGTATAAACCATCACTTGCAACTATTGACGAAGAGGTGTGGGATGAGGCATGGGGTCGGGGTTATGGGTCGCCTCCAAGACATGGCGAGCTGGATGAGGATATACTTCCATCCAGCCCCAACCCGGACTTCAATACGGTTGCCGAACATGCGCTAAACAACATTTTTGCAGATAGACAGGCCTGGATTGATGTTGATGAGGGAATACATCACTTTAACTGGATGGGTCTACGGGTGTACACCCACAGCGCGACCTCCCCATCCGATTCCCTTGCTATCATTTTAGCGCAACCGAAGAACCCACAGGGAAGTGAGATGTGGCGGATTCACTCAGTTCTCAACCGAGCCTCTCACTATATTGACCCAGTGCTTGTACTTTTGGATGGCACAGACGAAAGTTTGTTCGAGCTCCGGGGCACGAAGCTTGTACGCGAATCGACCGGACGGGTCTTCAAGTTTTATTCCCCACATGGAAAATGGACGAAGGATGAGAGCGACAGAAACGACGAAACAATCACTGATTTTGGCAGCACCCAGACATACGAAGAACCAGATTTGGCTGTCGGCAATGGCTTTGTGGAGTCTAGTGTCATTCGCTCACTATCCCAGTGGCAGGAGTGCCGCGATGAAGCTTTTGAGACATCTGAGGAATTGAGGCGGCTTCCGCGGAAATTAACTTGGGAGAAAATGCCCTCGCCTTTGCGACAATGTGAAACAATTCCAACCCCAGCAAGCTCCGAGCCATCATGCCATCAGATCATCAATCAGGCCAAGAGACCGCCTCGTAAGATCACCACCTGTGTTCTCGGAGCACCCAGTGAGGAATATTTCTCTTTCCCGACTCCTACTTTTGGTCGACGTGGCCTAACCAGAAAATCTCTTGACAAGGCTCGTCGGGGATTACAATCCATGTTTAGTTCGCTGAAGAGCACCTTGTATTAGTTGGTTGTATCCCTTTCCCCTCGTGGTTACCTTTGCTTTGCATTAGATTTCTGTCCGGCTTCTATTGCTTTAACATTCAATTCACATATGATAGGTCTTACGCTTCGATTGCTCCTTCTTTGGGATGGAATCAGATTGAGCTCAACTTTTGAATTTGCTAAGGGTCAACTCCCGTCTGGCGGGCCATTTTGATGGGTTCGGTCTTTGAATCCCCATCTGGCAATATATTTGAAATTTATCGTTGAAAATAGTTAGAAATTGGAAAAAAAAAAAAAAGAACACAGGCGGTGTCTCATAGGTCGTGGTTTTCTCTTTCGGTATATTCTATCTATCAGCCTGATTTTGTGCAGGTTTCACATCTCGGTGCGTGCTAAAAGCCCATCATCCTTTCATTCTATTTTTGCTTTGTACAATTTGTTCAATGGTGCAGCGTGGTACGTTTATATGCACGCAATACCCGGTCAAAAATGCCACCGTCAAATGAATATTCATCAAATCCTGTCGCCATAACTAAGGTAAAGCAATAGATTCAGCGTTCTTTGAAATCCCCAAATTGGTATGAGTATTGCAAGCGTGATTATGGTAGCCGACTGTCTAAAAGTCTTTGACTAGAGCTGAAGCTTATTTTGATGCTGATATGTCTATACTCTACACTAATTTACTTGACAAATTGGCTATAAACTAGAATTGGGCTTTGGATAGACGTCTATATACGCAGCCGCGGACTTGAATGCTGAAATGAGACTTGCGTTCATCAAGACATGCTTGATGCGACCTGGTAGATTTAGAACGGGTTTCAATCATATGCCACCATTTGCAACTTGTGTACAAAAAAACACCTGTTCCTGAAAGAAGAAGGCTGTACTATGGCGGGATAGCTCTTGATTGAGTCTTGTGGGTGTTCTATGAGTGTTGCATATGATTATGAAATTACAATTAGCAGCCGCATCTTCCACACCTTCGACCTAATTGTATTCACATCGGCAAAGAAGGGCCTATAGAGAACGGCGTCTACGCTGAAGAAGATTCATGTAGGTTTCCATTGCCTTTTGACGGGTTTCCCAGAGTAGATACATCACAAACCTCAGCTGTCCACACGATTCCGGTGTTTCAGGCGATGGAAATTGAGGGAAGGTAACAGAATCTTCATGAAGGAATACATTATTTGTGATTGATCATTGCATTTGAAAAGTAAAGAGCCTGAAAGATGTTGCCGGTAGTAAGGCAAGCTGTTCTCCTTCATCCAGAACTGGAGGTCAGTGATCAGGCTCTCAACTGACTGCAGCGCACTCGAACGGAACTCAGGAATGAGGTTGGGTGTGAGCATACTGCGGACCAACTCGCCGTCTCTGGAGGCCTTTTGTACATCAGAAGCCCGGTAGTGACATCATGGGACTTTATCGGTAAGACATAGGCGACGATAGATACAAGGAGAGCTATAAATCTAACTGCAGCCAGGAGCCTTCTCAAAACAAAGCTGTCAACAAGCCTATATCCTGACGCTATGGTCATTCTGGCGGCGAGATCTTTCGGCACAATCACGTTGTGACGAAAGTCCATGCTGGTGTATTTAGTCACTTTATTTAATCTTACTCACCGGGGCTAGGGATTGGTGCGCTAGAACCAGTCGCCAATTGACCAGGACCATGCGTCAATGAGATATTAGTTATTGCGCACGAATCATACTCGTTGGCCGGGGTGACAGACTGAGTAGCAACCGTCAGCTCGATATTTCTGTCGGCCGTTTGGCATCTTGATGACAAAACTCACAGGCTCATTCATCTGCAGGATACCCTCACTATCAATACCGATGATCAGGAGACGAGATGATTCCAGCTCATGCAAGTACGTAGAGATAATTAGTATTCTCCATGATAATGAAATATAAATAGAAAACAAAAGCCAAAGCAAAAGTTGCTGAATGGGTTCCAGGAGCAAGAGGTTGCAAGCTTTGAGGTCAGTGGGGCTAGACCACTGGGGAAAGTGGCCGAACTAGCAGAACTGTTCTTGGTGCTGGGTGAATCGATGTTACCCCCCCTGTCAACTCAGCTAGAGACAACATGGTCCGCTTTGCATAAGCCCGCCGCCCGTTATTGATAGCCAGACTTCGTACTGCTGGTGGCACCCGGCTTGCGGAACGGTCATTCGCCATTTTGGAAAGTCGTCGTCCATCCAATTTCCGTAGGGCTACACCCTGGGAAGGAGGCTGCAAGCCTCAAGCTCGGTGGATCTAGGACCCTTCATGGGAAATCATCCCAGTGGAAAAGATGTTTTTAGTGATCAGGGGTTGCTGGATTGCAGAAGCTAGTTGATCTCGCCATGCCATCCGCTGGCATCGAGTGATGGATGGATCATTCTTGAGAATGTAACTACCAATCGCAGATTTTGCTAGTCCTGGCAGCTCTGACTTCCTCTCGTACTATTTCATAATGAAGAATTGGTATTCGATTTTGCTTTGAGAGGCCGAAATGTCTCAAAATCCCACATGTGTCAATACATGTATCTCAACGGCCTGGGTCCGTTTGCTGTAATTGTGGTAGAATATAATTGGTTCCACGAGGAAAAATATTTATGAATTATAGAGGCAGGATGGAGATGAAGCACAGATTGAGAAACAGAGAGGCGAGGGGATCTGGTTGCTTTATGTAGGCTCTGATGCTGTGGGTACCTTAGGCTATACACGTTGTTCCACCGTTTGACAATCCCCTTCCACTCACTGCTCAGTAAAGTTCATTTATCGTGTAACTCATTTGTGTTTTGTCCTTGATCTAGTCGCTGGTGCAACATATACTAGATTACACTTAGAAATCTGTCATTGGCCAATCTATTCATCAAGGAACTGCGCCATCCTTTCTATACTAAGTTTCCAGGGCTCCGTGTGCCCAAAATACTAGATAGGAGTTGTAAATTTTGATCAAATCCTTGCTGTGCCATGTTCGTTAATAGTTTGAGCCCAGTGGCTAGCTTGAAAGCGAATTATTGCCACCCGGTACGTATATAGCTCCTAAAGTTAAACCCACAGCCAGTCGCAACAGTAATGGTAGCAGCTCGTGTGATAAAGCAGCATCTCCATCAGTATGAATTGACTATATTGTTGGCGAGCGCATCAATAGTGATATAAACACAGGAATGAGAACCAGGTCAAGCTTTAGGGCTTTCCTGAAGTGAGCCATCTGACCTGGAGTAATGGGACTAGCATCAGTATTGACATATGAGTGTGGATTTTACTAGAGGTCATATTTAGGAAAAATTGGCAATGAGGCTTATGATGAGTTAAATCCATTGAAATGGTAGATGTGTGGGATTATAATTGGTGGTCCTAGGGACCTGTAGAGTAATGACATTATATATATATATTGTTTGGGACGGTGAGTCTGGTCCTTTGAAACGTTGTAAAATAATATTTAAAATAATATTTGTGCGGCGTGTTAGCGTCGGCATTTCTTTCCAGAAGTCTGTCACGTCAAGATAGTTCTGAATTATGATGTTCATTTATTTCTTTGTCTTCTCCGTTTGCATGGATTGAGCCAATGGCTTCTTGAAAAAAGGTACTTAAGCTTGGCTAGAACTTTACTTATTGATATATATAATGAGTTATGGGCTATAGCAACAATATAGTTAGTTGATAATGATTGAGATCCTGTATCAGCACAAGAGCCATATCAGGGAGAAAAACACTGGGAACATGGCCCACTAACTTTCTCTCTGGTAATACTATGTGCAATTCCCGAGCCTAGGAACGACTATAATATCATAAAAGCTTTTTGAAGGGTGGGTTACACCTGCTAGAACCGGGCTGGCACAATGGTGGATTGGCTAATCCTGAACCTACCTAGTTATCGGCATACAACTGATGTTCGACCGGTATATCATATATCCCATCCTGCGAAGAATTTATCTGTTCGACTTTCAGAAGTTTGTCCGCATTTGGCACATTTGGTTCGGATATGAAACTGTGGACCTAATGCTATACGCCTATTGTACCATATGATATGCGAAATGTTTGTTCGAGCATAAGCAATTCAGCAAGCACATAAGGAGCAACATACAGTGGAATCATTTTCTACCTGGTTTGTTTAATCTATCAAGAAAGGCCAGAGCAGAGTCAACTGGGTCTGACGAGGGAGCTACTCAAAGGTGAACTATGAGTAACTACGATCTGTGAGCAAAAATAAAATATCCAAGCATCTAGCTTCAAAAGTAAAGTGAAATTTCATGACCAAGCAGATGGAAATAAAGAAAAAGAAGAAAGAAAAAGTTCAACTCAGAAAGTACAGCATTCCCGGAGCCAACAAGATATCACTTTGCAAGTGAGAGCATCCTGAGGAAATACCCACTTTAACCTCGCCTCAACTCCCCCACACTCAGTATTATTGAACACGAAGCCAAATGAAAATTTCTTTTCGGTTTTCAATGATTAAACGACAGGAATATGTTTGAAAGAAGCCCATGAGGGTTGAAAACAGTCTTGATCAAGGTCCATGCCTTCCTCAGGATTACCCCCACGATACCGAAGGTGAAACAGGGGGAATGCTGAGGAATAGCGCCGCCAGGGGGGTTCATTTTCAGTATTCCCATGACTGCAATTGGGCAAGACACAAGGGTCTGGGTAATTTGCTTTGTGATCTGAACAGCCTTTTGGGCTGCTTTGCTTACGCAATCAACGACAGGTGCGCGGGTGCTTAGAGGATCATTTACCGCTGGCTGCTTATCAGTTGATGGTATGGACTCGATCTTAAATCTGGAAGGAGTCGCCTTCCAGGTTAGTCTGCGTGGAGCACAAGCAGGCTTCTGGGTAGCCGAAACCAGGTTATCTCGCCATTCCATCCACTCGAATCGAGTGATAAAGGGTCCATTCTCATGAATGCCATTAGCGACTACAAAGAGTTGTGATGCTAGCGGGACACCAATATCAGGGACAGTCATTTTTCGCTTGGAGAAGTCATCTTTGATCCAACTTCCATGTATGGAATAATGGGTGTAGGTAATGCCATCACATGCGTGAATCATTGCAGATCCGTGCATTTGCAAAACTGCTTCATTTTCCCGGTCTGATTTCAAGATAACGGGATCGATGTAATGAATTGCACGATTCAGAATGGAACTCACACGAAGCTCATCCCTTCCCTGTGGTACCTTGGGCTTGGCTTGCATGAAGGCGAGGGAAACTGCCGGTGGGGTGGCGGTTGATGAATAAACCGGCTGTCCAAACCAGTTCCAGTGGTGTATTGTTTCTTCTGAGCCCCCAAAAGTTGAACGGTATTGATACTCGTTCGTGCACACTTCAGGATGAAGTGGTTCTTGCTGCTGAAGAGGCTGTTGAATTTGGGGTGGCTCCTGGATCTTGGTGGAGACTGGAACCTCGAGTCCCTGAAATGGGTCGATGAGTTGTGTGTAGTTGTTGACAGCTGGGGTCATGGTTGAATTTGGAACAGCAACTGACACTGGAGGACTAATAGCCTTGGGGGACGCGGTAGAATATGGAAGCTCGTGCCGCTGACATAGATCGACGGGCTGTGTGCATTTGTTGATAGGTGGAATTTCGACCATCCCTAGTCTTATGCCAGGCGATGTAGCAGCAAGTGGGCTTGAATGATCGATTGTCTTTGAGAGATCGGTGGAGTCAGGGACCTCGAGTCCGTGACATAGCTCAACGGGCTGTGTGTAGTCATTGATAGGTGGAACTTTTACCAACTCCGGTAGTATGGTCGGCTCTGGAGCAAGAAAAGAGCCTGATTGAGGAATGATATGGGAGAACTCGGTGGAGGATGTGAGCTCGAGTGATTGCGACGGGCTGACTGGATGTGGGGAGTCGACAGTCCCGGGAGAGAATTTAGTTAGATCGTTTATGTCAGGTCGGTGGCCCATAGAGAGGATATCCTTCACGTCGTGGGAGTCAAATGTATTACAAGACAAGAGGTCACTGCGTGCATTGTACTATATATTGAAGTTCGAATCAGTCTCCGGGATCTCAAAGAGGTAGGAGATCTGGTAGTTGGGATAATTACCAATCTGCACGTCGTGACAGAGTGATTGAGGACAGGAGGAAGCTCATGGTCAATGAGGTTTGAGCTATCATCGAGGGAAGCCTCAAAATTGCCCTCGGTTGAGTAAAATGTTTTTTGGTCAGCCTGTGGAGCATAATAATAATCAGGATTCAAGGTCTCAAAGAGGGAGGGGAGCTGGCAGTGGAAATAAATACAAATTTCAGAGCTGCTATTGGTTCCTTTGCAGCGGGATGTTTATTGTTTGTATTGACAATTTGTTTGTCCATGGCGAGTGCTTTGTCTTTCATAGCAACGTCTTTCACCAAATTGAATCGCTCGGGAGCAGGGGGGCGATTATGCTTCTCGTCCTATATAGTATAAACATTGTTAGAATTCAAGGTCTGAGCAAAATATGCCGGCTGGTAGCAAGACTAAACAGATACCATTTTGGTGCTTCCAGAAATAGCTAGGGATTTCTTTTTCAAGGCGATGTTATTCTCAACGTCCTCCCACCAATCAAATGTGTCTCGAGCAAGGAGGCGCTTAACTTTCTCGTCCTATATAGCATATTTGCTGTTAGTACTTGAGGTCACAAATGGATAAGCAAGATTAGAGTTGGGTAAATACCGGTTTGACGGCCGTGATAAGGACAGTAGAGGCTCTAGCGATTTCGTCTTCGACATCTTCCCACCAGTCAAAATTACCAACCGCAAGGAGGTGAGTGTATTCATCGTCCTAATTAGTATGACTCTATCAGTATATAGTAAATAAAGAAGATAGAAGCGAGGATAAGTACCGGTTTGGTCACTGTGATAGGGACTCCGGGGGTCGTCGAAGCTTCAGTCTTACGATCAGCCTATATAGTGCATCCATCGTTAGTACCAGGTGCCTTGAAGTATAAAGTTAACTCAACTCGGGGCTAAGTACCATTGTTGCTTTTCCCATCAGTCGTAGATACGATGACTTTATGACTTGAGCGAACGACGGACGACTCGAAGGGATGATGAATGACTTGATAAATTAATGGAGATGGATGAAATTCGAGATGATAAATGACGATAATAGATTATTGATGAATGATGATGTGCAAGAAGTATGAATGAAGAAGTGAGCAGAGGCAATTGCTGAGGACGCCTTTTATAGTGTTGTAAACAATCCCAAACAATCCCAAAATACAAGGATCTCGAGCACGCACTTGCGTCTGAACAAACATTCACCTCAAAGATGTCATTCAGCGACTGCCTTGTATTGGGATATCTGTGTTCATATATAACAAGCCTCGCCGAAACAAGGGTTTGGATTTCGATGTTCTTGGAGTACATGTAGGGAAGAGTTCGACTATTGACCCTATTAAAGCACTATTACACAGAGAGGACCAGTCAGTCAAATGGAAAGACTGTAGTATATAGAGCGGAGTGAAAAGGTATGAGTAAATTATTTAGTTTTAAGCATTTGATAAATTAGAGTTGGTGGAGTTTCAACCCTACCTAGGTAGATCCAGTGGATACCTAGTATAGAAAACTCCGCGATTTCCCATAGAGGAGACTTTTTAATGAGAGTAAAGGCTAAGGTCAAAATCATTATGCGGACGATGTTGACTGCAATTCTAAAAATTCGACGATTAGACGACATCCAAACGCGAATAATGCTCAACCTTTGCCAGTTTCATGACTGTCCTTTTTACATTGAACCCCAAGATTCTAGTATGTGCTATAGGCCTTATTCGACAGGTTTCGTGAGCGATAAGGATTCTTTTTGTATGTTCTCTGCCTATACCCTTCGGTAAACTTATGTTGACGTTCATTACTCGTTCCCTTTTAGTGTGATGCTGATGGGAGGAAAACCACCAATTTAGCAGATAGTCTCCTTTCCTACTTCCTAGAGTCCCAAGCTTACAACTTAACCAGGAACTAAACATATGTATTTCATCATGAAGAACATCATACATAGATGTTGTATTGATATTCTTTCATCGGATATCATCAGTACCGTCCTCCCAACCATATCTCCATCAAATCATAATCGCCACCAAATTATCATCCCCATCAAGACCCTACGTTGTGTCTATCAACCATCTCCCGTCCAGAGTCATCGCAGTGACAATGAGTGCAATCCCAGATGTAGGTTGTCTGGTTCTTGTGATACTACTGACGTTTTTTAATGAATGCTGATTCTAATATTTTCTAATATAGACCAAGACTCTGACAGATCTGCCCAAACCGGCCCCATTTAACTGAGCCAATGATGTGGATGAGGCATTTGGTGCCTCTAACGCCGTACCCCGAACTGATGCTCACCCTATCACGCGGGCCGTTGCCCAGGCCATCGCTGAGGTCAAAAATGTTCATACTGCGAGCATACTTCCTTACCGACGAGCTCCTATGTTTGAGCCTTCACTTCCTGCAATTTATGAGGAAGGTTACTACGCCGTCTCTTAGAGACCTTTGAGCCACAGCTTGGTGGACGAGCTTGGCAAAACTTTAAGATTGTCCTCAGGTCTTGGGGCGGACTGAGAAGAACAATCAGCACTCCGGATTAAGCAGCTATGGAACTAAGAGTGATACAATGAAGGCTTGGGAGAAGGACAGCTTGTCTATGATGCAATTGAGCACAAATAAAACTAGTCAACTCAGCAATTTCACAGCCTCTGACCTCGAAGACTCTTACAAGCAGGCTGGGTTTGCTCAAATTCCCCTTTGAAAAGGCGAAAACGAGTGGGGGATGATTTTCATCAAGATCTGGTGGAAATTCGAATATCTACAGGGTGGAAATTGGAATTATGTTGGACAAGGTGGCTGGATTACGGCTTGATCTCTATCAGTTATATTCCCCTAAATCTCAATTAGATATCACATTACGTTAAAGGATCAAGTATCTTGGCTTCTTTTTGCCAATGTGCAGGACTATCTCACTTGACTGACAGTAAGATATTCGGCGAACCCTCGTATGAAATTCACTCTGGATTTAAACCTATATTACTGAAATTTCTATAACGTGATTTTGAATTGTATTGACGGCTTATTTCAAAGAGGGCAATTAAGAGTTTTGAAGCAGAAAAAGAGTTGGGGAAATAAATAAAAGGGTTTCTGATTACAGAACGTATCTAAACGCTTTGTTGTCGATCTCAGTTTTGTCCTTTCACGGTATGAGTTAGCGTACTCTAAGGCTTTTTTGAAGTCAAAACTCACTAGCATGCCGTTTTCAACACCTTCTGTCTCGATCTCTTGACCGTCCATTACTTCACGGTCCCGACGCTTGTTCTCAAGGTACATGTAAACATACAAAGCGACAATACAGACCAGCTTTACTGAATATCCAGCAAGCATCCTGTATCAATTCTGTCAATTGAGTGTTGTAACCAAAAGAGGAACGATAACATACGCAATGTAAGCACTGTGGTACCCAGGGGCTTCGCTGGACTTGAAAGTCTGAGGTCCAATTATATTTCCCACGCAGTATCCAGTGAATAACAGAGCACCAGTCACTTGCTTTTTAGTGTATCCAGCAATGTTGGAGCTAACAATCGTCAGACTCATGCTGAATCCCAAGCCTTGAAAATAGCATAGCCAAAGTGCAACAAGGCGACCCCATTTGTTAGTGTTTGGTAGGCCGACAAGAAGCCCTGATCCGATAATACAAACCGTGCAGGCAAATATCATGCATGCAGATCGTGAATGAAACTTGCCATCGAACTTTGTTGCAATATAACCGCCCATAAGGAGCGTGATGAACTGAACAGCACCGCCGGGAATTTGCAGATATTGAGTTCCAAGAACATCAAATCCGAAAGTTCCGACGATGATGGAAGTAAACTGTTTGAAGATTTAGCTTGGCTCGCATTCAACTTACAATCAAAGAAAGACATACACTGGTTAATGCCGAATTCGGGACTTGTGCACCAATTGCCATGATGAATAAAAGCCAGGTCTTCGGATCTTCGGCTGCTTGTCGGACCTGATACCATTTGAATTGACTACTCTTAACGCCTTGCCGGTTGATAGCAACACGTTCAACAGCAATAGCTCGCTCCCGGTCGCTGAGAAATCTGGCAGTTGAAGGAAGATCGGGGAGGAAGACTAGGGCAATAGCGCCTACCGCGACGGAAAACGCTCCAAAGATGAGGAAAACATACATCCATCGCGGAAGTCCAGTGGTGATATGCCCAACTGCATAGCCAATGAGGCTTTGTTTGGTTAGCTTTCCATTTATATTCCAAGTAGAACTGGATAAAGGTGGGTGGTTGCTCGTCACTCACCCTCCAAACATCGTGGCAATGCCATTAGTGCAATACCATGCCTCTAGTCTCAGTGGTTGTTCCTCAGATGTATACCACATGCCGGTCATAAGAACAAATCCGGGAGTTACAACTGCTTCAACCATTCCTAAAAGAAAGCGGTTGATTGCGATTCCAGCAAAGTTGTAACACGCAGGTGTTGTCATGAGCAACCCACCCCATACTATCTGCATTAGCACAGCTCTAATATTGTAGTAGTATTCCACGCTCTTATAGAGTATCTCTTACTCAATGTGGTGATGGCAAGGAACTTGCCAACAGGTAACTTTTGCAATGCTAATCCGGCAGGCCATTGCGCAATGAGATATCCGAAGTAGAAAATGGAGCCTGATTAAATTAGTGACCTGCGCTCTAGATAATCGGGCTTGAAAACTCACTGAGCCATGAATACTGTTGTCCTTTCAGGTGTGTTCCTTGCTTTAAGCCGTAGACGGACGCGAAGTTGATGCTGTTTTTGTCCAGATACTGCATGGGATTAGTGCTTGGGTTGCAACGGGCGAGACATGGAATATTCCCACCTGCAGCATGTAGATTAGGAACAGTAAAGGAATGAGGCGTATATCAATTTTGCGCAGAACCCTCTTGGCTTCTTCTGCTGTGTATTCCAGACCTTGATGCCGTTTGTAAAATTCATAGTTCTCGTCCCGCTCTGATGAAACAGTTGATAGAATAACAGGCGATGCCCCCGCTTCAACTTCTTTGTGCGAGGCCATTGTCTCTATTCTGCTTGGTCTTTGAGCATCAAGAGGTTGAGGATAGAAGCAAAGATAGAAAGACGCAGAGATTTATAACACCTCGCACTTTCGGGCGGCACGGCTCAGGTGGATAATCGTACGGAGCATAACAAGAGTCGAAGCTATGGCCCACGCATCCTAACAGGAAAGGCTGTATGGAGAAAGTGGAGATATAAAAGTCAAGCTAAGCTCTATGGGTGTTACCTTTGTGATGCTACAAACTACTTGGTTCGGTGAAGCGCGCAAATGAAACGTCAATTGTGGGTTGATTGGGAACTCGGGCGTTTCGAATCGCCCACTCAGCACGCTCTTCTCATTATGATATATTCTATCCGAATACTCTTTCTAGAAGTGACGTGACTTATAGTGCCGGGTGGTCTAAACCAAGTGGGTGGAGTCGTCCGTGAATCACGACATCACTGCCGCAATTGCGCGTTTCTCGGGCCATATGAGCAACATCTATCTAGATCTCTGTCACAATTGGCTAAGACTCGGAGATCTGCTGTGACCGTAGAAGAACCAAAATAACCCTGCAACATAATAATTTAATTGAAATGTCGATTCTCTGCGGAACTTGAGCGAGACTCGGAGCTCAGCCGATCATGAATATGTATTTATCTTGGCGCGCACTGTGTGTGGTATTCCACACGAACTTTCAGTGAAGATCGAGATCCGGGCAAGAAGTCATTTTATCTGCAGCATAGAAATTGAAAGTTTATGCTATTTAATTGAATGGCGCAGTAGGTGAATTTCGCGGATGTCAAGATAAAGATGACCAGATTCCGGGGAACCAAGGTTGGACCTCGGAACCCTCCTGGGCTTGAGACCAGGGCTTGGTGCTCGCTTATATAATCACCGCTGAGCCTCCGGGGCCCCTCAGTTAGACGATCACGTGCCTTGAGTACCCCATGATCTATCGTCTAGATATGAGTCTTTTGAACACGACCTGAGGGGTAAATTTCCCTAAAACAGGTTAAATTTAGACCAAATATATTAAGCCCATAATAGGTAAGATAGATATGAAGCAATTGCCTTCTTTTATAAGGTTAACAGGCCCCGAACCTAATGCATGTACGGGTGTGGGTCGAGTGGGTTTTGGCGCACGCTCTGAAAACCTTTCCCAATTTGTGGCCATTTGTTGAAGTTCGATCTATATACATGCGGGTGGTATCATCTTCCCGGTCGCGCTGGTGGCCGCGCTGAATCTCGGTATCGTCGTCGCGTACATCACCGCTTTTTTGCTGACCTTTCCATAACAAATGGTGAGAGGCCATTGCTGTGATTGCATGTGCAATATGAGCATCCGGCTGGCCAAATTTATATGGCACTTAATTCAAAAACACACTGCGCAATGAACATATTTTAATAAAGCATATCAGATTGTGTCAGCTCATGTTGACCTTGATGGATTTGAAATTATATGGGGTAAAAGTGGTCAAAGACACCCTGGTCAACCCCGATATGTCATCGCCAGCCGGGCTCGCGACTTTCGAACGCCGAGTACGACCGATATGCGGATTAATGTGTCATCGGAAAATGCCAAGACTTAGTTATTCATGGACATCACAAAGCAAAGCAAAGAAATGAATATAAATTCAAACAGATAGTCTTTTCATTATTTTTTTTCATCAATGTGGTTCAAAGCTGCCATCATGGAGACCGTTCTTGTCATCGGAGCTACTGGAAATATCGGCGTCTCTGCTGTTACCGCTGCCTTGCGCTCCAAGCGCAATGTTCTGGCTGTTGTCCGAAACCAGAGCTCGGCGGACAAACTCGTAAGGTACATTGGGTCATCGAATGGAATCACTTTCGCCGAAGCCAATGTTCTGTCGGACTCGGGGGTCAAGGGTGTCGTCGACCAAGTCCGAGAGGGAAAGCTCCCGGCTTTCCAGCATGTCTTTTCAAGCGGTTAGTTCTGCACAGCCCTCTTAAATCAATATTTACTGACATTTGGAAGTTGGCGGCGAGTACACTACAACTCCACTTCCCCAGATCACCACCGCCCAGCTACGCAAGAATTTTAACATCTCATTTGAAGCAAATTTCTGTAGGCTTTCCCAGTCCTCAGCTCCCTACATCTTCTGACAAAAGGGCTCCAGTTGCCTACAGAGATACGATTGAGTATCTGCTGGAACAGAAGAACCCTGCTAGCACATGGACGATTTGTACCGGGTCACAAGGTGACTTGGCAACTCACCCGGTGCCGGCCATGACGCAAGGCGCCTTGTTTCCCATGACTACTGCCGCTGCACGTGAGAACGAGTCCACGAATGTCCGTTTCAATGAGATCTACCTTGGATTCCGCGTCGAGACAGATGACCTTGCTGTGGAGCATGGGGTAACGAAGGCATCGGACTTTGGCAATGTCTATGAGATGATCCTGGCCAATCCCGAAGTCCGTAGCTCACGCGTACGGGTCGACGATGTTGATGATCTCAAGAAGCTAAAGTACCAGAAAAAATTCTAGTCGTACTTGACAAATATGTGGGAGAATTATGTATCAGAAGGATGATAAAGCACGAGATGTCCGGCTTCAGAACTCTGGGACCTTAACAGCTGGTGAAGGCTAATATTATCGTGATAGCCTTCATTTTCCCTTCCATTTCAACCTATCTGCTTCGTTTATCTTCGCCTTTTTATTCATCAGCCCCAACGGGGCTTCAATGTCATCTCTCGGACAGATTGCCATCTAGAGGGGTTACACTTCTTCGCCGTGTCAGAGCTTGATACCGTGGACATGCCATCTGATGTCAATAGCACGGGGGTTGAAATGTAGAGACTCGGCGAGATTTGGTCTATCATATGTGGTTCAATGACTTAAATCCTAACTATGCATTGGTGGATTCCATAATACCACCTTCTTCCCAATTATAAGTTACGAAGTTATAGCCCCAAAGATAAATGCTTGCCTTTCTGATGCGTCAACTTCTTGGGGGGTAATACAATAGTTTCCTGGTGCCAATCCTGCTTTATGAGATTCAATCTTTCACAATACTTCAATCAGAAATCACCAGGCCCCTTTCCGAAAAAGCTTCCTTTGGGAACAGTCAACCAAGGGACAGAATTTGCATCCGCTGTATTTGATCCCACAGTGTTTCCCCACCAATTGAAAGTGATAGCGTGGTAGCCCAACGCGAAGAAAATGATGATTGTCGCGATAGCAGTGCCAGTATCCATGGCTGCTTGGAGTAAATCTATCCCAGACTCATGAGTCAGTCATTTGGTCTCAGTAAGGCGAATTTGGGAGAGTAGGATCTCACAGTTGTAACGCTTCCACCAGTCAAATGCACGCTTGCGAATCAGATAATTGAAGACAAAACCGACTATGAACCAGAGGGAATATTGGGCTATTTGGTCAGATTAAAGTAATACCATGATGGGATTTTCGAGGGACATACTGGTGTTTGCTGGAGGAATATTACCAGCCGCATTGAAGAAGATTGGAACGTTGATGTAGCGAACCCAGCTGTTTGGATAGCGGCGGTAAGTGAGGTACACAAGCACAGTAACAACGGGCTGAAGAGTTAGTAAGCAATAATGATAACAAGGTATTAAAAAGCTTACCCCTATGAGAAAGAAGTAGACAAGGCCATTGTACACCTGTCCAGACTGGAACATCCGTTGAGGACCAATGGTGCCCCAAATTAAGGAAGCGTTGTACATCACTTTGGCACCGTTGCACGTGAAGCGTTGTTTGTTACTCGGTTCACACAGCTCAGAAATGTGTCCCATCATCCATCGTAGTACTGGCCTAGTTAGCTCAGGGTCTGATGGAGAAGTAAGGAAAAAGGTAATATACCTCCAGTTTGAGTCGCTGTAGCTAGAATACTAGCATAGATCTGACCGAAGAACAAAACACGCGGAGGAATTTTCTAAATAATTAGTGAAAATTGACGAGCAGTGAGTGAAAGCAGCTTACCATATATTGCCCGAGCTTCAAATCCTGAGCAAAATCCATGCCGTGTTTGACTGCATTATACCCGTAGCACTTCACCATCAGATTAGCGATAGGCTTTCCGGGCCAGGCGTATCCGGCGATCATCTCCGTGATGATATTCAGGAACACGCGCTGATTTGTCGTTCCTTGCAAGATACCCTCAGGAACAATTAGAAGCACTGCTAATCCAAAGCAGACCACGATGAAGCCCCAAACCGGCAGTTCAGTGTCCCAGTATTTGGTCGTCAAAATACCAAGTCCCAACACGACCACCGTGAGGACTCCGTACCACCATTCTGGAACCTCTTTATATTGACGCATCAGCCGACGGTGGACATCCTCACCTCCATGTTGTGCATTTTTGAGCCTGGCCCAAATTTCAGTGCCATTGTAAAGATAGGTGTGCACCACGATCGCGGTAACAGCAGCGAAAGATAGTCCATAGGTCAGAGAATAAGACATTGAGATATACATAGGGGAGTATTCCTTGTACTTGCTCTCGCTAAAGTCTAGAGATGCATCGAGCACACGAGATACATTATATGAGTTTCCCGTATTGTCGAATGTGCCTGAAGAGAGGAGAGGAAGACTAGATTATCAGTATATTAAATCCCACTCTATCAGACTGGGAACTTACTACGCGCTGTACCACACATTAGAGTAATACAGAATTGGCGATAAGAAAAGGTAGAAGAACACGACGACAGCAAAGGCGTTGCATGTGATATAGAAGGGGGTCATGAGGGGGAAACCGGCGTAGTTGATTTGTGTCCAGTCAATGCTGATAGGTATCAGACCTAATCCGGAATTCATCTAAGCAGAATGTGGTTAGGTACATAAAGGAATTCAGAAATTTGCTTCGACTTACTCCGAATATCGTGTTGACCTTCTGGTTCTGAGGCGCAATCCACGTCACAAAAGCGAATGTGCTCAAACTTGTCCAGATGTAGTCCGGGAACCAGAATAGCACAAATGCAAACGCTGTGACATAGGCAAAAAAGCGGTACCGACTCATAGTCCAGCCATTGGCAGGCGTACGGCTTTCAGGCTCGTGTAATGCCCGAAAAAGCACAGTGGATGACAGAGAAGTAGGCCAGACCAAAGCAGCAGGGTAAACAATCCAACGGCGGGCGAGGCCTGTCAGGCCAAATCTAAGAAGTCTCAGTGAGCCCATAAGAAAATTATATCAAAATGAACTCACCCAATCATTTGGGTTGTCAAAAGGTATAGAAATGAGAATCCGGCTCCAAGGTCACGGTTCCAATATACAGGACTGACAATTGCGACCAGGGCCCCTTGCGCGTAAGCTGTGGTGGCACTGATGTTGACACACTATTTTAGCACGTTAGAAGTAATCCACGGCAAGATTTGCATGGTATGAAAGGTCTGCTTTTGCTCACAATAACGATGAAGGCATGCTCCTTAATGGTAAATTTTCCTGGGTTGACATCGAATGTAAGTTTTCCAAGGGGAACCCTCCATCGTGGAAGCTTCTCCCATGCTCGCCCAATTGGGAAAACGAGGATTTGAGCCACAACATAGCCTATTGTGAGGGAAGGCTAATAATTGTTAGTAAATATCAGTCGACGCGATTTGAAACGTACATATCGCAGGCCGAAAAATTGATTGACCCCGGAGAAAAGGATGACAAAGACCGTCATCAATATCCAAGCCCGAACAGCTGTGATAGAGTGTTAAGTCAAAACACTTAAATGAGGTATTCAATAACTCACTATTGCAAGCGATGGTGGGATCATCTTTGTTGGACACACAAGCCGCAACCTCCGGAACTAACAGATATTAACATCGGCTGTTGGGATAAATGTATCAACCTACAAGGCGACTGGTCACCCTCCACATTCCATTTGAACGCCTCGACCGGCGTGAGTTCTGTGAGCTCTGCTCTATCAGATTTGTACAGCCATTCTCCAGGGTCTTGATTAGTATGTTCGGATTCGAGATCTGGCGCCCGTGCCTCGGATATATTTAGGTCTTTGGCAGGATCTTTCGAGCTCGCCATAGCTGGAATATTGCTAAGCTGTGCTGGGAAAAACAAATCCAATCCTATGAGATGTAGAGAAGACTGGGAGCTGCGATCTTATTATCACTTCACAGATGGTCTTTTTCCCTCGTGCGACTTAAGCCACGCCCGTATGCAGAGGTCACGATAGATCCACACAGAATGGCAACAGGTTCCCGACATAGAAGTACGCCAAAGCTTCGAAGTTAGTTTAAATCCAGGTCTCACACTAACTTGGATAGAATGACTGGTTGGACTATGGACACTTGCTCACGCAGACTGGCAAGGGTAGATCTCGAGCGCGGTCCTCAGCAATAATATTTACCATATTGTTAGGATTGCCTCATAGCATTCCAACCCCTTACAGAATTTATTATGCTCCTGACGTCAATGCGAAGAAGCCTCATCTGCTTCAAAGGCCCCAGCACGAAAAAGAATAGTCGTAATAGAGCGAAATCTCCACAATTTCCTCAATGCCAAGTACAAAGGCACATCTTCGGGGCGACTTCGGTGTCCCTCAGGAGCTTAAATTATGGCGTGCCGAGACGGGTCAATGAGCTTATATCTCTCCTAGTGCATTCGCCTTCGAATTCAAGGACCAATGAAAAGAAATGCGCGAGCTGCTGATTCTATTTCGAGAGCAAGGTGTCATTTTTGGGGGCATTTACGCATTGTCTATAGTTAACTACCCGATAAGATATTTTTCTTGCCGGGAACATCACCGTGCGGGGGAAGAATTGATAGGGCACATTCAATTTTTCGGATCGCCCTAGGAAATTCTTTTGGATATTTCTCACTTTACTAATATCGACTTGGGATCTAGTATATAGCTGCTGGAGTCGGTTGATGTAATTCTTCGTGGTGTCACTTTCATTGGGGAAAATCGAGCCGCTGACGCGAACTTGGTTGTTGGAATCATAAGGAGCAGTAGGAGGTGCGATCCGCCTGCATTAGGGTCGGAATTTTTATCAAAGCAATATAGGCTGTTAGTAAGATGTGTAGCTCATGATGTAGACTGGCAAACGAAGTCGGGGTTGTTTTCGTGAGGCGATGCCAAAGTATTGTTATAGCACAACTTCTGATGTAAATTTATGCAGTGTATTATCAGATTGAGAAAGATTGTGTAATAAGACAGGTGAAAAAGCACACCGGCCACTACTTCACTTTTCACTTTGACTTTTTATGCTACTGCAACTCTTACCAAAGACCCTATCACTATCTCCGCCTACTGGACATTCCGATTTAGAGAGATGACAACCATCTTATTCTGTACTCTTGGTTGCTAACCTCTATCAATCCCCACACAAGCTCTCGAAACAAAATGAAAGGTCAAAGAGATCACAAAATGCGATTCAATTGTGTCGTGACGAAAACAAGACGTCGATGCCCATCACCCAATTCGCAGGTAAATTGCTGGAAATTACTTCAGCAATAAATGCTCCAGAACAGCAAAATCTAATCTCGAAGATCGCTTACCTAGAAATGAGAAGGCCACAGACCAGAATCCCGCCCGAGTGTTGGGAGTGAGCGGAATGGTGTGAACTCTAAGGCCACTGTGCTGGACGGAAGGCCAATGCCATCTGAGACTCCTCGAGAAAAAAAGAGAAAAAGAGAGAGACGGCTATCCGACGAGGTCCTGAATAAAAAGTTCCCGTACAATGTGGACGGCAATGGGACAGCATCCACACCTTACGAGTCTGTCAAGCTAGCCTGGGCTTATTGCCTATCACTAGTGATGAGCGCCCGCGAGGCAATGGCACCCAAGGGCAAATGTCACACACTGCATTGCGCCGCATGAAGAGACAATATTGACGCAAATACCTAAGATCGCGGAAAGCTCGTTCGTCGTAGGCGCCGTCGCCCCTACCAAGTCTTCTTCAATACGCCCCTGACAGTACACCATGAGACATACAAAGCGGCAGAATCAGCTGGGTAACAACAACTCCAAAGAGCAACCGGCAAAGGTGACATACGCGAGGGAGGTCAATTTTGCAAAACCAAGGGACGGCATGTCCTCCAGACACAGCACGTTAGCACCCCAAAAGAATGAGTAGGCCTCTGGTTGGAACAAATTTGATATTAAATTCTCTCGCATGTCTCATTAAGCTCGAGGCTATAGGAATTGTCTAATCCGATAATGCATCTACCAAGACAATGCGTCCGGAGGCTCCACGAAAGATGCCTAAATGCGCGAGCTTACGTCCTCTCTGGCGCGTTGGGACCCGTTTGGAGATGGATGGATCTCTTCGAGACCCCGTCACCCAGTTATGCTTCCTGGAACCTTCTGCGATAGCCCATATGGGATTATCACGGCTCTCAGGACGACAACATAGCAAAACAGCACCGAAGCACATCGTGATAATGCTATGCCAAAGACCCGAAAGAGGTTAGAGATCTATCTCGAGAGTGCATTCCCATGATACAAATAAGATGCCCGGTTGATGTCTACTCGTCTCAAGGAACGAGTCAACAATCCAAGCTGTCGTCGTTTATCTCCTCCTGACCTGCGTTGTATTGTGCTGGATTAAACAACACAAGTTGCAGCATGGGTCAGTCTGTGCGCCCATGTAGTACGGATTCGAACAGCAAATTAAGATGCAGTCCTTTGAAACCTCGATATCCTCATTAAATATTTTCACTGCATTAACTCCATTGAATCCCCTTCCTTTACGTTGGAAGTTTAAGAAACTCCTGGCGATATGGTCACACAAAGGCAATATGGCAAGACCGCAACAGCTATATTTCAGCCAAATAATGAACTGGGCCAGGACCCGATGGCTTTGGAAATAATGATTAGACCTGTAAGAGAGCTCACCACGACCATAAAAAGCATCATGGCTATGTCTATCCCGCTACTAGGCTTTGGGCCTTAAACTAAAGTCTACATCTGCATTTTATTTCACTTGTCACTTCTATGCTCCGGGTTTCTTTTGGCTGATTTAAAGCCAATAAAATAATCTTAAGCACGGTATGAACTTGTCCATATATTTAAACATCAGGTACACTATCCTCCGGTGCCAAAGGAGGTCGACTGGCCGCCATATTACATTGTCTGAACACCCGTAGTTCATCCTCCTCAAAAGAGCCAACAATCGAATGCATCACTCCATGGTTGTTGAAAAGCACCAGGTCTCCCTCCTCCCAGTCATGGGTGTACAAATAGCAAGGATCAATAGCCCGTCTCTGCATCTTGTATAATCGTTCTCGAATCTCCGCAAGATCATCAAGCACCTCCCCATTCTCAAGATGAATTTTGCGTACACAGGTTGGGTATACCATCATTGCAAGCTTTCCAGTAACAGGGTTCTTCCAGGTCATAGGATATACCCTTATCTTCGAAGCCTCGAAGGGAGGCAACTGATCTTCATCAAGCTCTAATCCTTCGGATATAATGCCTAGGCCATTGGAGCGCGACTTGGCCTTGCTCATCCATATGTATGGATGGGGTGCGTATTCCGCTTTGCTGGTGCGGACGAAATGCTTGTCTTGCTCTGAAAGCATATCGTAGAGATGATATCCACTGAAAAACGCTGTCGTTCCGAGAGGAACATCGAGGGTGGTGTCTGTGCCATCGTCGTACCGGCAGGTCTGGCGGCGGCCCTTGGGGACTTTGACGGCTAGCAGTGTGGTGACCAAAGGTGGATCAAGGTTGTACATGGCCGAGTCAATATGCCAGCGATAAAAGTGTGTAAAATCGTGATCTTCCTCGGGTGAAATGGGATTCTTGTGGAATGTCTTGTGGTGTGGATGTCTGAGCCGGATGTTTGAGAGTCCCTCATACTCTTCAACGAAGCCGTTGCCGATAACTTGGACTTGAGGCTGATGAGGAATGGTTGTGAGGTCAGCATGCAGCACACTGCGCTTGTCAATTGATTTTCCGTGGCTGTAGACACCAGCAGAAGGATCGAAGCGTCGAGTGAGTTCGTACTGCGCACGTGGGGAGAGGTGGTCTTGGTTTTTGATCACAACGACTTGGTTCTCATATAAGGCACGACGAAGGAAATGAAAGTCATCATCTTAAGATAATCAGAGCTTGAACCATATGAACTTGCTTCAAATAGTGCTTACCTGTCATTCTTTCAGCATCGAAGCCGATGAGTTCAGCACCAAAATCTACCCGAGAATCATCGGGCTTGGTGACAGGCCTGCAAGAGATAGTCACGGTGGCCATTTTGAAGAATGTAGCTGAAATAATATGAGGATGAATCGATATAAATCCCACGTTGAGCGACTGTTAGTGATTTATATTGCCCTGTTGTACATAGTACAAGGGCCAATTATGATGAGGCGGGTGAGCTCCCGCAACTCACCCGTCCACGGAGATAGGATCCTAGCATTGTCTCCAATCCATCTCTTAAGGTGATCAATACCAAAAGCATTCTTTCTCTGTACCACAAAAAGTCAACAAATTGTTCTTATCATGGATGGTGGCACAAATCAGTAGACTCGTCCGCTCTGCTCCATTCACGTCTTTGCTTAAAAAGGTAGCCTCACACTCAACGGTCACAGTATATCCAACATTATCCGTTGAAAAAGCTTCAGCATTTGCTCAGAACACAAAATGCCCGAATCAACAAGTCTCACATTCGATCTCCTCGCTGATGAGACCAGACAATGCTCAGCCATTGGCGCGGAGGTCCAACTGCCTCCAGGAATGCCCATTCTGGATTTAGATCGTCTAACCGACAACGACAAAGATACTCTCCGAAGAGCCCTTTTCGAGAATCAAGTTATCGTCATCAGAAACCAAAAAGGGATCGACCCCACCGTTCTGCCAAACCTGGCTAAGGTTTTCGATCCCAATGCATCCGACGTCCATTCTGCCGGAGAGAAAGCCGTGAGCAACCCCAAGAACATCTTGTCTGCATACAAAGCAGGCAGAATCCCTAGAGCTCCGCAAGTTGGAATCATTGGGTCAGGAAAGTTCCAAGATTATGAGGGTCTGAAGGAGTTGGAGGTGGTGCATCTTGTTCGTTTCCCCATCGACTGACCGAGTAACTTTCATTTGGCTGACCAGCGAGACAGGATCACACATTGTTTCATGAAGAGCCTTTGAGTCAAGAGGACTTAGATGATGGATATACCCGGCCATACCGGTGGCACATGGATACACCATTCTATGAGCGTCTCCCAGGCGAAGTGACTATTTTGCACTCAATTCGCATTCCCAATGTACCAGATCAGAAGATCAAGTTCCCTGATGGGAAAGAGAAAATTGTCGGTGCAGGAGCCACTGCATGTGAGTAGAATCAACAAACGCACACAGGCCCTCATACTGACTGGGATAGTCTTCTCCGGCGCTCGCGTCTTCTCTCTCTTGACGACAGAGGAACAAGAATTTGCCTTGAACACCACGGTCACCTATGCTCCCCAAGCGTATGAGTATATCCGCCAATGTAAAGCGTCCAAAGATGGCCTCACGATCCCGAATTTTGGACGCGAGGTACCAGTGGAAAAATTGTCGGAATGGGAATGGGGCAAAGTCGCCGAGCACCCAGTAAGTTTCTGCTTCCAAATGCACATGATGCTAGTGAGTTTTGGTTGACCAATATTATCAGATGGTATGGCGAAACCCGCTCAATCCCGATCGGCCATTCTTCCAGGTGCATGGTTGTTGCGTTTACAAGCTCACCACGCGCAACCCAGCGACGGGCGAGATCACGGTGATGGATGATGTTGAGAAGGTGAGAGAAATTGTGTATAAGATGCAGAGCAAGATATATGCCGCGGAGAACATTTATGCGCACCGTTGGCAAGAGGGTGATGTTGTTATCTTCCACAACCGGGGCGTCATGCACAGTATTACTGGCCAATTAGCCAAGTACAAGGAGGAAGAAGACAAGAGGAGGCTGCTCTGGCAATGCACAATGACAAGCACAACTCCCCCTAAGCCCTTCCGGGATTACGAGGGAGTCAACGACACGGGGTACGTGAGGACATGAATTAAAATTATATTGATGGCCAGAATAGCCCAATGAAAGAGTGGCTTCGAGCGCTTCTAAATGTTCGCTTCTCTCAGAACTGAAGAGGATCATGTAGAGTGTGGAAAGTTCCGTTGAACCATGCATCGAAATCGATATCTTCCGCTGTATCCCAAGCCGGCTGCATTTCGGTAAAATGGGCACCGATCACATCTTGAGGGTCGGAGTTCGAAAATCTGCTAACAGATGTGTCAGGGGTTTCAGGGCCTAGATTCATTCTGGTAAAAGTCGAGAACTTGGCCAGAATTTGGCCAAAATCAATCGTTCTGTTTCCAAGTCCTGGATTGCCCGAGGCTGTATCGGAAGTAAAGATCGCATCGATTAACGCCACACCACGCTGAGCAAGCACATCATTAATTCGATCGGCAAGGCGGGCGCGAGCCGCGACTATTGCATCCTTGTGACTTTGCGCAATATTGGCTTGATTCTCTGCAGTTGCATTAACCTCAAAGCACATGATGACTGCAGCGGTAATCGCAAAAGCAGTATGAGTCCATATTGAGATATCCCCTTCTCTTACGATTACCTCGTGCTCACGCAAAATTGTCATTGCAGCCGCAACACAGGTTCGTCTAGAATAGATATATGTAGGGTCATTGAAAGAGCGGAAGAGAAATGGCCGATGGATCATGATAATCTTTTCGGCCGCAGTGATAGCCAGACTCCGTCTAGCGATCGCAAGCCATGGAATTTGTGCTTCCTTTGTTTTATCTCCACGCAGAAAGAAAGGTGGTATGTTTTTCACGATGCCTCTCATTTTCTGATCTATCTCCAAAATATGTTCGTATTGCTGTCGCATAGGCTTTCTGAATTTCATTGGACCAAGCCCGTCAACTAGACCAGGCATCAATTCTGCCAAATTCACGAGCACACGAATGTAAGTGCTAATGGTGGGGGTTGTGATGGGCATATCCGTCAGGTCATAGTCATCTGCGTTCATGGGGCGACCGGTCGAGAAATGCATCGGAGAGATACTGTAGGTATCGGTAAAGGGAATGGCAAAATGGTCCTGTATGATCATTTGGCACCATACCCTCTTTCCGACCTCTCGCTCCACCTTCTCATCCCACTCATCTTTGTTTTGGGCAATCTTTGTTGATTGATCTTGAATCTTGTGGATCCCAAGGCATTCAGCAATGCGAACTGCAGCATTGAATAAAGTCGCGTTCAGTTGACTCAATCCAAGATTATGAGCAACCTCGGTCGATATGACAATTGCTTGAACGGAGTATACAGAGAGATTGCTGAGGAAATGTGAGTTGTAGAGTGCCTGCACCATAGCAGAGAATAGCTGCTGTGTTGATTGTATTGCCTGTAGGTCGACATCAACAAGCTCCCTTACTTTCACACTATCCTGGATTGAGCTGACGGTTGAACTCAAGACTGAAAAATATAGTGCTTGCCAGAGAGGATCATCAAATTTTCCAGTCTCCCAAAATAACTCGCACTGCTCAAGAAATGTTGGACCGTGAATGCAATTGTGATGCCATGCGAGATGGCATAAATGAAATTTGATCAGTTTCTGGGCGTCTGTAACACTGGGGAAAGCGAAGTTCAGTTCCGGACTAGGAACGTGGGCTAGAAGAGGGCTTGTCCCTGATGAGGATTGGAACCCATCTTTGCGATACTGGCATGAGCAGGTCCTGTGAGGAAAGCATCCAGCAGAATTACGACCCCAAGCAAGATGCTCAATAGCCGTGAGAAGTGAAGAGTCAATTTGATTTGAATGGGTTTCAGTCACACCGACTGACGCTTTTCCGGGTGCACGATCCTCAAATGTACTTGATTCCGGTTGTACCGAAGGTGTGTTGGATACATCTGATTCTGCGGGATCCTGACCGGTCTCCAGTCGAAATACCCGATTTTTGATCTTTTGAACAATGAGAGGTACGGAATCAGATGGAGAAGATTCGAGGTCTGCCACCAGCGAATACAAAAATTGAATCTCTGACCCATGTTGCACAGCGTTGCGTCTAAGCTGGACAATTTCTATCGAGCATTTCAGATTTAAGCGTTTACATCTCGAACAGGGATTTTGTTTGTCGCATTTGCGTTTGCGCTTCGTGCATTCTGTATGGTGTCAGTCGCCTACTGGATAGTTGCTGCAGGGGCATTCACCTCGGCAGGCTTGCGGCTGACGCTGCGATACACGGACCCTGGCCGCTTGGTTTGACGCAGTGACATTCATTGCGCGTCAACCTCACATCGACATGGCTCTGTTTATTTTAAATTTGAGGAGTTGATCCTGGGCTAGATTTTTCTGGTGTTGCCAGGAGAAGTGAAATGTGTGGAGAGGGGGATTGTCTGGGTCTTGGCACTGATAAGCACTTCGATCAATCGGACCACATTTATAACTTCCATGCCCAGGAGCCGAGGTCGAATTTCGATGTCAGCCAGTTGATATTATCGGATACTTGGTTTTTTTGTATTTAATCGCCTTCTCACTTCAATACGCGCGTCGATGAGAACTTCGACTGGGGTCCTCTATATAAAATCACGATCTTTCCCGCCTTCGTTCCTACATCCCAACAACTTCAGTCCGATTTCTTCCAATCTCGGGACCCAACTAGCGGACTTCCTTCAATTTTGGAAAAGTCATGAGCATCGAGACATGCCTGTCTAGAGTTGAGGAAGCTCAGTTCGGCTCGCGCGAAGACATCGTTCTCGTATGCTGCGAGGGAGGATTTCAGGGCTTCTGAGTCGAGAGACCTGGTCATTGCAACATCGGGTTAACACAACTCTATTCAGAGAGCTAGGAGCTCTCAGATATTCATACCTTGCCTGGCGCATATCGATACGCTTCACAAGATCCAACACATCGACGATCGCGTTGTTGGCCCCTTCTCCGCGGACTAGTTGGAGTTAGATATTGCACATAGTGGGTCGACCGCATAAATAGGAGGTATCGTGAGGGTAACATACACATGGTCATTGTGTGAGCCGAATCACCCACCAGCACCGCCTGGGGATGCGCGTGCGCCCTGCCCAGCCGGAACATCCAGTCTTCAATGCGAATCGAGCGCACTTCCACGTCGTGCGGAAGATTGTGCACCAGCGAGCGGAATGGTTCCGACCAATTATCAGTCAATTTCTTGATCAGCGTGATGCGGTCGGCGTTCGTGTCTGGGACGGGGATGCCCTGTGAATCCGCCCAAGAGATGACGATTTGACAGTGGTAAAGGTTTTTACTACTAGTTTCAAAATTGTTCGGGGTGTCCAGGACTGAGGAAAGGACTCAGTGACGTGTAAAAGAGAATGTGTGGATTCTCGTACTTACAACTGAAGAACAGAAAAATGTTTGAGTCAGGATGCGAGCCTTGGAAGATGAAAGGGTCGATCGACTCGGCGCCTCCCATTTCCTCCGCGCTGTATAGTGTCGATGTACCTAGAAGCTGTACTGGTAATTGGTTCATCTGTGCATCTGGGTATAGAATCTCGCGTGTGCGCGACCGTGAACCATCGCATGCGACAAGTAGCCGCCCGGTATAGTCTGTGCCATCGTCGAAGTACGCGGTAATTTCATTGGCTGTAGACTCGATATTTCGAAGGGTTTTGTTCCACTGAAAGCACGGCGTTAGCGCCCATCAAGATCAAAAGCCGGATCTATTTTGTTCCAAAAAAGATCAAATCACAACCTACTTCAACATTTATGCCGGTAGTCAGTAAGTGTCGCAAGCGAACGCGGCTGACACGAATGCGCTCGGCGGCAGGAACATCGTATAATGCATCTCCCGACTTGAGGTTAAAAAATTGGAAGCGACCGACATCGCCCTTGGCGGAAGCTTCTTTATTGACAAAGGTCTCAGGGAAACGATCAACAAGGTCGCCAGGCAATAGTTCCCGTAGGGCAGGGAGTGACCAATGTAGTGTCAAACCCCATCCACCACTGCGGGCGTCAACTGCAGAATCACGCTCGAAGATCCTGAAGGCTACATTCTGGCGCCGAAGGTACTGGGCCAATATGAGACCACTGATTCCTGCGCCGATGATCAGAATGGGAGGATTGGACATTGTGTATGGTGTACAGTTCCGGTCCAGTTTGATCCAGTATATTGTCTTACCCCGCGTGTTTACCTAGTCAAGTCATGCCCCCCCGTTATGGACACGGAAATTACCTTAAATCCTGCCAAGCATGACAAGGGAATCAGTTTCTATAGGGGCTTGATCCTTGGGCTTGCGCTATTACGGGATAGGTCAAAGCGACAGAATCAAAATCTTAGTGCCCTTGGTATCGAATGTAGGAACCCTAGTCAGGTATATATTGCGTACTCCAACTCACTATTGTGTATATGAACAGCTCCCAGGACCACTTTATCCAGGCTAGCTAACAAAAACTGGAGTGAATTAACTACTCGGGAGGATTAGGACTTACGGGATGTTGCCTTGTGCTAAGATATTTAATCTTTAGCATTTTCTACGACTCTGTACCTCGTATTGAACGGAGTACTTGCGCGTATTTTCGGGTTCCACTCCCGTTGAGCTTGTAGATCCCGAGGGTCCGCGCACCACTGTATCGTACATACGAGTAGCCGGACTACTTTGAATCGAGGTTTCGAGTAGGTCTTTGCCATGTGGAAGCTGGTGACCTCCTAACTCAGAACTTGTTGGCTTTGAGTGAAAACCCTGGTGATTCTCTTCCGCCACTACTCCGTGTATATAGTCTACTCGCTATGAATTCAAAACGCCACAAGGCTAGGGGGCAAGCTAGAGAGAAAACAAAAAGCAAAAAATTATTAATTCAATTTTGAAGTAAATGGGAAGTTTATGAGAAAAATGAACAGAGTAACCATGCCCCTACTCCATACACCAGCCCACATTTGCGTGGGTTGCCAGGCGCTTCCTACTTGGTTGACCTGCCTTCCAACGAAACTCTATACTCTATAGTCATCTCAATACACCCATGCTCAGGCTCGGGACTGCTCAATATAAGTTCCTCGCTCGGTGTTCGTTTGGGCTTTATAACGCGGGATCCAGACTGCAGGTGAGAGCTATCTTTCGACCAATTCTCCATCGCGTAGCTTCTGCCTCGACTGTCATAATATTTCTTGGATTTTCCAGTCGATCCAAGTCCATGGACGAAGCCCTTGAGAAGAGGCGCCAGATATGGAATGCAAGTGACAATGTTCTAATTAAGACAATTAGCCGTTGTAGTCCGAGACTGATCGTTCTCACTTACGCCCACGTTGAACTCAATCGTTCCCCACAGCACAAGCATCGTCGAGTTTCCGTCTCCGAATGCCACGCGTTGGATTTGAGTTAGACGCATTGTGGAGCAAATCGTGGTAAAGAGGCCCAGCAGGAAAAGGCACACAACTCCAGCCTTTTGAGCGGTTTTTATATTCAGACCCATTAGCAATGGGATAGGAAGCACGATGATGGTCACGTCCGTGATGATGGTGAAGATTGCAAGCCCGTAGAAGAGGCTTCCCACGGGAAGACATTTTCCAGGGATGTGGGCGTTCCATGATCGTCGAATCTGTTGCAGGCGAGGGAGTGTTAACTTGTGGTCGTATTCGTCTTTCATGGACACACGCTTTACCTACCGGTGTGCAATTGAAGATTAGACTAAGCGCACCAGCAAAATGACCCAATGTAGATGCTACAATCACAACCCAGATTACAACACGATAACGAGACTTTGAGGTTCCAGAGATCAGCCGCAGGTAGCTGAGACAGAGCGATGCTTTGAACCCTGCGATGCCAACTTGGTAAATAGGTCGTCCTCCGTAATTGATCTATTTGCATTCTGTCAATTTCTTAATCAAATGTAATAATCACAAAGGCGAAACTGAAACGGGGAATAATACTTACCTTGGTATATGTCGAGTAATTTGCTTCGGGTCGTAGCTTCAATGGCAATCCTAGTCCATATCGACTTTCTGTGACTGTGAGTAGGATGGTTGTGGCGGAAAGAAAGCTAGCAGTACTCACGAGAAATACACAGCGCACTGTATATAACACTAAAGATCTGCTTAAGACTCAGTTAAATCATCCCTTGTGTGACGTAGTAGTTCAACTTACCATACTAACAACCATCACATAGTCTGCCGCCGCCCATCGACTAGCTCGCGCTCGAAGGAAAAGGCGCATAGAGACCGTGAAAACCATTAATATGGTGAGACTCAGACATACTCCAAGTATGAGAGGGTACTGCGACGCAGCCTGAACCTCAGGCGAGGCATTGCGTACCCAACCCATCGTTGGGGAGCGAACGAGGGAAGGGATAACAGGGAGACTATAAGAATATACATGCTCATATTGGGCGTCTACCAGGATAAACAGGCCGATCAAGACCATGAAATTCCAATAGTTCCCAAAATGCTTGCCACAATAAACCATTTGGAACTAAGACCGATAAGGCCGGTCATGTATGTTGTATGTACATTGTGCCTCCTCGCCTCCGGACTCCGTACTCGCCCAGTGTTTCAAGGTTATTCCTACAAGATTATTCACATTTTGCTCCATTCCTTGCACTCAATTTTCCCAACAGGGCAAGGTTCTAGGGCCATAGACTATTGATTCGAACTCGGTGGATTGTACGTGTAGCCACGCAATCTCCACGCTTTGTCTCAACGTTATTTATGCTATGGTCGCATGAAAGGATTGGGCATCCCACATTCTTTACCCAGTTTTTAGTTTTCTTCCTTTTGTTCCTTTTCCAAATTCCTCCCTGTCTATATTTTCCTTTTTCCATTGCCATATTGCCCTACTGCGATGGGTCAATCACAGCCCGAAGTGGTGGCACACCCTACGGATGAACTTGATGATGCTGTGATATATCTCAATGGTCATGCAAATGTGGCGCCCGACTCTCAGGTTAATCTGCAGGCTCTCCGCCGTAAAGTTGACCGACGTTTGATCCCTTATATGTTCTGCTGCTATATACTGCAGTTCCTGGATAAGGTCATGCTGAACGTAAGCTTGACTTTCAACTCGTCAGTATAGGCCATTTTATTAACGCAAGGATTTATGCATGTATGCAGTATGCGGCTGTGATGGGGATTAAGCAAAACTTGGGACTCGTCGGCAATGACTTCTCTAACGTCGCTACATGGTTCTTCATCGCCTACTTGATCGCGGAGATACCAAATGGTGAGTGGTTGGAATTACCTCTATGGAATATCCTTTTGTTATCCCCACTGAACGGTGATCCGCAGTATATTGCTTACAGAAAGCACCGCCTGCCAAATGGCTCGGGGGAAATGTTTTCCTTTGGGGGGTGGCAGCTGCCGCCTCTGCCGGGGCCCAAGGATATCGGAGCCTTCTGGTAGCACGAATCTTCTTGGGCATTTTTGAAGCGACAGTAGGCCCATCCCTGATGCTCATCAGCAGTCAGTACTACACCAGAAGTGAACAAGCTCCTCGGTTCACTATATGGTATATGGGTCTTGGTGTGGCCCAGATCATTGGAGGTCTCATATCTTTTGGCTTCCAGCATGTGAACCATGCGTCGCTAGAGGGTTGGCGAATTATGTTTCTCGTTCTCGGGCTGGTGACAGCAGTCGTCGGCGGTCTGACATTTTTCTTCATCCCGGATACACCGATGAAGGCAACATGGTTGTCCGATAGCGAAAAGGTCGCGCTCCTACAACACGTCAGCGAAAACCAGACCGGAGTTTGGAGCACATCTTTAAACTTGAAACAAATCCGAGAGGCTGTCTTCGATATTCAACTGTGGCTATTAACTGTGATTACAATTTTGGTGCGTCTTACATTCCATATTTCATCCCTTGCTCCGAACACCCCCTGCAGTTATATTGACCAATATTGCATAGATATCCGTGTCAAGTGGTGTGGTGACGACATATTCCTCAACATTAATTGCTGGATTTGGTTTCTCAGATCCGATCTCCGCCCTTCTCAATACACCATCGGGGATCGTGAGCATTTTTTTCACACTTCTTGTTGGATTTGGAATCCGGAGAACTTCAAATCGCTGGGCATGGAATGTTCTCTGTACAATCCCTGGAATCATCGGCGCAGCCTTGCTGTCTTTCCTACCTAAAAGCAACAAAGGGGGTGTCCTGATCGGGATTTATCTTGTCAACGCCATTGTTGCTACCCTGCCGATTCTATACCAGTGGACCATGGCCAACTGTGCCGGACATACCAAGCGTGCGTTTGCTAGTGCATTGGTTGCTGGATCTTTCTCGGTCGGGAACATCATTGGTCCACAGACATTCCAGTCACACGATGCACCGGAGTATAAACCGGCCAAGATAGCTGTTCTTGTAACACAAGCTGCCGCGGCTGTGCTATCTGCCGTGTTGTTTGTTTATTACAGGAGGAGAAATCGTCATAGAGATCTGTCTAAGGGCCACGTTGATGAGCACAGCGCTGATGAGACCAAGTGGGCTGGGCTAACCGACAAGGAGAATCCGTCTTTCCGTTACGTCTACTAAACACTGGATAAATGAATAATTTCAATAGCTGGCTCGCCAACGTATCTGCGTGAATCAAAATTTGGAATGACTATGCTATTATAAACTGACGCCGGATGGTCATCGTAGATCCATGTACTGACGACGAAGTATGCGATCCGAATTGATCCCACATTTGATTGAAATCAACATATCTGGAAAGTATACTTACCATGCTTCTTCACTTGGGGCAATCGCCAGCTGACCATGATGAGATGAAAGAGAGCCGCTTAGTATGGGAGGTGAGATGAGTTCACTTAAGGTGGTTAGATGAGAGAGTGTCATTTGGGGTGGATGGATGAGAGAACGTCTCGTGCAGGGAAGCTGACACTCTTTTTCAACTACGCACTTGAGAACTTCCTTTACATTACCATTATTCATTTAGCTTGCACCTGCTAGCCGTACATGCGGTGCAAATATTAGTATAAAGTCAAGCCTAATATGAAAATGGACTATATATACCCCCATGATATTCCTTGTCATCGGTCCACGGTCATGCCTCATGTTTTGTATGGTTCGATGTAAAACCACTAATTTTCTTCCACAAAGGGACGATCATTTGGCACATTGGTCCGAACCATCCTCTTTTTCGGTGTTGACGTGTACTTTTTGGTTGATTGGAGGGACGCCTGCTCAATATATATCCGAAAGTAGAACCGTAAACCATCCCGTTGCCCATGATGTGTGACAGATGTCAAAAGCAAAGACCCATTTTGCCTGGAATGAGCTGAGCCCGCAACCGATGTGATAGAATATGTTATCAAAAATAGAACAGAGTAGAAATTTGGGCAATAGATCCACCATGTCGATGTTGTTCGTCTCTGCGCTAATCCCCCCCCGTTTTGTCCACTCAGCAGGATCCGACCCAGATGGCAGCGTAATAATTGAGAGCTCGTCTGGCAGGCTAGATATTGGATTCTCGAAATGGCGTGAATTAAATTCTTGGGTCTGATACCAGTGTACGTGACATGGATAGTCTCATCAAGATACTGTATAGTTAGAACTCCAATTTCCAGGGTCTTGACGCGTACATGAACGTTGAGTACTCCACACAGATGACAGTGAGCTCCTAGGATGGAATCAGATTCTTAACCATAGGGTTTAGATGCGGGTTTCGAGATGTAATGGAGTAGCAACAAGATCCTGACAACTAATCTCCCGTAGTTTGTTAGCATTCAATGGACCAGAAAGGAATTCAATTCAAAGATACGCACATACAAGTTTGCCAGGGGCTGACCATGCAGCCTCATTCTATCCTAAAGGGTCCCTGCTATGCGTAAAAAAAAGCGTCGACTGCCTTGGAATCCAAGTATGCAGGGGCAGACTTCATGCTAATCGTCTCGGTGCCATATGTTCATACCGAGGGGTAGAAGCAGCTTAACATGGTCAACGTAGCTGCCGATAACGTGTACTGGGTGGATTCTGACCTTTTCTTCCTCTGACCCTTTGAGTGGTGCGCAAGCATTTAAATCAAATAGTTCTAGCTGTATATTTGTGGGCCGTAGAGTTTCGATGGCAAATGGCACAACAGAGCGAAGAACATCAAACAAGTCTTAATCTTTGTACAAGGGACAAATAGCAAAAAGCGCACATAGGTGATGGCGACCGTAGTTCATAGAGCGATGGGTCAGAAATGAAGTGTTAGTATGTGAAGATGTGAATAGAAGTCAGGACTGGAAGTAAGCGACACATAAAAGTATTAGGTCCACTTACAGAAAAATAAATACACGGCGGGAAACAAACCCCCAGTGAGGTGTTGCACAGGAAAGTGACGTATATAGTAGCATGAAGAGGAATAGGAAGTTAGGAAGGAAGATAAATGTGGTGACAAAAATAGAATTAAGTATCAGGATGGAAGGGTAGATAGCGTCAGAAACAATCATGAGAGGGAGGAAGCATATTGGATAACATCATAGAGAAGGAAGGAAACGCAAAGTAAATTTTGGGCATTCAAAAAAAAGTCCCCATGAATCCAGACCGTCCCTGGACCTCAGGAGGGTATGGACAGAATATGGCCATTCGATATCCATGGTCCTCTCCTCCGGCCATTCCCCTATATACATCCACTCACCGTACTAACTACGGTCTCCCCCTTAACTAACGGGGTCGCCGCGTGTGGCAGTCCGCGGGGGGCTTACCTAGCGTAGTGCTTCGGGAGAGCTTCAGCATATAGGAGTCCGACCGACAGTGGGGAGCAAGTAAAACCCGTTGCGACATCCTGGTGTGGGATGCCCCGGCCATAATACCGCTGGGCCACTGGGGGGGGCTGGTTAGAATGTTGCTTCTTGTCTTGTTGAAATAGGACGAGAACTTAAGAGAGATGTCACTGGCCAGCATTCAAACGTCAGTTTGCCTACCTTCCTAGCGTCTTGAGAGCTTCAAAATCGAAAGAAAGAATCTCGGTATAATGGAGAAGCCATATATCAGGCCTCAAGCAGATCTGAATATGGATGATGGTGGTCGAAAATTATTTTGACCCTCGGGTACCTCCATACAAAGTCCAGAAATGAAGCTATTCAGACACCCAATTTAGGCAGGAACGACAACACGAGGAAACTTCGACTTTCAAAGCCGTGCGTTCGATTCCTGGCCTATTTGAATAGATTTCTGTGTGCAAGCTTTCCATTCCCTGACTTTTTGCAACCAAAAATATCCCATTAATATTGATATCAAAACACCGTCCTATCCACGCCGACCACTCGAGAGCGACCATAAAAAACATCCCCCACCCATCAATCAGCATGGCACTAATGTACCCTTTAGGTACCTGAGGCACCCTAATCAAATGACCTGGACAATTCGAAATCCATGAAGATCCTCAGGATTCGCATTCGAAGGAACGAGCATGCTATCGCTTGGCATGGCCATCGGAACCGACATCCAACCGCTCCTCCGTCACATTCCATGCAACCTCCTTCACAATCCGGGACTCGCTATGAATACTCCCGCCGTTTCCTGTGAGTGCAATTTCATCTGGTTGACGAGACCCTGACGACTTGAACCGGTTGCGAGAGGCACTGCCCGAATGCGTGAAATAGCGACGTGCATTGCTGCCTGCCTCGCCCACCCATCCTGGGGCGTGATGTCTCAAAAACTGCCGCAATGACGGCAGACAAGGACAGATAATGATAAGATTTGCTTCGACGTTACTGGAGAAATGTGTTTTTGTTAGTCCAAAGCACTTCGTGTTGCTGAAATCGGGCATTGCACATACATCCACAGCTGCGGCCAGGCTAGCTCGTAAGTGATATCGGAGGCAGTGAGGAAGGGGACAAGCGTTGCTAGTCGGAGTATACTGGTCACAACGGTTCTAGTGGAATAGTTAGCGACCGAGGGAGTATGATTGCATCGCGAAAGACTTACGCGCAGCCAATGCCGAATACAACAATCAGATAGCACTTTTGAATCCCTGGCATTTGAAGCCCAGCCACGAGAGGAATGGGGAGCAAGATCAATGCTAAATCCGTGACAATATTCGTCACGGCGGTTGCGATATACAATCCCTCTCGGCTGATGCAAGTTCCCTCTGTGATACTCAAATCCCAGCTCATCGCAATCGGATTGCATGCAAAAATCAATGCAAACACAAGAGCCAGGCTGTAGCCACATATGACAGCCGAAATGATGTGAAGCGCCCAGTTGTAAGCTTCTTGCTTCTCCATTATCCGACGGTAGAGAAAGACAAGACTCATTTTTGCGAAGGCGAGTGCGGGGACGTATACCACGGCGGCAGACAAGATGACCTGAGAGAAAGTTTAACTCGGGAATTATTTCATCGATTATTTCTTGCATACCTTCTGATATGTCGCAAGCATCTCCTCGGTGACGTTCCACATGTGAATTCCAACGCCGCTATGGAGATATCCATCTGGTGGAAGCCGTTGTCAGTAAAGGTCTAGAATAACTTCAAATGGCACATACAGATGGAAGTTACTTGCGTCCCAAGGGAGAATACCTGTAAATTCATGTGTGTAAGCTGAGATCGCAGTCATATCTGTCCATTCTTACCCAGGCGAGCACGATGAATGCTGTTTCGACAGGGTCAGTGAATTCTTCCCTTATTCACTATGTGAGAAATTCTCCTACCATCTTCCCATCCAAACTTGCGCAATATTCTCGTTTTCGTATATATTCGAAGGACGAGACAAAAGAAGCTCAAGGCCAATCCGACACCTATCAGAGTCATGTTGACCTTGTAAAGCCATGGATTCGAGTAATCGAAGTCGGGTATGACTCCCGGTGGAGGTTCAACTACACCGACATGACGAGGCATCCTGAAATCAATTAGTGTAGTGAGAACCCGGCCAACATTAGATTCCACTGATAGTAAAAAGGAGAGAGATAGTTCATCCGGGGCGAGCTGCAGCCGAAGCAGCCATTCTCCTGAAACGAGCTGTCTCCCAAATGCACCTTAACGGACCCGATTTGGGGGCGACGAGAATTGGATTGTCCATTTATCAATAGTGCCTCGCATTCAAGACGGGCTCGAGATAGCTCCGCTGATATTGGCTGTGGGGGTATGTCCATCCTTTGCTAGGTGTATTTTGCTCCTTTGCGCATTTCGTGAAACACTATAGATTAATCGTGACTCGGGGGTCCGATCGTAAGATTTCCGCCCGTAGGATACGATGAGATCGTATACCACCCGCTCGTGGATCTACAGGTTCAATCCCGAGTTTGGAATAAGCTCCACACATCAATTTCAGGTCACTTTATTGTAAGCGGCCTGCTCCGCCCAGGTACCTTAGGCTTCGCATAACACTGCTTTTAGGGAGACTTGGCAAGATCAACACAATACACTACCATATACGTGAAAACTAGTGTAGTGATTTTAGAGTGAACACACGGGATGTGGATCCATTGAAGAGTTTATCAATTCAAGGCAAAATATATCTACTCTGTAGCTGGGGTGGGATCGGGGTACGCATTTACGAAGATATCACGTGGCAGACAGTATCTTATGTTGTCTATGGTAAGTATATCTCATGTGTGTATATATCGTACAAGGTCAGCGATTTGTATATCGAATTACCCACTATATCTCCAAGTCTTCATTGCAAATTGTATGTCTCACCCCTCCTTCAGTGACCCACAGCGCTGATCTTGAACCCGCCAGGCACCTGGGTTTGGAAAACACCGGTCTGGTCGTACTTCTTGGCAATAGTCCGAATGTACTCCACATTCTTGGGGCCGTAGGATGACAGAGGATCTTGGTTGTTGTTCGCGTAATTCAGGTAAATGAACTCATTGTCGGCTCCAATTGACTTGGAGTAATTGACCAACTCTTCGAGAGCGCCATTGGCCAGTCTGTTGAACAAGGCATCGTCGGCCTCATCCTTCCATGAGTAGTCAATCAAAACCTCTACGTGAGGGTTAGATTTTGGGAACAAAACATATCAGAGGGAGACTTACGGAACAAGTTCTCATCAAAACGATCAAGGCCCAGCATATTGCCACCTTTCTCAATGCTGTGGTCGGTGAAAAGTTTGGGCCAAGGCTGAATCATAGTAAACATGGTATAGTCATCGCCCTTGGTGCTTCCTCTGGCCTCCTCAATCATTCTGTTGTGAATGTCGACGGTTTTTTTCATCACATCGAGGTTGTTCACAAATGTAGCAGTGACGAAAACGTCGCTGGACTAGTCAGCGGTTTATCTTCCGGCATAACAGTTAGGGAAAACATACCGGTATCCAGATGCCTGGGTTATCTCCTCAGTAAGGTTCCAAAGGTTGGTCAGACGCATCGTGCTGCTAGTATTGGCAATAGCGGTGAAGCTGTCAAAAATCGGGGGTAGGCCACCGGAGTGGTATACTCCAGGGCATTGGCAATCATATTCTGGTCGGTCACAGATATGTACTCCCACATACCAATCCAAGAAGCGTCGTGGTCTTTTTCTAGGTTATTGATGAACTCGTGACCAGCCTCAAGATGCTTCAAGCTAGTACTGTTGTCGTATGTGACAAGACCACCCCAAAGTTTGTCGCCTTCGATGACCTTCATGTCATACTTGGTGACAATGCCGAAGTTACCGGATCCACCCTTCAGAGCCTTGAAGAGATCCGTGTGGGAATCCCTGTTAGCTTCAATGATGGTTCCATTAGCCAAAACAACCTCGTAGTTCTCGACGTTGTCACAAGCAAATCCAACACGCGAAGTGTGGAAGGTATTGCCACCTGTAGCAAATGGCTTTGTTAGTCGATTTCCAACAAATATCTCTTTAGTAATATCATACCACCGAGCAAAAATCCGGCAACACCTACAACACCAGAGCGGCCACCGGGCACTGTCACGTCGTACCTCGCCAGAGTCTTGTAGACGCTTCCCCAGCGAGCTCCAGGAAGAATAGACGCAATGCCAGCTTTTTCGTTATAAGTGGTGGTGTCCATCAATGACAGATCAATTGTCACACCATCAGCGATATTGCTCGCTCCCGCCCAAGTAGTGTGGCCACCTCCGCGAACAGCGAATTTGCAAGACCCACCATCAGCAGCAACGAGTGTGGAAACAGCGAGAGAAACCTCTTTGGCAGTCCGTGGCTGCAAAACACAGGTTGGCTCCAGCTGAACATTCTCAGCCCAGTACGAGCCGATCGATTCCTTGTAAGCAGCGCTGTTGGGATAGGCTACCTGGCTCTTCAGGGCAGTAGCTTCCAAAGCTGTGCACTATTTGATTTATACACTGTCAGTTGATTTACTTGTATTAATTGAGTGATTCAGAGTAACTGACACAATTCTTGGATGAGGTAGCATGGGCAAAGTTTGACAAGGCCCCGATGCATAAGGCTGCAACCGAGGGGGTGAAATGCATGGTAGAGCAATGTATGAAGAATAAATTGGGTTTCCTGCCACTTTCAACTGGAGTTGAATTCCCGGGGGATTTCTAGCTATTATAAGTTCCAACGATTGCGCTAAATGCAATTGGACATTCGATACTGAAAGCAAAAGACCTTACATTGTTGGCTCGCCGATCAGGAGTAGATCAAGCAAACTCCACTCATTGAGACACTAAACATCACACTAAAAGCATTAGTGGGCGTACGTATACCAGCACCCACCGTCTTTTGGCCCCAAAGGTGGGCGGGGACAACCCCGGGGGAAATGGCTTACCCGCCAATTACATTGGCATTTGGTGGCCAGACGCGACAATTAATTTAGGTGCACTATAAACTGTCTCAATATCTTGCTACACTATGATTAGTCAAGGGCCTGAAGTTCAAAGCATTCTTTTCGTTTGATAACTTGTAGTCGCCGCTCACTTGGAGCAATTGAGGACAACTAGCCACAGGCATTATGTGCCATACTATCCATTCTACGGTGGAAAATAGAGCCTGCATATAATTCGGGGCGATCCTCGTCTTGATATTCGGTTACTATCTTTGAAGGTTTTTTCCATCCTCTTCCAATATGGAACCCGGTAGAGCTCTGGCTTCTGTCAGAGACCGCGTGACCTCTGGGTTTGCTCCCAGCATAGTATCTTAGTTTCCATACCTAGATAGCTTTCTCCGTTCTCCACGCATTTCAAACAGTATTCTAGAGCATACTGCTTCTTGTAAACACTGTATCCTTAGCTTCAATATGGAAGATCTCAAAATTTTAAAATGCCACATCACTACTTGTAATGTCTCGCTCCCACTCTCTCCCTCTCCCTTATCTATCGTTCATCATAGTGATATCGGTATATTTTTGCTTTTATAATTTCATCGAGTCTATCCGTTTGAGTATTTTATCAGCCCATGGACTCGATATTGGTATTCTTGCATCCTCTCCCAATATCACCAATTCATGTGCTATCACATAGCGCCACGGTGCAGCTTTATGAGCTGAACATCATCCCCGCATATCTGGTGGATTGGCAATTAAGAAAGTGTGAATAGCTTTCAGCACTTCTTATTGATGATAGAGATAATAATGATATTCTCTATCTAAAAGCAAGACTGGGAAGACAGAGAAAGCAAGTATGAATAGGGTGCTGAGACCCTATTTATACTGCCAAACATGGTCCCATATCATGCATGTTTGCTACGGTTGATCTATTTCAGGCATGGGTGCCTATGGTATCTAACACTTATCCTTATCAAGCCTAGGCTTTTATAGTGATTCGCATTTCTCTCTGTATGGAGACTGGCTACCTACCGCCTAACCTCCATCTTGGAGGAGGCTAAAAGCCGAGAGTATGAAGATACAACACAAAGAGCAGTGAATGGCAGTAAACCTTGCTAGACAACAGTAAAAAACACTAATCAATAACCAACAACAAACAATCACCAACAATAAATAATATATAACAGTAGAAACATAGCTTCCAAATCACACCCCGTTGGCCAAATGTATAGATGAAAGCCTTGCAACCCTTGACTAGCTTTCAGACAAATCAATCCAACGATGAGGATTGAACTTGCTTCTATTACAACAATCAAGATAAGGCACAAAATATATGACAACAAGCCTTCTCGATGGTGTCGAACTGGCGCTAGTGGACTGAGATATTCATGGGCGCCGCCTTGCAGGCTTTGCGGGCCTTGCATGTCTTGGTAGCTCCACCAGTTCATCAAGCGCCTCCCCTTGGAACCGGACCTGCTGTACGTAGCTAGGTCCCCTCCGATGCGCGTCAATGTTGTGGTCATTTGATGATCGCTCTGGTACAGGGCTGAATGAAGACTCGTAGTCAGACCCTGAGCGATATTTTTGCGTCCGACGAAGTAGAGCGCCTGTTTCCACCTGCGCAATTGGGCCCATAACAACATCGCGGCGTCGAGATTCGCTGACAGCCGGGGGGTGCCGAGGCCGAGGATCCTGCGCCCTATTTTGAAGAACGGTGCTACGCCAATCATCCGTTGGCGCTTCGGGAAAGACATATGCTTTATCCATAATCCTAGAAGGAACACTTTGTTGAATTACCATACCCTTAGCGTTGCCACGTCGTGCACATTCGTCTGCGTAGTCTTCATCCAATGTAAAATAAGCTGCCTCTTTCGGTTTCCGATGAAAGTCACCAGCATCGAGAGTCGCAATGCTGGATGTAAGACCCTTTCTAACGTATTGAAGGGCCCGTCCTTCATCAGATCCTCGATACACTGTACGGGAAGGCCTGAGATTCATATAATCAGCCCTGTTTTAGCAATTCATAGGCAGTAGTAAATCGGGCTAGTCCTTACGGCGCGCCTGCTATGGCCGGATAGCCCTGGCTAGTCTCACGGTTCGTTCTTGGACCGTAAGGGCCAATACTGAGCCCTGCCTGGTTCGAATGCCATGTTCCGTGCGGGCTATTATACTCACTGAGAGAGTAATCACTTAGTACCATACCGAATAGAAGGTCGAGTATATATCTTACTAAACTTCATCTTCATCAGATTCTGGCGCTCTTGTCACAATGCGTTGACGAGGCATGGCAAAAAGAAATCACCCGTAACGATAGAGTATCAACTCTAGATTAAATATCAAGAAAGGCCTATCAGACCCGACACAAAGCAATAAGTAAGCTGTCTAAAATGACAGAATGTTGTAGAGAGGTGAAGAGAGAAAAGTATACCAATATCTCGTTCATTCCGATTGTTATATGTCTTTTATGTTCATCTTACAGGCAAAGGGAGGGGAGGAGGCATAGGCGCCACTAAAATTAGAGACGAATCATACTGGTCTTGGTGGTCTTTAACGCCGGCCTTTGTTTCAGCTGTTATTTTTATATCTTTATCAAGGAATTGTGGCTTCGGCCAGTGTTTCAACCAGTTTGACTTGAGATGGGAGTAAGATGCATAGCTGGACGGATACTGCCTCTATGCCTTCGTGTATATGTGAAACATGTGATGCATGCTTTAGACGCCCTCAGAACTATATAGGCGCCCGGCTGCTTGGGTGCTACATTTAGTATAAAGGTTCAAATTGTGGTAAAAGCACCATACCGCAAAGGGATCGAGGCTATGCGGCATTGCGAGTAGCAGACTACAGCAATGATGGTAGATTTAGCGATTTAGATATAGAAATAACCCTTTAAGCAAGTGTACGATCTTGTGGTCTGCATAGGAAACATTGAAGAGGCAGTAGCTGGTTAGAAATCGGGGTACTCCGTAGTAATTTGTGTCTTTCTTGATTATCCCAGTGGTAAATGGTCTAGATCCATTTAATCATGTTCCATTACGCATTGACAGCGTGCTGGACAAGGAGACGAAACAACAGTGTCAATAATCCTTGCAATCTAAAAACTGAGTGGATGAGTTTGAGCCTTATAGAATAGTGGCGGGTAAGCACGGCGCCAAACTAAGGAGTAAACGTCACATGTCTCCGCGGGCTGTGCGGGCGCTTATCCATTTATAGCCAGCGCCTCAGCGCAATTACACCCCGCAACATAAATAGACCCCATCAACTACCCTTCATCCTCACAGGTCTGAAGTTATCCTACACTTATAGAAATCTTTCATTTTGCAATATCCACCACCACTTGCTCGCGTCCCAAGATGAGTGACGCCGAAAATCCTTCCGCAAATGACTCTGAGGAGATCAAACCCATCAATTTTGAATGGACCCCCGAACTCGTCAAAATCGGGACCTCGCGCGGTGGGATTCATCCGTCGATTGGCCCTCTCGAATCCAAGGGCTACTTCACGGATTGCACGTACAGGCCCGGTATGGCACTACCAGACCCTGCTGATACACGAGAGTGTCTGAGGTGGGCTGGACTATCCGACAAGTCGATCGTTGAGGTAGAACAAAAGTTCAATGATCTCTATCCAGATTACCAAGGACCCACTTGTGGGTATGAGGAGAAACATTACCGAACCGGCGCCCACGATATCAAATTCCCTAAGGTTGAAAAAATGTTAAAGTTATTCGTTCAAGGAATGTTCGATAACAAAGATGAGTTTGAATACACTCATAGTGAGTCTCCCTATTATATATTAGAGGTAGGCTCGTTACTAATCAAAATAGAGGGTTATATCGAGCAGGGTATCCGGCTAGGAATTCGGCTAGAATTTGCGATATTCTGTGGGCTACATAAGGACGATCCCCGAGCTATTGATGACCCCGATCTATTTGAGAAATCATGGTTTTCTCAAGGCCCAGCAGGTATCATGAGTGATACCCTTATCCCTTTTTGGATGCAGGTCGAAGACTTTATGGCATCGAGGTTAGTGTATGAGGGGAAGGCATGGGAGGATGGCTGTGGGACATGGTTGATACACGAGGGAGAAACCTTAGAACAAGCACAGGCGAGAGCCGATGAAGAATATGAGATGCTAACTGAGAAAGCGCGGGAGGATGAGAAAAGAGAACGGAAAGAGGAAAGAGAGAAGTGGGCAAGGCTGGAAGCGGAAGAGGAAGCAATGCTGGTGGAGCAAGAAAGACTGGAGGATGAGATGCTTAAACAACAGAGCATAGAGAAAGCCGCTCAGCCGAAAGATGGCGAAGATATTGAGTGAACTGGTATTAGTATTGGCATCGACTGAGTTGAAACGAATTCTTTGAATATCATTATTATTCCTACCAAATTACGATATAAAATTAGTAGCAATACTCTAGAACCTGTTTTTCGTAGCTATTTTCCATTACCAAATATGAGAGGACAAGCTTAGTACGGAGGCACGACTTGTATCATGTCTAACAGGACAAATGTTATACTGTTGACATTTATTTAGGCTCTCTTTCTTGAAAACCGTATCCCTGCACTGAAAGCCTTGTCGATATACCTAGCAACGCTCCCTATAATCGCTCTCAAGCGACTGATAAGCCATCGAGCTCTTGTTACTCTCCAGAAAGAGATGGTTAACAGCTTGGAGTTTTACCAAAATGCCGCAGCTTGCGATGTATGATGCGCACTTGGATACTGCCGCCAAGATGAACCTAAATGTACTAAATCCATAATTTAGCGGTGGTTGCTGAGCTCTGAATTCTTTACCGCAATTGAGTAGTAGTTAGTGGTACCAATATCAAGCGCATTTGGATTTCCAGCACACGGCAGATTTTCCAGCAACAATTTAATGCGGAATCAGTTGCAACATACATCCCCATAGGAGAAATTCATTTCGTACCCTATGACCTATTTTCAACATCAACATCAGTTCCCATAACCTTTCCTAGACTTTTCTCCGCCGTCTTCCATTCTTGATTAATAACACCGAGTACCCAGTCACCTCTGGGCCGGAGTCTGAATTTGACCCCCTTCGGCGTCGTCATAAACCCAGCAACGACCATCGCCCACGGATCCACCTCTTCCCCATCAGCGAGCTCGATATCAAATGCCCACAGCAGACAAGCAACCTGCAAGAAGGATCCGTCGGTAGCAACCCTTTTTCCTTGGCAGATACGGCGACCCTGCCCAAAGACTGCTAACGGAAGGTCCGTTCGCAGACGTTCTTCTCCATCATCATCACACAGGAGCCACCGCTCAGGCACGAAGTCCTGAGTGTTCCCCAGGGCAGGATCAAACACCTTTTCATCTCGACCGATAGCCCATGCATTTGCCATGAGAGTGACTCCCTTTTTGATTTTGACACCATCATATTCGTCGTCTCGTTCTGCCCTACGAGGAATAGATCCCGGTGAGACAGGCCTCCAGCGGAACATTTCATGCATGATAGCGTCGATAAAAACAAGTTTTGAACGGTCCGAGAACTGAGGGAGCCGGTCACGCCCGACGACTTCGTCGAGCAAGGTATGCGCGCGCGCCATGAAAGACGGTTGGTGGAGCGCTGCAATGAATAACCACAGCATCTGCCGCGGTGAAGTCTCCATACCTCCCTGAATAGACGTTGCAAGGGTAAACGCGAGGTCAAGATCCGGGACACCCTTCTCAGAATACTTCTTCGCTGTGGCAATCGCCTGCTTGGTGGAGTTCCAGCCTGCTGAGTCCCTCCCGTGGCGGAAAAGACGCATATACAGATCAACCTGCGTGGCATACAGCTTATCAGCCGCTCGTCTCCATGGTGACAAAAATCTCGGCAGATCACGCAGAGGCGGGATAATATCTGGAAGACCAGGGTTTGCGGCAAGGTGAGTTACTTGAGTCTGGATATCTATGATTTCGTGCAAGATCGGCTCTTCAAAACTTGAGATGCGCAGACCATAATGCAGGGCCAGTATGACACTCGATTGAGTGCGCTCAAGTAGCGGATAGATCGTTTCCGTGCTGATCCCGTCGGGCAATTGCTGTGCGGCACTCGAGAGATCAAATAATAACTGTTTGCACTCAAGCTCCATTAGGGGGTGGTACTGTGGGGCGGCGAGAACGCCGAGACTGGGGGCCAAAATCCGGTGGTGGAACTTGAGGTGATCGTCATAGTCGTGCATCAGTGTGAACTTTGACTTCCCAGACGCGGCATCTGTGATCATTTCCATGCTGACAGATGGTGGACGGTTGCTGTACCATTGGCTGCGCCGGCTGAAGAGCTCGGTCACGGCCTCATATGAATTTAATACCACAATTGGTACGAGCCCAAAGAGCTTGGGGATTGCAATGGGGCCATTTTCCCTTGTCCATGCGTCCCAGTTCAGAAGCGGTTTGTCAATGGGGGAGCTGTGAATGTCACCGATTAGGGGTAGCTTGAGGAGAGATTTCTTTATTTTTCCTGTCTGTTTCCTGAGAATGCACAGTGTCAACAGACCTAATCCGACCACGACCGCGATAGAAGTGAAACCCATGTCGGCTAAAGAAATGTGAAGAGGAGAACACCTTTCATATTTGAGCTAGCATTTACGGAATACACATTGTACAATTCGGTTATGTTGCCAAGCTCTATTTCTTGTGTCAGACTTCCTCCAAGGATCAAAGCGCGCTAAGAAAGCGACGGACTATAAACTGACTCCTTCTTAGTGCATAAGCGGCACTTGGCGCACCAATGAGGATATTCCCAATGAGAGACCGTTGAGCTTTCAGATGCCGAACATTGCAATTGTTTTTGAATGTCTCATGTTGTTGTTGCCAATTCTGGACATGTTTAGTATTTCAAACCCCGTTCAATCTTAATGTTCGAAGAATTTGATAGAGCAGTTCATACTCTGGTTTTTTTTACCTGTTCCCTGGTGTGCAACTGCATTATTTGATGCCAACGGGGACTGAACTGTAATTACCCCTGGGCGGGCCGAGGATTGAAATATCCGCTAGTTTTGACATCCCTGCTAGCTGGGAACTTATCTTTCTTCTTGCTATATATATGATATGCTGCTCTATTTGTTTTCCATCGAGGATGGGAGATGGTGGTCAAATTTCCTATAGAGACGCCAGCTCAAAGGCACGTGCTAGGGGTGGCTATCGCCTTTTCCATCTTAGCTGTGCTCGCACTATGTTTACGACTATTAGCTCACCATATTGCGCATAAAAAATGGATTCTAAGTGACTATTTCATCATTGCCGCCGGCGTGAGTATGGTGCTGAGTCGAGCGATATCAGCTATGCTAACCAGCACAGGTCTTTGCCGTCGGCCTCCAGTCCATTAGCATCACCGGTGTAATCCAAGCCGGCATCGGTTATGATCATGTCCCCATAATTGCAGAAAAGTATGGAATCAAGCCAATCACCAAACTCCTCCAGTTGATCATCCCGTTGCAATTTCTCTGGGTTCTGAGTCTCAGCTGTACAAAAGTCTCCATCTTGTTGCTATATCTTCGCATCTTTCCCGTGAGTTGGGTCGTGCGAATTTCTTGGGCCACAATTGGTGTGATTATAGCTTGGACTGTTGGGACAATACTGGCTGGCTGTCTGATCTGTCGGCCCTTTGCCTTTAACTGGGATCAGACTATTCCGGGGGATCGTGTGGAGACCAGGTCACCTCATTCACGGTGACGGGAGTTATCAATCTTGTTACTGATGTCGTTGTGCTGGTCACACCTATGCCGTTGCTATATAACCTGCAAATGGCCAGGTATAAGAAAGTGACATTCATCACTGTCTTTGGACTGGGGGGAGTGTAAGATGCACAATAGCCGATGAATGAAACGCGAGATGGACCTTGCTAACCTAGAATATAGCACATGCATTATCAGCATTCTTCGTATATCCATACTCTCCACAATGGACTTCACCGACATCACCTACTCAATTCCCCTTGCCAACATCTTCAGCGGCCTGGAGCCCTGTCTTGCTGTCATCCTCGCTTCGATCCCTATGATGCGCCCCCTCCTAGGGCGCTCAGCATACACCCCCGAAGTGACAGCTTGCCCACCCAATAGATCTTTGTCACTGTCGAAAAGATCCAAATCTACTGGCGATAGCGAGTTTCAACCGCTGAAGGACGACTCAAGCGAGCTGTGTTTGCGGCCAATTGGTCCAAAACATGAGGTTGGCGTGGCAGTTGAAAGTTTCACACAGACAAGAAAGATATGCTGCGGGGGGAAAGATTCTAGGAGCAAAATGTCCCTTGAGTCTGGAGAAAGCAATTTGGTTGATCAAGACCCGAACGAGGGCCGTGGGATTTCAGTGAAACAGGAATGGGCTGTGTTGCATGGGCGGAAATGATACCTCTTCACTAAAGCTCTGTGTATACCAAACTAGGAAATATTTACGCCTTGCTGGTCAGGTGTTTAGATGTGATTCGCTCTTTCCCAAAAGAATTCTTGTATTGTCTATTGTTCTTTCCGTTTGTATTGATTGTTTACACTACATTGTAAATGTTTCAGACCGCATAGCTTTTCAGGACAAATCCTCCGATGTCAAAAGTTTTCTGTTTCTGCAAATAATCTTCTCCAAGAAATGCGTCTTGACATCTCTTCAGTAATCTACAAAATGTTGCTCAGATATCTTCTGGCGTTGGTGATTCAACTTTGCTGGGTTGCTCTCGGGCTTGCCCACGAAGAAGCGACAATTGTCTGTTTACCTCTCAAACAACATTCAAGATACTGAAGAAACTAACAACACATAGACAATTCCATGGGTCACAGACGCGCCTGATTACTTCCATGGCTATGGGGGCAAGGTCATTGGCGCCGTAAGTATCAAATCAGCTTCTACCGTGATTCATCACTGACACCCATCACAGAAAGATGCAACGACAACCTATGGAATCAACTGTCTATCGGACAAATCAGACTGCCATAGATTTACTCCAGATATGACCGTCATCTACGGACCCAATAGTAAGTTTGAAGATAGCAACCCCACAAACAGGACACTTTATTGACTCTAAATTTAGCATATGACCTGCTTGCCAACGGCTACAAATTTGATTTCACCTCGGGCTGCACGCTTATGGGCTCTCCAACACCCACAGGCGCCTCCTGCACACAAACACAGTCATCGCATCAAAATAGTGCTATCGATTCGGCTACAGTGCTCGTTCCAGCCACGGGTGTTGATTCCACTCTTGGAATTTTTCCCGCGACATTGATCGTGACAGATAGTGGAGATTTTCCCGCGCCTACTAGCACGACTAAAACCCAAGCTTCTGCCAATTCTGACTTCTCCACTAGTGACGGAAGTTTGACTGCGCCTGCGACCGCAACAGCTGATGTTAGCTCCGCCTCTTCCACTGATGTGACTGCAAGTGGTCTTTCAATTGGGCTCCTGAATTCGACAGCCATGACAATCGGTGTCCCAAACTATTTTGGCAATGGAACTTCGCCCGCTGGGAAAAATGTCTCGACAGTGACGGTGACTGTGCTTGCTACCTCTGTTCCGTGCCACTGTGAATGTGACTGCAGACAAAACCAGACCGCTCGGGCTACTGTCACTGTCCCTTTGACGATGAAAAACCATGCTGCCAAGACGGGTGTACCCGTGGCATTGTGTGGATTCATAGCTGGCGCTATTTTCTGGGTTTAAACTTGCGTTGTCGTACGCGAGAGGCCCCTCGATTAGGAGTATGGCTTATTTTGACCACAATTGATGTGCCATTTGGAAACCATTTTGATGTTGGAACCTATGGTGAGATAGGATCCAGTTAGGAGCAGCGTTTCCAAAGTTGAATGTTAAATTTTGATTTCCGACACCTTTGCATAGGAATAAATTCCGCATATGTGCCAGTATAGAAATGCTTGGTCACATATTTGTAATCCCCGGTAATCCCCGCTAAGACCGACCAATCCCTGCTGAGTAATCTCCTAAGCGCTTACACAGCGGGACTTGCGGAGATTTTCGACTCCGAAGTCGTACTGTGATTGGCTATCAATGGCGATATCATGCCCCTCTAGAGAAATCAATCGATAAAAAAAGATCTTTGTAGTCTCACCCGTGGGACGATTTATGGAGCCATCGATGTTATGTAGAAAACGTATAAAACCCCCTGTTGTTTCTTCTTGGAATCGTTGTAGATCATCTCTCACTGCAAACCGTCCACCTTTCTCCCTCACCACCTTCAAAATGAGCTCCCCTCAACCCGAATTCAAGAACCCGGCTACTTCCACTCTTTGGGAGTTGGTCAAGGCTCGCCGCACCTATTACGACCTCAAGGGCGAGAGCCCCGTCTCCGACGATGTCATTGAACGCATCGTTCAGGACTCCATCCTCCACGTTCCTAGCTCCTTCAACACCCAGACCTCCCGTGTTGTCCTCCTGCTGAAGGAGGAACACCAGAAGGTGTGGGATATTGCCATTAAGATCATGGAGGGTCTGGTCGCTGCTGGCCACGTTCCCAAGGAGATGTTCGAGAATTCCACCAAGCCCAAGCTGAATGCTTTCCGTGCTGCCTATGGAACCGTGCGTTGCCCTTGCAATATGTCTCAATTGAGCGTCAAGACTGGTGAACACGTAGCTGACCCGATGATTCAGATCCTTTTCTACGTCGACTACGAGTCGCTCGCTACTATCAAGGAGAAGTTCGCTATCTACGCCGACAAGTTCGACCCCTTCGCCCTGGAGTCCAATGCTATGTCCCAGTACCTTGGTATGTTCTTTCTGCGGGCTTGTATTAGAGGCGAATAATTTGTGAAACTAACTATCATTCAGTCTGGACTGCCCTTGAGTCCGAGGGCTTCGGCGCCAACCTTCAGCACTACAGCCCCCTGATCGACGATGAGGTTGCCAAGACCTGGAATATCCCCGCCTCATGGAAGTTGGACGCCCAGCTGGTCTTCGGTCTCCCCAACTCGGAGCCCGGCGAGAAGGCCTTTGCTCCTCTTGAGGGTCGCTACAAGGTCTTCGGCAAATAAGTATATATAAACACACACGCATATTCAAATTAGCATCATGAATGAAAGAGCAATGACTTAGATCTCCAATTTAACATAATTTTTCAAATTCCCCATATTAATATGCCATACTGCGTAGTCCAAACGTCCAAATGCACTCTAGCAAGGATACTGCATGCACATGCCTGACATGACGTTGTATGCATGTAGGGGGGATCACGATCTACAAAGCTTAGTCGAACATCCATATACTTGTGTGAAGGGGTTGAAACCTTGAAGATCAACTACATATTACAAACTCCAATGATCGGGAATTGTGGCCTGAGAATACCCGAGGATTAGCCTGCAAGGTCCCGCTGGATGCCTTCGGCCTCGGAAAGTGGTTTCCGTGATGCCGTGCATCCGATTGGATGAAAAAAAATCTGATCAGATTCCGGGCATCAAGTGTCAAATCACTGACGATCAAGGACGTTGATTCACATATGAGTCGCAAATCATTCCCTAGTAGCATTCCATAATCTAGTGCAGATCTATTGCTGTGGTGTATGTGACAAATCATTGCCACCAGGATCTTTTTTCCCTCTTTTTCTTTGCTTCTACAAGAGAGGTGGAGGATATCGGGGGCACAATGTAGAAACAACTATCCATGAATCTTGTTCCTTGGGAGGAAATTGCTAGACATCATTATAGACATACATGTTATGAAAAGGCAAGATCTGCCATCAGAGTACACGCAATCTTTCGCAAGGGATTCGGATAAGCACGCCGTGGACAATATGCAGCGGTGCGTTGTACATCGATGTCGTCGAAAGTTGATCTTTTTTGTGGATAAATCGAGACTTCAACTCCACTTCATCTTATCAATTTAGCCGTTTTTCGCCTTTCCCTACACGATTTTTTTCCCTCTCTTCAACTCTTCATGCACTCATCGTGCACTCATCGTGCACTCATATAGCAATCTGTAATCATTGTCTTCATTGACAATGTCATTCGATCACGCGGGCGACCGCGCCAATGGACCTCAAGATATAGATCTTACCCCAGAAGGTCATGGAGACTCAGCGCCAGCATCCAACCGGTCTTCAATGTCCTACACAAGAACATACTCAACACCAGCGACCGGGACACAAACCCCCGATCCGCTAATGGGCAACAAAACTGTGGACAAAGTGGCCCTCCAAGATCTCTCTATCAATACCATCGGCCGTGAACTCAACGAGAACTATGCCCTCGATACAACAAGCAAAATGAAAAACAGAAAGCACGCAGACTCAATATCCCGATCTCATCCCGATAGCGACGAAGAGTCGGGATCCCCAATCCGCACCAAACAAGGCATCCCGCCTGAGCTCTCAAGCTTCACAGCCGAGCTCATCCTCATCTTCGTCTGCTCAGCAGGCCTAATGCTCTTCTCCTTCCTACTAGGCGACATGCTCGCCCCACAAGAACAAATCAAAACAGCTCTTGGCATCACAAACACCCAGCTCCCCTGGGTCGTCGGCGCCTTCAACACAGCAAACGGCTTATCGGTCATAATCTCCGGCTCACTAACAGATCTCATGCCACCAAAACTCCTGATGGTCGGAGCATTCGCCTGGCTCGCCGTGTGGAACTTAATCGGCGCATTCACCCTCAATCCTTCCCGCTACGTTCTATTCTTCGTCATGCGCGCTATGCAGGGCCTTGCCATCGGCGTCCTCGTCTCGGGAAGTATGAGCATCCTCGGCCGCGTCTACAAACCCGGTGTTCGCAAGAACCGCGTCTTCTCAGCGATGGCCGCTACCGCTCCATTTGGGTTCTCTCTCGGCGCACTGCAAGGCGGAGCGTTGTACCAGAACCTCCCGTGGATCTTCGGTTCAAACGCCATCATCTGCGTGATGTTGTGTGCGGCTGCTTGGTTCGCTATTCCACCCCTCAAACCCATCGCCGATGTTTCCGGCAAGGAAGCTCCCTCTATCAAGCAATTCGACTATATTGGCGGTTTCTGCGCTGCAGGTGGGTGCGTGTGTCTATTGTTCGGTTTGACACAGGGACCCGTCGCATCTTGGTCCCCTTACACGTACGTGTTGATCATCGTTAGCGCCTTGCTCTTTGTCGGGCTTTTCTTTGCGGAACGAAAAGCTGTTCGGCCTCTCATACCTAACCGTCTATGGCGCACGCCGGGCTTCACTCCGTTGATGATTGCGTACTTCCTTGGTTTTGGGTCTTATTTCGGCTGTTGGCAATTCTATGCGATCCAATTCTGGTTGCGTATTCAACACGCGAGTCCCATTGCCGTTGCGCTATATCACATCCCTAATGCGCTCGTCGGTGTCCTGGCCACGTTGATCATCGCCCGCACGCTGCATTTAGTCCCAGGTCACTATATTTACACGGTATCTATGCTTGCCTTCACGCTTGGACCGGCGTTTTTCTTGCCGCAGACTGCCAATACGACTTACTGGGCGCTTTCGTTCCCTGGTATCTCGTTGGTAACGTTCGGACCTGATCTTGCGTTCGCTGCGGCTTCGATTTTCATTACTAGCAATGTTGAACGGTCGTATCAGGGCAGTGCTGGTGCTTTGTTGGTCACCAATCAGAATCTTTCATCGGCGATCATGACGAGTGTTGCTGATGCTATCGGGACCCGTGTCAGTCGTGGCACGGATGGAGAAATTGGCCTTGAAGGGCTGCATGCTATTTGGTGGTTCGCCCTTGCGGCGCAGTTGCTGGCTGCGTTGGTCACGATTATTTGGGTCAGGATTCCCAAGGAGGAGGAGAAGGAGCACGTCACTTGATTTAGTCTTTCGATTGTTTTGTTTAAAGATGTCTTGGATCAGACCTTAGACACTACTCCATTTGATATATAATCATACCATCTTGAGGGCCAACAGCACGCATTTCGAAATGGTTGTGTTGACAACCATCCTTCCATTACATTACTACACCTAAATCATATGAATGAAGCGTATGACAACTGACTGGCTTCTTCATAGTATCATCTCTGATATCCTTTTTGCTTGTATACTTGATATGTGCGAATGTCATGTAGTGATATTGTAAAAGAGAAAGAAGAGAGAGAATTGTCAGTTAGCCACCCGTCCCCCGGAGATATATAACAAAATACCAAACCCAAGGCCATAAACGAAAGTAAAAGAGAAGTTGTCGCCAAAATATCCCATCGCAATGCAATCATAGAAAATGAACAATATTCACGAAAGGAAGAACATGTATCGAAACGAGAGAAAAAAATAAGTCATCAAACATCCATAACCAGCCCACGCTCACTGGTACTTCTTGTTGGAGTCGCCTCCTGCATAACGCTCATCTCAGTGGTCACTTCGATACCACTGAAAGAACTGTGGCTAGAGTGGCTACCAGGTTTAGTCACGACGTTGATCGAATACATATCGTAGTCTTTATCGTGATTCTGGCTAAACAGCTGGGTATGACGTGTCATGGTACGCGTTTCCGTGAGGTTTGTGAGTGTGGCTTTGTTGACAGTATAGCGCTTGGAGCTATCTGCGGAGAGAAGCCTGGGGAAGATGCGGCTGATGATGGGTCGCAAGAATGGGAGACAGGAGCACATTATGGCAACGTTGCATTCCGCGGCGGTCCAATAGGCGGCTGCGACGTTGCTGTCTGTTTGGTAAATTGGATTAGCCCTTTGATCAGCGAATTGGAAAGGACAAGAAGATGACGTACATGATGTGTCGGGGCTTTTTGCGACTTCGCGTAAACTTGACAGACGGAGGATACTGGTGACCACGACCAAGATGCCCATGGCGAAGACGCCTATTAGGGCCAGCTTCTGCGTGCGGGGCAGTTGCAATTTGGAAAGCAGCGGCATGGGCAAAATCAGTAGCGCTATGTCGGTTGTGATGTTCATAGAAGCATTGAAGAACCAGACAGCCTCGAAGTTCAGACAGCTGCCTGGCAAGTCTTTGTTCCAAAATTTGGCGACGGGTACACAGTTCACGAAGCCGCTCACAATAGCCCACGATGAGTAGGTAGCCACAATTGCCATCATGAAGTAACAGGCAAGGCGGAAAGGTTTGCCGGGGAAGATGCGCAAATATTGGAAGAGAATGGAGAATTTGGTGAATGCCAAGCTGGCGTTGTACATGGGAATTGCAGCCCACAAACACTGAGAAAGAGTCAGGTTAGTTGACACTGAAAGAATGATAAGTGAAAAGTGAAGCCTACCTTAAGTTGTTGCTGCAAGACATGGCTAGAAAGGAGTGTGGAATGGACGCCCATGTTATAATGTAATTCTATCATGCGCGTTAGTTTGATTATTCCTTGGATTTACCGGTGCTTCGTGAACTTACGGGCAGCAACGAGTGCAAGGTAGATGAGGGAAAATATCTGCACACATAGACTATTAGCGATCCGATCATTAAGCTCCAGAAGTGGCTCTCCTAGCTACATACTAGAGAGATTAGAATAGCCCAATCTTCACGGCCAGTGATTCTCATCAATCCAAGTCGCGCATAAAACCGCATTGCGACAATGACAGTGGATATGGCGGTCAGCACTACAGTCACGACCAATGCTCGTCGGCCGTGAGAGGATCCATTGTCATCCTCTCGAGGAAACAATGTGTGAATGAAATTGTGCATATTGAGTATTGAAGCCAAGAACCGAATATAGCGAGGGTGGTTGTAGAATGAGAGTGTGTACTAAGCGGAAATGTGTCAATCGATCATATCCAGAGTCGCGGTAGCACAATGGCTTCTAATCGATGCAGCTCACCGCATTGAGCTTGGGATAGAGTGCACCGAAAAAGTGAGGGTGATATCAAAGTAAAAAAAAACAATCCCCTTCGGAGGCATGGAGCGGGGATAAACTCATTTGAATATGACCTCAACGGCGATCAATTTCTGCCCAAACTGCGGAGAACTATTTCATGCATCGTATGCCCCAGTCTGGGTAGTCGGTTCGTGGGAAGACTCCACAGGTTTCGAATAGTCTGCTCAATAGTGCTGCACTAGGCGGTGATCGCATACTCCCATCCGGGTTGCTGGGAGGCCTTGGCACGCCCAAGCGACGGCTCCGGGATATGCCATGTGGTCTGAGGATCTGAATACTGCAGTGAAACTTCCTAGGGAAGCCTTTAGCATGGGAATTTAGTCCCCGAGTCCCCACCATGGGCAACACATATGGATCCCCGTGGAGCGAAGTTTGACTGTTTCTATGCGAGGGGCTACCAAAATGGGGGAAAGATGGACATGTGGCGGCTGAGTCGTTTATGGAAAATACGAGCTATCTTTTCAAGCTTCCTCGTTGGGTATGGAAGTTGAGAACAGGCCTCTGTGTCCGCACTTAGGACCCACTTGGGCGGGAAATCCGCGGCTGCTTGACTGGCTGTATGTATGTCTTTTGCTCGAAGAAAATGCAGAGTGGGGTGGCAATGTCCTAATGTCATCACTGTGATAATATTGATGATTTATGCTGGATGATCCGAGTCCAGCCCTGGCGGTGCTGCCCGGTTACTGGCGAGGTCTGCGGTGTTGGGCGCATGTGCATTGTTGAGGTACATTCTACCTTTATGTTGCAAGTACGGAGTAGCACGGTAGAACATATGTGTTGAACAATTCATAGACGCTGGACGGAGGACCTCGGTGGGAAGGAGAGAGAACAACGTGGTAGATCGACAGTGATCGCTCGCATCATTTCCTAATTGGGCCAGGGTATATTCCCCTTATTGCTCCTTTATTTTGATCTCCAGGGCTAAGCAACCTTGTGGTCTCTGTACTCTGCACGTTATATTGGACTATTCTCCCCCAGCTCACGTTTCTGTATCACTGCCTTGTCGTTCGAGACCTGTACCAGGCTCAGCCGTGAAGATACGAGCGTTTTCTGTTGTAGAGCGCCGAGTTGTGAAACGACGCGGTGATAGCCGCAGTCCAATAATGAAGTGGATGGCATCCACACCAGAGCCATGGAATGCGCCAACGCACAGAACTTGCCATGATTCTATACAGCATAGGGGCTCACTTACCACGGAGTATGACTCCGCTCAACGCCGTTCTCAGCTGTCTCGCTTCACTGACATATCGGTTACTCCGGGATATATAGCATGGGACACAGACAAGCTGATCGACAGAGATCCGAGTTCATTCCTCGGTTTTATGTCGGCACACCGGGTAGATTATATGATGCTCGGGGCGTTGAATCGGTATTGTTTAACAAGCAAACATACCACATTCCTGATTATACATTGAAAACTTGTCACCACGGTTTAGGCTTTGTATCGATGAATGATAGACCTCACATGTCAGACCTCTGTTATTATTGCCATTCGAAGGTGTGCGTTAGAGCTCATTATTACTCTGCGAGCTATCACACCGAGAAGAACCAACATCCAGAAGAGACATCGGGGTGTTATCTTACGTAGAGCATCTATAGTATCACCTTGAGCCAGATGAATCGGATTAGAATTTTTCGTTGTGGCAATCTACATGTGTTCTGTTCCCCTACTTCGTTCAATATTTATCATAGTAACCATTCCCTCCCACTATTTCCTTGACAAGCATCCATGGATCTAAAATTGGCTAGTTGAAATTTGCCCTATAGATTGATTGCATATCACTTCCCCCAAGGCTGAGAGACCCCGAGATCTAGAAAGAGTTTGATAAAAAGTGGCCCTATCTCTTGGCCATGTCAATCATATCCAATAGTGTGATGCATACTGAACAATCACTACATACCCTCAAAATCTACTCCCCAGACAACTCAACAACAACCTCCCCCTTCTCCCCAAGCGCCGCCTTCACAGACGTTCCAAACTCTTCACTAAGCTCACTAATCTTCCGTCTCACCCACACATGATCGGGATCTCTATAATCCAACAACACAGCCCTGAACCGCTCAACACGCGTAGGAAAGATCTCCAATCTCTCCAACCCAATCCCACCACCACTCTTCTCCTTAACAACAACCCTCCACAAAGCCCCAAGATCATTTCTAAACTCCTCATTCAACGCATAATCATCCACAAAATCCCCACAACCATAGATGACAAGCTTCCCATGATAAACCTCAACACCCTGAACATGATGTGAGGAATGTCCATGAACAACATCCACCCCACACTCATCAATCAAGAAATGTGCAAGAGAGGTAATTCGTCCGTCAGGCTCCCACGAATAATTCGGCCCCCAATGCACCGAAAACACCTTCAACGCAGGCTTGGTTTCGTCCGCGCCGACAAGCATTTCCCGCAACCAAGCACGCGTCTCACGCGTGTAATCAAATAGATTGAATCCCGACACACTGGCCCACACGCGTGGGTGGTCAGAGGCGGAGTATACATGGACGGCGTATCGTTGTTGGCCTTCGTCTGTGGACTCGGAAAGCCTAGGTAAATGTAATACGGCAGGCTTGCGTGCGTCATCGGCTGTCTCACCTACCCCTGCGTAGGCGACGTTTGCTTCTTGCAGTGTCTGTACTGTCTCTGTAAGACCGTCGGTGCCGAAGTCAAGGGTGTGGTTATTGGCGAGACTGGCGTAGTCGATACCGCCGGCGTGAAGGATGGGGGCTAGGTTTGCTGGGTACATACGGTAGTTGAATACCTTGTTTGGCCATGGGACTGGGGCTGTTGTCACGGAGGTTTCGAGGTTGATGCATGCCAGGGATGAGGATCGGAGGAGGGGGAGGGTTGTGCCCCATGGTGAGGAGGGGGTGTAGTTGCCCTTTCCGAGGAGGGCTGGATGGGCTTTTCTAAAGGTTGTGGCGATGCGTTCGTCGTGCTCATTGGTGACGTGCTCTGGCATTAGTTGGTCCAACAGGCGGCCGAGCATGACGTCGCCTGTGAAGGTAAGAGTGAATGTTTTAGGGGACATTGTGGACAGTGGTCAGGTTAAAGAATTAGGATTGTTTAGAGCGGACTGGATATGTTTTCAATTGAGTTGGTCGAGGTTGGGTTGGAAGTCATTATGACATCGGTCCTCATAAAGTCAAGAAAAGATACATTCACCCACATAAGCATAGAGTTGAAGTAAATGGATCGCAGTTTCACATTATAAAATACAATTCATTGGACACACTTTTTTTAGAAATAATAACACAACTAGGGACCGGATATCCCAGTAACGTGAGTGGTATCTTTGTGCGCCGTTTATCTCACGATGAACACCTTGCAAAACATTATCCGAATATCATTATTTTCGTCACTGCTTGGACGTCGAATTTATCGTCTCATCTCTGCCAGTTCGCGTTCCTTAGCTCTGAGCATCTCGCGCATCTGCTCAGCTTCGCGTTCAAGTCGGGCACGACGATCAACCGAGTCTCCAAGAGATGCAAGGCCAGGCAAAGGCTGCGGTGGGTGGGGTGAAGGGGAGATAGAGTGGTGAATAGGAGGTGCACGTCCCAGATTTGTATCCGAGCGAGGCTCACCCCGAACATCTGATTGGTTCAGGATGGACGAGATGGAGCTGAGACGACCCGGGGGAGTGGGATTGGCGGAAGACATAATCGGAGGCAGCTGATTTGATCCAGCTTCCAATGTAGACGGGGCTGGTGGGCCTTCTGTCGCAGTCTCGGCCAATGTTCGTTTCTTGGGAAGGTTGAGGGAATTCGGAGAGGCAGAGCGTCTTCCGTACTGTGACACGGGCGAATGTCCGAGTCGCTCCACTCCCAAAGGCTTGGGCAGACCGAGACCATGTGCAAGTGGCACGGATGAAACATTGTAACCGGTGAAATCAACCGGCGGTGGCGCAAAAGGTATGGGTCGAGGGGTATCTTCGGTTTTCCCATGCATCATATGGTAGTGATCTGCAGGCTCATTGCTCATATATCGGTAGTGATCGTCGTGGCCATGCGCCAGGGTAGCAGGTGATGCCTCCGGAGATGCCGATGAGCCATTAGAAGAAAGGGTAGCAGCGGTAGGAGACTGGTCTCGTAGGGCGGGAACAACGCGTTTGCGACGTTTGATGATGGACTTTTTCATGTTGGTGGGGCGATAGCATCCGTGCAGCTTATAATACAATCCTGCATTGTGTTAGACAAATCAGATCATCAAGTCTATACAAGACCCAAACTTACCGCAAGCGTTACAAATGGGGTGGCCCTGTTCGTCGCGCCGCCATAGGGGAGTTACGGTTGTGCCGCAATTTTGGCAAGCAACCAAAGTATTAGGTCCATCGGCAGGAGCAGGTGCCTTCACAGGTGGCTCCTCTTGCGTCACAGGCTCAAGCTCTTGTGTTGGGTGACGGCCCCACGAAGATTGAACGGCGGCCGCACCTCGGGGAGCAGACTTATATATCCGGTTGTTGAATGCCGGACATCCATCACACCCTTCTGCGCCACCAGTACCATTGCAACTCCCACCACCAGGACATGACCCCTTGCAACCACCTCCGGAGGAACCGCCACAGTGGGAGCTCGCAGGAGGCGGTGGCTTCTCAGCACCCTCTGATTGCATCCGATTTCGTTTTGTAGGGCGGGCGACGTTGCGAGCTTTGAGATAGAGACCGCAGGCGTTGCAGATCATCGCTCCCGTGGGAGAACGACGCCAGAGAGGAGTGCTTTTTGTACCACAATTACTGAACAATGTTAGCGCTAAGAACCTAAGTGTCAATCAAAACCATCCAGTCAAGACTCACCTGCATGAATGCCCTAGGAACGTTGTGTCTTTTTGGCTACCGGGGGATGTTTTCTCATTGGGAAGTTCATTCTGTCCAGTCCACTTATTTGATCCCGGTTGGCCGGCTCCTTGCACCATGCCATCTTCCCGGTAGTGATCTGCTAGATGTTCACGACCTGCTTGCGCTGAGGATATCAACTGCTGAGCAGCATCCAAGTCTTCAGCTGACGGTTGTCGCATGGGAACTTCGGAATTTCGAGGCAGAGAGTGAAGCGCTTCCATTTGTGGAATAGACGCTAACATTACAATGTGTGATCCAGGCCAGAAATCCTGTGGCCGTGGTGATCCTTGGAACGGGAGGATCGAATATGAAAACGGCTGAAGCGAAAAAAGAGAGTGAAAATCCTATGTGAGAGCGATGTCGCACCACAGTCGAGAGCAGAATGCACCGTATCACTCAAAAACCAAATGTCGGTCAAGCTGACGGTTAGAGAAGAGATGGGAAAGTCAGTCCAGCAGGAAGATCTGCAGCCACGATGCTGCAGGCTCGGGGGAATCGCAGAGCGATGTATCGGGATCGCGGTCGAACACAAGCAAATTCGGATGCCGCCACGTAGGAATCAGGAAACCGAGTGTCGAGTAGATTCAACTAGTCGACCCGCCACCAAAGGATAGTTACTGGCTTGTATGGACCAGTGGCGACTCAACGGCGTGAAACAGTCAGGTGATGGTGATTGCGACAATTGACAGCACACCACAGGGTCTGGTCTGACTACCAAGCGATCGTGGGGGACGGTTTCGTTCGGGGATGGGAGACCCGGTGCAAAAGGACGACTAGCGAAGCAGGGATTGGCTGAGAGGCTAGGGAGCTGCAAGATGGTGATCACTCCGCGTCACTGGGCAAAGTGGGCACACAATATGTGATGAAGGCGATAAGGACGAGTCCAAGGATTCGAGAGAAAAGAGATGTCGAGGATATCAAAGCCGAAGTGGAAAGCCGAAAATGAAAAGATAAAAAGTTGAAAAGGAGAAACAAAGAGGCGAGACCGAATTGCTTATCGCCAAAGAAAGGGATTGGGGTTTATCGATCTAAAGGGGCGATCGACGGGCATATCAATCTATCACTTTTTATCTACTCCGAGGATCGCATCTCATCTAATCAACTTTCTTTAGTTTTCTGGCTTCCTTATACAACTCAGCTAAATCTCGGATATTCTTGCATTCTATATGTCTCTAATATTGCATGTAGAACTCCACCAATGACCTGATGAAGTCTAGTTGAGCGAAAAAAATAAGTGGAAAGGGTGGAAATAGGTGGAAAGACTGAGGTGAGAGTGGGGCGATGGTGGGCAATCAGATATCTGGGGACGATGATTGGTTCGAGGGGAATGACTAATCCTGTAATCATCTCTCTGGTGATTCCGATTGGTCGGTCGGAGATAGAATATGCCGAAGCGATATGGCCAGATATATGGCCACGCTGTACTTTTGGTATTGTACTTACCAGTCTAAGACACCTAATCTATTTATCAGATCAGATGATCTCTCACCGGTATTAATCAATAAATCATTAGAGCATATTGCTGCTAGAATGCTAGCCCAAATATAGTACAGGTGTCTCTCCTTTCTGGTATCAACAAAAAATATCGGAGACCCAGCAGAATCACCCTCAAACCCCATCTCTCTATAATGACATCCTTCACCGTATTCAGACTCGAGGGCATCCCAAGGTCATTGCGCTCAACATCGCCTACCACACACTGAAGGAAGCTGTCTGATTAGACGATTACCATCAGAGTGCTAACGCGATCCACCCCAATTGGGACGTGACAGGAAATGGTCATCGCCACCTATGCAGGCAACAATTTAGACCTGCTCAGCACCCCAGCCCTGATCGGATTCGCGCATGTTGGAGGGAGGCTCGATGGAGGGAATAAACTCGAGGGCGACGTATCCAAGACCAATGAAGGCGACGAGCGAACCATCAATGATGCGCAGCACGTGGTCGTGCAGCAGAATGGAACCGATGAAGATATAGACTGTTGACGGAAGCTGTTAGGCGAATTCCCCTCTGATATGGGGACGTGCAAAGGGATGACTTACAAACACCGCGGCCGAGGAAAGAGAAGAGGAACGAAGCATAACGGTACGCGTAATCCGGGACGTGAGGCAGGAACTCCAATCCGCCGATGACTGAGATTGTGTTAGCGCTAGCTATTGGCGCGGGTTTGGATTACCATAGAGACGTACCGAGACCGAAGACAACAACGTATGCGCCCAGGATGAATGAACTCCAGGTACCGGTGAAGAAGTTACTGATGCCACCGAGCACCATAAACACACCCACGGCGATATTGACAAGACGGCTGCATTGGATCAGTACCAACACGGAATATCCCAGGAAGAATCAACATACAAGATGTTTGTGAAATCCATTGCGATAGCGTTGAAGGGTTTATAAGATGGAAGTGATCCTCAATAATGCGGAGCCGAGACGTTAGGCTGCAATGTATCGAAGCAAGGATTGGTGTCGAGTGACTAAGTTGAGTCTTCGGAAGCGTTAGGTTAGCTTAGAACACGAAGATCGATGGTGCTTGGTCTCGTCAAATCGCTCAAATAATGATGGAAGTAAGGTTCGCCAGAATTCGCCAGGCTGGACCTCAGTTCGTTGTTTTCTATGACAAAGGGAAACACACCTTTGAGACCAAACAGGAGGTCTAAAAGAAGCTATAGTAAGGAACACGTCTTTGATCAAAAAGCTTGCCAGGTTTTTTCTTGAAGCAAAACAGGGGGAAATGGAAATGAGGACGTCGACAGCAGCTGCGCTGTCGCGAGCAGCGGGTCTGCCAAGGCCACTGGTGGCTCACGTGATCTGCCACCGGTCAGTGCGGAAGCTATGCTACATTAGGCATCAAGCCCAATGTTTCCTTGGCGTAGGCCTACAGGTCTTGGCCTGGCTATCATCGATCCCTGGAGGGTGCGGCTTCGTGGTAAGTTTGAATGTTGCTATCTGGTATGGTGAAGGTCTGAAAGGAGACCTTGATCTTAACCCTCTCAGTAATAAAGCAAAGGGCATAGAAAGAAAAGATAGACAGTTAACAGTTTACGAAAGCGTCGCCAGATATATATGTTCATATATATCAACATGAACGAAACCATGCTTGACTTACAAAGTGAAATTCAGGAACGTCACACAAACATATTGTGCAAGAACGCTCGATATACAACCATTAAGCTCGTCAAGTCCCTACAATGTAATGTGCTTTCTACTTCCACGGATTAACTACGTCGACATATCTGAGTAATTTGCATATCATGCTCCTTCCTGTTAATACCCATGTGCACCAGCATATCCCAGCGTGTACGGCTAAATACCGGGATAACTGGACTTTTATATCAAGGTCATAGATGATACCAATAGAAAAATTGCAGCCCTATGTCTCCATGATGATGACCTACTCAAATGGCACCTTGATATCCTGTATTCAGAGCAATGATTCTTGAATATATACTCAAGCAAGAGCACTAAGACTTGACCGAGCAGCAACTCTCTCTGCAAGTGCACCAATCTACCCATATGTCTGACAGATGATATCTCTTGGAGTCACCGTAGCCTTACCGTTATCGCAGTGTATTCGGACGTTGAGCTATTTCAAGGGCCTGCGCGCCGCAGAGAAACCGAATAGCCAGACACCAGCAGCATCTTCGCCTTCGTTGCAAAGTTCAAGAATCACTGAATTCATACAATCGTTAGAGTCCTGGAGAAAATGCCTGCTCTTCATGCTCATAGTCTCTCTGCGCTGCCTCATCTCAAGAAGGGTCTTTCGCTCGCTCCTGCCAGAGCTAGTGCGAATGACATTGAGAGCCAACATATTATCTTAATCATCCAATTCGAGCCTCGGAGTGACACCAAGGACATTGTAATCGCTGGTGGTGCAGGTTTTACGTGAGCCGATTCCTTATCACCCCAATTGTACATCACTGACATGGCTTTTGGTGGAGGTTGGGTAACCCGCCAAATAGCGGTGCAGTTCCCCGAATACAACATCGTCTGCTTTGGCAAGGTCGACGTTGTCTCTTCTCTGTCCAATGTCAACTGCTTGAACTCTCTGCCCAACTTCACTTTGTGTGCAAGGGGACCTTACGGATCAGGCGGCCCTCGCCAACGTTCTTCTGGACTACAAAATTGATTGTGTGGTGCACTTCGCTGCATGCTCGCACGTCCAGTACTCATTCAAGGATCCCCTCAGCCTCAATGTCAACAAAGTCTTCGGTACTCAACAGCTTCTTGAAGGCCATTCATCACCACAAGGGCCCCCCAAAAGTGAACTGCTTTCTCCATGCCAGCTCTGACGAGGTGAATGGAGATGTTGTAGAGTCGGCATGCGATGAGGCCAAGCAATTCATGCCCACAAACCCATACTCAGCTTCCAAGGCTGCTGCCGAGATGTATGTCTGGGCATACGCAAAGTACTTCAGTATTCCATCTCTCGTCGTGAGAAGTAACAACGTGTTCGGACCTGGTCAATACCCCGAGAGTAAGTATTACAAACCTCGGACACATTCAGGGGACGGAAACATGCTATGACACGAGATTAGAAATCGTATCCCCTGCTTCTGTGCCCTGCTAATACAGCAGCAGCTGCTAACAACCCAAGGCAGCGACTTGAAGAAACGCCGCCACCTCTACGGAGCCGATGGTGCCGACGGCTTTGACACGCTGCTGCACAAGGGTGTGATCGGCGAGGCATACAACATACAATTATCCCACAGCATCACCAACCTTTAAGTCGCCGTTCGCATACTCGAACTCTCTGGCTACAGCGCGCGCGAGATTTCATACGCTCACTCACTTGGATCCCCGACCGTCCCCTCAACGACACAGACTACTGGGTCGACGGCAGCAAGCTGGCTGCATTGGGATGGCGCCAGCGTGTGCCTTTCTCCGCAGAACTCAAGGCTCTCGGTCAACTGGTACCGCAAGAACTTAGAGACTTGGTGGCCCAAGGTCTCGGAAACAATCGATGTCACTTCCACCGCAACCACGGAGAGCGACATCCCTCCCCAACTCAGTGTGAATGTGGTCGACGACCTCTGTGATGGTGAGGTGTTGGAGGAACCATCGGGCTTGAACGCGCCTGTGGTGGTCGCTGTGTGAGCTTAATCATGTAGCTTGCTCTCAGTACACGATTTGAAGCTATTTTGGTGCATAAAGAACATGGACAACTCCGGCTTGGGATCAAGTGAGAGCTGTTTTGGGTTTTATTGAAATTGTGTTTATGGGTTTCTTATATATCGAGACTAGTTTGAACGGATGATATTTTGTTCTATATTTTTTCGGCCACACGCTGCAACTGCAAAATAAGTATTGGTCTCAAGTTGGACCCTTGTAGCATGCGTCCATACATGTCCCAACAACGCAGCAAGTGCAAGTAACTGGGGAGTATCGGTCTATCCCTGATAACCTTGAGACAAGCCAAATAATATCAGGGAACACTATTTCATTGTAGTCAGTCTATCCGATTTTTCGGAGAGATATCTAGGAGCATCACTAATGGTGTGTCCAAATTACATGCAGGTAGGAAATTATACTCCCTGTGGTTGGTCACCTTTACACGCTAGCTAGACTAGATTCTGGTCGAAATAGAGTGTTTATTTGTTCTAGTTGAATTAGCAATTCGATTGTCGGGTTATTCCGTCGTTACCCGAGCCCTACATTCATATGTATCCGATCATAAATTTGAGCTTTCCAATCACACAAACTAGACTAGATGAAAAAACTATGAGATAACTAAAAATATGAAACCAGGCAGATTGCGACCCTACATGTACCCTACCACGACAGCATGCCAGAGAAGGTCCAATGATCCATACATGCTACAAGCGACGCCTTGGGAGTAACACCAATACTGTAGTACTTCTGAAATATACTGCCAATAAATATCTACTTCCTGATTAGGAGGTTCAAGTCTCAACATGCAATTTATGGGCGCCATTTTCGCGGTATCATTTCAAGATCTGTATTTTAAATCAATGTATGCCGGTGTAAAAGATGCTGTTTTTGATTTTGATGGCATGTATGCATGGATCTTCTCTGCCGAGCTGCCGAGCTGTCGTGGTAAGAGAGGAAAACCTGACTCCGTTGAAAGGGGACCTGACTCATGAACCCCGTTGAGACCAATAGTCAACGAGAGATCATAAATTATAGCCGGGATCATTTTACCCTCAACCGCAGTGACGTCCCAAGCGAAGTGGCGAACATTAAAGACATACTAGAGATGCAGGGTCACATCGCGAACGTGCACCAACGAAAAATTTGGAGGGCCAAGTTAGCGTGGGAGCTAATTACATCGCATTGACCCAGGTCCAATATTGTTCGAGTCAACCACGAAACATATCAAGTCGATGCACGACTCCGGCTCACTGATGCGCACTAAACGTGCGGGTCCCGTCTCTCGGCCAAATGAATGCGCCATCACGAACCCCTGTCGTCGGCACGATAACGCACCGCGCTCTACGGAGTAGACCTTGGTGTTTTATGTGTCCGAGAGATGAGTTGGCCCGTGAAAAAAAAAATGTGTCCGATCACGCTGACCAACTTCGAGATTCAATGGCCAGTATCGTGGCTTTGCCATGGAGTCTTAGTATATCTATCCCTTCCTGCCGTGGGAATTGAGTTCACAGATCACACATTGAACGATATTAGCCTGCGGTTGGGAGAATTCGACATCTGCGACTATCTATTTCTTCGGTTTCAATTGCCCACAACGATTTAGTCGAAGCTTCTTTGAGAAAAAGAAATATCGATATGGAGTCCTGGTTCCAGTATCGCCGTCTTCGCCGCGAAGCAGAGGAAGATTTGGCCAATAGTCAAACCAAGCTGGGGCGCAGTGGTACCTCATCGCCGTCTCTGGGATCAGACCAAGAGGCAGGAGTGGCCGAGAAGCCAGCCGTCTTCGACGATGTCCCCCTTGTACCCGGCGTGGAGGTTTCTCGGTTAGGAGACAACGGCGAGGTTGTGTTCGTGGTTGGGTGGAGGGAAAATGACCCAAGCAATCCTCTCAACTGGTCTCTACTTCGCAAGTGGATGGTCATGTTGTGCTGCTGTCTGGTCGCCATCGCCATGACAATCCCTTCCTCAGTGGAGGGTGCGACTCAAGACGCTTTCGATGCGCACTTCGGTGTTAACGCCATGGCTGGATCTATGACGACCGGTATGTATATTGTTTCCCTCTCTTTGGATATCCTGCATTCTAATCATCAACAAAAGGTATCTTCCTGATTGGAATCGGCGTTGGCTCTCTATTCGCCGGTCCATTCTCCGAGACCTTCGGCCGCAATATGGTTTACTTCACCGCACTCATCTTTGTAATTCTGTTCGTGATGGCAAAAGCTCTGGCACCAAACTATGGCGCAGCCCTCGTTTTCCGCTTCCTGTGTGCTCTATTCCCCGCTGCCCCAATGACAGTCTCCGGGGGAACCGTCGGCGACATCTGGCAACCATTGCAGATTCCCTTCGGCCTGCCCCTCGTCACCATCGCCGCCTACTCGGGCCCGATCCTGGGCCCTGTGATCGGCGCCTACACCCCGCAGATTGGCTACGTGTGGGCCGATTGGATTTCGATGATCATTAGTGCCGTCGCTCTGGTCGTCGTCCTACTCGGCCAGCCTGAGACCTTCAGTCCTGTCCTTCTGGAATGGCGCGCGAAGCACCTCCGCGAACTGACGGGTGATAGCCGGTACCGCGCTGCCCATGCGTCTACCTCTGCAAACTCATTAGGCCCGCGTCTGCTCACCAACGTTTCCCGGCCCTTCGTCATGATCTGGACTGAGCCAATCATTCTCATCTTCAGTTTCTACCTGGTCCTTCTCTACTTCGTGCTGTTTACCTTCCTCAACGGTTACCCCTTCATCTTTGCCAATGTGTACGGTATCAGCACCAGCTTGACCTTCGTCATCTTCGTCGCCATGATTCCCGGTGTCATTGTTGCTCTGGCTATGATTCCTCCTCTGTACAACATGACCAAGAAGGCCGCAAGACAGGCTGAGGCTGAGGGTCGGGCTTTGCAGCCCGAGGTATCGCTCTACTGGGCCATGGCAGGCGCATCTATCATGATGCCGGTTTCTCTCTTCTGGATGGCCTGGACTTGCTACGTAAGTTCTTCTAATCCATCATCCCACATGATATTTACTAACATTACCTTCCAGGCTGACATCAGTATCTGGTCCCCAATCGTGGCCTCCGGCGTCTTCGGCTGGGCCCTTGTTTGCATTTTCACGACGACATACATGTACATCATCTTCGTGTACCTGCAGTATGCTGCTTCGGCACTTGGATTCATGACCTTTGCGCGGTATGTCGTCGCTGGTGCTCTCAGCCCTGCTTCTGTCAAGATGTACGAGAACATTGGTCCCCATTGGTCGGTGACTATCGTTGCTGTTCTGGCTACTCTCATGGCGCCTGTTCCCTATGTGCTTTACAAGTACGGCCACAAGGTTCGTGCTATGAGCAAGAATGCGGCCAACAAGGCGTAGATCCCAGGCTTTTGGTTGGGGTTTGTATTTACATGTGAAAAATCGGATGGGATGTGTGTGGTTGAGAGGTGGTTTGGGGCTACATGTGACTAGATGGATTAATTTAGATATTTCATTTTCTTTCAGGATTACAATAATCAATGAACACGACTTTATGTACTACTTCTCGTTGTTTTGTCTAATATAGGAGGCATGAAAAAGCCTTCATCTCTTCATTTAATATTATGTCCTCCGTATCAATTTTGAGCTTCTATCGCATTGTTGGCTCAATAGTCAAGAAAATCAGTCCCGGAATGTGAAAAATGTCTCGATAATATCATTCCTGTAATTTGTGCTGATCACCTCAAGATTGAAGTTTTTCTGATACATCTTGGTAGAATTTTGCTTGGAAATATCTAGATTATGACTTCTGGCATAATGGGCGGAAAGCACAATTGGGGATAGCCATGAATGACTCTGGATGACAAGCTTGTCCTCGCCGATCTTAGATTTCTGAAATGATGAAACAATAGGCATCATAGCACTAGTTTTTTGATAATTCGTTAATAATTTTGATGATCCTAGGAGAGTAGAAGGGCTTTATAGGGGCTTTATAGCCTGACCTGACTGCTAGGGAGGGGAAAGAAAAGGGCGAAATCCCTACTATTCAATCTCTAGAAAGAACAGGGCATTGATACCATAACAAACTAGCAAGCAAACCGCTTAGTCTGGCAACTAATCAATTAAGACGATCTGAAGACGGTTCAGGGATGGTCTGAGATCCAACAGAACCAGAAAAAAGACAGGACAAAAAGACAGGACGCAAAGTGGAGAGAAAAGCAAAAGAAACCCCGAAAAAGCAAAGAGATCCAGCAATACAATCACAGACTCCGAACCCCATATTGGATACACAAGGGTACCTAGTTACCTGTGATTCGCTAACTACTGTGCTTGTTCAATGGCAAGAGATTGTTGTATGCAACATGTTCTCATGGAACCCCTACGAATCCACTTCAAAGGACCACAAAATTGTTTCCAGTGTCTATCCCCGCCGCAAATCATTCAGCTGGTGCAACTTGCGATCGTGGTGGAGACTATGACCCAGTGCATCATCAGTGGTCCAATCGCTTCTGTTGATCGTCAATAAATCATGCAGAGAATGTGCATGTATCATCCCTCCATGCATGTGGATCTACCAACTAGGACAGTACTCAGAGATAAACTGGTTCAAGAGGCCAAGGCGGCTTATGTTGAGACCTGCTCATTGCTCAGATACTCATTGGTTTAAATATAGTTCATGTAGCCTCGATACAAAAGTACATAGTTCCCAATTCTCTTATGACTGCACCTTCTTCATCTTCATCGTGGAGTTGACTTTCGAAACATCATTACGAGGAGAACTCGGGAGAAAATCAGATTGGCCCTCTGTGGGATTTTAGAACTATCATCTGCGAATGACCATGGAGGCTATCGTACCGAGAAAACCATGGCTTTTCAATCTACGCTCTTCCAAGCAACTGATCGGCCTGGCTGTCTTCTCCACTACCTTTACTGATGGATTTCTCTACGGGATCGTAGGTGCATCTATCATTACCAGCATAATGCACATACTGACCCTAGGCTGTCTTCTAGATCGTATCCGTCCTTCCATTTTCCTTAACTAATCGATCCGGAGTATCAGAGGCTGACGTCCCATTTTGGACGTCAATCTCCTTAGCCGTCTTTGGACTTGCAATGGTCCTCGGCGCCCCGATGGCAGGTTGGATTGTCGGAAAATGCGAAAGACGTCAAATACCATTTCTGGGAGGCCTCTTTTGTGCATTCTTTGCCACACTCTCATTCATGCTTGGGGTCAAGCCGTGGATGATCATCGTGGCAAGGGTTTTCCAGGGTCTATCTGCGAGCGTTGTCTACACTGCCGGCCTAACGCTGTTGGTGGACACGATCGAGTCGCACGAGCTGGGACCCTGGATTGGTTTCGGACTCTCGGGCATGAATTTTGGCGTGCTTGTATCACCCACGCTCGGAGGAATCGTATATGAAAAAGCAGGGTTCTATCCTGTCTTTATCATGGGTCTTGGCGTCGTCGTCGTCAACTTGATCCTCATTTTGCTGATGATTGACAGAACGGCTGCTAAAAAATATACAGCACAGAATGGCTCCACTAGGGCTTCCTCCCTCCCGAATGGAAACTCGACAAAGAGTGCTATTGCGAATGGAAAACGGCGATTGTCGACTGTCGAAGATGGCGATCCAACCAACACAACACCGCTCCTCTCACACTGCCGCGAGTCCTCTTCGGCGATTGCAAAAGATCCTTCTTGGTGGAGTATCGTCGGAGGCGTTCTTCGAAATCCACGAATACTGGCCGCGTTATATGGATGCCTCATCAACACGATCTTAGTGAGCGCCATGGACGCTGTCCTCCCGACGTTTATCAAGCATACTTTTCACTGGTTTTCCGGTGCTACAGGAGCAATGTTTCTAAATATAACCATTCCATCATTCCTTGGTCCATTTGTTGGTATGATCTCGGACAAATATGGCGTGAGATTGGTCTCAACTTTTGGTTTTACGCTGGGGGCTGTAGCAGTCGGTCTCCTCGCTCTGATACAACAGGACGATACTGTAAATAAGGTTTTCGCCTGTTTACTATTAGTCTTCATTGGTAAGCTCCGTCGTGTTTTGCATAAGCGTTATAACTTTGCGTAGGTTTGCTCATGATAAACAGGCATAGGGCTCAATACGTCACTGACCCCGTTGGTTACGGAGCTACCTCGCATCGTGAATGTTCTTCAAGAGGAGCAACCGGATTTATATGGCGACAAGAGCGCAGTTACTGAGGCTTATATGCTCCTCGATGCAGCGTTTGGCGCCGGAACTGTGCTTGGTCCATTGCTTTCAGAGCTCGCCTATGAGACTTTGGGATGGACTGGATGCACCACCATGCTGGCGCTTTTGACTGCGTCAGCCATACTTCCAGTAGTAAGTTGCTGTCTGTTCATTAACTTGTTGAATATGGTCGCTGATTTCAAGCAGGTGGTCCATTTGGCCCCAAATCCGAAAGGCCGGTAAATGATGTTTCGGTTATATATGTTTCTCGTTATCTAGTTGAGGCATTGTCAAGGCTTTTAGGAAAGCATTGAAGAATGTCAAACAACCCATGCCCCTTTCGTTGCGAGCTCTGACACATGGTGGGAGTGAGGGGTGATCATAATTCCAGGTCAAGGGCTGGAATAGTTGTACCTAAAGGAAAACCCCCATAAGCTTGTTCTTCCGGTTAGGATACATCGATGAATCTGGTATGCAGTTTCAAAGTTCCTGAATTACTTCCTGTTTTTTCTCCAGCCGGACCTCAGAGAGGCCATTAGCGAACCAACTCATTCGCATAGGGTCCCGATCCAGTGCATTGTATATCTCATCCAAGTCAGTGCCAATCCCAATCTCAGCTGCAGTCTTCAAGCTCCGTGAATCGACAGAAGGAGCAATGCTTGGCCACACGCTTTGAACACTGTTGAAAAATATCTCCACTGCCAAGTCACCAATCCCTTTGACCTCCTTCAGTAATCGTCCAACTTTGTTGATTTCGCAGCCTGCGTCCAGGAGGAGATTGTTCAAATCGCCCTCTGTACTCATGCAACGTCAGCGTCAGCATCTACATGGGGTATAACATCGTGGATTCAAATATGTGTAAGCTAAAGCATACCATATTTCTCGACAACAAGATCCGCGAGCTCACCGAGATTGGTAGCGCACTGCTCCCGATACCGATTGTAACCCCCAGCTTGTAAAACCATCGTTCGATCTTCCCACGTACTATTGGAAAGTACGTCGATGTCATAGTACCTGGCTTTGATTAATTCTTTTATTGTTTTCTGCGTCAACTCGTGAGAGATTGGCCTTGCTTTGATCAGGGCATCCATAAGCATCGCCAGTACCATCTCAGGGCAGGAGTTTGGCGAGTCGGCAAAGGTTGTGCCATGTAGAGGTGATCTGCCGAACTCATTCAGGACTTTGTCAATTTTGAGGGCTACTTCTTTCGACGTATGTGGTGGCATCATGGAGCACGTGAAGTAGTGATTATATATGTGGTTGAATGATCTTTCTGCTGAGTTTCAAACTGAATACTCAAGCAATGCTCCATTGACGTCATAATGGCATATATAGAGTGACCAGGCTTTGCAATATATACAGGTCAAGGCTGAATGTGGAACTGCTACGAGTATACAACAGTTGAACTGTTCAACGAAGTTCCTCACAGCTTAGCGCGAGACTTGTTCTGCAGGACCTCGTTGACCAAAGCCACAGCGTCATATGCACAGCCGAAGGAGGCCTGATAGCCAAATCCTCCATGGCCGTAGTTGTGGACGACAGCCACACCATCCACCTTGTCCTTCTCAATGCGAGTGCCACCCTCTCTCAGGGGTCGCAAGCCAACGCCATGGCGGATGATATCCAGCCCCTCAATACCCTGTCCCTCCTTAACGAGACTGGGGCAGACTTCGATGCAACGCTTCATGATGCGAGTGGCAAGGTTCATATCTGGGAGTGCATCCCAGTTATGCTTTTGATAAGAGCCACCGAGGATGGTGCCACCACCTAGAAGCAATCAGCCAATGGTCAAACAGTACAACCAGCATATAGGAATATAGGATCTTACCTGCAGCACGAGTCATAATGTACAATGCCTCATCTTCTCCGTCGTCAGTCCCGGATGTCGACATCATGGGACCGGGATCGTTGCGGACCACGACGATCTGGCCACGGGCAGGGTGCATCTTCTCGTCGAGAACTCCGCCGAGGGTCTTGGACGACAGACCAGTGCAGTTGATCACCACGTCAGCCTTCTGTCCGGAGTGGTGGGCATTGGCGGCATCGGCGATGTGCTTGAAGATAGCTCGCTTGAAGACCGCGCCGTTCTTGACGCACTGACCGACTAACCAGGGCAGGTAGACGGCGGTGTTGATGCAGACAGAGGTAAACTCCTGGGCGTTGTCTATCCCAGCAGGCAATTGATCCGAGGGAACGCCTTTGAACTAGAGTCCTCCCGTCAGTATGTAGCCAGTCTGTGACACCAACCCACGGTTCAAACATACATCAGGCACGACATCTTTATACCATGGGTTTGGCTGAGTCAGTTCCGAGAACCACTTTCCGGTGTCTGATTCCTGATCCTTCTTTCGGTTATAGATCAAGGTGCCTATATTTTGTTAGAGGGTCATCGTATGCTGATCAGGTTCTGGGGAAGAGATCATACCTCGGAAATGGATACCGGCCTCGGGGTACTTCTCCGTAATTTCCTTCAATGCTGGCCAGGTATTGCGCTCCCATTTCTGATGAGCACTTCCCTCCTTTCCCACCCTGTAGAAGATCCACTTAATCAGAACTTTATCTCAAGGAACCGGTTTCAGTTGGTCATACGGCATATAGTTGGCACCGGCCCATGGGGACGCATATTCAATATCATAGTCTCCAGGCATGTGTTTTGCCAGAACAGTTATCTTGTTGGCGGGATCTTGCGACAGCAGATATGCGGTGGTCAAACCAGACACACCAGCGCTGTTACATTGTTAGTGATCAAACGACTTTCAGAGGTAAAAGAGAATCTTGGGATTCTTACCCCAAAACTACAATGTTGTTCGCCATGGACTGTTGATTTTCTAAGCAAAGTACAAAAATAAAAGCTGGGAACAATTGAGATGCAAGGGGTTTGCTGAAAGGAGTGGGGTGAGGGGAGAGCTCTCAGTCCGGTACAGGGTCCGGTAAGGTCTGGTAAGGTGTTGTAAGGGTCTGCTTATCTCAGTTTATACTTGACCCATTGTGGAAGTCCTACCGAGGCGGTGTGGAGCAGTCACCAATCAGATGCCACGCAAATAAAATAAACGCGCTAGAGATTTTCAGTGGGTCCATCGATGGATACGCACTTTTAAAAATACACCTCCGCATAAGTGCGGAGGTGATGCTGACTTGTAGCAAAGGGCGAATTGGATAGGTAGAGCTGATTGAAATCCTTCAATGCTCTTGTTTGTGAAACATCTCTCGACCTTTCATTCAAGTCTTCAGTTAGTATCTAGTGATTTCACCTTGACTTCCAGCAAGGAGCTCCGTAAAATCCCGCTCCATTACTCCGGACTCCACTCCGAATTGAACGTTATCGATCACATTTGATCTTGAATTGCTTGAATTGATGCTCACTTTGCTCTTGGATCATTGTTCTTTTCCCATATTCTCGTGTCAGATAACCGAGAAGAAGCTTCGATTTCCTAATTATAGATTTGAATACCTGGAAAGGCTTTTGATACAAAGAAAGTTGGGCGATGTCATGGTGGACAGACACCCCCGGTGTGGCCAATCACCAAGCATCAAAGCTCACCGCCTCCTCCCGGTAGTCAAATGGGCATTGGCGGCCGAACAATTTCCTTTTTCATACCACCCGCAGGGCCCGAATTCCTCTGCGGGCTTTTGTTTGCCATTCTTAGATCAATAACCTCAATTGCTCTGTTTTCTCTATTTTCCTTCACTTCTTTATCTGTTTTGTCAATTGGTCTACACTCCCATAAATGCCGAGCTTTAGTCGAGTCTTCCCTTCAATATGTCATGCCTCACTAATGGTGGCAGAATCGTGCCCATACTTACGGGCTCTGATTCTCACGATACCACTCTCGAGGCGCCTGCGTTAGACGCATCCCTTCCTCCAATCCCTCATTCTTCAATGTCTACCCCACCGACCATGCCCCGCCTGTTGCAGGATCAGCAGATTTCAAAAGCCAAGCACATGCACCACGCGAGCTTGGAGATGGCCTCTCTCCAAGAGAGAGGCCTGTATGCACTCCCTACAGAGGGAGACGGTAAGCCAATTACACTTATGGCATGATTGCGGAGCTCCATTGCGGTCATTGGGAGCTGCGTCACGTCGTCTTGCCTATTCTGACGCGTCCAATTCCAGGCAATTGTCTCTATTACTCCCTCTCCGACCAACTGTATGGTGACACCCACCATGCAGACGAAATCCGCCAGCTTCTGGCCAATCATATGGCTTCCAATAAAGACTACTTCATGCAATTTGTCGTTGCTGAAGGTGGGGAGCGGCGCCGGCCGAAGCGTGCGGCTGCATCTGCGTATGCTACTCGCTCCGCCGATGTCTCCGCTCCGACGCAGGAGGATATGGAACGGCGCTTCCAGGAAATGATCGCTACCTCGCGCAAGAATGGGGAATGGGGCAGCTCCGAGCATCTCCAGGCATTCTGTCAGGCCTTCAAGGTTGACTTGAATGTGTACACTATGGATGGTGTTTCGTTGTTCCAGGATGTCAATGCCCCCCAAACCAACCTCGGGATGTTGTGCACGTAGCTTTTCATGTAAGTGTCCTGCTACGCATATTATCAAACCCCACTAACCACCACAGGACTTCAAACACTATTCTTCAGTGCGGGGAATTGACGGCAAGCATGAAGGACTTCTTACCAAGTTGAAGCTGTTCCAACCCATCAAGGGGAGAATTGAGCCTAAGGTCATTTCAGACCCTGATTCCGACGTCGATCATAAAAAATCCACTTCACAGGAAGAAAACCCCATTAGTGATGTAGCCACTAACGATGCCGGCCTAGCTGTTGACCTCTATCCCCCTTGGGATATCAAATCCATTCAAGAGGGCTTGGGAGGCCGATATGATCGGGAAACCATTGTTGACATGCTGCAGAGATGTCGTGGCGATATCGATCGCGCCTTCGCCGCGCTCTTGGACGAGAAAGCCGACGTCCCACTTGATAAGAAAGCTGCCCCGGGAATTCCTATGAAACCAAGTTTGCAGGCTTCGCGGTCTTCCTCTCCATTTAGCACGGGTAGCAAGCGGTCTGCGGAGGACAGCGATGATTCCGAAGATCCTCGTCCCGCACGACGCACTCGACCTAAGAAACGGCTTGTCTCCAATCTTACATTGGGTGTTGGGATTTCATTCAGGGATGAACACGACGAGGTCGTCTCCTTGAATCTTCGAGTGAGTTCTTCCAACCATCAATCTCCTTCGCATGGGATTTCCCCTAATCTTTCACTTGATAGATGAACTCCGACACAGAAGATGGTCAGGCCACAGACCCCTCTCTCCCGGGTAACACCAACCCGGAACAATCGGACACGGACGGAAAAAAGTGTCGTCGGAGTAGACGACTTTCCCGCCCACGTCCCTGATTTATTTATTTCTTGTCTCCAGTCTCCGGATAGACCTTTGAACATCTTTAGCGCTTTCTCTTGCATCGAAAAAAAAAGGCGTTAGTGATGAAGCGATTGGTTTGGGTTTGCATATTGCATCGCCTTGCGGGGCTCGCGGCCTATGGGCTTGCGGAAGGGGGCGTTTTGTCTTATGAACTTGCATGAGGATATTGCCTGGGGCAGTCCTCACTGATCTTGTTTACAACGATACCAGGATTTCTTTTCTCCCATTATTTTATAGAGCCTTCAGCTTCTTCTTTTTTGGCACCTTTATTCCGGTCTGGACTTTGACCCATGACCCCCAGTGTTGGTGGCGAGCTGGTGTCACAGCTTCGTTTGGTGGCTTGAAATCTAATATAGATTCGAATGTCACACCCATTTTTTTTTGCCGGACTGTCAGTCGTGCTCATTTGGTTCCCGATTCTTACCACATAGTGAATTGGGTGGAAGTAATACTATGTGACCCCAGGAACTCACTTATTCCCAAGTAGCAATTTTGCCTGACACTGGGTACATGTATTGGAAGGCCCTCATCATCCATTGAACGTGTCAAATGCTGCAGTGCGTCTTATGTGCATGAAGATAGATCTATTTGATACCAGTCTAAAGGAACATCAACCAATCCTCGCGAAAACCTGAAGCCAGACAGAAGTAACCAAATCTAATGCAGTTCGCATGTGTCGCATCGGGAGTGTGTTCCTACTTTCAGTCCTCCAGTAGGAACTTCAGGAACGTCACTCCAATACCAACACCATCATTTTTACTATTAGCTCTGCTCAAAGCATCCCGAGCTTGGTCCTCCTTGAAAATACCTTTCTCGGCCCGGTTCTGGATAATCTCTGTAACGATATCCCCCGTAAATTCAGGATGGCCCTGAACGGTAATAAAGCGGCGCGGCACATACATACCCTGCACAGCGCAGCGCGGGGATGAGCCCAGAGCAATCACGTTCGGAGGATAATCGAAGACAATATCCTGGTGCATTTGCTGGATGCGCTTTTGAGAGAAATTAGGTCAGGTGTCTGCATATCCACGTACTCGGGTGCATGGGCACATATGTAGCTTATTGTTACACAAAAAGCAGGCGCAGGGAACTCACGATCTTCTCCCGTCCAAACAACTCTTTTCCCTCATTGGTTAAATCCATATCACACACGGCGATCTCCCAACCTTGGTCGCTTCGTCCGACCTTGACGTTTAATGCGCGGCCGACGATTTGGTGTCCGAAGCAGATTCCAAGTAGGCGGACGCGATCCTGCGCGAGGACTTGCTGAGTAAATTCCACGAGACGGTTGATCCAGGGGATGTCTTCAAAAGAGTTGTGTCCTGTGGTGCCTCTATGGTTAGTTTGTGCAATGTTTTGGGCCTACCCGAGTCAATACGCACTTGATCCTGTTAGGAGCACGGCATCGATATCTTCCAGCTTTGGGTACTTGTCATCATTGACTATATCCCAAGCCGTAATTTCCAGACCCGTTTTTGGGTCGAGTCTCTCGGGCTGGTTCAATGCATTGGCGCTAGCGTTGAGGAGGGCGCGGAATACCCCGCCATACCCGTTATAGCGGCGGTTGATGTTGTCAAGCGGGGTGTCACATTCCAATACGGCTATACGGAGCGGCGAATGCATTGTTCGGGATATTTGTAGACAATGTGATACAGTTCTGAACATCTGTTTGGGAATCTCAGGTTGAGCCAAGTAAAACGCCCTGAAAAGAACATACCTCCCTATCTCTTATCGGATCCCGAGGTCGGACCCGCTGACAAACGCTATTCCCGTTTCGTCAAACCATCCATGCATTTTTGGACTGCAAGTGCAATTTATCCCTCGGCAATTGGTTCAGTGTCGCGTCAGGGATCTTGCAGCGCTAGCTTTAACTACGGAGCATAAAGATCCCATCTCTTGACTCAATTTTATTCTTCTTGTGTGTCACCACTACCTTAAAGCCGATGAGTGGGGATTGATGGCGTTTGTTGGACCTAGTTTTCGTGATTGCAAAATCTTCGTTCCCATGAAATATCATACATAATCTTCATATATTTGTTTCTTGGTTTTACATTGTTCGGCAAAAATGCCTATTGACGAGAACGAAGGGCAATTTGTTGATTTTGGTCCCTCCGAGGCCACCCCGCTCCTGCGCAATAATTCCGTCCAGCAGACGAGTCACCATGAAATCTCCTATTCCGCAACGGATGTTGAATCAGCCTGCTCATACAAAGATACGAGAGAAGAAGCCAATAGTCGCTGCTTATTCAGTGCAAGCTCTGCATCTGAAGAACACCATGCCAAGCCAGCTTCTAGGGCTGGTTCTCCCAACCAAGAGTCGAGCGTCTCAATCCACGAAAATGAATATGCCTCGAGATTCATTGACATCTCGCCGGCAAGGTTCTGGATCATCTTTAGCGGCATCATGATGGGCTACATGATCGGCTTCTTCGACTCAACCCTCATGGCCTCCAGCCATCCAGTAATCACCTCCTACTTCAAAGCAGCCAACTCAGCTTCCTGGCTATCGACGGCCTTCTTGCTGACATCCACCGCATTCATGCCTCTCTTTGGACGTGTTTCCGATGCATTTGGCCGGAAACCTGTGTATCTTTTCTCGATTGCCATGTTCTTCATCACGACGGCAGGTTGTGGCTTGGCGCAAAATATCGGCAGTTTTATCGCTGCTCGCGCGCTTTGTGGGCTTGGTGCGGGTGGTATCTTCTCCATCGGTCAAATCATCTCCAGTGATTTGGTACATCTCGAGTATCGCGGGGTCTACCAGTCCTACATTAACCTGTGTCTCGGCACTGGCAGTAGTCTCGGTCTGGCTTTTGGTGGTTACCTGTGTGATCATATCGGCTGGCGGGGCGCGTTTCTCATCCAGCTGCCTTTCATCTTCGTTTACTTCATCGCAGCTGCTTGGACGGTCCCGGCGGATCTCGGCATCAAACGAACTGGAATGGAACGCATGAAAGTCTGGCAGTTAGTCCGCAGTATCGATATAATGGGATCATTCATCTTGATTATGTGTGTGACTCTGTTGATTATTGGACTGAACTTTGGAGGAAATGTTTATCCTTGGAGCCATCCGCTCATTGTCACCTCCCTGGTGTCATCGGTAGTGCTAGCAATTATCTTGGTGCGCTACGAGCTGCACGTCCCACGGCCCGTGCTACCAATTGAGCTCATGTCAAAGGATCCCCGAGCAAGTATTATCTTTGGCAATTTCTTTGCCGCTATGTCTATACACACCGTGTTGTTCAATGCGCCGCTGTATTTTCAGGCTGTCAAACTGACCAGCCCAACTGCCTCTGGTTTACGCCTTGTGGCTTCTTCCATAGCGGTCACCATCTCCAGTGTGAGCACCGGATTCATGATTAATTGGACCAGACGCCTAAAGCCTTTCGTCATGATCGGTGTCTGCTTCATGGTGATCGGTGGATGCGCACCTGCCTCCATGGGCATTGATACCTCTCAACCACTGTCCATGATCTGCATCTCATTTTCCAGTCTAGGCCAGGGCTTTGCATTCCCCAGTCTGATGGTATCTATTCTCGCAACTAGTGAGCAACAAGATCAGGCTGTCGCAACAACGACTCTTGGTCTGTGGAGAAACCTGGGCGCCGTGATGGGTGTCGCAGTCAGCAGCTGGATCTTCCAAAATAGTCTCATATACCAGCTCAACCAAAACGTGACTGGTAATGGGAAGGAACATATCATTGCACTTGTCCGCAAATCCGTTCGTACCATTGCCCACTTGGATCCAGTCCATCGACGAGAAGGTGTGTGTTGTTTTTTTTTAAGAGTGCCCCCTTGCTTTAACCTTGCTAATAACCGCTCAGTCACTACGTCATACTCTGCGGCTCTTCAACTCACCTTCATATCCGCCGCATTTTGGGCAGTCATTGTATTAATATTTTTGGGCCGGGTCCGACTACCGCGATTGGGGAGAAAAGCGTAAATAGTGTCTCGGGCACGATTCAGTGGACACCGGAGAATGTACATTGGCTACAACTGTTAGGATGTGTCAGACATGAGTATCTTAGCCCGACTGTATCTACTTGGCCCGATGTAAATATACATGTACTATAATATACACTTGAGTTATTGTAAAGGTCAACGGGTATACCTCGGCGAGATCTTGGCAAATGCGACCCACCTTTTTTTCTTGAATCTTTAACTCAACATCCATCCACTTCGCCGCAACCTCGAGACGTCTGTGTGGTTAAGCAAGGGGCTAGTAAGCAAGTTCATGTGCATTCGGATGATAACACTCAGCTGACTCTTTCTTGCCCCCAGATTTATTTGCCGATCCCTTCTTTCCTGCCCCTCGTGCCGCCGAATGGTTGGATTCGAAGCTACACTTGAAAACCAACCTCAAAGGCACAGTCCTCTTTTCTCTAACTCGATACTTTATTGAAACTTTCCATTCATCGCAGTGTCAACAACGAACATGGCCATCTGGGTAGAACCTACAACGGCATCTTTTGTATTCGGGAAACATCTATCGATTGGGGCTCCAGTTGGCGCCGGAGACTAGAAACATAGTTACGTTATAAAGCTGAGCTATCAAGTTCGCAATTCACCGGGGCAATATGAATATCCGCAAAGTAGCGAAGATGCAGCCGCAGTCGCCCAGTGTTAGCACGACATCCACTCCAAAAAGTCAGGCAAGCGATTCACAGAGCACGCCCCGCCCCCGCTCCAGTCGCAAGAAGTCCTCAGATGGCCCTGATACCAAAGCTAGGAGGGTACGCACAGGCTGCCTCACTTGTCGCCAAAGACATTTGAAATGCGACGAGGCTGTGGGACGATGTCTTAATTGTCGCAAGTCGGATCGCGTCTGTCGGCGTGGTGTCCGTCTCAATTTTATTGATACTCAAACCGTGGCGCCTCCACACTTAATCCCTCGGCCCCATGGATCGAAGGTGACATTTCGAGATGATTCGCGTTTGATTGCATCTTTGTATGTTGGGGGCTTCGAGATATATCCGCCTATCCAGCCGGAGAGTCCCGTTGAAGAGAATGGACAATCACAGCATGACGTCGACCTTATCGGGGATGATCTGACAGATCTCTTCCAATCGGTGGCGCATTCTTTTGACCCGCTGAGCTTTGATTTCCCACATTCAAATGTGGCGGATTTCGTAGGAACTGATACTTGGCACCAGTCGCACTTGGTACCAGGAGATGAGCTTCTTCCGCACGGAACATCTCATTTCGCGCAGAAGCTAGCTGGAAAACATGATCACCACGTTTTTCTCACCGACCCAGAACATGTCTCTCTTCTTCGAACTTTCATGGAAGAAGTTGGTCCACGAATGGATATAATGGATGAAATGAACCACGTGGGTACTTTCTGCACGCTCTGTTTTCGCATTTGCTCACAACTCGCAGTTCTCCCAGATTCTTCCAGGTTTTGCCATCGGCGAGCCCATATTGCTAAAAGCATTTCTTGCGTGTGGTGCTAGACATCTTTCTTTCGTAGACCCTTCTTATGGAGACGAAAAGGCCACACGCTATTATGACGAGGCTACTCGGGATCTTCTCAATGCGATCCATGATCCCAACCGTGACTCTGTCCTCTGTGCAACAGTAGCCCTTGCTCTTGGCTTTTCCGAGACCATGCCAGCCTCATCAAGGCACGATGGCGATCATCGCGCAGGCTCCCGGGCCTTAATTCGAGAATGCGGCTGGACCGCCAAAACCCCCGGTTTAGGTGGAGCATGTTTCAGGATCAGCGTCAGTGCAGAGATGCTGAACTGTTTACGATATAATTGGACGTTGTCGTGGGATCCAAACACTTGGGGGGTCAACATGGACATGGATCTTTCACAAGCCACCAATGGGGGCAATCAAGATATATGGCATCATCGGATACTTTATATTTTCGCGAAAATTATGACATCCCAAGCATCTTCGCGCCAATCTCACGATTTAGGCGATGATGCAGCGCGGGCCATCCATCAAAATCATGAATGGATTATTCATAACAAGTGGTGTGACCAATGGGCAAAATCTATTCCTAGATCCCTCGTACCCCTAGGTCATTTGCAACCATGGCAAACAAGTTCCAATTCAGCCTTCCCTAAGGTTTGGTATGTTCTCACTAATTTCGCAATCAACCCGTCTACCTACTCATGTTTCCAGGCTTGTCAACCGATCTGCCATCGTTTCCCGATTATTCTACCACGCCTGTCGTATTCTGCTCGCCAAAGCGCATCCTTTCCAGTCAGGGTTTAACGCGGATATGCGGAAAATGCAATCCAGCCATGCGCACGAAATTTGTGGCCTTATTGCCCATACCACAGACCGGTTAGTAGAGACTCTTGACCAGAAACCTAAAAGAAGGCCTGACCAGTTTAATAGAGGTGTGGCCGATATATCCCTGTACTTTCTTGTCCTCGCTGCAGAGTCCTTGGAAACACGACAAGCTCAAGAACAGGCACTCGGCATCTTTGATAACATCACGAAAGTGACTGGTAGCAATGCTGAACAAATCCAAAACGACCTCAAACAAATTTGGAGCTGGGCCGACGCTCACCCGCACACGGTGGCGCCGGCCCTGATGCACAACCACTTCTATGAATTAGACCCGTCTCTGTCAATCTCCAGTCACCCGGGCTCATCCCCGAGCTTACACAATCCCTTGTTGACTGCGGGTGACTTCTCATTGGAGAACCGCCCATATCAAGGATACTATGTGCCACCACATCATCACCATCCACTCGATCTATATCACTATGGGACATTTGATATGATCTGACGCATCCGAACCTCTTATGAATCATGATTTTGTATTACCTAACTCAACATCCATGGTGATTATACCATCTGCATATCCATGGATTATTTTCAACTGATCAACGCAGCGAGCATTGCCAATCGTGGTTGAGATAAATACTACCAGAATTTTGCTTCAACCATTTCTCCTTATCTTCATTTTTACTGTCGCGTCCCATATTGCCGGCCCCGAAGGACTCATAATCATTTATCTTCCTGCTTCTCGTTCCAAGGGATAGATACGACCAACTCCGTGTTGAGACTAGGTCAGAGCTCTGTTCAAGTCTGCCCGGTAGCTGATTGGTATTATTAGCTTTAGTATTTGATGGTAAGTGATACACTCAAATGATACGGCCTTAACTTAGTATGAAGTATATATTTCACGAGCATGGTATTGGCGGCCTAGGCAAAGGTTTTTAGCCTTGTTAGCCAACTGTTTCCTCAACGTGTTTTGAATTTTTCATCCTTCTTTTGCTTTATATTGCTCCAGTGGGAGCAGCCCAATTCGTAAAGACATAAAAAAGATTCTTAAGATAGGTCACCACTGTGAGGCTCAGGTGTGGCGGTGTAAGCAGGCAATTCCACAGAGCGCCTCTGCCGTACAACATAGAAGACACCAACAAGCAACAACCACAAGCCAGGCGTTTGAGATGGACACCTCATCGGTTCGGTCTCAGTCTCCGGCCACTCCAATATATATTCTTCGTGGACATGCTTCTCCGATTCATGCCTTGCACATCTACAGCCACAATTTACGCCTTGTATCCGGCGACGCCAATGGCTGGATCGTTGTTTGGGATCTAGTCACAAAACGCCCTGTGGCGGCATGGAAGGCCCATGGGGGTGCCATTTTGGAGGCGAGAGGCGTTAATGTAAGCGAAGGTGGAACTGAAATTTACACGTATGATAACTTCTCTTCACTTTGTGACATCTTACTAACATCTGCAATAGACATGGCCGCGACCACAAACTATGCGTGTGGAAAATTAGACCAGATGATGAATGTTACCTCAATAAGACGCTTCCAGTGGATGCGACCGAATCTACAGAGCCAGAAACTAAAACCCAGCCGTGGTTACTCCATTCCTTGCCCGTGAATGCGCTCAACTTTTGTTCATTCTCAATGGCATTTGTCAATTCGGATGGGCTTCCCGGGCTTCCATCCCAATCTGGTAAACCGGAGAACACTCTCTTTGCAGTACCCAATGCATTGGATTCTGGTGGAGTCGATATCTTCCATCTACCATCCGAGCGCAGGATCAGTACTATTCCTTCCGATCAATCGATCAAAACTGGAATGCTGATGGCAGTGAATCTCTTCGTGTCACCTTCTGGGGATTTTTACATTGCCTCTGCGTATGAAGATGGCCATGTGATGGTCTTTGTTCATCGGGGCGCCCTCAAATCCGCCAGCTTTGAGCGTGAGTCTATAAACAGCAACCCTTTAAAATGGGAGAAGCTGTATGCTGGCCGCCCTCATTCTCAACCGGTCCTTTCCTTGGATGTTGCCCCATCCCATGGATACTTCATCTCTTCTTCTGCGGATGCTTTGATTATCAAGCACCCCATTCCCAGCATACAGTCTGCGGGCTACATACCGACCGCGGGCTACAAAGAAGAATCTCCCTTGAAGATTGTCAACACAAAGCATTCGGGTCAACAGGGTCTGCGGATCCGATCTGATGGGAAGGTATTTGCTACTGCTGGCTGGGACAGCAGGATCCGGGTGTACTCGGGTAAAACCATGAAAGAACTAGCTGTGCTGAAGTGGCATAAGGATGGTTGTTACTCTGTGGCGTTTGGGGACACTGAAAGCACGTCTTCGTTGGTAGCTTCATCGCCTGAGTCTGCAAAACAAGAATTCCGAGATGCAGATCAGAGCGCAGCGGGACAGATGGTGGAGGCACGCAACTACTCTCTTGCAACGGTGCAACAACAGCGGAATCAAAAAGTACAACAAACTCATTGGCTAGCGGCTGGGTCCAAGGACGGGAAGATTTCATTATGGGATATCTACTGAGATAAATGCTAATGCTACAAAACAACCATGCGACCATACTTTTTTTTGAAGGAGTACACAGAGCAAAAGATCAAGCCAAGTTGAACTCGTTGGCTCCAGACATATGCTCCCTCATCTTGGCTCTCATCTTGCGAGCAGCCTCGTCCGTAACATTTGTGGAAGATGGAGCATCATCAGCCTTTCTCTTATTGCCTGCAGCACCGTTCCGCGCAGCCTTGAAGTCCTTCTTGGCGTCTTCTTGTCCAGGTCGTAGACCAGGGACGTTGATTTTACCTGGTCGATCGCGCAGAGCGAATGCCTTCGCAAGGTGACCCAAGTGGAGCTCCTTAATGTCGAACATACTCCGTTCAGCAGCGGTGTGGGTCGCGTAGGCTCGGACATGAGATTGGTATGCACGTCGGGCCATTTCCAAATAGGTCGGGTTATCAAGTGCCCAACGCTCCACGTCCATCTGCCAATCGGTTGTCTTCTCCTCCCAGTTCTTCTTTTTGTCGTTACCACCGAAGCCACGCTTGAGAATCTCGTTTGCATCAGTGCGAGTGAGCGCCTTGCCTCCATCGCGGTAGCCGCGCTTTAGGACTTCGACATAGTTCTCCTCGCAGCCAGGCTGGAGGAAGATGAGGGCACGGCCATCTCGTCCTACACGAGCAGTACGACCAATACGATGAGTATGATCATCGGCGCTGAAAGCTGGGTCATATTCGACAACCAAGTCGACGTTGGGCAAATCCAGACCACGCGAAGCCACATCCGTACAGATCATGACACAAGCCTCAGTACTGCGAGCGAAAGAGCCAAGGGTGGCTGTTCGAACAGCCTGGGGAAGCGAGCCGTGCAGTCGATGCAAGAGGACCGGATTATTCGGAGTCGAGAATGCTCTACCGGGAGCAATGGTGCCATGGGGCGATAGCTTTTCCTTTTCTTCATCCTTCTCCTCCTCTTCGTCTTTTCCGTCCTTTTCTTCCCCATCGTTCTTCCTTTGTTGATCGCGGTCTTGATTCCTTGAGAATAGCTCGAAATGGAAATCCACTACATCAGCACAAGACATGAAAACAATCGCCTTCATCACTGATCCCTTGCGCATGAACGTCCTCTTCAAGTAGGCTGTTAATGAGACCAGACGTAGCTTAGCTGGAACAATCGCGTACGATTGCTTGAGCTGGGCAGGGACACGGAATGACTCTTCCTCGTCCTTATCTGACTTATCATCATCCTCTTCGTTCGGGTCGGCCTTGATGTGTACCGCGTCCTTCAAACTGATTTCTCCCAGTTTTTGGACATTCATTTTCAGTGTAGCAGAACACAGAATTGTCGTTCTGCGTGTAGGCACACTGGGAATGCGACTCGGCCGTTGTCTAGCGTCAAGTTTCTTGACAATCCCTTGCAACTCCTCCTCGAAGCCCATGTCCATCAAGCGATCACCCTCGTCAAGTACAAGCCACCGCACATTGCTGACATCTAACGCTTCCGTATTGTCGAGATGATCAACCAATCGACCAGGTGTTGCGACGAGAATATTCAATCCTTTTCTCAACCGTGCCTTCTCAGACTTTTTCTTCTCTCCACCAATTACCGTTCCACACACAATCCAGTTCGCGCAGCGCAGAATGTTCTCCAACACAACAGAGATCTGCTTGCACAGTTCACGGGTGGGTGCCAAAATAATAGCGAACAATCCACTGTCTCGGTGGACTTGGGTATCATTGTGTTCGTTCTTCGCTTTTGAGAGATCCATAATCCGTTGTACCAGCGGCAAAAGATAAGCCAAAGTCTTTCCGGAACCAGTTTCGGCCTGGATGAAAGCATCCGTTTCCTCCTTTAGCAATTGTGTAATTGAGCTTGTCTGGATAGCTGTCGGTGCCTTGAGCTCCAGCTTTGTGAGCAAATGCGCGGCGAGATTGGGAGACAGGCCCAAATTCGTGAAGGTATCCAGCCCGTCGATCATCGGCGCATTCGTCGGCTTTGCGGCTTCCACTTCTCTCTCCTCTTTAGGCTCTTCCGGATTGCGCGCTTCGGGGTTGCTACTAAAGAGTGAGGAAATGAACTGTGTGGGGTCTCGTGGGTGCTGTGGTCGTCGATCACCACCAGAGCGCTGGGCGCTGGGACGATTAAACGAGTCGTCGGTCTTTTGTCTTTTCACGGGCCTTGTACCGAGTTGGATCTGATTCGGGTTCTTGGCTGCTACATTGCGCGCAGCTGCATCTCCGGGTTCTTTCTCGGAGCCTCGGTGGGCTGAGCGCTTCTTTGCGGTCAGTCGGTCTCGCCATGTTCCTCCTTTGAATTTGGCTTCAGGCTTGATGACAGTGTCACCAATACTAAAGTTCATAAGCATTCCATCGTCAGCCATTTTGAAAAAATGGTGATCCCCGGTAAAAATGGAGGGGAGTTGCAGAGGTTTATGTTGACCCGGCGATCCAAAAGCTTTCGAGACTTTTTTTCGGCGCCAAGACTTCCAGGCTCTCAGGCAAATTTTCTCCACCCTAAGGATTTGCCCTACTTTGTTTACATTTGAACTGCAAAGGGAATGAGATATATTTGAATAAGTTGAGAAGTCTATATTGCTTTTGGAAAACTTATGTAAGTTGCTTGCTTGCAAATCGTGCTATGTTAAAGTGTTAGATGTTTATTACTGGGTGTTTGATACGGTATCAAGCACGAGGATCCAAAATGAGATTGTCAATCAGTCGGACGGGAACCTTGCCATCACCCAATCCACAGTCTTCGCCTGGCTTGGATTCTTCAAGCGGTGCCATCTTAAATGCGGTACTCAAAACGGCGCCCTTGGCCGGGTCAATGATTTCCAGCTCGTCAAGGGTGTCAGGATCGGCTAGAGAAATGTAGTCGACTTCGTAAAGTGCTCTCTCGGATGGCGAAAGGGATTGCTGCTCGGCAAGGACGGAATCTGTAACATTACGAGCAGCCCCAAGGATGTCTGCTCGGTTGTTATTGCCAGCCAGGTATACTGCTTTCGCGGCATTCAGGGCTTTGTAGATAGTGAGCCCGACGGCTCGTCTCCGGTCGCCCAGGTAGACATTCCGCGAGCTCAGCGCCAGGCCGTCATGTTCACGTGTGGTTTCAATGATTCGCACTTCGGTGCCAACATGGAAATCCTCTACCATACGCTTGATGACCACGGTTTGCTGCACATCTTTCTGGCCAAAGTAGACACGATCAGGTGTTGTGATGTTGAAGAGCTTCATGCAGACCGTTGCCACACCCCGGAAGAATACCGGACGAGAAGCACCCTCCAGTTTAGTGGACAGCGGGGTAATTGTGACAAACGAGCCATCGCCATCAATTTCCGACGAAGGGGGCAGACCGGGGTACATGACTTTCGAAGTCGGTGCGAAAATGGCAGTAATGCGTCCAGCACTTGCACTGTTTTCTCCCAATCGCTCAAGCTCCTCATTCAGCTTCTCCAATTTTTCAACATCGGTATCCCAGGTGCGGGGGTAGCTGGACAAATCTTCCGTGACTCCAAATTGTGTGGGATTGACGTAGATGCTAACAAAAATGTCTGTATTCTCGCGAGCAGCTTGCCGAATTAGAGAGAGATGGCCCTCATGAAGTGCGCCCATGGTAGGAACAAAGCCTACAGTCCGGTCATTCTTGAACAATTGGCGCCGGAGTCCTCGGATTGAGGAAACATCGCGGAAGACTTGAAAGCTGGACGGTTGGCGGACAGATTGCGAAGCTGCGGTCGCGTCGGCAAAGAGGGATGAAGCCGTCGCTGGGATAAAGTGAGCTTTTCTGGAGCTTTAATTTCCATAAAAGAGACATACTCGAAAATGACCTCGCTCCGTGGACCAAGCGAGACATTGTGAGGGTAATGAATAAGATGCAAGATGCAGACGTTGACAGCGTAGGATGAGAGCTACGAGCACATCTGAGGCCACACGTGACCTGCCTCGGTTCAATCCTGGGGAAATCCGAAAAACATCCGGGGGCGATCAGCCGTGGTGCCGCTTCAGGAGCTTGGGGTTTCAAGCTATGATTCGGTTCCCCGCCTCTTCTCTTTTGAGCTTCTCTGTTGAGCTTCTCATTTGATCTTTCCTTTCTTCCATGGACCTAGTCGCATTCTCGTCTGACCTTAAAGTATAACCATCCTCGCCCTGCCTCCTTATAAAATGCCGACCACTAAGTCGGCTATTGCCGATGACAACTCGGCACCAGATCTGGAAATCTCCAACCGAAACTTGACAATCCATCCATCGGGCTTCACTGGAGGTCCAGAAACACACGATGATGAAGTCACCGAACGCAACCTTGTCCGCCATATGGCTCGATTTCGCGAGAACCCCTTGGATTTCCTGCGAGAAGTGAGCCTGTACATGTCAGGTACGGGCTGGCGTGCATATGACGAACCTATCGGCCAGCCAATTTTCTACTCCGGTTTCTCGGAAAGGATGAAGACTTCCATATTGGGCAGCCCGCTTCTGCAAAACAAAATCACTGAATTGGCCAATCGTCGACTCATAGTCGAAGAGAAGAAAGGATTGCTGGCAATCAACGAGGGTATAACTCTGGACGACAAACGGGCCCGTCGCCGGACTGAGATTGAAGGTAATCTTCAGGAAGTTGTGGATACAATGATGGAAAACATGATTTGCAAGATGGAGAGCAAGCCGTTTATTCGGGGTGCTTATTATATGTGCACACAGCTCTTGACTCGTGCTTATCATCAAGGTGAATATTCTCTGCCATACACCTGCTATCACAAGTGCATACTTAATAAGATTCACCTTAGGTATCCATGTATCTAGCGAGGAAGTCTTGCGTCTAAGATCTGTAGCCGAAACTGCCGCCAAGAAGAAGCAGTCGATCGTTTTCCTGCCTTGCCACAAGTCCCATGTGGACTACGTCTCACTGCAAATTATTTGTTACCGTATCGGCATTTCTCTACCGGTCATCGTTGCGGGCGACAATCTGAACATCCCGTTGCTGGGTTCTTTCTTACAACACGCAGGTCAGTTGCAAGACAATTTTACTTTCAGCGTTAAGCTATTACTAACCTTGTGTAGGCGCTATGTGGATTCGGCGGAGCTTTGGAAATGATCCTTTGTACAATACTGTCGTACAAGCTTATATCGATACTCTCCTCCAACAGGGCTTCAATTTCCAATGCTTCATTGAAGGTGGTCGCTCCAGAATTGGAAAACTCCTTTCACCAAAGTTTGGAATATTGAGTTTCATCATGGACAGTCTATTGTCAGGTCGGGTTGAAGATCTCATTATCTGTCCTGTCAGCACCCAATACGACAAAGTCATTGAGACTGAGTATGACACCCGCTGGCACTCTTGACATTTTTGATGAACATTGACATTGACGCGTTCTCTAGATCATACATAAGCGAGCTTCTTGGCCAACCGAAGGCAAAGGAGAACTTAGCTGATTTCATTTCTTCGTCCTCGGTCTTGTCCCTGAAGCTAGGCCGAGTTGATGTTCGTTTCCACGAGCCATGGAGTCTCCGAGACTTCATTGGTCAGCAGCTTACCCGACTGGATCGCCCCAGCACCGACATCAATAATAAACTTAGCTATAGTGATCGAGGCCGCATTTTAAGAACATTCGGTTACCGGGTTCTGTCCGATATCAACGACGTGTCTGTGATGATGCCAACTGCCCTCGTGGGGACCGTACTGTTGACCTTACGCGGCCGCGGAGTTGGAAAAACCGAATTAGTACGCCGGCTGGACTGGCTCTGCGAGCGGGTGCGAGGCAAAGGTGGCAGGGTCGCACACTTCTATCGCTCACCAACGGAGACCGTGGTTGACCGTGCACTTGAAGTCTTAGGACCTAAACTCGTTGGTGTGATTTCAGGCTTAGTCGAGCCAACTTACTATGCGGTGGATCGTTTCCAACTTTCCTTTTACCGCAACATGCTCATCCACCTTTTTATCACAGAAGCGCTGGTTTCCGTGGCTATGTACACAAAGATCAAGCAAGGTGGCGGACCTGCCAATCAAAGAATCACCTACGAGGATCTGAAGAAACAGGTTTCATTCCTATCTCAGCTTTTCCGCGGTGAATTCATTTTCCCGCCTGAGGGCTTAGCTAACAATTTCGATAAAACTTTGCGTGGGCTGGAGAAGGACGATGTGATCAAGATCACGCGTGATGAGTCTACCACACCAATCTACATTGAGTTGAGCGAGTCTGAGCGACTATGTGGTCGCGAGAACTATGATTTCTACTGCTTCTTGATCTGGCCTTTCATCGAGGCCTCCTGGCTTGGCGCAGTGTCCCTTCTTGGACTGACGCCCCCTCTCGATGGTCCAGAGGAAGTTTGGATCGATTCAAAGAAAGCACAGGATAGTGCTCAGATCGTGAGTTTCCTTTACCCTTGCTATGGTAACTATGTTAATATTCAAACTTGCAGCTCGGTAAAACATTGTACCACCAAGGTGATCTCTCCTACTTCGAGGCTGTCAACAAAGAGACCCTCAAGAATTCTTACCAACGGTTCGAAGAGGAGGGAATTATCTTGGTTGCGAAGAACAAGGGATCGCGTGTCGGTCCGTCTCTCAGGCTGGCTCCTGAATGGGTACCCCAGCGTGATACGAGTACTGGGAAGGTTCTGGATGGCGGTCGACTGTGGGACTTTGTTGAATTGATTGCACAGTCCCGTCGCGAGGGGTCAGTTCATTCTATCCACACTGTTTCTGTTCATATACTAACCTTTCACAGCAAAAACCGTCGGGACGGTGCAACTGTTTCCTCGCGTGTGCTTACCATGTCTGATCTTGTTGGGCGGAAGCTCTTTCAAAATGCCGCAGCTCCTGTGCCAGCTGATGTATCGTCGCGGCAAATGCGCCGGAATGCAATTGGAACTGAAGCAAAGCTCTAACCATTCCCTTTTGATACCCATGTACGCACATTGTGCAGGCTGTTTGTTCATTTGTCTTATCTTACGTGTCAAATTTATATTTTAATGCACATAATTTAGCAAAAATTTGCTTGTCGTATGAGGATAGGCTCTGACCAGCTGTCCCTAATGGGAAGCACCACGCTGGCGCCATCGGTATCCAGTCTTGAACCAGCCCTCTTGAATGTTGTTTTCTATAACAGCTGGGAAAAGCCTTGCTCGTAAGAGCTTGAGCCCATGGATGCGAACAAAACGCCAATAGACTAAGAATAACCGATGCTGCTTTTTTATATGGATTGACGTATGGTGGTGTGTGGCCTAGGTGAGACATAGCTAAGCACCGCCTCACGGTCGCGTGAGGTTAGAAGGTCATGAAGATGTTCCAGCAGCTAGATTTAGAGGATCATAAGCGTATTTGATCGAATGCTCCAGGCCTTTGAGCTGATCGACGTCCACGAGAGTCATCTATCCCATATCAGATCAATTTAGGAAGTTATGTAGATTGACTCCGTGTTGCTTTCTCTCTTTCAGTAAAGCCACACCCCGTCTTGTTCCAACTTCCTTTCAGCTTCGATCGTCCTCATACATGTCTAGATACTATCCACGGCGTCCATCGCCTTCTACTGCACCCAGATTTGTAGTTGGATTCGGGATGTCTTGGCCAAGGATTCAAGCTCGTTGTTAGCCGCTTACTCGTCGATACTATAGTAAATGAACAATATAGAGAAAATCTGGTGTTTTTTCTACGATTTAGCCCAGCCCTCGATGTTCTCTATTGGTGTGTATACAGATCGAGGAAATTTCTAGATATATATTTTGGCGAATGTTTGAACGTCGGGTACGGAGACGCAGTCATGCTTGATGGGTTCTTAAAAATAATCACAATATCTCCTATTTCGTTGGATTGGCAGAGAAACGTAGGGAATAGGGCTCTTGTCCTGATCAAGGAGTAACCTGGGTTTCAACCTTTGCTGTAGATATAGAAATGGTCTAAATCCGCTATTAGATATCTCTGGCCACCTTACCCACTCTATCAATTCTAATAAAAATAAGTGTTATATCAGCCATTTACTTTTGGGCCTGCTCAGTACAGTGCTATTGTCAGCAAGGCTCTAGGTATGATTTAAGTTAAATGGAGTTTGATTTTGCTCACTTCTGGCTATACCTATACTTTTATATCAAACATATATGATATAATTGGCATTTATGATTAGCAATCAAGAAAACCGGTTGGGTTTCAGTGAGGTAGTTATCCAGGTGAGCACTCGCCCTATAATCCCAGGGCCAGGAGCAGATCGCGACCCGAAATGCCGATGTTACAATTATTATATTCAGAATTCCCCTTATATTCACCATCACTTACAGTGAGGTCCAATCATTTTCAAAGAAATAGATAATCATTTTACTTGAATGGTTTTGGATCAGCCAGCGAAGGTACTTTCAGATTCAAACTGTGCACTAAGATTGTAGACAAAATCGATATCGCCTTGGAGAGTAGCAAGCCTCTCTTTACCTAGATGGTTTACCTAGATGGGAGGAATGTTAACCCAGAAGCGGGTATCGTCATACTTGTACCCGCTGTTGCTGTCGATCTGCTGCTGAATCCACTGGACAGCCTCCTTATAGTCTGCGAAGGGGGTCAACATTGCTATCACAATTGTAGCCATATCTTTGAAGACTTACTGGCAATGTCCTTGGTATAAGGATCCTGAAGGCCGCTGGCACCATTGCGGTGACCAGCAAACCACTTGTCATACCCGTAGTAGCCCTGGCAATCCCAGCGGGAGGCGACGTCCGCGTACACATTGGAGCTTTTGAAAGGTAAGTCAGGACTCTCGTATCGTTTGATATGTGGGCTTCTTACTTGAGAACTGCTCCATTATTCCACTGCGACTGGGACTGGCCAGCAAAGCCATAGCGCGTGGCACAGACACGGAGCATGCCCCAGTTCTGCTTGAAGAGACCGAAATTTGCTGCGTCGTCGGCCTTGGCATCACCATAGGGATAGTGGGAAGTGTCCATATCCTCTCTTTGGTTCTGTGTCAGCATTATCCAGCGGGGTTTCATTGTAGGAATCTTACATCTCGAGCATGGCAATAGCAAGATCGAGAGTGTTGCCACCGGCATCGAGAATTGCCTTCTTGTGCGCCCAGAGACCAGAAACGGTGTAATGACCTCGATCGTCTCGCTTTTCAAGAACCTCGTTGGGCACTGGACTGGCCAGCACCGTAGTTGCCAAGAGTGCAACGGCACATGAAAGGGTGAATCTCATCTTGAAACTGATGGATAGCAATGAAAGAACTCTGGATTGAACAGTAGAGAATCGGAGTGTAAGTTGCAATGCTTAGGACCCGTTGCTTGAATGAACTGTTCAAAAACGAGGCCAAGTTGGGCGACTTTATACTTGTGAAGCCTGGTATAGTTCGGTGACTTGGAGCATGATTTCAAACTTTAAAGGTCGAATTCCCGTCGAATTCCTGCTGAATTGCCCACTTCTCGCCCAGGTGATACTCTTTGTCTTCGATATTTAGCCCATTAAGTACTGTGGCGTTGGTTATTCAAGGAAACACACACTTATTTCCCCCTCATCCGTGGCCAAACCGACCATTTCCAGGAATTGTGGCTTTCTTGAACAGTCCTGTCTTGTGATTACTGCACATAAAACACGAGTCTCTGCCTGAGATTATATCCGGAATCCGGCCGGATCCGATTACTTGCAGATGAACATTGTCTGATGGGATTGTGGGTTCTAGGTGTTTATGGTGTGTTTCGGGATGGGTTTCGGGATGATGTCTCAAACCCTATATTTCCCCCTAAATGACTGCCAAACTACTATCTGCAATTTTAATATGTTGAGGTCAACATTGTTCTCAACTCTGTCATAGATTATATTTCCCCCATAAACGTAATTAATATCTTCACAAAATTGACCGGATTCTGCAAGGACTTGAGAATCCGGGGTTTCCCGTGCGGAGTCTCCGCATTTACGCCTTCCGTGCATTGAAAGCGGCTTAGGTGCATGATTATCAGGTTCAATACTCTATTCAGCCTTAGATCCATTGCAATTCTCGGCTCGGGTCGAAGGAGACGGAAATTCCCCGAACCGGCACGGGAGTGTGTCAAAGAGTTCCGCCGTGATATACCCGAGTAGGGTCAAACCCACTAATAACCCCGAATAATCTCCTTCAAGGACTAACACTAAATAGCGCTAGACCATATAGCGTGGGGCGCATTTATGTAGATCGACGTCAATCAAGGTGAAAATTCAATGTTCCCGGGGATGCTAACAATTTGTGGGAATGTGCCTGTCGATACTCCGTATTCTTTTCGACAAGTTGTCACCTTGCGACGACTCTCTCCAAAGATCTTCAACGTTCTTGCTCAAAAGATCTTCAACTTCGTTTCAAGGGGGTCGTGTGCAATTCAGAGAAAGACCGAGAATGGGGGAATTCTCCACCAGGTGAACATACAAAATAGCTAGTAATGCCTTCAATTCCAATCGTATCCAGATCAACAACGTTCTCTACAGATTACCTGCTTATCCTTCATAAGACAAGATGCGTTCCATTTCCTCCATTGCTTTGCTCTCCGCGATAGGAGCAGCCTCGGCTCAAGCCGTGACTAGCTCAGCGCCAGGCTCGACTTTCTCGACTTCGGTTTCTTCGACCGGACGCCCTTCGTCCACCCCCTTGAGCCCTCCTCAGCCCACTGGCAGCGGTTCTTTTGCCAAGGTGGATGGACTTAAGTTCAACATCGATGGAGAGACCAAGTACTTCCCTGGCACAAACGCCTATTGGCTGCCATTCCTGACCAAGGACACGGACGTTGACTCCGTCTTCAAGAACCTGCAGAAGAGCGGTCTCAAGATTCTCCGAACCTGGGGTTTCAATGATGTGAACACCGCCCCAACCGATGGGACTGTCTACTTCCAGGTCCACGACAAGGCCACTGGTACCAGTACCATTAACACTGGCGCTGATGGCTTGAAGCGTCTTGATTACGTGGTCTCCGCTGCTGAGAAGTACGGCATCAAGCTGATCATCCCCTTTGTGAACTACTGGGATGATTATGGTGGTATGAGCGCCTACATTGCTGCCTATGGAGGCAGTAAGACGGAATGGTACACCGATGAGAAGATCCAGGGTGTGTACCAGGCATATATCAAAGCTGTTGTCTCTCGCTACAGCGATTCCCCTGCCATCTTTGCATGGGAGTTGGCCAATGAGCCTCGCTGCTCGAGCTGCAAGACCGATGTCATCTCTAGCTGGGTGGCCAAGACTGCCGCCTACATCAAATCCCTCGATTCTAACCACATGGTCACCACTGGCGAAGGTTCGTGCTCTTGAGAGAATCTAAACTGTTCATCTATTCTGACAACTGATATAGAGGGTATGGGTCTGACTGTCGGATCGGATGATACTTACCCTTATGGCAACAGCGAAGGCAACGACTTCGCTAAGAACCTTGCAGCCCCTGATATTGACTTTGGAACTTTCCACCTCTACGTGGCCGACTGTAAGGATATTCTCAAAGTACCCTATACATACATCAAACTAATTCATTCTAGGGGGTATCACCGACAATGCTTGGGGCAATGACTGGGTTAAGTCTCACGCCAAAGTATGTGACGCTGCAGGAAAGCCTTGCTTGTTTGAGGAATACGGCATCAAGGATGACCACTGCTCCGACTCGGTGGATTGGCAGAAGACCGCCTTGACTACCGCCGGTAACGCTGCCGATCTGTTCTGGCAGTATGGCCAGCAGCTGTCCTCCGGTGCCTCTCCAAATGACCACTACACTATCTACTACGACACTCCTGACTGGAAGTGCGGTGTCGCTGACCATGTCAGCCAGGCTTCAGAGTAGATAGCTTGAGATGCTGTGCTGAGGGATCGATACTTGCGGCTATCCTTTGTGGCTCTTCAATTTCTGTGCTGGTTCACTGTTGGCATGCACTGGTTACCGCTTTGATACCTTCCCAAGACTGAATACATGAACGTGATCTTTGGATCAATACAATGCTCCAAATTGAAGCTAAACCCACTCAAAAGAATGATTTAAAATCGGAGAGAAAAAGTTAGACCATTTAAACTGCAATTCTAGCTTGGTATTGCGGTAAGATGGGCAGGATGTAGAGAAGGAGCAATGGGAAGAAGACCATCAACTAACTCCTAAAAAGTAGGGCTTTTTCACGCTGTTCTAGTCCTCACCTTATACAAAACAAGTGAATAGTCTGTTCAAGAGATCTGAGGTATATATATGTTCAGCTATGATGTATCTAAAGTTATAGGTGATCAACTGCCTAGGTATGATCTACAATGTGCACAATAGATATTGATGTGATTCAGTGTTCTTATTCTCTAACTCGCCAACATCGTTGCTGTTTACATACAATCTTCAAACAAAGCTATAAATACTCAAATACAAACACATCATAAGAATTCGAATCAAAATCCGCTGAAACGTTCCAAATAAAATCTCAAAACAAGTGTGCGATAAAACAAATGACAAGACAAAAGAACGACATAGGAAAAAACAAAAGAAAGTTGGCCCAGACGCTATGCTATATGCACAATATATCAAAGTCACCAATGCGGCCGAAATCACAGACTCCTAAACTGACCCTTTGGGCTCGTAGGAGCTGATCGAACAGTCATAACCTTCGGCGAGGAGGCTTCAGTCTGAGCCAACCTGTCAATAGCCTTGACAGCCAAAGGCGTCTTAGGAGGCGACTCAGTGATCAGAGCATCCGTAGACTTCTTCGCAAACTCCTGAAGACGATCCATAATGACCGGCGAGTCGGAGTAAAGCACAACACCCTGCGAGTAAGTGCAGCCTGTCGCTTTCTCTTCATCGGTAGCAAAGTCCTCATGAGCCGCCTCACGCGTAATGCGCGGGAAGATACGCAGCACGACATGACGAGTGGGCTCGTTGGTCGGGATGGGGCTCTGATCCTTGTTGGCAGCATACTCCAGCCAGCCCTCGTTCGAGATACTCTCTGCATCCGGGGCGGGGAAATTGGCGAGGACGAGCTCGCGTTCGACACGCGCGTGTCTCCATGTCTCAGCGGCAAGCTTGACAATCTTTCGGACGCCAATTAGGAGAGAGTCGAGGTGCTTGGGGTCGGCGAAGTGCTTGATGTGGTCGATGATTTCGTCGACGATGACTGCTGCTGCTACGTTGATTGATTGTTTTGCGTCTGAGGTCGTGTAGGCTGCCTTCAGGGTCTGTTGACGCCAGAATGCCTCACGGCGGACGGACTTGCGTCGGATGTCCATGGATAGCATCTGGAAGAAGGTGTCGGCTTTGTCGTAGCGTCGGCCCAAGGTGAAGAGGAAGGGTTGGAAGACTCGGAAGGTTAGGGTTTTTGAGATGATGTGCTGGATGTAGGCACATCGGAGTTCGCGGGATGCTGGAGTGTTGTCAAGGAAAGGTGGGAGTTCAGATGGAATCTTGGAAAGAATGTCTTTTGGAGGATCGATGGGGAGATATCCGAAATGCTCTTTGGATAGATTGTGGATGAGCTGCGAGAGCTCAGTGAAGCAGTCCAAGCTAAAAATGAAAATGTTTATTAGATCGTGTCCATTTATCGTTATCAACATGAGTCTATAAGAGAATGTATGCCCGCTGTGCACTGATGCAGTTCAACAAAGGAAATATACAAAATGAATGACCTGTCTCCAAGAGACGGAAAAGCAAAAGAAAGGGTAAAACAAAAGAAGAAAAAGCGCCAAAAGGAATGCAAATTCCGATGACTTCAAGGGCTTACTTACAAGAATTGGTCGCCCTTGGTGTTTCTGAGGTCAGTGGCCTCACCCAAGCTGGAGAGTGTCTTTCTCAGCCTGTCGCAATCACCACCCAGGTTATCAATCGTCATTCGCATCCCATCTACGGCACGCTGGAGATGCTGCTCCTTGACAATTCCGTCTCCTTCCAATCTTTCCTTCTCTCGCTCGGCACTGGCAAGTTCACTGTCTCTCTCGGAGAGCTTTTGCTCCAGGGCAGTGCGTTCCGCAGTCCAAAGCTGCTCTTTCTCATTCAAGTGGGCTTCTAGAGCGGCGATTTTATCAGCCAACTCTTTAGCAGCAGCAGCGAGTTGTTCGTCGTGTGATTGTCGAAGGGAGTCAATTTCACCAGCATGACCTTGTCGGAGTTCTTCCGTTTCTCGAGCGTTCTTCTGGTGGGTTTCTTCCAGCTCTGCTAGCTTGGCTGCGAGCTCTTCACGTGTTGTTGTGAGTTCAGTGAGTCGGGCTTGGAGCTCGGTCTCTTTGGATTCCAAAGCAGCGATCTGGGAGGTCACTTCTGTCTTGGTGGCCTCCAGCTCGGTGCGCTGGGCCTCGAAGGATTCCTGTAATTGGGTCTTCTCCTTCTCCCATTCGCCCCGACTAGATTCGTGTTCAGCGCGAAGTTCGCGCTCACGAGTCTCCAAGTTCTCTGCTGCAGTTTTCTCATCCTCGGTCTTGATTTCTTCAAACAGCTCGGTGAGCTCTGCCTTCTGTGCCCCAAGAGCCTTCTCCTGCTCCTCCTTCTTGATCACCAGGTCTTTCTCGTGGGCTTCCTTTGACTCCTTGATGCTTTCATTGAGCTGGTTGATCTGTCCCTCGAGCAAGACCTTGGTTTCAGTAAGCTCCTCGTTGGACTTCTGGTGGACAGCCAAGCCATCTTCAAGGTCCTTCTGCTTCTCTTGCAGATCTCCGAGTTCGAGACGCAGCTCACTAATGGTATGCTTTAATTTAGCGCCTTCTTCGGCACTCTCATTGGCAGCTTTCTTCATTTGGGCTTGCAGAGCTTCGATGTAGTACTCCTTGTGAATCAAAGCTTGTTCGTGCTGGGTTCCAATATGTTTCATCTCAGCCTCCCGGTTTGAGAGCTTGCTGTGTGTGTTGCGGAACCCATGAAGAAGACGGTTGATGTCTGGAATGGCCGACTGGATACGTTGAAGAAGCTCAATGTGCTCAGTGTCATTTTCTGGGGGAGATCCATTCTCGTAGGCATGGCCGTTGGCCATGGACAGGTTATGAAGGGCCTGGTATGACGCCTGATATGATGGATCTGGGATGCTGTAGCCCCGGCTCATATAATGGGGCTCTGATTGGTGATGAGGAGAATAATATCCATAAGGAGGTATCATGCCAGCAGAGCTCATGACAGGAGATTGAAGAGAATGCGGCCCACTTTGGGCGATGGAAGGCGCCGCTTCTGGGGGAGCCATCGGTGCTGCTGGTAGATTCTGAGGTGGAGGGGTTGCAGTTGGTGATATATTTGGAGACATTTGAGGGTAGTGAGAACGTGCAAGTGGGCTGCTGACTTTAGGCACCGGTGAGGAAGTGTAAGCTACTGATGAGGCGTAAGGCACCGGAGAGCCAGCGTAGGGTGTGGATGAGGTGTAGGGCACCGGGGAACCAGCGTAAGGCACTGGCGCGTACAGCGCAGGTGAGGCGTAGGGTACTTGTGAAGAATATGCGTTTGGCGAAGTGTACGGTACCGGGGAGGCTGCGTATGGCACTGGCGAAGCGTAGCCTGTTGGTGACGCGTAGCCTGGTTGTGCAGCGTAGGCGTTTGGCGATGTGTAAGGTGCTTGCGCAGGGTATGGGACAGGCGAAGCGTAAGGAGAATATGGTCCAGGATAATAATGTTGGTGCTCCTGGGAGGGGCTTGACATATACCGTGCTTCAGTCAATGATGGTGAAGGCAAGGGGACACAGGCGGCCACAGGGGAGAATGGGTCAACCGGTGCTGCTGAGACTACAGTCGCCTCTCCAGGGCGCTCAACTTGATTGGGTTGGTCTTGCTTGGTATGATCTTCCAAGTCCCTCTTTGGCTCTTGGTCCTCAATAGGAGCCTGAATCAAACTTGCTTCTTCCACAGGCGACTCTCTGGTTTCACTGTCCTCGATGGGAGGCTGAGTTGAGCTTGATTCGTCCAAGTGAGGTGTGTCCGAGTGAGGTGCGTCCAATTGTAGTGCGTCCAAGTGTGGAGCGTCCAAATGTGGTGCTTCGTCGACAATCCTATCGACTATCGGCGGTGATTGATCTACGACAGGGTCGGAGCTGTCTTTGTGTGGAGGTACTTCGTCGAACACCTTGTCTGGTGATAAAGGGGTTTCGAGTACAGGGGATTTTGAATCTGCGACAGAGTCGGGGACGCCTTGAGGTGCAAATACAGTGTTGTCGTCAAGTATCTCGTGTGCTGGTACGGGATTGTCAATCACAGGCGGTGCTTGATTTGCGACAGGTTCTGAACTGTCTTGAGGTGTGGTCTCGTCGTCGAATACCTGATATGCGGATACAGGATTGTCAAGTACAGGTGCTTGATCAGCGACAGGCTTGGAACCGTCTTGAGGTGTGGTGTCGTTGTCGAGTACCTCGTACGATGAGACGAGATTGTCAAGTGCGGGTGCTTGGTCTGCGACAGGCCTGGAACTGTCTTCTTGAGGTGTAGTCTCGTCGTCGAATACTTGGTATGCCGATACAGGATTGTCAAGTACAGGAACTTGGTCTGCGACAGGCTTGGCACTGTGTTGAGGTATTGTGTCGTCGTCAAATACCTGGTATGCAGAAACAGGATTGTCAAGTACAGGTGCTTGATCTGCGACAGGCTTTGAATTGTCTTGTGTTGTGTCGTCGTCAAATACCTCATATGCTGATACAGGAAGTGGCGTCTTTACTTCTGATGTGTCAACAGGAGGCTCTTTTACTTGCTCTGGTTCCTGCGCCGTAAGTTCAGGGCTGCCAGGAGCAGGAGTAGTTGTAGTTGTCTGTGTCTCTGTGACTTCTGGGCTCTTCCCCTTCTTAACCTTCTTGGTGGCTGCCTTGCCCTTGTCTTTGGCCTTAGCCTTCTTACCTGCGGCCATGGCGGTAGAGTGATGCCCAAGCTCTCGCCTGTGAGAGACGTGTTACCAATAGGATCAATGTACTAAATGAAGCATATGAGTAATGGTTCGGATCATATGAGAGACTGCACTGTACATTTGCAACCAACCCTGTGGCAATGCTTCAAGATATAGCCCAATATTTGACTATGAAGATGTGTATCAAGACTTTGCAATATTTAGAGCGTAAGCCAAGTGGCTTCGGTTGATCGGGCAGAGAACCTGAAACCTCTTTGACGGGGCGCGAATGAAGATCCACGAAATCAATGTAGATGTTTTGGGGGTAAGACCAATTGTCAATTCCTACGGAATAATTAAAGGAAAGAAAAAGATCAACCCGAAAGAAATTTACAAAATCTCTCGAAAAATTAGCATCCTAACGTTTGTCTGGGTACAACAGCGGACCGACCCTTAGCGTGATTGATACCCATCCAACCCCCAGTGTGCGAGGGGACCGTGAATTAGACGCGAATGCTGGGAATTATGGACCTTTGAGGGCACAAAGAAGTATTGAATCCACCCATATTGCATTTCGGACTGGAAGCGAGACCATTCGGGAGACGCCATGACAGTTGGGCATCAAATTGTGGGTTTGGGCCATTCTAAAGGGCAAGGCTTAGTGGGGTGACTTGACACCGACAAGCTGACATGTTCAATTGAGAGCACATGAATTCAAACGAGGCGATATATCATGTATCTCGCCCAATCAGGGTAGCCTTGGGAAACAAATAGTGAGGCTGTCATGGGACAACATTGGACAACATTGGACAACACATCTTACTACATGAGGTTTCGAGCAGCATATTGGACATAATATGATTGTTTATGCCAAGTAGATCGGGCTGCAGTTGAATTTTGGATTTTTTTTTTTTTTATTTTTATCTGCACATTGTGCAGAGTAGCACTACATCGGAGTACGAAGTAGGGAGTACTATTGTCCCTATCCTGGGCTATTATAGGGGTCTTGCAGTGTGATACTAAATATACACAAATGGGTTTCATTTGAAGAAATATGAGAGAACAGAAAGAACAGATCAATTCTAATTCTCACTTGAATATGAAAATTCTCGAAAAGATTCCTTCTAATAATATACTAATACACGAATGAAGAATAGTCTCAAGACGAGAATGATGTTGTTCATCAACACTCTTGCCAGAGAGCGGCCCTAAGCCTAATACGGACATCACGTGCCATCGACTTTCACTTTCCACCTCGCCCTATCATCGCTCCCCAAAGGGTCATCGATCACCACCAATTGCTTCCCTCCACACAATGTTCGCTGCCACACGATCTGCTCCTTCGATGCGGCAACTGCTGCGCACCCAGCGCCGCTGGGGCTCTCACGCCGCCCACGCGCCCGTGAATGAAGGCTTCGGCGTAAGCTCCCCCGCGACCAGACCCGACTCTGGAAGAGCAAGAAATGCCTCAATGGCCCACGACCTAGCTAATCATTCTATGTCCACATAACAGCGCAGCTTCTACGTCACCTGTGGCTCCATCGCCTCCGCCTTCCTCCTCTACCACGTCAGCAAGTCCAACGAGGAATCCGGCTCGGCGTCTTGGATCTCCAACCTCATTACCAAGTGGTCGCCTTCCCAGGAGGTCTTCGAGCAGCGCAATGCTATCCACACCGCTATGATGGAGAAGGCTGCTTCTGACCGCCACTTGCTCGGCAGTCAGGGCCCACCCGAGGCTTTTGACCTCCGACAGCCCGAGTATGTGATGCTATCGCTTTGGAAATGCTATGGTTTCTGTGCTAATTGTACTTTTTTCGCGGTTATTTAGTATGATGAACGCCGGCTCTCCGTACAACGTTTCGCCCGGTTCGCAGGCCGACCTGAGCCATGTCGTGGCTCACTACCAGCGCAAGAACCAGCAGATTGAGGAGTCTCGGGTTGCGCGGATGAAGGACGGCAAGGTCGTGTCGATCTATGAGTAAATGGGGAGTGTCGTTTTTCTTTGGTCGGCTGTCTGAAATAGACATGTGTGGAGGAAAAATTATGTACATATACGTTGGGACTTGACGTTCAATCCAGCACTTGATAATTGGATTTTCTTTTGTTTTGAACCTAAATCCTGGATCCTCGCGGAATGTTCGTTGAATGCTGGGATTGGATATTCATTTCATTATCAAATTGACTCTAGGGCCCGGTTGACGGCACAACCTCCAAAACTACTCTACCCACACCCTCAGACTGAACGTTCAATTTCTGCTGCACGTCCAGCTCATTAGCACAGACATTACGCAGCACAGCAAGGAACTCATCAACGCCTCCGCCAACTCCGAAATAAACCTTCTTCGCGGCGACGAGAGCCCGACTTCTCGCTGATGCAGTGTTCGAGCGGCGCAGCAGCGCCAAAAGCGTCTCAGAAAACGCAGCCAGTGATGCCGGCGAGTAGATCGTCTCACTAGCAAGAACCAGAGTCTTGCGAGCACCACCACCGGATGAAAAGACCAGATCCACAAACGCGGGTGACCAAGCGCCCGAAATGAAATCAACCGAGATCCCACGCTGAGCAAGATCATTCTGGAATTCTTCAACCAGCTCAGGCGTGATATCCAGCTCTTCGTCCTGATCCCGTGCAGTTGGCGCGGCTGAAACAACTGTTTGAGAGCGGCTAAGGTGCCATGTCAGAAGGAGATTCGGAAGTGTAACAAGACGGAGCACGTCCGAGTTGTAGTCTGCAAAAGTAAAGACTATCTTTCTTTGGCTCTGGCTTGGCTCGGCTTGGCCGAGAAGACGGGCAAACAGTGTCAATGACGGGACTGCTGTGCCTGCGCCGAGCTGTTTCTTGACATTAGCCTTCTTGCTCTTTGGAGATGGGGGAAGCTTTCAAAAGACGCATGATTACGAACCTCAATTATATGAATGTCTGCCGGGCTATCTGAGGATTCATTAAGTATGTCCTCATTGACGGAGAGCTTAACTAGATCCAAGGCACATTCCCAGGTTTTGAAGCCGCCTTCATAGAAATTGGGCGTGATGTCGCCTTTTTCAATACCGGCAATAAGCTCTTCATTATCATGGCCTGCGCTGTCCTCGGCCATGAGTTGGGTGCGAATGTCAAAGATCTCTCGACGAGCAACGGCCAGAAGCGAATCGCTGATTGCGAGCTTATTGTAGAATATTTGAGAGGGAAGAATCGAAAGCTGTCATTTTGATTAGATTGTTGCTCTGCTAAAGACTTATCATGCATTTCAAAGCAATGAAGGTATGCATAATGCTCTTGTTGATGATAGAGAGCAGTATCTCATAGGCCCGAATTGGGATTTAGAATATACTTGCCAGTCCAAACCATGACAAGAGCAGGAACATAATATGCATAATCGAGACTGAAATATCTTGCTTGATCACTTACCCATTCATTCATATCATGTTTAACGGCTTTCACAAGCTCAGGAAGAGAATTGCCCACAGTTTGCTGAGAGGACACACCAGAAAAATCATTATTGATCTCCGAGTCATCAATGTCGATATCATCTCCCGAAAACCCGAAGCTAAAAGCCATTTTCACCTCAATAAGACGGCTGTCTTCTCTTCCAAGGCTAGTACTCTGTAGGTGGGTTGTCTGAAGTCTCAGATTTTCTGAATTTTTCGGCAGTGCAGGCTGCCGACAAACTTGGACTGGTTTCGACAAAACTATTCTCTTCCAGACCAATGACCAGCTGTTTCAACAGTAATTAGGTCCCAAAGCTTTCCTTTTTACCGGCGCTGAGATCTGATCCCCATACAAAAATTGCAGTGGGTGGAATGCTGACTAAGCGCGTATATTCCTCAGGTCTCAGGCAGCATTTAATACAGTTAACCATAACCAACTAAGCATGATGATGAATCCAAATGCTATTTTAAAGGTCAGTCGGGCGTTGAAATGATTGTAAATATATGATTTTGATAATTCTATAACTCGTAATGTCATATCCAAGTGATCAACAACCAATGCAGTCTATTCTACATATTGTTGAAATGCAAGCCAAAATTAGTGAAAATTAAGAGTTGCGCTTAAGCCCTCTTAGCAGCCATGCTGAGAGCCTGCATGACATCAGCGTGCAGATCCACAGAGTCCTCAATACCGCAGCTCATGCGCACAAGGTCGTCGAAGACACCGGCAGCCTCACGCTGTTCCTTGGGAATACCAGCGTGGGTCATGCTGGAGGGCACCTCGCACAGACTCTCAACACCTCCCAGACTCTCAGCGAGAGTGAAGATCTTGGTGTACTTGCAGAAATCGTGAGCAGCCTGTTGACCACCCTTAATGCGGAAGCTGAGCATGCCACCACCCATACCATCACGGTGCTGCTTGAGGGCAATATCGCGCTGGGGGTGGGAGTCAATGCCGGGGTAGTTGACGGAGATAACGTGGGGAGAAGCCTCAAGGGCTTCGGCAATGACAGTGGCGTTCTTGGACGCCTCGCGGGCGCGCAGGTGCAGGGTCTTGAGACCACGGTGAGCGAGCCAGCAGTCAAAGGCGGAAGGAACAGCACCAATGGCATTTTGGAGGAAGCTGAGGCGCTCCTTGAGAGCCTCGGAGCTGAAGGCAGCAACGCCCATCAGAACATCCTAGACTTGAGTTAGCAAAATTGATACCGGGAAAGTGTAGATCGGATGTAAGAACTCACAGAGTGGCCATTAATGTACTTAGTGACGGAGTGGACAACAATATCAGCACCGTGGTCCAATGGGTTCTGGACGTAGGGGCTCATGAAAGTGTTATCGACAACGACCTGAATGCTGTGCTTGTGGGCAATGTTGGCGATAGCCCGGATATCCACCAAGCCAAGAGTAGGGTTGGAGGGGGTCTCAATCCAAATGAGCTTGGTCTCGGGGCGGATCAATTGCTCCACATCCAATTCAATGGAGGGGGTGAAAGTGACCTGAACACCGTGCGCCGAAGCAACCTTGGTGAAGTATCGGTGGGTACCACCGTAAACATCGGAGACCGAAACGACGTGCGAGCCAGCAGCAAGGGATTGGAGGATGTTGGCGGTAGCGGCGGAGCCTGAGGAGAAGGCAAGAGCGTACTTGGCATGCTCGAGGGCTGCGACGGCTTGCTCGAAGTTATCACTGCAGGGGTGTTAATCCTGGTCGACATGTCGAAAGTTTGGACTTGGAGACTGACCGGTTGGGGTTAGAGCTACGGGTGTACTCGTACAGACCAACGGGGTTTCCGACACTGGTCTGAGCATATGTGGTGGACAGGGAGATCTAGTCAGGACATTGTTAGTGCCGCCATATATCCTCCGTGACTAAATTGGTTCTGCTTACCGGAGCAATGACAGCGCCGGTCACCGGGTCATGAGGGGAGCCGGCGTGGACAGCCAGTGTCCCAAAGCCGCGCTCAGCAGCGTGTCCGTTTTCTGTGGAGGAGACCATTGTGTATAAAGAAAATGGGTTGAGGAGAATTGAGGCGAGGGGTCGGTAGGTTATATGTTTATCGATAAGGTGAGATCACCTTCTTTGTACGCCGGGATTGTCTGAATTTGGAAAGACTCGGATTGCGAATCTGATTGATAATCAATGGCGACGAAAAGAAGGTACAAGTCTCTGCTTCCGGATGTTTTCGTGAAAAATTCAACCGAAAAAAAAAAATTTCATCTGCAATAGATTAGTTTACATACCAACCCTCTGGGGGGCAGATGGCGATAGATGGCAGGAATACGACTGGACGAGAGACCGACGGAGCTCCACCGGACCAATTCTTCTCGGAAAATCAGTTGGGACACGCCGACACCTCGGAGTGTCGGAGTGTTCGGCACTTACCGGGATCTTTTAATTGGCCTCTACCTTCTCGCTTTGATCAATCAATCTATATCATTTATATGCACTTTCTTTACATTTGGGGTAATACGGTAGAAATTTGTCACTAACTTCGGATCAACTTCTTTTTCTCCCATATCAAGCAGCCTTCTACATCGTCAGCTGGTCTCATTACGTATCACTCATGTATCTATCACACAATGGTTGGTTTATACTCGTCGCGTTTTATCTTTTTCCAAGTCTACTTATCTATATACTTTCGTTTCATACGGAATACAATATAGAGATTCCTTTCCGTTCTCAGTCAAAACATAGGTAATGATGGTCATGCCAAAACTGCCGGCGGCCTCTTAGTCACTGTTGTATCGTATGCGCCATGTATGTAAGTCGTAGCGTGTCGGAACTCTCCAGCGGGTAAATCTAGCTCGCACCTATCTATTCTCAGCTACCACGAGAAACATATCCCGGCCGATCAGCATCACAGTTTTGTCAAGAGGGCATCGTCGCGTGAGATTGAAATCGCAGTCAGGAAGAGTGATATTCCATCCGCAGAAGCTAGAACAAACCTGACAGGCTGCTCAGCCATCCTCCATTCTTTACAATAGATTCCGTCGTTACTTGCAGGTGAAGTTGATATGCCTATAGGTCAACCAATCCATCAATGCTGTAATGAATTTCAAGGGTGGCTTCGTGCTTTTGGATCAATTTCATGTTAACAAAAGCATTCATGTTTGCGCGCTCTTCCGCGTTTAAAAGAGCGACTCGCTCCTCCATCGTTGTAAAAGGGCCAAAGAATTTCGGGTCAATGAAATTCCAATGTATTTCATCAAACAGCGCGCTGTGTCGTGAAGCAAGGGAAATCCAAAACAACCCAGTATCCAATGATTGTTCCATAGCGATGGAGAGGCGTTGGGACTGAGTCAAGGATCGGGCTTTAATTTTCTCCGTCTCACAATTTCGAAGGACTTCCAGAAAAGTGCGAAATCTTGGCAAAAATATAGCCATGAATTGATCAAAATCCGGGTCCCAGCTCTCGGGCCGTTCCAATAAGAGCCTCCAAGGGGCTGCGTACGTAAACTCAACGGGAGCAGCATATGAGAACTCCCAGTCAATCACACCCGCAACGATAAATTTCGACGGATCAACAAGAACATTTCCGGGGGAATAGTCATCGCAATATAGGCGGAAACGACCGTTGCAATGCTCGGATGCTATATCACGCGAAAGCTTGCGGAACAGACAGCGTGCGATATACTTCCTCCGGCAGTCGTTCTCATCAGCGACTGCGTCATTGCGTTGATACTCAAGATGATAGAAATGTTGTTGAGCAAGCTTCTCGAAGTAATCTGCTGCGTCGCTAAAATGTTTCCGCTGGAAAAGCTTTTGGGGGACATTCGAAAATTCGGCAATCCGATTCATATTCAGAGTGAGTGGTCCCTTCGATGAAGCTCATGTACCAGACTCGTCTTTTCTGATAGCTCCGATGGAGATTCAACTTTTGACAGCTCCAATAAGACTCCTGCCATGCCGTGATATGCTCTCCTTAAGACGCGGATAGAAATATTCGCTAGTAGTGTGTCTTTATCCTGTGTTGGATCTTTCAAATATCTGCTCAAAAGATTGGCTTCAATATAAGACATCACAATATACGGACCGTGCACACTCTTCCCATGGCCGAAGATCTTTGGTACCGGAATTGTTGTATGCTGGCCGGGAAATTCTTTGGTAGTGACTTTGTCATCAACTTTCTCATTGCGAGCGACAATTCGACCAAGGGCAGTGAAACGGACCACAACACGGTGTCTTTTTTCAAAGGTGACGCGGTAGCAAACGTTGAAAGCGCCATTGGACAGCCGTGAAGCTTTGATAGGCGTGCCAGGGCAATGGCGAGAGGCAAGGTGACCCGCTAGCTCCTCTGGTGGATTCCGCAAAAGATTCTGTGTCCACACTGTGAAGATTGTATCTACCCGCTGGGATGCCAAGTTATCGAAGTCCATTACCCAGGGAAACGGTTGTATCAACGAGGGGGAAGCGAAGACTGTAGAGAAACAAGTGCCCTACATAACCCAAGATCTTGTGATTTGATACCAGAAAAGGGGTTCACGATCTCCGGTGCAGAGTACGGAGTATACAACTCGGGATTGTACGTCTTTCACATCTCATTTCACTTTGGTCAGTGCGAGGCAATTGAGGAGTCGGTACCCGATCCATTGCACAGTATCACGTGCTTCTGCACGAAGATCTCCCCAGTTGTGATTTACGAATTCTCTCCTAGGGGGTTGGTTCCCTTGTTCAGTCTACGGAACTGAAGCGCAGCATCTCGTTCTGGAAGGCTCCAGACGCGTAGAGCTCCCTGACACCGGCTATGGTGTCAAAAATCTTCCGGGGCCAGTGCCGTAAGATACTGCCAATATATACGCAATATGGTATCAATTCGCCTTGTATTTGATTAACAAAATGGTAACTCGACGTGCCACATTCACTATCGTTGTATTCGGGCCTGCCGCGCGAAGAAAGTTTGTTTGAAGCGCGGTGAATCCCCCTTCTGCCCTGAGGAGTTCAATCAAACGCTCACCATGAGAATGTAAAGCATAAGCTATCCTTGGGCCAAGTCGGCTGGGAACTTTGGAGACTGTTTCGGCTAGGACATCCAAAGAGGCTCCATACTGGAACAGCCACCTAGATGTTTTGAAATCGTTTCTGTCGTAAGATTCTTAACAGAGCCTGTTAATCCCACCGCAGACTTCTCGGCAGGATGCACCATGATAAAACAACCAGCTTAATTCCCTTTGGTAACCTTTTCAATCAGCCGCACGCTCAGCAAGATCGCCGCACGTAAAATGCTTCAGTGATACTCTGCGGTGGATCAGGATGTTCAGCCCTATTTTTGCGATAGGCGTGTGATAAAATATGGCCTCGGGGTTGCCGTTGCCGTGTCGGGACCAGAATAAGAGTGGAAGACGCCTCGACGGTGGAAAGGGTTAGACATAGGTCAAGAGACAAGAAGACGTTCTAGTTTTACATCAAATGACAGCGTGCCGACAGCCTACCACCATGTGATGGGTCCCGTTCCGCCCATTTGCATAGAGCCCTAGAAGGTGGTGAGTGAGAGTTACACATTTCAAAAATACGGAGACCCACAAGAATGGAATACGGAGGGCGCCTCTCCTGTGGTGTTTCATCCACAACATCTGGTGCATTCGGGATTTGGTCATGCCACTCTTCTGATTCAACACGGAATCGAACAACTTCTCCTACATCGAAGAAGAATTCAGTTCCGCCTTCGCTCTCCCAGATCCATACCTGCTCGGCATAGTCACTGCAAAACAAGTTAGCATTTTGAGATTCGACATGAGGCCGGGGACCAGCTCACAAGCGGGACTTTTCCATGAGCATCTGCGGCGGGATAAGGATATCATTGAAGAATTCAATGCCAACTGAAATTGATTAGTTTTTGACAAGGACTGAGTGTTTCCTGTTTGGAGCATACTCTTGATTCCATGCTCTGTGCCGCTAGAAATTTTCCCTAGCATGATCTCTCCCTTGAAGGGTCTGAAGACAATCATGCGGAATTTAACTGTGTCATAGTCAGTGACGATCTCGAGCCTGATCGAGGGTTCGCATCATTTACCGTTGACGTTGACCAACCCAGTTCCGTGACCAATCAGGCCATCAGAAGACTCAAGTAGGTCATAGAAGCTGATGCAAAGGCCAATCTTTTGGATGACCTAGAGGGCAAGATGAGCATGTAAAGAACTGGCAGGGAGGAGGTGGATTTCCGCACTTTATTGGCGTATTTTGCATTGATATTGTCTTCAAGTGCAACTGCACTGAACTTCGAGAAATCCTCGGGCGAAATCTGGATCAAGTCCGATATGGTGGTCTGCAGATGTTAAAGAAGGTTTTTATATATTGGCATCACACTTACTAAGATAAACATAATGATGGTGGGAAAGGCAGAGATAGAAGAATTAATCAGACTTGACAGCAGCACAGTAAATAGGTGCGAGTCTCTTTTCCCGTTTTACTATTGTCGTCGTGCTCCAAGACGCAATCGAAAACCTTTTGAGATTCTTCGTCCGCTAGAATCCCGCCCTCACGTGACCCAGGACGGAAGCTTTCAATTTCAACCTCAATTCCGCCAACACGCTAAGCCCACAAGATTATTCCTGTGTTTGTGCCGGGGTCTCTGGAAAACCCAAAGACTTTCGTCATGACCTCACAGGGATTTTCTTTCCCGCCCCCGCCGCCTCCGCCGCCAGCAACTACCCAGGTGGCTCAGCAACCGACCCAACATGGACAGAATTGGGGCGGACACGGCGGACATGGTGGAGGACATGGCGGAGGCCAGCGAGGACGTGGAAGGGGACAAGGCAATCGAGGCCGAGGAGGTCATCATGCAACTGGACAAGCGCCATCGTATCTTCCACCTACAGGTTTCAACTACGCGCAACCAATGTATGGTGGATATGCTTCTCAAGCTCTTCCAACAGCACCTTATATGCCTCCCCAAACATACCATCATGGACAATCGCCAGCCTTCCAGAGTCCTCAAAACCCCCCTCATTTCCATCCCAACAATATCCTCAGCCGATAGCTTCGGGGAGCTATCAACACTACAACACGCCCAATCTTCCTACACCTTACCCTCCCACACCTCCGACGTATATGCAAGGCTTACCGACCCCTCCGCATGGCCATACACCAAACAATCAAGCAATGATGCCCCCCATGTCATGGCGCAATGATATGCCAGGTGCGGCGCCATACATGGGAGCCCAACCGGGGCAAGCACGAGGACCACGACCTCCCCATGCGCATAGCAATCAAGGTCCAAAACCCAAGCACAATCAGAAGCGGGATCATTCATCTGCATTCAACAAGCCTCAATCAACTGCACCACGGACTCCCGCTGCGCCTGCCGTCCCAAGCTTCGGCAACCCTCTGCCCTCGAAGCCACCACCAGCCGCAGACTCCACAGCTAACAGAAAAGCAAAGAAGCGGAAAAGAAAGCACAATCAACTCGGGCTGACCCCTCATACCGAAGATCACGAGTCAAGCGAAGAAGAGGCTGATGAAGATGAAGAGTCGAAGCTGGCGCAAAGTGGATCTGATGCAGCACCACTTCAGGTCTCATACAAAGGGAAAACATCCACATTACAAACACCATCCGATATTGCTGCTTGGATTGCAGAGCGGAGAAGGAAATTCCCCACCAAAGCTCGAGTTGAAGAAAAGATGAAGTCTATGGAGGAGGCAAAGGCAGCCCGTGAAGCAGTCCGCCAGCAAAAGCAAAAAGAACAGCAGGAAAAGCGACGAGAGCATATACAGAAACAAAACGAACACAAGACTGACCCCGCTGCAGATGCGACAACAAACGCGCAACGCAGGGAGAAGATCCGGCGCAACCTTGAAAGAGAGGAGAAACGAATCCAAAAAGCTATGGCTGAGACCGAAGCAGCTCGTCTCCGAATGGAAGCTCTACAGAAGGAGGCATTGAGCCTGAATGTAGATTTCAACCAAGAAGAAGATACGGGTATCACGCCCGTGCACCAACTTCCGCCCCCGAATTCAGTGATCAAGACTGAACCTGCAAACGTGATGCCAGAACCAACCATCAAAACCGAACCCTATAAGGCGGTTCCCGAATCAGCCATCATCACTGAAGCCGAAACCGCTGAAACCGCTGAAACCGCAGTGCGTGAGGCAACCATAAAAACCGAGTCCCAAGACCTAGTTTCAGAGTCGACGCAATTCGCCGACCCTATTCCCCACCAGACAGAGGCGCAGGGAGATCCCGGATGCTTGCCCGAGTCCAACAATCTCGAGGCCACGATCAATACCGTACATCCGACCGACGATGGCTTGGATGACATGGAGGTCGCATCCGATCACGAGGCCAGTGATTGGACGTCATCGGGTGCTTCTGGCACAGATTTCGACTCCGACTCTGACAGCGACGACTCTGCGCCAGAGCAAGCAACTTCACGTCGCACGGGACCAGAGCGAGTGCCACCCCCCACCCCGCGAGGGCAAAAGGACTGTTTGTCGTTACTTTGCACGTAATGGGCACTGTAACCGTGGGGACCAGTGTAAATTTCTTCATGAGAATGACCCTGAACGAACCTCAAAGGCCAAGGCAAAGCCTACGGAGAAGAAAGAGAAAGAGACGAGACGCAAGGGACTTTATCAAGCCGTGAGAGCCCTCATTATTGATTTTGCGGCTTCTATTGAAATTGTACTAACACAAATTAGTTGCTGGACCGACAGACAGAAGACAATGACCGCCGAGCAATGGAAGTGATCTCCTGGCTCGGTCAGAATGATATGTTGGCGGATTGAACGCCCCCACACGATACCCCAATAAATTAGCGTCGGAACTGGACGATCTACAACACCATTATGCGCAAGGAAGTGAAAAAGGTCATAGCTTGGAGGCGTAGGGGGCTTTGGCCGGATTTCCAACTTGAACGAATATCCGAACCTTAGTGTGGCTCCGATAACAGGAAAATAGATTTAGGAAAAACATAAGTTGAATTACATCTGATTCGACTTCTTTCCGTCGGTATTAATCTAAATTTATCTTTTCGAAGGACCTAAAATAGGAAGATAACGCGAAGTGACTGTAGCCGACACAAGTGGATCGACTTTTAAGGTCACGTCGAGGTCCGACCAGTCAATGGAAGCCCTTCCCTGCCAAGCGAGACAAAGACGTCCGTGAGTGGTCCAAATCCTCGTGGGATCACCGCCACGCTCTCTTTTTTTTCCTCTTTTCAACTCATCTCGGGCTCTCGGCCCTCTTTGGCTACAATGGCCCAATCACTCGCCTTGCTTCTTTTATATTTGTTTTTATTTTTCCCTTTGACTTTGCCTGTCTCTACCTAGCTCGCTATCCATGGGGCATATGCCTTTCTAGTGATAACCCGTAGACTAAATAATCCCCCGTGTCCGGATATCCGGCCTTTTCTTCCATATTTTTGCCTCTTTAGCGTCTTACACTCCTTTGAGGCTTTGTGATTTCACTCTTTTATCTATATCTCCCACTTGAACATTCGATTCTTCATCCCCAACGTTATATATATACATCAGTCATAATGCGTTTCTATATCTCTCTCGCTGTCGCCGCCATGGCCGCCGTCGTCTCGGCTGATAGCAAGGCCAACCCCTTTAGCATCCCCGTCGACGGTTACACCTTCAAGACCGGCGAGCCTACTGCCCTGAAATGGGAGCCCACCACCGATGGCACTGTCAGCTTGATCCTGCAGTGGGGAGCCGTGATGACCGGTAACTCCGGCACTGTCATTGCCTGTAAGCGATAATATCAGAATGACTCAATATGCCCCTGTATACTAATTCTCATCCCAGCGAACATTGATAACGACGGCAGCTACACCTGGGATGTCCCCTCCAGCCTGGCCGCTCAGCCCGACTACACCATCAAGATCGTCTCGGATGAAGATAGTGACGACTACAACTACATTGGCCGTTTCACCGTCGAGGGCTCCACCGTCTCTGTCTCTTCTTCCAGCGCTAGCTCGACCACCGAATCTTCCACCGAGTCTTCCACCAAGGCCACTCGCACCACCTCCTCAGAGGAGACCACCAGCACTTCGGCCAAGACCACCAGCTCCCCCACTATGACCACCGCTTCCAGCACCGTCGCCAGCACTTCCGCTACTGAGACATCCGAGAGCACTTCCTCCACCTCGGCTAGCGCCAGCGAATCGGCTTCCCAGAGCGCCGTGCCCACCACCAACACCGGTGCCGGTGTTGTCAACCGTATCTCCGGCGGCATGCTTGCCCTCGTTGCCGGTGCTTTCATGCTGTAAATTTCTATGCATACCGATCTTGCCATCAACGAGACCTTGTTTCAGAGTCACGTTCACATGCTTTATTGATATATACATATTTTTTTCTTCCCTCTGATTGGCTGTATCTTTGAAACAGCCAATTAATTTGTGTTATTGCCGCTCTTTTTATGGGGCTGTACAAAACATCTCCTGACTACGGTCGGGTGGCTTTTATTTATTTATTTATATTGTGTGCCCCAGCGTTAACGACTGGGATCTTTCTCCGTACAATTTCACTTGTTTTTATATTCAATTCTTTAATTGATCGTCCAAAAGATGGGGGTGGGAAATAATTAATTTCGATCGTCCCGCGTCCATTTCCACTTTTTTAATTGTAGTCTAATCTCGCTTACTTCGGTCCTTTAATATATTTCAATACATCTGCGCATAGGGTGTTTTATAATGTGCGAGTGTTACCTCATATCCTCATTCAGAGTGTAGCTGACTCTGCACTAATTGAAACCTGGACTTCTCAAGGATGGTAGATAGGTAGTATAGTGGACAATATATGATGAATGGGCCCCGATGATATGATTTTTTATATTCTTCCCGTTACGGAGATAAACGGCAGCGAAGTTGTCCTTCGCTGTCTGCACCCCATACTACAATTCTTCTATATAATATAGTACTCGGGTGTGTATTTCTGCTCAGGTCTAGCGGAGCGATTTCGTTTAATTGGTAGTAATAGTTGCAAGCTCGCATTTCATCAACGGGGTCTGTAAACTCCCCATCCATATCTACCTCAGACTTATGAAGAAGCTATTCTGGTTCTTGGCGTTGGATATGTAGATGGCAGAAGAGCTTTCGAAATTGGAAGTAACGAGATCGATCTCAAAGCGTCTGTTCGAGACATCAACATTCAAGTCCATGTCCATGTTTCTGGTGCCGGGTCCAAAGGGACTGATAGACTGATATCATAGATGGGTTGGTTCTATGCCATTGTCGGCCTTTGAGGAGTTGCCAGAAAAAAGATCAGCAAGAGAACTGGCATCAGATGCAGGCCTCTCCAAATTCCAGTAAATGATGATCGACAAGTGTTGGTGGAGACTGTGGAAAATCCAAGCAAATCTCACGGATTTTCTCTTCTCGAGGGCCATTGGCTTTGAGGATCCGAGCTTGACAATTTTGGGCAAAATGCATTCTGGTTCTAGTTTTCGACTAGTTTGACACGGTAATTCGATTTCATTCGTCCTAATTTTGTGAATTTACTTTGTATCAAGTCGCGGGTCGATCTCCTTGGATTGTTGGTATGTTCGATGCTTCTAAGTTTTATTACACATGAACACCGTATACTCCATAGAGGCACATAAAACTATATACAACATACTCGCACAAACTTAATCATGAAGTCATTTCGATCAAGTCCTCTGGATTCTGTGCCTGACTCGTGACCACTCACACATGCACCAGGTACCAGGTACCTCGGTCCTCTACGATGAAATGCCAATCTGTTGAACGACTCGACGTTTCAAGTCTCCGTGAACGTCATTGCTATCTGAACTGCCACATTTCCTGTCCCAGATGTACGGAGTATAGCGTGTACTCCCTGGGGTTCGGGCTGTGCTAGGCACCCGCATGATAAAGCAACCCTGGCATAATAAGCCCCCAATCCTGCATGTCTCTTGACACACCGCATAAGCAACATGGGAACCCTCTGCAAACCAACCACATCGCCCATGTCCATACTTAATAATAAACCTCGCTCTCGTCATCAAAGGCTCGATGACAAGCAAGGGTCTTCACAAATCTAATCGCAGGAACAGTCCACTCCACCTCGTGTCTGCGCCGCGAGGAAGAAAATCCCTAGCATGATGCAGGGCTTTGCTGGAAATCCCGAAAAGGCTCAGTCCATCCAGTGAAGGCATAGGTCGGATTTTGGGTCCGATCCCTGATCTATCAATCCACCACGCCCTTGACAAGGAAAATGTGATTGCCTATATGCAATAGATGCAGTAGCCATGCGAAAACTGGGGTCGTCGTCATCCACTTTTTTTTTGAAAGATGAATGGATCAGCTTGTTCTTTTGTGTCACTTGTTACGCTTGGCCATCGATTATTGGTTGGTTGCTGCGAACGATGACAGTTGGGTTTGCAATGATCGACCCCTAGCTTACCGCAGATCCCACCGATGGGCCCGAGAATCCGAGATCCATGAAGTTGCTTCGTACTATTCGAATGTGGACTGTTCTGCATAATTCGATTATAAAGGTGCTGCTGCATCCTCCCCAGAGGTGGATGTGTTTTTATATGTTCAGTTCTGCCATTGGAAGGACAAGTCAGAGCAGAGCAGCCTTTTTCTCACATATCCATTATACCACTTCTGGCTGAGACCTATCGAACGAGGACGGGGACCTATCATGTTGTCCAAAATCCTGATCGCGTCGGCTGCGACCCTCGCGGCGCTCTCTGGCTTGGCCAATGCCCAGACTAATATCACCGAGAAAGCCTGTGCCGCCACATCCGAGTACTCAAAGTGTAACAGGGACGTCGCGGACAAGTGGAGCTCCTGCCTTCGAGGCTGTAACGGCAATGGTAACTGTGCCGTGGATTGTGGCTGCGAGTCCCACCAGAAGTATATCAACTGTATGGCGGAGTCGTGCTGGAACCAGGTATGACTTTCATATACACATTCTTCACTACTACGAACCTATGCTTACAATACTTTGATCCTCAGGTCTACTCCTGCAAATACCAGCTCTTCGTCCAGCAGTACTTCGCCGTCTGCCCCAGCGCCAAAGAACCAATCCCCTTCTGGCCCACCCCCAGACAACGCGCCAAACCGCTGCTCTTGCGACATAGGCAAAATCACAAAAACGACCCTATCATCCCGCAATCAGCAGATCAAATGTATGCGCGACGTCACCGACAAACTCGACAAAGACATCGACAACATCCAAGACCTATCGAAACTGAAAGACGGTCTTGATATCGCCGATCGCGCCTCGGACTGTGCCTGCTGCGGAGCCAGCGCTAGTATCTCCGCGTAAGTGAACCAAATAACCCTTTCAACCCACAATCTAACTCCCAGACAGATCCTGGGATATCTGCCCACACACCGAACCCAATCTCGCTGGCGCAGACATGTGGGGAGTCTTCTTCCCCTCCGATCAACCCAATCTATACAACTCCCTTCCGAACTGGGCGTGGTCCTCATGCGACGACACACTCAAAGACACAAAGTGCAAGGACCTTGGTTTTACGGACACGGATAAGTTCTATAGGCCCGGGGATTTGCCCAAGAACGGTACTTCGACACTGCACGAGGTCGGTGGTACTGTTACGGCGCCTCCTAGCGGTACGGTTCTGGTTTGGTCCCAGTCTTCGACTACTTATACCGTGACCGCGACTGGGTATGACCGAAAGGCTGTTGCTAGTCAGAGTGAGTACCGTGCTACGGCTACCGGGAGTGATGCAGCGTTTGCGACGCAGACTTCTGACAGTGGAGCTGCGGCTGTGAGGAATGGTGGTGTTGGTGCAGTTGTGGCTGCTGTTTTTGCGGTTCTTGTGTTGTAATTTAGTTAGAGAAAAATGTCGATGACGGTTGGGAGGTGGAGGGGTGACGGTGTCGAAATTTCTAAGGTACTTCATGATGTGATGAAACCGGGTTATGGAGTGGCAGCGTGCGACTCATGGTGCATGACTACTTTTCGATTGATCGTCACGCTGGGGTGAAAGACTGGATATACTCCTCAAATGATGAATAGCATGCATAATTGCCCTTATGTTGAAAGATTTATGTAGGACTGACCTTAGACATCTATTCCATATAATAACCAAAATATCTACGGGGTTCCCAGTTTAAATACCCACAATTCGGCGTTTCTGATGCTTTTGGAAGCAATTGGATTAGATTGGTGCCCACCGATGAAGAATGAGCAGGATATTTTGCGAAAATCGTCAATTTGAAGTTAGAAAAAATGTATGAGCACATGCTCTTCTTGATTGTAGCCCGCAGAGCTATGAAGTTATATAAAGAGCTCCGAATCCGCCCAGAACGCCAGTTACCCCCAGATATCGGTATCAAACGTTGGAATCATAGCCCGCTAGACAATGCACGGGCACCGTGGTCAGTGTCCTGTAGGACGACGCGAAAGCACAAATCTGAAAAATAATCCAAGACCAGAAAATCAAGCAACCCACGAAGGGATGACCCGCTTCAAGAACTTCATGAACTTCCAGAACCCAACCGCATACTCCTCGTTTCCATGGGGGTCCACGACCCGCTCAGGGAACGCAATACCAGCACCAAACAGCCCGGGAACATCAGATGCTCGACCGGCCTCGTGGAATGTACCAGTATCATGATCGAAGCTCAAAAGAAGAGGCGCTCCATCCTTCGTGAGATTGGGAAGCGAGGTACGGGTATACCCGACCGCCTGGACGATATATTCACACGTGGGCAAGTACTTCTGGTACTGAGCAGCCTCAATCTCCGGCCCACCGGCGCAGTCGATCTTCGCCAGAACCTGTCCAGCAGGTGAAGTGGCAAGCTTGTCGTCTTCCAGTTCGGAGCGAGCAAAGTTCGCAGCCAGGCCCTTGAGACCGGTGTTATCGCGCAAGATCCAGCCGTCCTTGTACTCTGCGTAGCGGAGGGGGTGGCGGGTGAACCAGCTAATGCGCAAGAGAGGGTGGGAAGTTTGGGCGAGGCTGGTGAGGTTCAAGATGGCAAGAATGGCGCTGTGGGATGCTCCGACGATAGCGACGGTGATAGGTCTGTCTGAGGGGAGGGTCTCGGCTAGCTCGGTGGGCTTGAGTACTACATCGAGGTCCAAGCGTTGGATGTCCAATCCCCCGACGGGAATGGGGGCTGTTGTGGGGAAGGAGCCTGTGCAGAGGATCAAGCGGGCAGCCTCGATGGTCTCGAGATCTTCGGATGAATTCCTTTTGATGGAAATGGTCCAGTTGGAGGTCTGTATGACGTCATTAATTGGTATTGATACGGGAAGTGCTGCAATAAATTCACTGACCATTTCGTTCAGGTTGGCTGATTTGACCAAGCCGTGGCATGCATATACTTGCTCCATCTTTAGTAGACCGTCTGTTAAGCCGCGAACCATGTCCGCTGCGAAACCAAGGGTGCAGGTGGATTCTTGGTCAAGTTTGGCCAATTTTGTGAATGCATTAGGTGATTTAGTGTTATCGATGATTTTTTGGAAGGGCTGTGTGGCTTTCGCGAACGCTTGGAATAATGACACCTTGGTGTTGCTGGAGAGGATGCTCGTTAGTACCTTCCGGTCTGTGTTTACGCGTCGCAAGAGTTCGGTACAAACCTGGGAACTTCGCGATACTTGCTATGGACTCTACCAGCCTCAAACGAAGGATCAATCCATGCGATCGTACCTAGTTGGCGCTCCAACAGGTTTCCCATGACGGCAACTCCAGCCGGACCGGCTCCTACAACGACCGCTGCGCATTTCCGAGTAGCCATGTTGAGTATTGTAATTGAGAAATGGGAAGAGTAGAAAAGGTCAGGAAGTAAACCGAATGTATGCGGAATGTGGAATGAAAATGGTGTGTTAACCAGTGTTTATTTGGGTAACTAGAACAGAATCGCAGCAGATATCGCGATGGGGTCGTGACGGGGTTTTAAAAAAGGGGAAGGTATCGGCCAAGACCCAGGGAATATCATCGGCGATGGAATGTGTAGTGTTTTTTCATGCAGATAACGCAACCAGCACCCAGTCGGGATATCGCCATGGAGCGGGAACAGTCATTCTCCCCCTTAGGAATTATACCGTGACACATGTGTGCTCGCACGAGACGGGTCGCCGGTCTATCAGCAAGTGATAGCCAATCCATCCTGCCCCGCTGGGGATCTTTACCCTAAAATTGGCTTCATGATTTGGTCTGTGATGCCTGGGAGAATCAAACGGCGACTCAATCGGTGACTCGGGGTCTGTCAATCGGCGACTGAGCCCCACTGTGCGCTTCCCGTCGGCCTGTCGGCCTGTCGGCTGCGTCGATCCGTCAGTATGGAAGATGCGCTCATGGAAGAAACATCATTTGTACGGTATAGGCGGGAATAATGTAATTCCAAGGTTGGGGTGAATGAGGGTTAGTACATGGGAGTCTCAAAAATGGTAAAGCAGGTCAAGCAGGTCAAGGAGGCTGTTGGCTTTATATTGTATTGTGTTTGGCGTCGATCAGCCAGTCTTGGCAGAATGGCGTGATCAATCTTGGGCTTCGAAGCCAATCAGCGCTTAGCAAGTAGACACTGCAATGAAGCCTGCTATTGATCTAAAAGCTAAGGTGTGATATCGAAGACCATTCTGACAGGTTTACGGGCTAGCGCTGTACGACAAAGCCATGATGTCCCGCAAGCTCCATATCTGCACGTCGGTGTTCCATCCATCTTCCCTCACACAGCCCAGAATATCCTCACGCTCGCTCGATCAACGTGGTTTGACCAGCCTGGAAACCTCGCCCGGGCCCAAATGGCAATCGAATCGCCGATCTCCAACTCGCGCACTCCGTGCCCATCAAGAGTAGCACGGCCACGACCTAGGGTTCTCTCAATTTCAAAGGCTTCGGGCGAGTCTGCCTGGATATCATCTCGAAAGTCCCAAACGATCTTGTTGTGCTGTATCTCGTCCACATGGGCTGCATTGACTTGCAATTTGTTGTCACGCGGCAATAGCTCCGCATCTGCCTCGGTATAGTGTTTTCGAACTTGCCCACGCTCATTATCGAGAATCTCTTGTTCGGTTCCGTCGACATACATGTTCCTCTTGTGAGCGCCGCGGATCACTTCGGCGTCAAACCAGGTCCATGAATACTCGTACATGTTGTCGCGACGCCGCCCACCGCCTTGATCGTGAGATGAGATCTTGAAGACGATCTTGCGACAAGGATGTGCTCCGCGATGAGGTAGGGGGGTAGGGTTCGATTCTTGTTCCAAGCTCTAAAAGAACCAGATTATCAGCATAAATCAGCTAATTTGAAATAGCATGCATATACATTCCGATCATAGCAGAAGGGAACTGTCTTTAGCAAAACTTGATCGCAGTCTTTCTTGATGATCCGTTGGTTTTGCATTTTTTGCTCTACCGAAGGCCAGTATTCCGCGGCATCGATGATCATATCGATGAGCTCTTCAGGTAGAGCGTGTGAGAGCTTCAATTGGAACAGACGCCGAACATGGAGGACATCGTCCAAGTTGGGATTGAATACTTGAGGTTCTGGATCTGGGCAACACTCATCCGACCTATCAGAATCTGTGCCGTTGGAATCTGCAGCCAATTGGCCATAGGCCTGGTGTAGGCTGTCTGGGCGAAGTCCGAAAGGCAACATTATGGTAGTAATGCGATTTTAAGTGCTGACTTGTTGAATTAAGCTTTGGTGACACTTGGACATGTATAGATGTCAATCTTGGACTTTGCGATGTAGGTAGTACCTAGGTAGATATTGGTTCAGTTCAGGTCACGGCACCACCACACAAGGGTCAGTTCGTATGATTGAACGTTTTGTTCGTGTACTACCCGAGTTAGCTATAGCCTTCGTTCCCGTCGAATCGTTCGGAATACACACTTGGTATATTGCATGAAGGTTGGAATTAAAGTGGTACACTTTGGAAATATTAACCTTGTCGAGATAAACTGACTGTGAGATTAAGGGTTTAAATAGTTAATGTTGGAAAAAAAAAGGTACACATGTGATTAATCGATCGAATATCGATCGGCTGTCGATCGACGATGACGTCAATATCTCCATTTATAGCTGACATCTGATTTGGTGGAATGTACATGTGGAGATTGCCGGGGATGCACGTTGCTCGAAATTTTGTGATCTTCATACAATATATTCAAATGCCCTTCCTAACGCCCAAAGATACATGGTTTGTTTTGGTTTCAACCCCTTCTGCCACCTGCAGCTTTGTATGCAGCAGCACGCTTGCTGCTTCTACTTTCTCGCTTGGCCTTCGAGCCACGGCTCTTTTGCTTCATCTTGATGGATGATGATCCCTCCGTAGCACGGTGACCCTCAAATACGAAAGAGTTACCGGCAATGGTACTGTTAGCCTCAGCTTTGACCTTAGCTGCACCCGCTCGGCCCAGTAGCCTATTAGCACGTCCTTGCATCGTCTTTTGGGCCTCGTCTACACGAGACTTCTTGGCCTCGGGGCCGGAAGGTTCGCGCTTCTTAACGATCTTGCGGGCACGTGTGACACGCAACTTGCGGGGAAGCATGGGCGGGAAGTTCTTTCCGTTCAGTGGGAGGGACTCCTCAACACCATTTCCATCGTAGAACTGGACATAGGCGAATCCTTTGCCAACACGAGTGGTGCTGTCACGAATCACGCGGACGAACTCGACGTTCTTCTTGGTGGCTTTCTTGTCCTTGCCTCCAGTGTGGGCATTGAAAATCCGCCAGAGACCCTCCTCAATATCGGCAGGAGCACGAGCCTTCTTCTTCTTGCCAGTCTTCTCGTCCTCTTCGGGAGTCTCACTGTCGATGAAAGAAAGGTTTCCAACAAAGACGCAGCGCTTGTGGTCGATTTCTGCGGGGTGAGCAAGGCTGTCAACTCGCAAATGACGGTCCAAAACCATGGTACCATTCAACGCGGCGGGGGCCTTGCGTGCGGCGTGGAGAGTGGTGTAGACAGCGTAGGCGTTAGTGCTGGGTGTAGTCTCATCGAGAATCTCGCGCTTTGCGAAGGAAGCACGCTTAGGAATACCACCGCCACTGGCGAACGCAACAGAGCGGAAACGGATCGACTCAATCTTGTGTGGGCCGGTGGATTCAGGAAGGGTTGAACAGAAAGAGGCCAGGTGCCTAAGAAGTGTCTTCTTGGCGGTCTTGGACTTGATAGCCTCAGTAGAAACGTTGCCAAGGAAGACAGTGCGGTTGGATTTCTCAACCTCATCAGCCTTGGCGGATCCAGTCAGACTCTCGTGTACAGGCGCAGGAGCGGTTTCCTCTTCGTCGCTGTCTTCTGATGCCGATGCTTTGTCGGAGTCCTCAGCTTTCTCGTCTTCATCATCACCGCTACCTTCTTCTTCTGCCTCTTCTTCGGTCTGTTTTTGGCGTTTTGCATGCTCAGACTTCCTCTTTTCCTCGTCCTTTTCCTCCTCCTTTGCAATGCGACGCATATATGTCTCTTCGACCTCCTCTGCGGCAGCGCCACGCTTGCGTTTCCGGTTCTGTGTGTCGGTAGGTTGTTCTTTTTCCTCTATAACCTCAGAGTCGCTTTCCTCAGTAGCGTCCTCCATTTCTTCATCGCCTGACGCAGATGATAGATCATCCTCCTCAGCATCATCTTCCTCCTTCCTCGCCCGTTGGATGGGCTCGACATATTTGATCACCGGGGCTTGCACGGGACCAGCCTATAGATTGTCAATCCAAGATCCATTAGATCCATATCAAGACAGACGTACACTTTGCGCAAAAAGGGAGGACAATGTTGGGTCCAGAGATGCACCACCGAAGGGAAGAGTGACAGCGGGCTTGCTAGTCTTCTCCTCCATCTTGGAGGATGATTTTGATTTTTTGCCCATTGTGATATGTATTTGGTCTGTGTTATAGTTTGAAAAGTGAGTGACCAAGACGTGGCTTCGCGATTGACACGCCGATGATAGCTCCGACTTTTTTTTTTCTTTAGTTTCTGCTTATCGGGTCTTGGCACGGAAAGCTGATTATCACATGACTAGGACATTCAAGAAATGTTCTTAAGAACGTTTTGTACTCCGTACACTCCGTATGGTAGGTATGTGAGAATGTCACCTATGTTGACTTTTTTGTATTGCTTATTTTATTCTTGTTTGTAACTACTGCCCTTTTGTCTATGTATCCTAGGCGGAAGGGTTCTTATTTGGGATTAGGGGGCAAGCTTGTGGAGGTCTGCTGCACCTTTACACCATCCAACATAATGAGACAGTTGAACAATTTCTTTGGCCTATATTTCCTCCGTGTTTCTCATGCTATAATAGTGCAATATCAACATACGATCACATAAAATGGCCTATCTATTTCCTGCAGCTACGTCAGTTACAATCTCACGTGATTTTCTTTTTTCTTCGGGCGGTGAGTACTGCCCTCGCCGGAACGCAACGCGGCAGAATCAGCGGTCACTCGCTTCTGTTGCTGCACCCCATCATAGCGATCTGCTGCTTTTGTCTTCTGAAACCCCCTCTTTCGGTTGTGTTTTCCCATCCTTGATCTTTCATTTGATCTTGGTTACGGTCCCTGGCCATTTATTCATGCCGTCAACCCCTCTGCGACTCAGTACCCTCGTCTTGTCCGCTTCCTAGCCATCCTCCCCTCGCCCTCCAAAGTCGGTCTTCGCAGGATTCGTCGGACCGAACCCTTTCACGGCCTACAACAGTGGTGATACGCGTGGGCGTGGTATTGAGTCATAGCCTGCGTCTTAGGAACGCGGTGGTTTTGGGAATCGTGCTCGGTCGCGAGCAGCTGTGCTCATCACCAGCGTCGCTCCCGGCGCATTGTTGAAACGGTACGTCGCTTGTGGCTCTACATCAATCCCAGAGTTTCATCTGGTCATTCTCGCGAAGTGGGAGCATTTCTGTGTCTTCTGGAACTACTTTGATTGGTACACTTGCTTTGCGCGGCCTTTAGTCCCTGTGCTGAGCAATCGTTACCGACTCTGGGGACGTTTCGATGATCAATCTCCGCACCACCGCCTTCTGGAGGCGCTGACCTATCTCTCGCACCCACCAACCACGTTTTGCCCACCATCTCCGTCTTTCACTGGTTTTGCCGAGTTGACATGGCAATTGAGCTAATTCGATCTGTGGTTTCTCTAGATCCTCGATCGAAACACCATCTGGTGGATCGGTGACCTTTCTCCTCCGTCACCTCACGTCTGCGGCGAATCTCAACCTCTCTGCAAGCAATCAACCATTCAATATCCCCCAACCTTTCTTGTCTTCACTCATATTGTCTTGCGCCAGCTCTATTGGCTGTCAAATTGCTCATGGAGGTAGTCGAGAGCAGAGAACAGACCGCCGTTGGTCACACAACGGGGGCAGAGTCCACAATTCCCAATGGAGAGCGAAACCCTTATCTTGATGACCCGCTCATGGATGATGATGGACGCTCAAGTAGCTTGAGTGAGATTGACGATGTCTCAGACAACGAGCCGTCCGACTTCGAAGACCCCATCAAATCAGACAAACCAATGGAGAACGATTCGGAGGCCGAAACCGAGCGCATCGAAGATTCCCCACATAACAACCGGAAACGAGACATCGTGTTGAGTGCCGCTAGCGCTGGGCCAAGTCCTAGCAAGCTTCATCAATCTACAACACTAGATGATGTCGACGATGAAGCACTTGTGGTGGACGATTCTCCTAGCAAACCTCGACGATCTTCAAAAAACAACGGCTTGACTGAGGATATTCCAGACCTGGGCGACCTTGGTGATTCCGAACTTCCAGATAGTCTCGACAAGAAACGAAAACGCGTCGAGGTCAGCGACGAAGAACCCACGAAAAAACGCCGGAACTCAATCAGGAGCGACTTGAGTGACCCGGTCGATGATGATACCCCCCTCTCACCCGAGCCGCTTGGCAATCTCATGGATATCAATGAAGATGGTATACTAGTTGACGAAGTTCCTGAGTCGGACCTCCCTGCTCCGCCTTCAAAAGGCAAAAAGGGCAAAAAGGGTAAGCGGAAAGGAAGAAGGACCCAAGACGCCGATGAGGAGGCGAACGCCGGGGTCGAGGCCACAATGGAGCATGTTGCTGATGAGATTCTTGGAGAAGACGAGGAGCCTACGGAAAGAGGAGATGAGCCCGATGATGCGGAGGCGGTTCTTCGAGCAGAAGAGTGTAAGTCTTGCCCTTCATCGACCCTCTGGGCGCCATAGATACTGATTCCCTGTACAGCCGTGAAAAAGATGTCTGCTATGGATTCACTAGCGACTCTGGAGAAAGAATTTGCAACGTTACGTGACAAGTAAGATATCACCCCATCTCCCACATGCTTAGTTGCTAATAATCATAGGATTTATGACGAACGGATATCCAAGCTCAATCGCGAACTGGAGATGCTTACCGGTCCTAGCCCGACGCATCCTGAATACTTGCGGCAGATTGAGTGTGTGCAACGTTACCGGGATGCCAAGATCAAATACGAGCAAAATTTGTATCGATACCGCATGAAGTCACTCATGCACAAGGGTCTGGCCGAGCGTACACAGGCCCATAGCACATACTACCAGCGGATTCGAGACGCGCGCGAGCGGCATTCAAGTGCAGTCAGCAAGCAGTTCTACGCTATTCAGCATGATCGCTTCAAGACAGACGAGCTCAGCCCGCACCACATCATCCCATTCCCCACCCGTCGGTCGCAGCAAATCGCACATCAGACCGCATACAACCAGGAGGTTTCAATTATGGCCGGTGTTGCCAAATATGTTGGCTTCCCAGCTGCCCCGTCCTTGATGGGTGCACGGCCCACTGAGCTTGATGATGATCTTGAAAAGATGGGGGTAAGTCATTCTCATGTTTTTTTTTTAAATTTGGATTGTTGCTTAACAGCAGTGTATAGATTCCTATTGAGGTTCGCGCTTCAGCACCGCGACACTCATCGGCAATGCTACCACGGACCAATATGTCTACCATGTCTTCTAATGCCTTCCGTTCGGCCGAAGAAGCATTTTTAGAGCAAACACCCTGGGCAAACCCACAGCATCCTATTCATCAGCAGCAGCACCAGCAACACCATTCGCAGCTATCTCGACCGCAAGGCCGTACATTTGAACATCCACAGCCGTCATCATATGCAACGCCAGCCGCTCAAAAACGGGTGGTAGACATCAATGCACCCAACGGATCTGCATCCACCATTCCTGAGAATGCTTCTGCTGCCAACTCATCTGCCAACAACACCCCTTACGGCATGGAGCACGATCCAAGACATCAAACGCAAGGGCCTTTCCGCAACCCAGATTATGATGCCGACCATCGGAAATCCGGGTTCCGGTCACTAAGCTCATCTCCTTTGGATGTACGGAAATCACAGCCGCATCTTACCCATGCCCTTGAACACCGCTCTCCTATTACCGACGCCCCATCCCAAAATCACATTTTCTCTCCGCCTTCCACACGCCAAGGCTTGTTTCCGCCTTCAACAGCTCTCAACCGGGAGACCTCGCCATCCCTCCCGTCTAAACCTGTTGATGTGGTACATTACCGCGCTCATCAGTCAGGAATTCCTACAGGGTCTGGTTCAACTCACATGCCTAATCGATAATCGATTATTTTTGGCGATCGTTTTTGAAATGACTGGTCAACACTTCCCTTAATACCCCGAGAGTCTCGCGCCCTCTCCAAGCATTTTGTGCACTTCTCTTCTCCTGTGATGAACCCTATGTTTTTCTATCCAGCTCTTGCTCCAGAAGCAACTATATTCTGATCATCATTTTCGTCTGTGCATGAATGGAATACCATACCAATCTGGGGTCTTGTCTTTGACTTTCAACAGCGTCCACATGTGGGATACTCCCATTGTCTTTACTTCTAGCTTTGCATTCAAAGACTTTATTTGAATGGAATCGAATCTGGTTAAAGTGGTTATTATCTTACCAACTGGGGTGTATGGGGTTTGAATTTGTTTCTTCGTGTTTGCGATAGAGAAACATCTTTCACGTTGGAGTTTATCTTTCCTCCCTCTATAGTGACTGCTTTTCTGGTGGATTTGTGCTTATTGATGTACATACCATACGCCTTGATTTGATATCATAAGGCTCTCAATCCCTTTCTTTTCTTATTCCTTGTTTAGAGCTTTGTTTTACTGTTGAATTCTTACTGCTCAAAGACCTTTATAGCTCACACCAAGAGTGTCATCATTTGTCTTAGGCGCTTAGGCATCCAGGCAACCTCCAGGCCTTGACATAATTACCAGGTCCACTAGGCCATTTTCAATGATCTCTAAGAGAATTTACAATTTATTTACCTCCATATAGCGGGGCTGAATCATGGCGACGCCACACCTTCTCTAGCCTCATGCTAAGTGGAGCTCGTCTGGTGCTAAGATTCACTTCACCGATTGACTCAAAGGCCCTTATGAATGCATTGGGGAAAGAGCCAAAGAAGATTCATTCAGGAAGATTAAGTATATGTATTAAATGGCCAGTATTTGCAATTCTTCCAAAAAATCCAACAGAGTGCGTGTATATCTGTTCATACATAAGTTCAGAAGCTCAAGTTTGCATGTTGTTAAGGGATTCCCAAAAATTGAAAATCGATACCTCATCCATCAAAGCATCAATGGCATTTTCGTCGATTGTTATTCCTGCCAGAGGATCATCGGCAGAATCATCCTGAGGTGGAGATGACTTAGATGCAAAATCAGGGAGAACTGTTTGAGTCACATAGTTTGGGAAAATGCAACGGATGGCTTCGAGGAAAATACCTCGGAAGACCGAAGAGCAGGGATGTGTGTGTTGCATCTGTTCCAGAACTATCATGCACACCTCAATTTTGTTGAGACCCAGACGTCGGGAAACGGGATCGGAAGATTTGCAGTTGAGGAGGTGGACGTGCATTGCTGGAACTATCAGGGGTGGCCTAGAGTGCTAATTAGATAATATGTCACTTGCAAGAAAGTGGCGCACTCACGTCATAGGACCTGAGTATTCCAACAGCTTCTCGTGTGCTAGATTATCAAGGATGGCATTGGTCTGTAGCGCAGCCGCATTGATCTGATTTCGGACGTGAGCTCGCCATGCTTCCTGGCGAGATGCAGGCAGACCTTCCGGGTCCTTTGTGATGAAAGGACGGTAAAAGGTAATTACGAAAGCTCTTTTGGCTGTCAGCAGCAGTTATAGAAGGATTTGGTGTCGATACTCACTGGTAATGAAGCTGCAAGTGATACAAGTAAAAGGTTGCAAGTGGACTTTGTCCCGTCTCCTGGTATTCGGGAAGTTGAAAGCGCAGAACCTTTTGTTCGAGGGCCTCAACTTGCTGGAAAGACGAAGTGTTTCCAAAGGGTTGGTAACACAGGGTGAGACTTTCTCCCAAAAGCTGAGTGAGTTGAATGATCATCACCCAATATTCTGCTAGTTGCGGCAGGTCCTTTGGGACATATGCTGCGGTTATAGATTCGGGTAATTCGGCGAAATCATTCAGCATATCATTGGCAGATGGTTGTACAGTATTGCAGTCATTTATGTTGATTCTCAATGGACGGCCCATTGTGAGACTTAGCCAACGGTCTCGAAAGAAGCAGGTCCACCAAAGGCGGCGCCACAGACGCTGTTGTGATTCAGTGATTGGTGAGCTTGCGCACACCGCAGCGGAAAAACGATGAAGACCCATCGTTTGGCAAAGGCTAATGGCAACACCAAGCCAAAACCATGGTTGAGTGTAAGTATCAGCTTCGGAGTGGTAAAATCCCAGAAGAAGCGCTGATTGAAGGAGAACTGTGTGGTCTGTTTCGCCCCCATTATTATGTAGGCACTGAAAAAATTGGAATTAGCCAGACTTGATTCGGGAATCGCTCAAATAATGACCTGCGTACCTTTGCGCGAGAATACATAGTTTCCTTCATCGCTTTCCTGGACGAAAAGCCCTCTGATTGCCAGGTTTCTGCCTTAAGATGCTATAGTCACGTTAGTTCGATCTACAACACAGCTCAGAGACGGTATGCTTCACATTTGCTGCAGCAAAGAAAATGCTCCATAGTAATATGAGATTGTATGGTTGACCATCTCCGCCAGGAAAGAGGCGTGGAAGCGTTGTAGCGTCAATCACCGGCATAATGGGATGCACATGATGAAAGTATGCCTGCAGAAGTTCATCGCATGTTTCTTTTCGGGGCATATTGAAGACTCCTTTGTATTGTAAGTATGCCTTATCTTCGGGAGACAGCGAGGCAGATGTCTTGGAAGTGAGCATGATATGCCTCGATAGAGGCTGCTCTGAAGGTGAGCATATGTCAAAGACAGCACCAAACCCAGGCGAATCGCCTATAGCCTTAGGTTAGCTTCAGGTGAAAACAATTGCACAGTGGCTACAGACCAGTGTAGAATGGCGCGTGGCCAGGTTTATTGTTTTTGCCAAGGACTTTGGATGCAATTTCAACGCCAGTTCGCTCTTCCTCCTGGCGCCGAGAATAATCCGGGGGGTTGGATACACTCCTCATATTAGCTAGCTCAGGGTGATCTACATTTTGCGAATGCGTTTGATCTCCAAATGCATCAAGTGGAGGTGGCGGCTGTGAAAGTGATGGATGTGAAAGTGATGGCTGTGGGAGTGATCGCTGTGGGAGTGACTGCTGTGGAAGTGATGACTGTGATATCAATCTATTGGAATCTGTGTTAGGAGGCGGGCTGCTCACAGACGCAGTCCGACGTGTATGTCTCTCTCGGATGCTATATCAGTCAGCGATAAGATTCTATTAATTGGGAAGCAAACCTCACGTCTGGGTTTTTGTCGGCGGAACGTGACATTCTCTGCCATCTTGTGTACAGCCTATACACGGGATACCGGTCACCGTCACGCTACAGCGGACTTTGCGTTGACGGCAATTTTGACAAGCAGCAGCCGATCGATAGCGGCGCGTAGACATGACGAGTCCAGCTGCCAAGTATTGATGTATCGGTCTGCCGAGATGATCGGATCACCGAATGTCGTCAAGTATTAAAGTAATCCGAGACAGCCGAGGCGTGGTATTCCTTCCCGAAAGTTCCGAGGTAGATATTTTTTGAGGAGCGTGACAGGGATCTGAGAGGTAGGGGAAAAGGCTATACTCACTACAGGAAAGGTACGACAGAGAAAAATAGGAAACGAGGGAGGAAAGATAAGAAGACAAGAGATTTGAGTCGATCTCCAGGGATCGACTTCGTTACACATGGAGGCCTGGGGATGTCCAAGATATGCCTGCGACCTGAGGCATCATAATTCTGTTACCAGAGGTACTTGGAAATATATATATATCTCGCCCACATCGTTATTTTTCTATTAAACAGACATAGACTTCAAATAATAAAGCCTATCTATTGTAGTGTTGTAAAAATCAAATAAAAATATAATTTGTGATTTCGAATGGCTTATTGAGGAATTTGTATATATTACACTTTGGATAGCGGTTCTACATTTTTCTACTTCTATAAATAACAACCAAAGGTTCTGGAGATCGGAGATCAAATCTATATTTTTCAAGTAAAATGAGCAAGCAGGTTCGTGATATCGATTTTTTCTCCTATAATAAAATGAGATGGTCGAAGTATATACCTATATTTTCAAGTACCTTTTGTATGGGTATCGCGTAGAAAAGGTACATTTGCACCGAGCTAGCTTTTGCATTCAACCTGTGCAGCCTAGCACTTTATAAGGGCGGATTACTATCAACTACGGAGGATGCTGGATTAATCCTCCGGTATGCTGGTCATCATGCTCCAACAAATTCTTGGCCCTACGTAAAATGGAAGTTTTTTTTTTGAAGAATTCATGTACTCTATATTCAATTTAAATAGCAAAACCGCAGAGGGTTTTAGTGTTTATAGTACATTAGGGCTACCTACAGGATAGTAATTCCAGTGAAGGCCCGGTGTTCCTCGTAGTGAAGCTTCACCTTGTTCTTACCATCCAGGTCGCAGCGGTAGATAGATCCGCCGAGATCAGCAAGATAGACTTGAGAATTGACGGAATCCAACTTCAAACCAATTGCCTCGTTCAGGCCCCTGGTGAGGATCTCATATCCCAGAGGGGAACTAGTTGGTAGCAGGAGACCATCTTCACCCAACTTGGCTCTGTTCAGCGAGTTGCCCCATGGAACTTCACCACGATCGGTCCAGTAAAGTGTGTTAGTGGCTTCGTGAACCTCAAGATCAATTGGCTCAGGAAGATCAGCGATCACGCATTGGACGTCACCCCGATCAGTTGCCGACTGACCCTCAGGAGTTGCGATATTGGCGCAGAAGATGCGGCCTTCGCCACCCTTGGAGGGTCCCTTCTGGGTCCAATAGAATTTACCCTGACTAGGGTTTACAGCAACTCCCACGCACCAGGCGGAGACAAGCTGTGCGGCGGTCATATCACGGCCAGTTTTATCAATCAAAACCTCCAGATTGGACCCGTCGAAGGCACAGCGGTAGACTCGGCATCCCTCACGGTCAGAAAAGTAGACGGCTTGGGCTTCGGAATCAAGAGCCAACTGCTTTGGTGTATTGATACTTCCTGGGGCAACAAGTGTCTTGATATCGGTTCCATCCACGTTGGCGGAGTAAACAGCACCGTCGGACTTTCCTGGAATGCCCATGCAAGTCCAGAACATGCGGCCAGAGGCCGAGTCTACAGCGATTCCATCAGGCAGGGATTGGCCTTTGAGGATCGATTTCTGTTGCTTGCCGTCTGCGGAAACCCGGAGAATCTCTCCTGATGTCATACTAGGCGCAACGGCTGACAGTCCAAGGTCCAACACCAAGATTTCGGGCTTTGAGTCGGACTTTGTAGGAGTCGGGACTCTAGCAGGATACAGGCCACCCTTTGAGGACTTGGTTCCCAGCTTTCCGTGATCCAGGTAATTGGCCTTCAAGAAGTCGACGGTCTTCTCGGAAGAGAGTCCACGTTCCTCGATGTAATGGCCCTCAATGAAAGCAACGGTGTCTAGGCCAACATCTATATAATAATCTGTCAGTGAACAAATTCTCAATAATCAGGGAAGGCGAGTGTAGATCTTACTATCCATTGTCTGGCAGGGAAGACTGCCTCCCTTGAGAAACAGTTCAGCCCACATTGAGTCGATCTCCTCGGGTACGGAAACACCCTCAGCCAAGATAGTCAAGACCTCGCGCTTCACAGCAGCCCACAGTCGATTGAAGATGAACCCAGTGGACTCCTTTCTTGCGACATATGGGTTTGTGGCAGCTTCCTTACAGCGCTCAACCATGAAAGAGATTATCTCCGGGGTAGTGTGTCCATCAGTCATAAGCTCCACAATCATACACGCTGGCGGCATGTAATAATGCATATTCAGAACGCGTGTCTTAGTGGAGTCCGAGATTTCAGTGATTATCTCGGAAGACTTGTATGAGGATGAATTGGAGGCCAGGATACAGTCCTTGGGAGCGAGAGCCTCCAATTCAGCGAAAGTGGCGATCTTGAGTTGGAGCTTCTCAGGAACGGCTTCAATGACAAGCCAGGCATTTTCGACAGCTGCTTTCATGTCTTCGACGGCTTCATATGAGCCGGGAATCTGCTTGGTTTTGGCGGCGTATGATTGGACATTTTCCTTAATGTATGCAATTCCGTCCGCTCGCTGTTGAGCGCTGGGGTCTCGAATCTTAACATCAAAGCCGGCTGACGCCCAGATGCATCCTGATGCCAGAAAGTTGTCAGTACTTCCATCAATACAATAATACGGTGGATGGGATACAGACCTACTCGGCGGCCAAGTACACCTGCACCAAGAATGGCAACTGTGCGGCTGCGGTAGTTGCAGGGGGGTTCCCATTGTGATGCCATGTTGTAAATAAAGTAAGTAGATAGAGTAAGGGGTTCAAGTGTCAAGTAATTCCGTTGGGATTCAATTGCAGTGGCAGGTGAGTTCCCTTTTATCCTCCACTATCATTGCTATTGCTATTCCGCACATCCCTCGGAAATCCACTATCTGCTATGCACTCAACTCAGAGAGAATCTTCAAAGAACTTCAGCGGGACAATAGCTTCCCTCGGAAACTCCAGTCCCGGGCCGTGGAAATGAGACAAGAAAGGAGATTGCTTTCATCAAGCGGGTCATTGAGGGATCGGCAAAACAATTCCAAGATTTTGGCAGATGTGGAACTATGGTTTAGAAACGCCATCGGTCTTGGAAATGCTTGATTATAGGCTAGTCGATCTCCCGAGGTCGTTTTGGGGCCCATTATATTATGGAGATCTATGGATGAAGATGGAGCCTGCCGAGGTAGACTACCTCGGGAACTACGCCCCCTGTCTAGAGTTGAATGCTAATCGGAAAATCTTTATAGGATAGAAAGAATAAATAGCTCATTTGGTTTCTTGCAGCTATAAAGTATTTATCTTCACTGACGTGCTCAAAGAAACACATTGTCATTGCAATCTTCCACAATGGCATCTTTGAAAGAATTCGACGCGAGCGAAGTCGCAACTCACAACACGAAAAATGATCTATTTGTCATCATCCATGGAAAAGGTAATCGTTCTTGTCCCAGATCTCATTCAACCTTCTAACATACCTAGTGTACGACGTCACCGATTATGTGCGAGATCATCCCGGTGGTGCAGATGTGTTGGTAGAAGTCGCCGGTACAGACGCAACAGCTGCATATGAAGATGTCGGTCACTCAGAGGATGCAAATGAGATTCTGGAGACATACCTAGTTGGTACTGTTAAGGATGCACATGAGTTTGTTCAGCGCAAGGTGGTTCGTGTAATCAAGCCAACCTCCGATAAAGGGGCGCCCAAGAAGTCATCAGGGGTCCTCAAAGCTGCGACCACAGTTACTGCCACACTTGCCGCTACTGCGCTGGTTTATGCCTCTTCCAAAAATCACCGAGCCTTGACCGACTTCTTTGCAAAGCACAAGCCATCCTCTCTACAAATCCCTGAGGTTGGAGTCCCATTTACAAGCCTTCTCCGAGGTGGATTTTTGAGTGGAGTCACTGCTGCCACACTGGTTTGCACTACGATTGGCGGTGTTGTTGCAATGAGACTCTCCAAGTTCACTGAAGTCGAGTCTGGTTTCACAAAGTACCGTCCGTACAAGAAGGCCTCGACCATGAAGAAGCAGGACCCACATCTTGTGAAGGGCTTCCTTGAGCCCAAGAGCTACAAAAAGCTCCCCCTCGTTCAGAAGGATCAATTATCGCCCAATGTTTACCGCTTCGTCTTTCAGCTGCCCAATAAGCAGGATGTGATTGGACTCCCGATCGGCCAGCATGTTGCTATCAAAGCTATGATCAACGGTGCTTCGGTGTCGAGATCATATACCCCGACATCCAATAACCTGGATCTTGGAAGACTGGAACTCGTTATCAAATGCTACCCAGATGGTCTTCTCACTGGACAATATCTTGAGTCTTTGCAAATTGGCGACAAAGTTGAATTCCGCGGCCCGAAGGGCGCGATGAAATATCACAATGGCCTTTGCAAGAAAATTGGCATGATCGCTGGTGGAACCGGAATCACCCCAATGTACCAACTCATCCGGGCGATTTGCGAGGATGATCGGGATACAACTGAGATTAGTCTGATCTACGCCAACCGAAGCGAAGAAGATATCCTTCTTCGTCGGGAATTGGAGAGTTTTGCACGAGGATATCCCAAAAACTTCAAGCTCTGGTACATGCTCGACCATCCTCCTGACAACTGGGCGTATGGCAAGGGATACGTTACAGGGGACGTCATGGCTGCAAGATTGCCTGGCCCAGCACCTGATACCAAGATCATGCTTTGTGGACCACCAGGTATGGTGAATGCTTCAAAGAAAAGCTTGGTGGCTGCGGGATTCACAGCTCCTGGGGCTGTTGGAAAGATGACCGACCAGATCTTCTGCTTCTAGAATGTTTGTGGATATATACTGTGCTTGTTTCACGTTGATAGATTGTGATGTATATTAGAGCTGATTGGAAATTCGATGTGTTTCTTCTATGTATCTGAGGAATTTGTTCTTATATGTATCATCTTAGGCTAGGAAAATCAGATGATTAAAGTCCTACATCGCTATGACGAGGGCTACATCTCCTTTTGTCCCTGTGCATAGACAAGGTCCTACGGGTAACACTTTCCTCCATTTTCTGTTATACACCTATGACAGGGGTTAGAAGCCACCGAACCAGGATTTTGATAAAAAGCTATGTTGTAGTAAACTATGCACAACCGGGGCTGCCCTGCCCCGGGACCCTGGACATCTATTCATGATACAAATGGTTCATGAAAGCTTGGTACCGTCATCAACGTCAATCCTAAACACTGTGTGAAATTGCAAATTCTTTTCAAGGGTTGTATCACTATATCATATCAGAAGGCACCATAAGAACAAGCCTATAAGAAATCCAATGAATGGTTACAAGTATACGAGAAACTGAGGAAGCGCATAGATCTAGATACATCTGCGAGAATAACACAGTCAACACGGTAAAATGAAAAGAAAGAGTCCAAATGATCTAAGTTGACGCAATGACTCCAAACCCCTGTCATGCATATACCTCGAGAACCGGTACAGGGGAGAAAATCTTCAAAAAAGGGACATCACAGAGTATCTCTGTGAAGCCTCCTGAAATGACATCACAAGGCCACATAAGCTGACCATCCTTGAATTTTCACATTCTAGACTTCCGGTTTCCCGAGTAATGTTAGTAAATAATTAGAATGGCGTCGAGAAAAACGCGGTTCGCCACATCCCCCTATCTAGATGTTGCGTAAGATTCTAACCCGCGACGTCCCAACGGAGTGGTAGATAGACATGTAGATAGGCAAATAACCAATCGGATGGGATATTTGCAAATCCCTCAAGTATCAGCTATTTCTGTTTGGCTCCACTGTGGGTATCTATGATCGAAATTTAATAAAGAGACTAAAAACCCTGCTATCTTGAGGATCGAGGGAATATATGCCTTTCCGAGGTATACCAAATTGATATCCGAGGGAAGGGCAACCAATCGGGACGGCTCATGCAGACCCACATACCGAGGAAGGGGCCCGAACTATGAAACGGCCGGGATCCCGTCTTGATGGCCATTTCAGTATATAAGTTTGGGTTCCTGGAACTGGTCATCACAAACATTCGAACACAATGTCTGCAAAGCAATTCTACCTCCTTGGGGAGCCAGTCTCCTCCGCTAAAAATATCGATGTCGACCCCAAAAGCGATTTGAGTGCACTCAAGGACTTGATTGCAGCTCACTTTGCAATCGTTGAGTCAAGTGGTAAGTTTTGAAGATTTTCCGCCCTTGGCCTTCATTACTGACATGTATAATAGGTATCGATTTCCATGCACAAGATCTGCCGCTGAACGAGATCACCGAAATCATCTCGGCCGCAACTCCCATTGCCATCACCATCGATGGAAATGCAGTCCGCGATCCACCAGGCCCAAATGGTCTTCCCTATGTCGGAAATTTCTTTGAAGTCTACCCAGACCACCTGGGCAACCACCAACGTCTCTTCGAACAATATGGCCCGGTCATCAAAACAACCAATCTCGGTCGTGTAACATATCAAACAAATGATCCAGCTATCTCCGCGATCGTCTTTGCCGAATCCGACTTTTTCACCAAAGATATCAATCCTGCTCATCCCCTTTACCCCCTGAAGCAGCCAGAGGCTGGTGTTTTCCTAGGCGACACAGATACCCCTGAGTGGAAGGTCGCTCATAAGTTTTTACCGCCAGCTCTCGGCCCTAAGGCTGTCCGTCACTATGCGCCGACAATGCAGAAAACAGTTGAGGATGCTTTCAAGGTCTTTGATGACTTTGATGAGCAGGGCGAAGCTTGGAATGTCTATCAGTATATGCTGAAGCTCGGCTCACAAGCAGTCGGTAAGCTCACGCTTGGCCTCGACTTCCAACACTTCTCGAGTCGGGACGCCCCGCTGCACGAGATGATCCATTTGATTGCTGGTGTTCTTTCTCTTAATAAGAAAGTCTCGTCCAAGGGGGATTGGTATGGGAAACTGCCATTCGGAGATCCTAAGAAGCTCAGAGACATCAAAACCAGAGTTGAACAGATTGTGGGACAGACAATTAAAGAAGCTGAAAGCAGTGGCGTGGAAGATCTACCACTGCAAGATGCAGCGCTGAAGGCGTCCAACATGATCGGTAAGTGGCACCTATATGGCACCCAATCTACTTCTTGAATCGACCTGGTCCGATCTTTTTATATGAATGAATTCTAACGAATATCTCAGACTATGCCATCCGTGCAACCGACAATAAGGGCGAGAAGCTTCCCCAGTCAAGCTTGATCTGGGCTCTTGTCGTCGCAACCGGAGCCGGCTTCACAACCACCAGTTCCCTTCTATCCTGGCTCATCTACGGTCTTGTCACCTACCCCGGTATGCAAGAAAGACTACTCCAAGAACTCATCGACAACGACATCGACGAGAACACCGTTATGACAGCTGAGGTCACCGAAAAACTCGATTTCCTCGACAAGTACATCAAGGAGACCCAGCGTCGTCACAACCCCAGTTTCCAACCGGGACGAACTGCTAAGGTTGACCTCGTGCTTCCGGGAGGATACAAGCTCCCTAAGGACTCGGTCATTCTCCCAGCCCTGCACCATATCCACAACAACCCCGATCTATGGGACAATCCTGCTCGTTTCAACCCTGATCGCTGGGACACCGATGAGGTTAAGAACAGACACAAGGCTGCGTATATCCCATTCGCCATGGGCCCGCGTATGTGCATTGGGTTCAACTTTGCCTTGCAGGAAATCAAGGTTTTCCTTCCCAAGCTCGTCTTCCGGTATAAGTTCATTCGGGAGGGCAATGAGCCTATCCAGTATGATCCCATGTTCCAGTTGATTCGGCCCAACAACCTCTACGTTCGCGCAGAGAAGAGAGTGAAGTGGCCTCCTAAGTCCGAGACAGCGGGAACAGAGGATGCCTGAGGAGATTCTAGCATGAATGATGTGTAAGTACCAAGTGAAGGGCTGGATAGCGGCAATTGTTTTTAGAATATAGAATTGTATATTATTTCGTCCGCAGCAATGAACTTTACTAAAAGAACTTTCCATCTGGCAAAGTAGAAGGTCTAGTTGAGGTGTAAACAAGACTTCCGTTGAATCTTGCATTCGTCTACAAATTGAGCAGATACTAAACGCGCGGCAGACGGTATTTGCGAGAGACGGAAAAACAATGGCAGACGATAGGTATGCCGACTACTGAATACAACCGAATGCCTTGATAGGACACATTCAGCCTAGAAACGGAGATATCTCTCCGAAAACCAAGCGAGATGGAGGCACCGTAATTGTGGCATGTTCAGAAACCGAACCCATAAGATGAATACAGTAGAAGAGGGATATAACGAAAACAGGGGCTGAAAGGTATCTAATCCAAGACATGTGCAATAAAGAAAAATAATGCCGGAAAAAACAAGCTGATAATCCCCAGCATTCGAAATTACAGAATTTCTAGGGTCTCTTCCCATCGTCTTCTTTTCATCGAGTAGCACGAAGAACAAGATTATGGCTCTGAGGCGAGAGGCTTGGTCTCTGATGATTCCGGTGCTTCGCTTGCAGCTGGCTCCAGAACTGTACTCTGTGGGCGCCACTTGGTGAGGACTTTGCCTGCAGCAGGTCGGGATTCTTCGTCTGTTCACCGCGTATTAGATATATATAACACAAATGGATACAGGCGGAGAGTGTACTTACAAGTCTGGTAGACATCCTCTACTGTGTTCAAGCACATCTCTCGTGCTGGAGGTCGGAACATGATCAGGTACCTAAAGAAAGTCAGCAGGGAGGCCCTTGGTAGTAAGAAAAGCGGATAGCACACATCAAGGATTGAACACAAAGGTTCACACGTTCCGGATCTTTGGCCAAGCTGGCCACCCGCTGAGTGATGGGAATTGTGATCTCAGGGACTTCACTGAGGAAGCGGACCAGCACCTTGATATCTCGAGAATCCAAATAAGCTAGGAAACCATCCAAAAGTCGGGTGGCCCAGGTGTCGTAGTTCAGAGGTACAGTCGGTTCCGAGTCTTCCTCCGTGTCATCGCGCTGATTGGCGGCACTTTTCATTTGGATCCGGTCATTATACCACTCTTCATTGAGCCAAATAATGGCGATATTAAGTCGTCCTCGGAAATCTTCCAAGATGAACCGATAGAGCGTCTCGCGGATCGAATCAGCAATAGTTGTTTGTCTACGTGCGGCGTCTCCCTTTGCCTGTTGATCAATTTCGAGACCGGCAGGAGCCCGTGTAGCCAACCGAGCAAGAAGAACAGACCATGCGTCCCGGTCAAATGTACTACCTGCTAACCTTGCAAATCCGAGCTTTTGTTGGCTTTGACCCTTGGCAGGCGCAGGGGATGTTTCGGCTGCGTTCAGCATGCCGAACACGCGTGCAACAGCACTCCGTCCGATTTCTCCGGCCTCTTCTTCGGTCAGTGGAGGTGGCTGTGGCAGGACGAAAGGACCCAAAGAGACCAGTTCTGGTTGAAGGTCTGCTACCTCCGCTGCAACGGCACTGGCCTCTTCTGAAACAACAGATGCTACATCCATAGGCTGGTATTCAGGCTCATAGTCATCATCCTCATCTTGAGCAGCTGCTTTTTGTTGCTGCTGTCGTTGCAAGTTTTGATCTTTCGTGATTGTCTGATATCGAGTACGAACAGCCTGGGGCCATGTCAGTAAACCACAAACTTTCTCTCTCATGACAATACTTACATCGACGGCTTGTGCAAGTGTTGAATCCTGTACCTGCGACAAGAGAGGTACAACAATCTTGAGAACTAAATCAATCGGCAGCTGCTTTACGTCGAAGGAGGACAGTCCGGTGTCCTCAGTCAAGGTAAAGAGCCGATCAAAGCTTGCAGGCCCCGGTGCCATTGGAGGAATCTTGAGCATAGGAGGAGGCAAAGCGTTGAGACGTGCCCGCTTAGCGTTGTCCAGCCCATCGGTGGGTTCATTTGGCAATCCACGTTTCCGCGACGCATCATCGGTGACCTCAAGTCGTGATTGCATTAGACGTTCGATATACATTTGCATGCGACCCATCAGAGGGTGGTTCGGGTTCCTATGAAGCTTAGGTCAAACAACATCTTTCGCAACCAGGATAACAACATACTTCTTCAAAACGTTGATGAGCAAGGCTCGAGCTGTGCGCTCCATCGACTTGACGCTGACACGAACTGTCGGAGTAAACGGCGGACGGACGTGCTTTGCTGGGTAGAACTCCAAAACTGCATTAATGATTTTGTTTGCTATAGACTGGCGTGTTCGGATGAGAGGGGCGAGGCAGTTCAAGGTCGCGTTTACAAGAAGAGGATCACTGGCTTGAGTTAGCGTCACTCTGAACTCGTGAAATCAGTCGGTTGATCCTCATACCTAGTCTCTTCTTGGAAAACGCCGAGTAGTCGATCGAGGAGACCGGAGGATTCCGCTTCCAGGTTTGGTATTGACAGGACAGCATGATTTCGGGGAACGACGGCTAAAGATGTCTCATTCTGCTCGGGTCGCTGATTGAAGTTAATATCAATATATCAGAGCCTCTATAACTCGCGAACATACCCTGGGGTCCGAGATCAATCCAGGCGTCTGAACTTGGACCACGCGCTGAATGAACTTGGCACAGCAAAGCTTAACTGGGCATGGGAACGAGTCCATTCTCCTAAGTATGTCCTGCTTAATTGCACTCATCGTCTCCCATGACTTGCCATCCTGTGGGTGGTTCACACTGCGGGTATTGTTAGCCCTGCACCAAGTTTGCGTTTGGAGCGCGCTCCTGCGTCGCAGCCACGAAACCTTGGGAATAACCTACACATGTCTGAAGACGAGGGGATACAAGCTAGCTGAAGTCTGCACTAAGCTCTGTAGGACTGCTGTGTCTGTCTCCGGCAACTCTAGAATCTCGCGGATTGTCTGCAGGACGTTTGGTGCCAACTGCTCCTTCTGCGCAACACCTAACATTGGGCTAGCGAAAGTTTCTGCCAGGAAGTTTGCACCCCATCGTCGCAATTCCAATCGTGTACTAGCTCCGACGATAGGAAGGATGCCATTAACGATCTGTGGGTAGAAGGCGGCATCACCGAGGACGAGGTTTCGGGCAGCGTTGAGCTGGGCGATCTGGTCGACGACATTGTCCATTTGCTGAGCCATTGTAGCTTTAATGGGAAGGTATCAGATATGCGACGGTGTCGGATTCGAGGTGGAAGGCTAGGTGCTCAGGGAAGGGAGGGCGTTCCTGGATGGACGGGGACACGGATGCAGTTGCAAAAGCAACGCGCATAAGCTCGGGACTGCAGTTGCAGAACGAGGAAATAGCGGGGAATTACACCAAGTTTGGAAATGATAAGTGGGTATGCGATGGGTAGTGAAGGAAGGGCGATTGGGAAGTGAAGTTGACAGCCGCCGAGGATGCGACAAAAGCTGCGCAGCCTGAAAGGGCGGCCGACACAGACTCCGATGTGTGTAGTTACAGTAACTACTTATAACACTCGCCACATGACTTAATAGTCCTATGCTCCAATGATCTGAAATTGAATTATACCAGTGTCTTAATTACAATCAAATCCTGAATCTCAATAAAAGCATCTAAACCCACGTTGTCTGGGCCTCCAACGCCAAGACTTTTCCTCCGGGTCTGCCTGGTATGGCCTCAACTTTCTTGTCTCTTACGTCTCCGTCAACCAACACTCTCATCATGGCCACTGGAATGTATGTGTCGTCTCTACAGAATTAGAGAAGTCTCATTTTGCTGATATCATGTCTCTGTGACAGCTTCAACTCTACCTACTACGGCAAGGACTACCGCGCCGGTGCCGCCCTCCTGCGCGCCCGCCGCCCATATCTGTTCAAGAATACCCTCACAGGCTTCGGACTGTTCGCATTTACAATTGCAGTCTGTGAGTAATCCTACGGCACATACCCCTATCCCGCTTCAACCCTGTTCATATGTTCGAATCGCAAACGATCATGCCACCGGGACTTGCCCGCGGAGCAGTCTCCATGCGGGCTCGAAATTCTCAAGAGACAGGACACCATACTGATCTAGTTTCAATTCCTAGATACATACACCCTTAAGGCTGTCGGCCAAGAAGAATTCGCCGACGTCAAGGTCCCCGATGCCCCCGCGGACAAAAAATGAACCACACTCAATCCCACCGGTACTTGGTGATGAGTTGACTGTGTAATTGGGGGTTTCGGAGTCATCAGGGAGACCTTGTTTTTCAGATCTGCAGGATTAGCGATAATATCAGCATTTGTGCTGTCACATACAGAAAGAATTGGCTTGGATCACAGGCTGTACAATAAATTTGGGCTATGGAGGTCTACCATCTCTTCACAGCGGGCTGCTGTGCTTTCTCTTTGTCCTACCAATCTCACTGAGAAATGCCCATCTGCTCGGCAATCCAACACTGGATCGCTATCCTTACGTAGGTAAAGTCAAATAGTGATACAATAGCCTTTTCAGAAGAAAAGCATTGATATATTTCTAGGTGAACTAGACCCAGAGTATAATCGGTATGGTTGTCACGCACAGTACAAATGGCCTGCTATGCCAGAGCGAATCATAACAGCCAACAAGATGAGAAAATGCAACATGAATCTAGAAAACAAATATCTACTCGGTTCGCAGAACACGAGGTCCCTTATGCTTGGTGGCACGCTTGCGCTTTAGCCCCTTGTCAAAGGCAACTGCGTTGCTGTGATCGCGACCAAGGTTATCCAAGTCCTTGACCTTGTAGAGACGAACGATCCAGTTCTCACTGGTGAAAGCCTCTTCCAGTGTGTTGAGCTGGGGGCTTTCCTTGGGAAGTTTTGTACCACGGACACGATCCATGGCCTGACCAGCCGGGAAGAGTGACTGGTAGTTGTGATAAGACATCTTGTACCTGTTGATGGAGTTAGCAGTGATTTTGAATAGTCAAACCATGGGGTTCCTACATCAAGCTGTTCTTCATGGCAGGGGTGGCCTCATCATCGACGCGGTACTCGCCACGAGCGGTGAAGTAGTCGCGCTCCTTGACCTCATCAGGCCAGATACCCTCTGCGATACGAACCATCCAGAGGAACTTGTTCAAATCGTCACCTGAGTAGCCGAGCAGTCCACCAAACACAACGAGCACGTAGTCGACATCATGCTGTCGCAGAATTGGGTAGCTGACTTCCTCGCGCGAGCTCATTGCCTTGCCAACAGTGGCAATATGAGTGTTATTCCAGGTGTTGTTGTCGACCAGAGTGGGGCGGTCAGCCATACCACCAATCTGGTACCCATAATCCCACCAGGACATAATCTTGGCATTGTCCGGGGTGTTCTGGCGGAGCCAATAGTAGGCCTCACGGTAGTCATCGATGATGAACTGGCTTCCATCTGGAAGCTTGCTAGCCAAAACCACGGAGGGCGAGGAGTATGCGTTGGAAGTAACCCAGGTACAGTGTGCAACAAATAGAAGCAGGTAAAGAGTGATCGAAGCCACCACGGTGGACTTGGAGAACCAGGAGTAGATACCGACAACGGGGTTTCGGGTTGACCGGAGTGACTTATCGTCTGAGGTTGCTTTGGCTTTGGATTCGGGACTTGGGGGGGGTCGGGGTCGACGCAACCAGGAAGTTATCGAGAATGCACGACAAGGCCAGGGCAGCCGCAACACACACAATGGGGGTCAAAGTCAACATCAAACGGACCATAACACCGGCGAAGTAACTAGCCAGGACCGAGTAGATGACCACAAAGACATGCTCATCCTTGAGTTTCTGGAAGCACATGAACACGCCGGCTGGGAACAGCCAGATAAGGAAGTTCAGGTCAAAGAAGAAGGCTGGCCAGGCGGTGGGCTGGTGCTCAGAGACAGAGGCAATAATTGGAATATGAATCTTGGCATATCCAGTATCCCACAGGGAGTAGAAGCGACCACTCCAGGGAGCAATGACCCCAGATATAGACAGCAGGATAAGACCACCAAATCCAAGGCCGAACGTAAGCAAGACCATAGAGGTAAGAAGCTTCTGGAACTGTTTGCCGGGCAGGTAGGCTCGGATGAACTCGGCAAAAGCCACCAATTGGATCAACCCAAAGACACCTGTTAAATGGTTAGAATGAGAAAACAGTATGGCTCAGAATCCAGAGGTCTTACCAAGTGCAGACATGTGGTCGCTGTTGCGAATGGGCAGGAAACCGACAAAGGGGATCTGCATGCTTCCCAGTGTTCCCAGGGCATACCATGTGGTGTAGCTGATATAGACACGGGGGCTGTATCGGCCCATGCATAGAAGGACAAAGACATGGAGAGGAATCAGGTTGGTGATGAAGACGTATCCACCCCAAGCAGAAACCATGTATCCATAGAACAAAGCAGTCAAGGCTCCCCACATTATCGAGCCGTTCTTCACGGCCTTGATCCAGAGATAGAATGTGAACACCAGCAGGAAGATAGCGATGGCTTCATTATCGTAGCTGCCTGCCACAGACCGCGAGATGTAGCCGGGTGTGATTCCCATGAAAGCAGCGGCCAGGAGACCTGCGGAGGGAGAGTCAGACATCTCAGATGTCAGGAGATACATCGCCAGGGCTGTTAGTCCAGAGAATCCGGGGGCGAGCATGACACAGATGTTTCGAATGTCGACGGGGATGGTAAGGAGACGAAGGATGTGGTAGATCACGCCGCTGGTCACCATCAGGCCTGGGTACAATGTACCACCAGTGACACGGCCAAGAGGGTGCCATGTTCCTATAGCGCGAGTATTTCCATTAGCACAGCGCCGTTTACATTACCATGTGGAGATGGAATCATGGGGAAGGGGCCTCACGGTCGTCAAACCAATCCCAGAAGCTATAAAAGCCATTTTCGACCAAGTATTTTGTTGCACGGAAGTTAAACCACGGATCGACTAGAGTAAGACGGCATCAATATCTCGTACGTTCAGGGTGCTGTCGAGGTAGTCATCGTATCTGATACAGCGCAGGGAAATCATACATTCGTGGATGATACTTTCAAATCCTAGAATATAATTAGCATGCTGATCATCAAGCATTTCAATTGGGACATACTAATAACACTGAACAAGCGGCTGGACACTGCGGCGGCGGCAATGGTACAAAGAATGATAACCCGCAATAGACCGCGCGTGTTCCGGCCGGAGCTGCCCTTCAGCACAACATCAAGCGAAGACGGGGCCATGATGGCCTTGAATTAGGAGCAAAGTCCAGAGTCAGAAACTCAAAATACAAACATGAAATCAAGGAACGAATTGGGCTGAGATGCCAGTGGTGAGGGCCGTAGGGAGAGATGGTAAGAGCAAGAGCTGCGCAAGGTGGTCACTTCTGAAGGTCTTGGCATCGGCGAGAGGCGCCACCTCCGATTGCTCCCCGCAATACAACTCATCAATTATCTTTGTTTAGAGATCTTTGGACTAACTTTTGACTCAATATACTTACCACTGTTGAGTACACTAGTATCCCTACAGCAAGAAAAGCCGTTTGCAATTAATTTACACCCCACATATCAACATGGACCTGCCTCCGCTGACCATGGAGCTGCTCTCACAGCTGGTGGCCTCCAACGCTCCACCATCACAGCTCTACGAGGCCCTGTCGCGATATGAGCTTCAAGCATGCCTCCTTTCTACCAGTGGTGACTCCACACTATTGAGCCTGTTTTACTCAAGCTTCTTTCTCGTCCATCTTCTTACCGACCAAGTGTTAGTTATTTAGTGAGAGTGCTATTGATGGCTGCTAATGAAACTTGGGTCCCAGATCTGAAGCTCGCGCCTTAACAAAACGAATTCCCGAAGCTCTACTACATCAGGATTCCTCTCTACAGAACTGCTTGACTTTACTGCGAGCGGTATGGCAAACGCAAGACGGCCAGGTCTACCAAATACTCCGAGGATTACCATGGCCAGACGTTTTGCAGCCACTAGTTCGGAGATATGAAAGTATGCTTTTGGTGAAAATAGGTTTCCTCTTTCAGCAAGATCGTTGAATTGACCAATCACTCTACGACTAGGCTTCTACCAAGACAAGACTTTGATCGCAGTGAGCAGGTCTTACGAAGCTATACGACTAGCTACAGCGGCAAACCACCTTGGCCTTGACGAACAGCTCGCCGAAAAAGAAGATCCGACTATAATATCGAACTTCACGAAATGTGGATGGACATGGGATCCGGAAACAAAATTGCTGTATCCCAAACCTATCGTCGTATCGCCCGCGGAGCCTCAGTCTTCCGACGGGATTCGCAAGGCGATGGCAATGCTGGGAACGCGTGCAGCTTAAACTTGCTTGGAAACCCAATGAACACAAGTGATTCCATAGATCAGATTCTCCATCCGAGAACCACGCTGTACACGGCTATGCCTCTATCTGGAATATGGAGATGCGAGGACCGAGGAACGCCAAACCAAGATTGGTCTGGTATGTACTACTAAGGCTATTGGTAACGCCGGAATGCATAACACGATCTTTTTGCTCTTGCTTCTGGTCCAACTGTAGTGTACAGGCGCACGACTGCCCAGGGTATGTACAGGACCCAGATAAAACTTCTAAAAATGAGAAACAAACATCATTCCATCTTGCGCTCGCAATGCCACAGCTCGGGGGGCAGATTAAACCCAGACAATCGTACAATAAAATGGAGCGGAAGCACAACGTGTCTCATACCCTGGGGGAGGTGCGATTCCCGCAAAGAGATCATTGCGAACCATTCCTCCTCTATACCATCCATAAAATTTACTCTCCAGCCTTAGCCTTCAAGAAAGCCTCCAGGTCGAACTTGGGGTCCTCGAAATTCGTGATAACTATGGGATTTTGTTAGCCCTTGGGGTTTCTGGAGATATACGGCGACTCCGGATGTCGTGAGATTTATCCAAGTCGAATCATTGGAGGGAATTGAACGTACGTCCGCTGGTCTGTGTCTTGATCTCTTGCTGGGGCTGGGTCTTCTTCCTGTATTCCGCCTTGGCCTGCTCGATCAGGCGCTCCTTGCGAGCGTACTCGTGCTCGATCTCTGCGCGCTTGGTCACTGAGTTAAGGGAGGACTGGTGGTAGACACCGTAAACGAGACCGGCAACGAGAGCCGAGTAACGGAGGACCTGTAAGTTCGAAGTCGTGGTCAGCAGCCGTCGGGGGAGAGGGTATCCCTTAGCCGGTACTCACATTGACACCTTGGCTAGCCATTTCTGCGAGGTTTCCAGATAACGGTAATTAAATGAGGGAATTAAATGTGTAAGAAGGAGGGACCGTGCAACAGGTGTCAACCGTCAATGGCAATGGAATCTCCGGGTTAGTCAAATGGCGAGGTTCAGTTCATGTTCTGCGCGCGCGAGTTTTTCCGGACCGCTCCAGAGTTCCCGAAGGCGGAGCTTAGTCATCCCCGTAAATAAACCCGCAGTGGAGGTATTACACTTGGACGTGGACGCATCTGGTTTAATTCTTTCATGATTTTGCAAGATGTCGATGCAACAGCGCAAGGATGAGATTCTTGCGAAGCGGGCCAAGCTTGCCGAGCTCAAAAAGCAGCGCGAGCTGCGTCAGAAGGAATTCACATCCCGAACCAGCGTTGGGGATGCTTCAGAGGTAAACGCGGCATGTGAATGAATTACGGAGCTCGTCCGAGACTAACAGCCTCGCTAGATTATCTCACCAATACCAAGCCGCGCAGATACTAGACACGACCTTGATGACTTGATCTCTCGCTTGGTTGACCGCCCAGCGTCGGCCTCACTCAGCCATGGCGCCGATGGCCAGTCTCGGAGAGGAAGTCGACCAACCTCCGTGTTGAGCGCGAGTCAATTAAGCGGGGAGAACCTCGATACATACACAGCTCCATCGCGACCACAATCCCAGTCCATTGCCGTCCAGACAACAGATGAGCCTTGGATGTCCTCTGCAGCGGAAGCCCCACAGGCCCCTGAACTTGAAACCGAATACAGACCTGCACCCAAACCCGAAGTCGTCACTTATAGCAAGGCTGTACAAACAGATGGATTGGATTTCCAGCCAGAGACTCCTGAAGAGTCTGTCGCCTCAGATGATGAGGAGGCACCTAATACTACGCGGTCGAGCAAACGTCTCAGTCGACGAGACCGGGAGCGAGACGAGGAAATTCGACAAAAGCTTCGCAAGGAGATTGAGGACGAGCTTCAAGCTACTAAGCAGGCCGATAATAATGAGAACACAGCCGCACAGTCCGCAAAGCTGCGGTATCCTCTACGCAAACTCGATGACGATGAGCTGAAGGCAGTCACATCGTCCGACGATTTCCTGGACTTTGTGGAGCGCTCTTCGAAGGTCATTGAGCGAGCGTTAGACGAAGACTACGATGTACTGGCAGACTATGAGCTTGGTGGGACCGATGGGCATCTGCAAGAAGATGAAGAGACTGGCAAGAAGAGGAGAGGAATGCAAGAAGTGTGCCATTTCTGGGACGAACGATGGAGCAAGAATCGCATTATCAGTGATCTAAGCTTCTCTCCCAAGGTAAGCTTTCAACTTCCAATAAATATCCTTTGGCTCATGCTAACCTTGACTTCAGTTCCCTGAATTGTTGCTTGCATCATACACCAAGAATACTTCTGCTCCCCACGAACCCGATGGCCTTGTTCAGATCTGGAATCAGCACTTGCAATCTCGTCCGGAGTATGTGTTCCACTCAACATCCGATATCCTTACTGCAAAATTCTCCCCGTACCATCCCAACCTTGTTGTTGGGGGTTCCTATTCGGGACAGGTGCTTGTATGGGACACTCGTTCCTCGCGCGCCGGTGGAGGCTCTCCAGTACAAAAGACTCCCTTATCAGGTGGCGGACACGCCCATCCTGTCTACAGCATCTCAATTGTTGGCACCCAAAATGCACACAATATCATGACCGCCTCCACGGACGGTGTGGTCTGCGGTTGGACAATGGACATGCTCTCTTACCCCCAAGACCGTGTGGAACTGACTACACCTCCCCCATCTAAAACCGAGGACCTTGCTCCAACCACCATGTCATTCCCTCACACCGATCCTACGTTCTTCATCGTCGGTACTGAAGAAGGAGTCATTTACCCGTGCCACCGATATGACCGGGCCGGAGCCAAGTCTGGCACAGACCACCGCCTAGCCTATAAGGGGCATACAGCACCAATCATGTCTACCGAATTTCACCCTGGCCGTGGACCCGTAGACCTTGGCGATCTTATGCTGAGCTCCAGTCTGGACTGGAGCGTCAAGCTTTGGCGTGTGCGCCCACCTGCGACTACCGCCTCTGCCACATCTGGCTTGGCCCAATCCCAAGTCGTCTCACCTATTCTCGACATTACCCGTGATGATGTTGTCTACGATGCCCGCTGGCACCCAACCAGACCTGGTGTGTTCTCTCTTGTCGACGGTGCCGGCAACGTCGAAATTTGGGACCTTGCTTCAGATACCGAAGTGCCAGTGGCGCGTGAGGTTGTTGATAATACCCATGGCAACATCATGTCCCGAAGCCTGAACAAGGTTGCGTGGGACGAGCGTGAGGGACGCCGCCTGGCAACTGGTGGCCTCAATGGTGTTGTTACAGTCTTTGAGGTTGGCAGGGGTCTCTGTGGGCTGCCGGAGGAAGTGCCGGCGGACGAGTGGACGGGTATGAAGCGGCTTGTGGGAAAGCTGGAACAGAAAGACAAGGATCGGGTGGCTTAAGATTACCACTTCAGGGATCCGTTTCTTTTCCAATAATTGCCGATGTAGTTTTCTTCTGTGGGCCGACCTTGCCCGTCTTCCTTTTTCCTTGCGAGGCCTCCCATCTTGCTTGCCATATACCCCCTTCCCTTCAATCACATAATTTGTGCATGTGTATGTATCTCATCGCTATTGCCATGGAAAGACTATGTTACTAGATCCTCGATCTCTCTTCGCCTCCAACTAGATTCACAAAACCGTGCTATAGAGATCCTTAAGAATAATAAAGACGTGACAACAGACCTCAAGCCCAGGTCCAGATCAGACGCCACCCTGGGCACGTAGGATATGTTGCTGCCAAAAATGTCTCTCCGATGGTACCGAATTGCTCTCGTCCCGAATCTCCAGACTCTTACAAATATCGTCACAACACAGTCCATGTATAGAGATCTCGGCCGGCGATAGCAAGCCAATAGGGTATTGGTATCAGCCTCCTTCTGTCCAGGATTTGTGAAGAATTTGGTGTATGGATACATAGGGCAGATTATTCTTATCCCCGAGATCAAAAGCTGGATGGAGCCGATTTATAGGCAATGCCAGCATCGAATATTAATGCGAGATGTATTTCTCATCCTAAAAGCCTCCGATATCCGAGTCGGGAACCCACAGGAGAAGGGAAACGTGGGGAAGCCAAGCAGACGGCTAGATGGCAGGCTGTTTCCTAAAATGGCGGGAAAACTTGTTTTCGGTGAACCCGAGATATGAAATACCAATGTAGGAACTGCACTGTCCTGGTGATATAGAAGCATGAAGCGATGACAAGGGCCATTAGCTTCGGCATCTCCACATTCATGATGTCAATCTGGCTTTGAGAGCACTTTGAAGCTCTACCTAGGTATTTTGGAATGAAAGGGGTTTTTTTTCAGCCAATGAAGTTGGTGCTTGCGTACCATGGACAGACATCAACCTTATAATCAATAAACTCTCAACGCCAATGCGGCTCTTGTTCTCTACCGATGTACTACGGATCCTCCCGAGCTCCCTTTTAAACGGTAGCCCTGTTCCAATAGTCGGCTAAGAGCTTGCCTGATATGGATGTCAATATAGATGAGATATAGTTTGCGGAATCTCGAGGCCCAAAAATACTTTCGTGGATCTAAAGGCCCTCGTTCGTTCGTTCGTGAACGTTCTCTTATTTAATACACCATGTCGTCCATCCCCACTCACTCCTTATGATACAAAGCACTTGTTATAGACAAGTGTTACAGCTTCCCTTGTTTTCTTCGTTATCATGGTAGCCAACTAGGCCCCGGACCCCCAACACTATACAATGGCGGTACCCTAGTGGGGGTTACTATTGCCATTACTGTCTTGCAAATTGTCTTCGTCGCAGCGAGGTTCTATACTCGGTTTATGCAGCGGGCGAAGGTCGGGGTTGACGACTATCTGATCCTACTTGCCCTAGTACGCATCCCGTTCGGATATAATCTTAAGAATACAACCATGCTCACATCTCGCTATCTAGGTCGCAAGTAAAGCAAAATCAGTGATTTATCTTTACTATATGTGCCCCAGTGCTCAGCTTAAAGAATGACCAAGCTTACATATCATGAAGTGACCAAAGTCGGCATAGTTGGGTACCACTTCGACTAAGTTTCTCAGATGCCTAAGAAACTTGTCCTCATGAACAAGGTATTTGCCACTTCCTTGGGCCCTAGGCACGGGCTGCCGACAATACGCAGTGCTCCTTTACCCTCGAAGTCCTCGATTATCCCTTCAACCTCACCCCGGTCAAACTGGCTGTCTTACTATTCTATTTACGTATTTTTACATCCCGTAAGTTCCGGATCCTTGTCTACACAGTAGGATTACTGGCTCTTGCGGTGAGAATTGGCGTTCTTCTGGAGGTCTTCCTATAATGCCGACCATTGGCGTACGCATGGGATCGAGGTATCCCTGGCGGAAAATGCATTCATCCAGTCCCCGCTTATCAAAATCTTGTCCCATCAAATATCATCACCGGCCCATTGATCCTTGTGGTGCCCAATCTAACTGTGTGGAAGCTGCATGCACCTCTAGGACAGAGACTCGGCGTGACAGGTGTTTCCTTGTTGGGTGGAGTGTGAGTTATTCGAACCTTGTTGCGATCTGCGCGTGAAATGGATCCAGAGTACTGATGGGAGATTTCAGAGAAAATGTGGCTAACGTTGTGAAAATGACGATATATTTGTCCGAATCAGACTTCGCCATGGAGGATCCAACGTGTAAGAATCGATACCAGCATCTTGCTGAAATCAAGACTAATTTATATCAAACCAAAGTTCGTGGCCCAATTTGGTATTTTGATGATCCTCGAAGGGGACTGATCATCATCGCCGCTTGCATTATCAGTATTTGGCCTCTTTTTACTCAGGTCATGCCACGGCATTTTCACGCAAGATTCTCTCGGTGCAAGCCTCGCAGAAGTCAACATTGAGACTGATATTCGAGAGAGACAACCACAAAAGTTGGAAACCAGGAAGGTATTGCAGGTGTTCAAGAGGTTCGTCCGAGTAGCTTCCCCGTCCTTGCCGCCTTCCTCCTTGGCGAATTTGGAGGTTCAAAGATAGTCGATCCTTGCAGACGACGAGATCGGTAGCTCTCATCAGATGAACCCAACTAATCATAGATAAACGCACTCTGTGGCCATCAATATACGATGAATGAGCCACAAATGGATTGTGATACCACTCAATTGCTGGATGAAAAGGCGACGCCTAGAAAGCCCGAACAATATAGTCTAGCTTCTCGTAAATCGACATGTATCTACTACATATTACAACATTTAATGCATTTGAAGAAGCTATCCATATGCAGTAAGCATGGGGTGTCAAGTCTTTGTATTTGGATTTGGTCAATAGGTGTATCTGAAGCCAGACTTTGGGGTTCCGTTCGTTAGCAAGACCATACAATGGACCAACTATTGGTAAAGAAACACTCACCACACCCTCGAGAACTTTCCGACCCCGCTCTTGCTGCCGATTGGCAATGTAAAAGTAAATGGTGAATGCGCCAACGATCGCAATGAGAAGAATGTGGGAACTAGTAAAGTTGTCAGCCAGCAGCCCACGATTCAATAATCGTTTACACCTACCCAATTGACACCCAGACTGCGGTCAGATATTGCGGGGCTTCTTGCTGGCGGACAAGATAGCTGCCTGCCACACCTCCAAGTCCATTACATGCAGTGATCGCCGCCGCAGTGACCACTCGCTTCCACTGGCCCACGACATTGTTGGCCTGGAAAGCATTGAGGGCAGCCCAATTCGAGATATAAGCCCCGGTTGCCAAGAAGGTCCCGATGTATCGCACGGACACCAGGTTAGATGCGGGCAGGCCGAACATCAGGAACCCAGCTATGAGGACAAGGGCGTTGAAGACGATCAACGGCCCACGAACGCGGTAGAAATCCCCGATGAGTGATGTGAGAATAACTGGGATTACAGCATAATAGTAGGGCTGGTGAAGGGTCAGAAAAAGCAGCATTATGTACTCTGGATTAACTTACCGGTGTGGAGAGCAGAATGGATTTATTTGGGCTGAAACCCATACCAGATTGTAGGATGATGGGTAGAAAGTACGATAAGGCAGTGGAAATGAGATTGAGCAAGAAGAACATGACCGCAAAGCCGTAAATCTTCGGATCCTTGAAGTTAGCAAGAAGAGTGTGCCAGGAAAATGGTTCCGGGATAACATCAGCTCGATCATCCTGGATTCTGCGCGCTGCGACTCGTGCTTCCTGATCTGAAAGAAACCAAAAGCTGCGCTGGGAGTTCTCAGGGAAGTCAATCATCCACCAGTAGGTCACGAACCCCAGAATGCAAGTAATAAGACCCTGAACAATATACATCCAGCGCCAGCCCGCCAGCCCGGCTACGCCGTGCAAGTGATTGAGACCAAAATTGACAATATTGCCAGTCGCCAAAATCACAACTTCCCCGGACTGCAAGAATGCAAATCGGAGCTGCTGTTCTCGTCGCGGATACCAGGCGCTAACCAGATAGGTCAGACCAGGGTAAATACCGGACATGGAAATACCGAGTAGCACACGCAGGATAATCATCTGCTGCCAGTTGTGAACAAAAGCAGTACACAGTGTCAACAGCCCAAATGCGAATGTGATTGTTGAAAACCAAATGCGTGGACCGATAATGCGAACTGCCACGGTGCACGGCAACTGGAAGACCACACTAGCGATTGTGAAAATAAAGATGGAGACGGAGTATCGGTTGCCTTGGTTCAAATCAAGATCCTCAAGCATAGTCGTCACCGAGGCTGAAGATAAAATGCCCGAATCTAGCAGATTGAGACTGCATAAAAGCCCGCCGATGCTGCAGAGACGGAGATCGACTTTCCATCGTACCCGCTTCTCTAGAGCGGCCCATTCATCTCCGCGCTCTGGAATAAGCACGTTTTGACCATCTTCAAGAGGTGTCCGATCGAACATCATATCTTCCGGCTGTACATTGGCAGTTTCTGACTTTGGCTCCGGTGTATGCGATTCTCGGGCCGTTGTCAAAGTGAATTGGCCCTTCTCTGGGTCGCCCATTTTGATTGTAACAATCAGACTAATTTCCAATTTCTATCAGATTTGTAACAAGTTGAGTTGAGGAGGCAATGTTCCGTTTGATTTTCCCAGGATAAGAACGTGATGGAAGCCGGCCGAGTAATACGCGTCTTAGCGTCTACGGGTGCATGTGGGATCTCGGATTATCAATCCAGAGAACTCTGGGCCAATTTTTGGGGGAAGGGGATTATAGAGTCGAGATCAGAGTCGGCGATCAATGTTAATTCTTCAGACCCGACACAAAAATGCGTGATTGGGCAAATCTCAGTTTTGCCCTCTGCCCGAAATATCTTAACCCCCTCCATCCCATATATATAACAGACACCACGTATATTACGTGCAGAAAACGTGCATACACCGGAGCTTTAACTCATAATTGAAGAACTCCGGTGTACGATAATTTTTACCAAGCAGTTCAGAGCATTTCCCGCTGGATCTGCCCATGAATGAAATAATCTTGTCTCTTCAGTTAAACTTGCTTATAGAAGAAAATATCCGACTTCGCCAACTCATTGCTTTCGACCACAATACTACCACTGAGACCAGTGAGGGCTCATAGCAGGATGTAATTGAAAACTCAGAAAGGCCTAGACTCTATGGGCCGAAACCGTTTTATCAAAACTCCGAGGGCCCAGGTTGGAAGGCCCCGGGTCAACAACTCGGAAGCCCCCCCGAAATCGCACAGATACCCGAGAGGAAATAAATTGAAAGTATGACAAAAGAGAGGAATACGGTAAAGATATAAATGTATAACGCGAGGAAGAAGATGTATAATGTGAGGAAGAATATGGAGGATATAAGCAATAACAAAGGAGTCTCGAAGGCAAGTATATAAGTCTCAAAGTAGAGCGCGAATAGCTTCAAGGTGTCTACGAAGATATCAAGACCTGGTGTGCGTGGCTTCAAAAAGCCGTATGGATATTTGGGTGAATAAAATGGACGCCTCAAAGCTCGGGGGTTTGGACTGGAATGACCTAGAGGCCGTGGAGAAGGAATTCGATATCGTCGATTGAAAAGGCTCTGACACTGTATTCGTGTCGAAGGGAGAGGGTAAGAGAATACTGAGCGACATTGTACTCATGTCAGTTCCGCCTCCAATCTTGACCTTGAAAGTACTCCGTACTCCATACAGACTAAATACTCGGGGGGTAGGTAGCTTGGCACACCATCAGCCCCCACGCACAGACGGCGTCAGAAAGAAAAACCAGTCAGCTAGATGGACATCATCCCAGGTCTCACTCACTGTGACCCGTGGCTGCGAAAGCTTGCCCTTTGTGGGAACTTATATTACACACGCGAAGAATTTGATAGGCTACTTATAATTGTGATGGCGAGTCGAAGCTGTGGGACATGCAGGGGTATGTTCAACGTCAGAAAATTTACCAGTTTCCGCCTCACTAGGTGAACTTACATGGAGACTTACTGACATTTGCACGCAGATCGCCGGATTCACTGTGACCGGACTGTCCCAAGGTGCTCGCAGTGTGTCCAGTCTAATCGCGCCTGCAAAGGCTACGGCCTCCGGCTGTCGTGGCCAAAAGTCAATGATAAGCGACGTGCTATGGTGACACGCTCATTTATACAACAGAGGCGCGTGGGTCCTCATTGTTCCAATGCGCATCTGATTAATATATCCACCTGGGACATTGAGATGCACCGCTATCTCTTAGGTCTAGTATCAAGTGGTAATGTCTTCCACCATGGGTTATTTCTACGGTTGGTGGAAGCACAGGAATGCTTATGATCTGTAGAGTACCACCGACTGACACTACGATCACCAATGCCATTCAATCCATTCAAATTAGATGTCGCGGAAAATTGTCTATTTCAATACTGTGTGTCAAACACCACCCATTGATCTGTCTCGAATATGTCATGAACCTGACTGGTATTGCAGTTCAATCCACTGCATCCTGCTCTTTAACAACCTTTGGCCATGACCCGACTGATGTGGGGAACATGCTTATCCGCATGGCTCTCGTCAATAATGCCCCATCCACCGCTGCAGTGCTGCGATCTTTGCTCGCGTTGTCTTCACTGCACCGTTCTGGACTACAATCACAGGTCGCTGAGCTCAAGATTGCTGCCTTGAAAGCGCTAGGCGTAGCATCGAATGGCGAGATCGGTATCATGGAAACAATGCAGCATGTTGCTGCGGGGATGCTTTTATGCTCCTATGAGGTTTGTATCTTGAGATTCTACCCCTTGGTGACAAGCTTGCTCTATATTAATGCGGTCCTCAACCCAGATCTACCAGGCATCATGTACCTCTGGTCAATGGCGGTCGTACATCATCGGCGTCAAAAGTGTCATCAAAGCCTCATCTCTTGACATATACAAAAGGGACACCGACTTCAATGCGTTGCTTGACTGGGTATACTACCATGATGTATTATCCCGTTTCAGTATCACACACTGGCAACCGCCGGTAATCGACAGATTCCTCGTACATTTAGACGAGTCGGTAGACATACCATCGCCGCCGATGAATACCAATCCCTGTATTGAGGTTAGTATAGTCTTTTCTCGTTTCACCAAAGGGGGGTTGCTAACTAAATTTGGCCAGATCACACACTCAGCCCAATCCCCCTTTACCAAGATTCTAAAGTCTTTGACGGAGGTCTGCAATCTAGTCGCAACAAAGCCGTCGCACGTGTCTTCATCCAAAGACAAAGACGCAGATGACTTGAAGAGCTACCTGAAAATCCTCACATGGAGGATCCGGTCCATCCCGCGCTTGGACACAATAACCAACGAGAATCCGAGCATGGCGACTCTTGTCGAACTCTTCCAACTGGCTACTCTCATATACCTTAACCGAGCATTTGGAAGCATTCTAGAACCAGCTACCGAAACTCAACAAAGGCTTGAACGAGCTTTCAGTATTTTCTCCCAGCTCAGTTCTTGTGAACGTCAGTATCCGCTGTTCATTTTGGGCTGCGAAGCGCGGACCGATCGGGAACGATGTATAGTCCTGGATTTAATTTCTAGGACAGAGAAGAGGGATTCATCCCGCTCCCTATTTCTGACCAAGAAGCTGATACAAGCCATTTGGGCTCAAGATGATCTCTCCCATGACGAGCTTGACTATACTACAAAGCTTAGTGCTATATTGAGTTGTTGCACTATTTTGCCTACTTTTGTCTAACCGGACCAAAGTTCAATTGGTTATTTTCGCTGAGGTCTCGGACTGATGATTTTAGAGCTTGTATCTGGGGTCCAGTAGCAATGTTTTGGAGATTCTTGAATATAGGTGACGGCTTATAGCACAATGGATTGTACCCCCTCAGATTAATAGGAGTCAATTATAGCGGACAAAATCCATTGCTCCCCTGCATGTATTTAGTTTCGTTGACGATGAATGGTCTGTCGCACTCTACATATCTGTACTCTTAAGAAGGTTGGAAATCTACTCCCTTCTACGAAAAAGACCAGGGATAACATTTCAATTATGGATTTAGCTATGGGCCTATAGAGAAGTAATTCTCTGGTTCAAGGGGTTTCTACAGCCACTGTTGGTTGCCAAAATGCGACACGAAGGAACCGCCATCGCCGCCCTCGACGCTTGCCCTTTCCATCACCGAGATAACGTCTTTTACCGCAGCCTCCGGTGGGCTGGGGCCTTTGAAGTCGGGTGCATACCGGGCGAATGCACCCAGCATTCCTGCCAAGCCCTTCTTCTGCTCTTCAGTTGCTATAAAAACATCAGACTGCTGTGTCAAACGAAGAATCTAGAAAGATATCAGACATACCGTCGTCGAAGTGACCCGTATCAACCATTCCGGGACAAATGCTCATGAAAAGGACGCCATCCTTGGCATACTGCGCGCTGAATTTGGCGACGGCCGCGTTCAGAGCCGCCTTACTGATGGAATAGAGAGGGGCGACATCAATCCCCAAGACAGAGATGGCATCAAGGGAGGCATGACCACTGGAAATGGCAATAATCTTTTTGGCCTCTCCCTTCAGAATCAAGGGCATGAACAAGTTGAACAAGTGAATATTACTGGTAACGTTGATTTTGATGCACGCGTTGAGACTCTCCTCCAGGGCTTCGGGCTGTTGGCCACTTTTCGATTGATACCGCGACGTCAGTGGCTGCAGCATTCTAAACTGATGGTTGAAGACAGGTCCACTTACAGAACCCCGATCGGATCGTACGCATCAAATTTAGATACCAGCCCAGCGTTGGCGATGAGATAATCAAGCCCGCCGCCAGTGATCGTTGCAGTCTCTGCCGCCACAGCCTAAAAGGAGGTGTCAATATAGAATTTCTCTGTTATTTGAGAACCCCAACCTTCAAAGCAGTATAATCGGTGATGTCGGCCTGCACAATGTGGATGTTGGTGCGCTCCGGCAAATCTTCCTTCGCCTTCTCCTGAGTGGCAGACTTGTTGCGAACGATCCCGATGACAGTATTGTTCGAATCGTTGGACAGCTGGCGAAGTAACTCCCACTATTTTGGTTGATCAAGGTTAGGCTTCATCTGGTTTCTTAGAAACGAAACTCACTCCAATACCCCTGGAGGCCCCAGTAATAGCGTAGGACGGCATATTTAACAAAGTGAAGAGGGAAAGTTAATGTGTTGTAATCTTACTACCACGGTAGAAAGTAGAGAAAGCTTGTAAAAGTTGATGATGAATTGTGCTCTAGCAAAATGAGAGGTGGGCATACTTATAGGATTTCCTCTATTAGGTCGAAATCCATGGACATGACTATTATACTGCTGATTGGAAATCAATGATGATGATGTTGTTACTGCTTCCCTAGCTCTTCGCGAATAGTTGACACTTTTTCAGCTGCCGCGCCGGTTTGCAGGTGGAGAACGGTTAGCGCCTTTTTAACACGAGAGAATGGTGGTGGTGGAGATTACATAGCCACATATCTCCGTCAGCTTGTTGCTCAAACAAGATTTTGTGCATAGATGTATGTCTTCATGGGGTTCAACTTGGATTGTGACAGTAGGTGGAAGTGTGGTCGAACTCTCCGTGATCTCCGTATAGTTCGATGTAGATCACATGGGTGGATATGAAGGCAGATTTAGATATCAAGGAAGTATATAGCCTCTTGTATACGGCTTGTTAAGTTTCTTATAGTACCTAGCGTATTCATGATATCAAAAGTAAGGCTAGTTTGAATATTCTTGCCTAGTCTAGGGGGCTCATACTTCCGTCCCCGGGTTTACCCAAATATTTGATGATTGACCCCTCGAGATCCCGGCAGGCTTGTCCACATTGTCAGTGGGGAAATTTTCAGAGCAGTTCGCTAGGCCGTGTCGTTGGTATTGGTTCTGCTGCTCAGAGTTTGAAGGACTTCATTAAAGGACTCGGCTCCTCTCAGATCGCGTACGGTCTTTGAACTTGGTCTGTACCATTGGCTCTTTTTTGGAGAGTGATACTGCAGCTTGACTCCGATTCAGTTCATCGTGAGCCAGTGCATACGTAGCAGTGACATTCATGCGGGCTGTCAATTTATCTTGAGCTGTTCCCCCTGAGTGCCGGCGGATTCTTGCCGTGCCCTATATTCTTGTAATCTTCCAAGAACACTGGCCCCATTCCATGATTCTTCATCTCCTTCATTCATCTTCTTTGGCATTCCTACTTGCTCTAAAGCAAATGATGCCGCGACAGCTCCATAACAAGCCGCTTGGATTATATCACCTCCCGTTTGGAGGTACCCAATAGAGTAGCCTCCCAGAAATGCGTTTCCGGCTCCAGTCGGATCAACCACTTTGGTAGCCTGCTCTACCCCAGTCCCTGCTATGTGAAATGGAGGTAGCCATCTGGAAATGAGGTCACTTGATCGAACAAAGCAGCCATTTTCACCAGCTCGAATTATCACCGTACCCCTTCCTTCCGGGCCGACTCCGTTGGCTAGGATTTTCGAAGCCAACCTTTCAATCTCACTTCTATCAGAGGTAGCCAGGGAATCTTCAAACAAAGCAGCCAGCTCTAAGTGGTTTGGACTGAACACATCGACTAGAGCTGCAACCGCTAGACAGTCTTCCAGATTCTCTGACTTGCATGAAAGGGGGGCCGGTTCCCAGATAATCAGTGGACGATGTTTTATTCCCACCTGATCTCGAAGAGCTAGCATGTTTCGAACGCGCGTTCTCATATCTTGGGGGCTAGCAAGATAATGATAGACTTTCGAAGTAAGCAAGGCCGGGCCCAGCAACTCGCTATCTTGAATTGCAAGAATCGGCGTGGTGTACTTGAATTTCTTCGCTAGAAGTTAAATTGAAGTTAGCGTATGTTTAATTGTTGTATTTGCTGATTTATTAGGCATGAATTTCGGGTTAAGGATCATCGGCAAGTGAATTCAAACGGGAATAGTAAGGGCGACAGAAGAATGGTAAATGGAAAGGGTTTTCGCACGTCCGAATGTGGTATCTTGATACTTCAGTAAGCCGCGAGTCGAGGGCTGGTCTGGTTCTTTTGTTATCACCAGATTTGTATCCCAGCTATGCAAGAGTTCTGCAATAGGATCCGGAAAGTCATTTCCAACATGAATCGGCCAGGCCAAAGAGCGGCTCTGTGGAGAGGGCAGAAACAACCGAGCACCTAGAGTAGCTGGAAAAACACGTCAATCGGATCTCTGGTAGTTTGAATCGGAATATTGCAGACAAAACCAACCGTAAGCTCCGGACCCACCCAGTACATTAGTTAAAGGTTTCTGGTTAGGGAAGCGAATTTCGTCAAGCACCACCAAGCCAAAGCTCACGAATGAGACATCCTTGTTGTTCATGGGGATTCTATGGTCCTACCGAGCCCCCAACTTTCTCAAGAAGGAATTGAGCTAAAGTCTTTCTGGGCTCAAATCATATATTTCTACTTGAATGATCTGGAAATATTGAAGATGAAGGGGCATGAAGACGGTGAACTTTCCAACCTTGGAACTTTCCAAGGTTCTTCAGTTGGCTTATTCAGCCAAATTATTGAGCCCGGTAGCGAATCATATCACTCAGATTATGTAGTCTTGTATCAATCTGATGTCTCTTGAACTACAGAACCAGTAAAAATCGGTTGAAATAAGTATTGGCAGTTCTTACCGACAGGCCCCGCGAAGGAGCTATTCCCTTGTGTCGGCACCATTGATTGCGATGTGTAAGCACTGGATATCGTGAATAAGCGGTCCATCGATCACGGTCTAGGTATACTCCATACATCTCTCAGCATTAGGTGGCACGTGAAGGCTAGGAATCCAGTTACTTCTGCTTACGAAACTCACTATAGCAGCAATTACTTTTGAGGGTCTTGGCTCGGGGCGTTATTTGGGCAATATAACGTGCAGTCATTGTATCATAACTTGATCAGGTATGATCAGATTTTAAAAAGGAGAAAATCGAATGGCACTATACCCAACTGGGCGGCCTTGGTGCGATTAGAACTCGGATTCTTCGAAACATATCGAGGTTTACCAAACAGAGAAGAGCGAGAAAATCTATAGAAAATGACCTCAAGAAGAAATGGCTAAGAAGGCTACCACATGACCACCAAAATTACATCACGAGGCCACATACGGAGCCCTTAGTAGTAGTACTCCGTAATGTTGTTTATTATCCTGTTTCTCCGCTTCCTCTTTGCTATCAGATAACAACGCACTAGGTAAGTACGCCGAGTTCGCTCAGGTGGTCACTCGCCGTTAGTGTCAATTCGGCGACTTACTAGTGGATACTGGTCGACTTTGTATGTACATATTGTGGTGATCCGTACTCCGTACTCCGTACCCCCGAACCGAATTTCAAACTGGCCGGCTGATCCTGCTCCGATCGCGCTGACGGCTTAGAACATACTCCGTACTCCGTACTTACATCTGCCCAGGTGGCATGCGGAATGTGGAACCTTGGAATGTGGGACTTCAAAGGAACATTTGAAAGTCGGCGAGTTTATTTCAGATGTTCTCCTTGGCAAATATCCGAAAGAGCCAATAAGATCGAAATTAGAGCCTCTGCAGCCAGTGCAAGGATCTGAGATACAAAGAGTAGATAACAGAATATGAAACTATGCCGAAAAGTAGAAATTTAAGACCTCTCCATGTGCGGGTATAAAAGGCCGACAGTACCATGGACGGGGTAAGCTTTACGGCCCGGTGATTGCTCTGTTTGTTGCCCCACGTTCGGTCGAATGGAGCCCGGGGAGCTTGCAAAACACCGTCTTTGAACACCCTCCCCCCCATTTCCACTTTCTCTCTTTCTCTCTCCGCATTTCATACTCTCATATCTATAGCAATCATGGTCGAACTCATCAATCCACCCGAAACTCGCGAATTACTCCCTCCCCTCCTCGCATGCCTCCCACTAGCCTTTGTCTCGCCCCGCGCACCCCCAGCTCTATTGCCACTTCTTTCCCCTATTTTGCGCCAACGAGTCGGGGTTCTCAGTTCACTATCCACATCTTCCACTGAGTCATGGCTGCAGCTACTGTGTTGGGACGCTGCGAAAGCAGAGCGTCTACAGAGATTAATTGACGGCGCCACATTTGAACCACACCCCGTATCGGGCGAAATCGAGCTTCCAGATGAACTTCCGGTGACATACAAACGAATTGACGACGAGACCCTCAAAGCACAAGTTCCACTCAACGACTACAGCTTGACGGTGGTCTATTTGTGGTGCCCGACAGACGAGGAGGGAGGTGGTCGTGGCTGGCGGGTTGCGGAGCTTTTGCCACGGGAGGGACCTGCCGAGGATGAAAAGACCTGGACTTCTTCCATTGGGGAGGCGAACGTTCAGGCAAAGGACAAGCTACTGGCCGATACATTAAAAGTCGCCGAAGAGGAGAAAGCACAGGATAACATGGAGAACGACGATGACGATGACTACTGGGCTCAGTATGACTCCACACCCGGAGCCAAGACCCCCGCGCCACGCGCCGATTCATCAAAGCCAGGTCCATCTGGCCTATCTGAGCAGTCGTATTTCTCGCAGTATGGTGACGTGCAGCCCGCCATGGATAATCATGATCCTACAGAGGAGCAACCGGAGGTTGGTCCGTCATCACTCAATGGAAATTTGCTGGCCAATCTCTTGCGACGACAGGTGAACGGAGTCAATCAAGAAGAGCCTCGCACCAATGGATACCCCTCAGACCATATGCCTAGTGATAAGGCCGCTCAAGATTTGAACCACCCACGGCCAGCCTCTGCATCTTCCGGTAGCTCTGATGCCATCGCCAAATTGGAACAGGAGGCAGCAAGCCAGTCCACCTACGAGGTGGGGGTGAAGCAGCATATTGGTACGAGCATCAAGAGTTTGTTCCGCTTAGCCAAGGCCACTGGAATGCCCCGGGCAGAATTCCAGGCACTGGTCTCGGTGGAATTGGAGCTTTTGAATGTTTCAGACGACGATTAAGGCCCTAAGATACTTAAGTGATACCCATGAACCGTACTATACTATTTGCTCGAGATTTCGGTTTCATATTTTGCGTGGCCAATCTGTTTTGCATATGTTGACAGCATTATTGGGAGTGAATGGATTGGGCATTTATTCTTTTTCTACGTCGAGCATATAACCAACCAAACCACAATAAAACACTACTACATCTCATTTGCGCTATAACGTCCTCCGTATAATGTGAGGCTGTGAAGGATATGCACGGCTGACGCCATCTCGCACAGAATTCCCGATAAGGCATAGCGCAGCCCCAACCTAACCATGGAACATGCTGTCCTGGTGTGGCTAAGTCGAGGCTTATCTTTATACACCTGCACGTACGGAGTACTCCGTACAATATATCATTCTGACCAATCCAAGCAATCTCTAGACTTTTAAGGCTGAGCTCACTCCACCCCACTTTCAGGATAAAAAGGACATAGGTCCCCGTAAGACGGTCGCAAGAATCAGCTTATTTTCTTTCACTATGGCCGATGAAAAGAAACAGAATCCCTTCGAGAACATGGGACGTTCGTATGAGGGAGAGGCAGCAGATCAGCCTCCAGCATATACAGCTCCAGGTCCCTCAACACAACCAAGCCAATCACCACCATTACAAGAAACCCCTTCTCAAACAAACCACAAACCAATCGCAATTCCAGCAATCATGCCTTCCTCTGATTCTCCTTTCATCCGCGCATATCCACCCGCCCTAAAAAATCACCAACTCCCCAAGGAATCTTTCCTCGCCTTTTTAGATCAGCTGAACAAAGACATAGCCGCTAGTCCGCCCCTCCAAGTCCTGGATGCAACAGGCGGCATCTTGAGCTCCGTCCCGATCCTATTCCCGTTGCACTGGATTGGGTCCGCTGTCAGTGGACTTGCAAACTTGGGAAGTCAAGGCATGTCCAAAAGCCGGACAGACTCATCCATCAAAAAAGCTAATAAGGACATATTCGGTCCACGTGGCTTAAGAGTTGAAATTGCGAAGCTGGATGCGCTGGCACATGTTGCAAAGCTACCTATATTGGATTCTCAGGGCAAGGTCAATCGACAGGCGCCTTTGTTTTTACAACTACAGAATGAGGCGTCCATGGCCAACGCTGAGGCCGACGAAAGGCAGCAACAGGAGCTTAATTTGCAGCAGAGGATCAGGACTTTACAGCCCTGGATTGCTGAGCTTGAATTTGAGATCTTGCCTTGGTCTTCTAAGTCCAAGTTGACGCGGTTCAATGCGTCGTTGAAGAAGTATAATAACGAGCCGAGGGATCAGGAGAGGAGAGGCTTGGGTAGACGAGGGGAGGTTCTCATTCAAGAGAGTGTGCAGGAAGAAGCCTCTTTTAGGAAGGCATTGTGGCTTGTTGTTCAGGAGGTTGAGACAGACGAAAGGCGATAAATTGTGAATCTATATATTTGCATCCTGGCACCATCTAGACCAGACTTGGGTGACCTTGACAAGGGCCAACTACGGCGATTCTTTGTCCACTGCAAAGTAGCAAATCTCCATACGAGTAATTTCAATGCGAATATACCCAAACTTTAGGTGAAAATACTTGTCCAATAAAATCGACGAAAATGTGGTCAAAGGAGAGATCACATCAGTGTTCAAAAGGCATTGCATGAATCAATGTCCACGAAAGGAATGATAGGACGCCACATGGGTAGACTAATATGAAAATGGAGGTTCAATTTCTTTGAGTACTCGGTACTTGACTTGATGGTTTGATATCGTCGATGTTAAGTTAGGAATTGTTTTGTGGATTTGTATACGTAGATCCGCCGGGGCCACCGCCCTGCCGGAAACTAAGAAGACACGCAACGTTCTACTACACGTCCCCCTCCACATCTCCTTTCCTTTCTCATATTTTTCTTGGCCTCAATTGTTGGGTGCCATGCTTATTTGGTGATTCTGGTAAGTTATTTATCTACATTAGGGACGATTTCTGTTTTGTTGATCTTTACTAACACACTTCGGAAGTCTATTTGATTATAGGTAGTTTCTCGGTCGCTCTCTAAATTTCATATCTTCAACATGTCGTCCCCTTCGCCCTCTCTGCGGAAGAGAGGCGGAAAGAAGGATGTTTACACCGCGTTGCCCTCCGACGATGGCTCGACTCCCGTGTCGGTGCCGGTCAAACAGAAGTCGGAATGGGACTATTGGCTGGCCATAGTGATTCTCACCCTCCTGGCTTTTGCGACACGTTTCTACCGCATCGATTACCCTAATGAGGTTGTATTCGATGAGGTTCATTTCGGCAAGGTATGAGGTCCAATGTCTCTTGTGGCAGCGCATTCTGCGAAAAAGGGGGCTCTTTGACTAACATTGATGTTATCTGGCTAGTTCGCTTCTTACTACCTTCAACGTACCTATTTCTTCGATGTGCACCCGCCGTTTGGAAAGCTATTGTTTGCCCTCGTAGGCTGGCTTGTGGGCTTTGATGGAGGCTTCCTGTTCGAGAATATCGGCGACTCTTACATCGACAACAATGTTCCCTACCTCGCCCTCCGTGCCCTTCCCGCTACACTTGGTGCCTTGACCATTCCCGTGGTGTTCCTTATCATGTGGGAGTCTGGCTACTCTTTGCCAGCCTGTGTGCTGGCTGCCGGTCTTATGGTGTTTGACAACGCCCATGTGGGTGAGGACCGTCTGATCCTTTTGGACGCAACCCTCGTGCTGTCAATGGCACTCAGTATTCTGTGCTACGTCCGTTTCTACAAGTTGCGTCACCAACCGTTCACCCGGAAGTGGTGGAAATGGCTTCTCTTGACTGGCTTCTGCATGAGCTGTGTCATCTCTACCAAATACGTCGGTTTCTTCACTTTCGTGACCATTGGTGCGGCAGTGCTCATTGACTTGTGGAACCTCTTGGATATCAACCGCGAGCAGGGAGCGCTGAGCATGGTCAACTGGGGCAAGCACTTTGTGGCTCGCGCTGTTGGATTGGTCGTTATCCCCTTCATGTTCTACCTGTTCTGGTTCCAGGTCCACTTCGCTATTCTCAATCGGTCTGGCCCCGGTGACGATTTCATGACCCCTGAGTTCCAAGAGACTCTTAGTGACAACCAGATGACCGCTCAGTCTGTGGGAATTCAATACTTCGACACCATTACCATGCGCCACAAGGACACCAAGGTCTTCCTCCACAGCCACTGGGATAAATACCCCCTGCGTTATGACGATGGTCGTATTTCCAGCCAGGGCCAGCAGGTCACTGGTTATCCCCACAACGACACCAACAATCAGTGGCAGATCCTCCCGGCCCAGCCTCTGGTTGATGCATCTGAGCCAAGAAGCGTACGCAACGGCGACGTTATCCAGCTCCGCCATCTTGGAACCGATAGCTATCTCCTGACTCACGATGTTGCGTCTCCCTTCTTCCCCACCAACCAAGAGTTCACCACGGTCTCTCAAGAACTGGCTGATGGCGAGCGCCACAACGACACTTTGTTCGAGCTCAAGATCGAGTCGGGCAAGCCTGCTCAGGAGTTCCGCACTCTTTCCAGCCTGTTCAAGTTGGTTCATGTCCCAACCCGGGTCGCTTTGTGGACACACACAACCCCGCTGCCAGAGTGGGGTTATAAGCAGGCCGAAATCAATGGTAACAAGAATATCCTCCAGTCCAGCAACGCCTGGTACGTTGAGAACATCGAGAACCTGGAGGAGGATAGTGCTCGTCTTGTCAAGGAGGAGCGTAAGGTCAAGACGCTGCCCTTCCTGCGCAAGTATTTCGAGCTGCAGGGTGCCATGTTCCACCACAACAACGCTCTGACCAGTAGCCACCCCTATGCCACCGAGCCCTTCCAGTGGCCGTTCCTGTTGCGAGGTGTGAGCTTCTGGACTAAGAACGATACACGTGAGCAGATTTACTTCTTGGGTAACCCTATTGGATGGTGGATTGCCAGCAGTCTTCTGGCCGTATTTGCTGGTATTGTTGGTGCTGACCAGCTCTCGCTTCGCCGTGGTGTTGACGCATTGGAAGAAAGTAAGTTGAAAAACCAGACACCCCACTCTTATCCCGTTTTATTCCGGTAATTAACACACGTCCATCAGTTTGGGGCCCCGGTACGCGATCGCGTCTGTACAACAGCACCGGCTTCTTGTTCCTATGCTGGGCTGCGCACTACTTCCCCTTCTGGCTGATGGGTCGCCAGCGCTTCCTGCATCACTACCTGCCCTCGCACCTGGCTTCCACCATGGTGTGTGGTGCCCTGATTGAATTCATTTTCAACCTGCAGCCGCTCGACCCCCGCACTGCACTTCCCCCTGTAGATGACCCCTCAGGCAAGTCCAAGGCACGGTCGGTCAGCAGCCTGCGCCGGTTCATCACGGCTAATGAACGCATGGGTTGCAAGTCGCTCATTGCGGGCTGGATTGCCACACTTCTCATTCTGGCTGCCACCATTTGGGGCTTCATCTTCTATGCGCCCCTGACCTACGGTACTCCCGGCCTCGACGTGGCGGGTGTCACTGCGCGCAAGTGGCTGAACTACGATCTGCACTTTGCCAAATAAACTCCCGTTTGGCTTCCTTGGCTCAATCCGAGCGAACCGACCCATTTGTGACGATGGGCCGAACTGAAATTGCACAGTTGCAATTTTTGTAAGATAACTTATAATCCGTGATCAAAGCCGGGGGGAGAAGGTTTTTGTGCGATTGGAAACATGATGGAGTAATGATATCAGCGCTTGGTATCTTTTGAACTTATCGTGTATGTATGTGCGGTCATTTAAGTTCCTCTTTCTTCTCTATCCCGACGTAGTACATCTTCCGAACTTATCAGTCGAGTCCTGTGTCACTATTTGTTGTACAGGATAATTATCCGACCATCCAAGCTAGTCCCCGATACCTTCAAGCCTGTTGTATCTCAATTGGGGACAAAGATGAATGTCAGAAGTGGATGTCTACCTCGGTATAGAAAGAAAACCATGCAAGTTTGGGATGTCGATCGAGATCGACTTCACGTGATCTCCGATCGGCAGGATTTTCATGTGTTGAAGACTGAAGGGTACGGAGTATGTACTACTTATGTACCTATATACGGCGAACAGAGGACTTTGATGTTTCTCTTTCTATTATTATATGCATATGTCGTATGTCTAGACCCAACCTGCATTCCATTCCAATTTGCCTTTTTTTTTTTTTTTTTTTTTTTTGTAAACGCTGTTTATTTTTAGACGGCGAAAAAAACACAAGCCCACTGTGTACAAAGGGGATTTTCCTATGTATAGTAAACGGTTTCACATTGAAGTCCTATGAGATCATGGAATGTATCCAGTTTTTTTTTCTTTGGGTACTGATAGGATAAATAATAAATAATAAATCTTAACTTCTTGCCTAGGAATATGTAGTAAGATAGTATAATGGTATACTCCGTACTAGTATACTAGTAAATAGTAAATAGTAAATAGTGTATTACTCAGTTACTCAGGCCATAGTGGACGGAAGCCATAGGGACTAGACTGTCAGTAGCGTCTTCTCTTTTTCGCCTCTCTTCTCTTCACATTTTCTCTCTGTCTCTCTCTCTCTTTCCTTTTTTTTTTTTTTCCAATTCTTTTACTCTCCTTAGTGGTTCATCAGGTCCCTGATCCACTCCCCGCGTCTCCAGTTTTTATTGGTGTTTCCTTTGAGAGAAAGTGAAACAAGCCATATTACTTCGTCTCACACTGATGGTGGGTTCCTTTCCAAAAAAAAAAAAAAATCTTACCCTGCAAGGACGGGATAATTATCTTTGTGACATGCCATCAGATCGGACAGAAGACAACCCACATCTGTGGATTCCTGCCGGGCCTTTTGATCGGCCGCTAAACACACCCGTGTTGCACTCCCTAGAAGCTTCTGACTAACCTCAATTCTTTCTCAGTTTAACCCCTAATACTTGCTTTGTTTACCACTATACCTATCTATTTGGACTGATCGCGTCGAGATCTACTTGCGACACATCACAATCCGAGGACCCCAAGGATCGTCCAAAGCTCAATGAGAGAGCTCGCGAAGACACATTGGCCGGTTATTCAAATACCTGCCTGATCTGTCAGAAACCAACCGCTTCCATGCCTATGAAACTGCCGAAGAGCTTTACCAGGCGAAAATCGTCCGGCAACGTTCTAGAAGACGAGACCCCTCACCAATCCTCCTTTCGAGTCTTCGAGCGCCCGGGGCCTCATCGATCTATGACGGATGGAGCGGCGTTGACCAAGCCGCTGAGCGAGGGCAATGCGGTGCCATCGATGGAAGACTCCGATAACATTTTTGCCGAAAGGGAGCGACCCCTGGGTAAGAGTCGGTATGATCGCCCTTCGACCATGGATTCCCTCAGGAGACGTCTGACTGGGAATCGCGATAGTAGCTACTACGAAAGTTCTACGTCAACCCGGCTGAGCTCGTCATCCACCCTCCCATCATCGACCGAGGTTCCGCCGCCCGACGAGACTCAATCCCCGCACTCCCGAATCCATGATGTTCCAGCTCCACACCTCTCCAGTGCACTGCGCGCCGCAGGACGAACTTTCTCATTCGGTGGTCGATTCAGCAAGCCAGCACCACAGGTTCCCCGGCAACAAACACCCGATGCCCCAAAGAATCGCCCGGTGACGGGCAGCACCGACAGCACGGCCACTCCGCCCAAGCTGCCCGATACGGACTTTGCCCTCGGCTCGCAGGACGATTTCAATAAGATGTTCGATAATATGGGTACCCGAGAGGCTTCAGCAATGCGGGGTTCGTCGCCCAAACCGACGAAGGTAAGATCTGCACTCGCTCCTTCAGGCAAGAATGCAGTACTGATAGTATCGCAGTATTCCTCGTCTCCCCCGACGCATGTTCTACCCGAGTTCCAAAGTAGCAGAGCTGCTCCACCCGCTGCCATTGATACAGATCGATCGACCGCCATCGAGTCACCCCCTTACTCCTGGGATCGTCGCCCGTCCGAAGAGGGCTTGCTTCGTGGCCCGAATTCTCCACCGCTGAACCAGAGCCGCTCTACCCTCGATACCGTTGTTGGTTTCCGGAAGCCTTCGCCATCTCCCAATGAGTTTACCGCGGCTACTACGTCGCATCGATCTTTGGAGCGCCCGCAGGGAACGGAGAGAGCAGGACTGCGGAGGAGTGGGGTATATTCGCCCAAGGGGGAATCTCCACCCTTTGACGATGAAGATGCCAAAATGGTTCGTCAATCCGTCTTGTGGAGCAAGGAAAGCACTTCGCCATGGGCCGAGAGCCCATCCGGGGAAACCCCATTGATCGATAAAGGCAAAGCACCTGATTACTCTGGCCGAGTAAACTCAGAACATGATAATATGTTCCAATATCGCCGTTCGCCCGCTCCGGCTGACAGATTGGACCCTTCCATCGCGGATCACGCCCGGTTGGCTGTGCAGTATGCAGACAGTCTTCCCAAGTCGACATCTCCGGGTAACAAAGTGATGACTCCATCCCAGTTCGAGCACTATCGGCAGCAGCAAGAACTTCGACGTTCCAATAGCAATGCAACTAAGAGTGACCAAGATTCTGATAATGAGGAGTTTGACGACGAAGAGGATGAAGTGGAGAAACAACGTGAGACGGAACGCCAACGACGAAAGCAGGAGGCTCATCTCTCTGTGTATCGTCAGCAGATGATGAAAATCACAGGCCAGCAAGCACCCGTGCAATCGCTACGTCCGGTCATGAGTGGAGGTAGCAGCAGCACGCTCAATTTGCACCCCAGTCGCCTGTCTGTGCTCGGCGAGAAGTCTACCAGTGGGAAGAGCAGCGAGGAAGAGGATGACGATGTGCCGCTCGGTATTCTCGCCGCCCATGGTTTCCCCGGTCAGAACCGCCCGCCAACCCGTCTGAACAACGTTAGCTCCAATCCCAACCTCCGTGCATCTATGCAACCGTCGTATATATCATCTTCCAACTCTGTTTCGGGTGACCCCAACGGCAGCCGGGTCAGTCTGCCACCTTTCGCGAGGAACTTGCCGCGAGACCCCTATTTCGGTGCAGGCCTGGTCAACAACCCCAACCGTGAATCGTTAGCTTTTGGAGGTGGCTCGGTATATGGAGGATCTTCGTCCCCCGCAGCTCCTCCTGGAGGTCTTGTCGGTGTTATAGCAAATGAGGAGCGGGCGCGGGCGATGCGCAGAGGAAGCCCGAACACACAAGCAATGCACGAGATGGGAGGAGTACCTCGGCCATACTCGCAGCAACAGCAAAACTTCAACCCCGGGGAACAAGCTTCTATCCAGCTATCGCAGCAGATGACCAGCATGATGCAAATGCAAATGCAGTGGATGCAGCAAATGATGCAAATGCAAGGTGCACAGGGTCAACCTATGATGCAAGGTATGCCAATGCCTCCTATGATGATGCCTGGTGGAGCAATGGCCATGCCACCCATGGGCCCCCCTTCTATAGCAGGACCCCATTCCATTGGTGGTAACCCGAACCTGCGGCCGACGTCTATGCCTGCAACATCCGTTCTCAATATGCCGCCCTCACTTCCACCCCACGTTGATCAGCGCACAATGAGCATGTTGGACCCCAACATTTCAACTCGTAGGACTGGCTCGCCCATGCCCAATCTGTCCGGCAGCCCATTCCGCCCCAACACCGGATATGCTGCCTCAATCGCTCCGTCGGAGCGCAGCACCGCAGGCATGGCGCCTCGTTACCGGCCAGTATCAGTTATGCAGCCCGAATCGAACTATGCAGTGGCATCCTCAAACAAACCATTTGGGGATGAAAACCGCAACCCGTCCATGCCAATGCCTCAATCTCACATTCCGAAATCGCACCTCGCCACTGTAACCGTCCGCCCCGTTTCCCGGAGTGCTGGTCTTGGAAATGGGAAGCCTGGTTCCGACGACGACGACGAGGAAGAGGCCTGGGCTGACATGGTGAAGAAGCGCGAGAAGAAGAAGAGCAGCTGGAAGATGAAGCGATCGAACTCGTCGTTCGGAGATCTGCTGAGCGCCGTTCACTAACTCCCTGGATCTGTTCCTCTTTTTCGTCCTTCCTCACCCCGATCATGAAAGCGTACTTGCATTGCATTTGAAAAGAAATCTGTCCGCGTTACACTGTATAGCCTGCCCCTTTCTTCTCTGCATTTACATCTGCGCCTCCATTTCCTAATACCTCCGCCCCCCTCTACGACATGACATATGACGCACATACTATCAACTCAGACAAGGGCTCGCCGTGCCATTTGGATATGTCTCGACAACGCATCCCTGGCCCTCGTCTCACATCTTGTATGTCCCTCCTCGTTCCCCTGTCCCGGGTTTCCTTGCCTCATCACGTCATGGTCATTCGGGTCTGGGCAGAGGGATTTGGCATTTACAAGTATGAATACATATGCTTTCCTTGTGATTTTCTAGTTTTGACTTTTGATTTCGATCCTTGTTGTTATTTTCTTATGATATCGGCGCAGGAAGAGACATGGAGTTTATTTATCTGATAGTATTTCTACCCTTATGTTTCCATCTTTTATTGTGTTTTTGCATTGTCTTCTCTCGCCAGAGCGCCCTGCGTCTACTCGACTCCCTTAATACATTTCGGGCCCTGTGGCCGTTATATCGGCTCCATTCAAGGTTCTTTATTTCTTTTGGTTAAGTTGCGTGCTTTCTGTTGTGGGCTTGTATATCTTACTATAACGTAGATTTCCGTTGAGATGGAGTTGCTCCATACATTACGGCTAATCTATTTTGTGTCATATCACGATGATCGATTGTGTGTGTGTATAGCCTTGACTTATTTTTGGTAATTTGAGAGTCTTGGACTTCCAATTAATGAAGAAACGTGAAAAGTATTTGTTGCATGGTCGATTCCAGTGAACTGAATCATTACATGATGTCTCAGTAGCCGATAGGTCACCATCTACATTCCATTGACAAAAGTAAAAGTGTAACGTGAAAATTATGGATAAATTTTGATGCCGAAGTACCCACACTGCGTTTAATGAAGTGAGCTGAAGATGAAGAGGAAGAGGAAGATGAAGTAAAGCCTTTCTTGCCATTGATTCATGCATAAGTGTCTAGACACATCTGGGCAGAATGTTCTAGTTATATGGGTCCAACACAGTCACGTGATAATATATATCGGAGCAGTCACATGATCGATATCGATATCGATATCGAATGTATCACGATATCTTCATCCCTCAACGTCAACGTCAAACAGGTGCTAAGTGAGGGCCTAAATAACCTTTTAAAGTGTACCTTCTCACCGGAGCCCTTTTCACTGAGCATTTTGGTTATCGATAAGCACCATCAAAGGTGTATTCCCAAGGCGCGCGCGTTTGACCACCATTGCCTTGACAATTCAAAGAATTGGTAACCTATACATAGGCCTTGAAACGACGTCCGGCCTTTGATTCCTTATCAAATTCACTTCTCTACACCTTCGCGAGTTCTTGGGTACATACATAAAACCATATCATCCATACCGATAGAGGTATCCTTCACTCGAACTTCAAAACCAGCAACTTTTTTAAAGCTTTCTCGTCACTATGAATGCTCCAGATCGGTAAGTGCATGCTAAGTTCTCCAAAACCTCTGAAATCCCCTCATTTTTATTCATATTGGGCTGGTTGGGTGAAATTGGTTGTTCGTTGAACACTGGATGTTCGATATGGACCTCTCGATGCTATCATGTATTATCCCGGATCCCGGGGTAGATGGCGCCTTCCTTTCTTTTTCTCGTCAAAACGGGAAGGAGGGAAAGAACTGAAAATTGATGGTCGCGCTTTCCTCCCACTGTTGCTCCTGCCCTGGGAGGGAGCATTGCATTGTGTCTATTTCTCCCATGTCCTCCACTGTCACCATCTTTTTCCACTGTCATCTTCTGGTTTACTCGTGGACCATCATCGTCGTGTGCATTTCGACCCTCTCGTTTATCGCCATTTCCCTGTTCTATCATTCCTGTTTTTGTGCAGTCATGCCTCATAGCCCTGCCATTATCACGGCCACTGCCGCCATCGCCAGAGAGCGTGCTGGTCGCATCGGCTCGGGTCGCCATTCGCGCCACCCTCGCCCTACGCTCCCTGACGATGTTCCTGATGTGTCAGTTGAAGTAACTCACAGTATTGCGATGCTAAGGGCCGAGGCTTTCGTACCCCTTTCCTTTTGTCCTATTTCTGCATATTCAAGTCTTGCTTTTTGTGTATTAGAACCATAAGCTAACCAATGTCATGAATACAGGTATGAGGCCATCCTGCTTGCTCCTGGCGAAAGCAAGATTGATGTTGAGGTCGACACTCGTAAGTCATGCTGATCAATGTCGATCGCACAATCCCACTGACCTTATCTCTCCAGGCCTTCCTTCTGCTGCTATCTTTACCTTCCGCAAGGAAGATCACACCCTTGGCAACATGCTGCGTCACCGCCTCCTGAAGACTCCCCATGTGATCTTTGCTGCCTACCGCGTAAGCAACTTGCTACATACATCTCGTGTTCATTGGGAGGGCACTAACAATGATCCATTAGGTTCCTCACCCGCTGACTCCCGAGTTCCAGCTGCGTATTCAGACTGACGGCGATATTACCCCTCGCCAGGCTGTTGTCAACGCCTCCGAAGCTTTGATCAAGGACCTGGGTATCTTGTCTCGGGAATTTACCAAGGAGTATGAGCTCCGCAAGGCTGCCAACGCCGCCAACCAGCAGCAGCAGAGCACTGCTGAGTAAATGACTATGAGTGAGACCCTGTCACTATTCATCTTCTCTTATTAGGTCTGAAAATCTGGCGCATGGAGCATTTTTGGGCTTTTATGCCTTGCGTTTGTTTTCTCGTTTTCGAGCTGGGGATCTATGGGTGGCCCCTTTTTCGCGGGCGTGTTTCTTGTTTTGCCTTCTACTGTTTCTGAAAGCCTTCGCTAGATCATCGACTAGCTGATATCAACAAATTTACAAGCTTAAAGCTTTGAATCATCATTGACATCCATCAGCGAAGTACGTACGGAGTATTCCAGTCATACATGTAGATCCAAAAATAGCGGACCCATGACTAAGCACCTAATGGGGTTAGCGTGGGTGCCTCCGCGTCAAGCAACGGCGTCATTCGCATCCTCCTGAGAGTCAACTCCCTGGCCTTTTGCATTCGTTCTTCTCGTCAATTTCTTGTTGGCTTTTCTGCATCTATTTTGCTCATGCGAGCGTGGTTTCAGTGATGTACTCCTCGTCGAATAATTTCCTCGGGGGTGGTGCCAGTGGCCGTCCCGGCCAGGCACCATTCATGCAACAGCAACAGCAACCCCCCTATTCACAGTTCTCCCAAGGCCAGCAGCCACCATCAATGCAACAACCTCAGCAGACTGGGTTTGCTCCGCAGCCCACTGGTCTTGCTCCACAGCCGACCGGATTCGCCGGCCAGCCCTCCCCGTTCGGTAACTCACAGTTACAGCCTCAAGCCACCGGATTCCCCGCGGGACAGCTCCAGTCGCAATTCACTGGCTTCCCCGGCGCCGCGCCCCAGCAACCTCAGCAGCAGCAAGCGCAAAGCTTCCAACCACAATACACTGGGTTCCCTCCCCAGAACCAGGCGCAGCAGCCGCCTCCGGTGCCGCAGATACCTACTAGATTCAAGACCTCCACCGAGATCGCGAACTCTTTCCAAGGTGCTGCTGGCTCTGGAGCACCTCCCCAAGTGCCACCAAAGACAGGGTCAAGGATTCCAAGCATTCGGCTTTCTTTTATTACGGCGCAGGATCAGGCGAGGTTTGAGCAGCTATTCAAGTCTGCTGTTGGCGATAGCAAGACAATGGAAGGTTGGTTTCCTCGCACCTGGTTTATTACACATCCAGGCTTGTATAGTTGTACTGACTGGTCACAATAGGCGACAAAGCAAGAGATCTTTTGCTGCGCTCGAAATTAACGGGGGCTGATCTTTCCAAGATCTGGGTCTTGTCTGATACCACTAAATCCGGACAGTTGTTCTTCCCTGAATTTGCATTGGCTATGTACCTCTGCAATATTCGTCTCACTGGTCGCGACCTTCCTTCTTCACTACCCGAGACGATCAAGAACGAGGTTTCTAGCATGGTTGACATCATCTCGTTTGATGTCCCCGACGAACCAATCCAGCAACAGCGAACAAACGTCCCCAACTTCGATGCGCCTCTCTTGGAGAACAAGTCGACGCCCCCGATTGTTCAACAGCCCGTTCCGCAGCAACCCAACAATGCACAGCTCCTGTCGCAGCTGACAGCACAGCCTACTGGATTCTTCCCCCAGCAGACAGGTGCCCAGCAGCCCAATCAGACGGGTTTCCCAGGCCAGAATCAGTCCCAATTCCTTCAGGCTCAACAAACTGGGTTTATGAGTAACCCACAGGCCACTGGATATACCGGACCTCGGCCTCCAATGCCACCTATGCCTACTGGTTATGGGTCCAACCTCAGCCCCGCCCAGACCGGTGGAATGCAAGGCCTGGGTGTGCAGCCTACGGGCTTGGCAGCGCAGCCCACAGGCATGCCAGGTCAATGGGGATTCATCAACACACCCGCGCAGGGTTTGCCCAACATTGAGGCTATGAAACAGCAGCTCATGCCGCAGCCTGGCCGTGAAGGTGGTTTCAGTTCCGTTGGTCTTTCAGGAAATGCTACCGTCGCATGGGCAATCACGAAGGAGGAGAAAAAGATTTACGATGACCTTTTCCGCGCATGGGACGGTTTCCGCAAGGGTTTCATCAGTGGCGAGACCGCCATCGAGATCATGGGACAAAGTGGTCTGAATAGAAAGGACCTGGAACGGATCTGGACTCTGGCGGATCCCCATAACCGCGGCCGGCTGAACATGGATGAGTTTGCCGTGGCTATGCACATGATCTACCGTGCTCTAAACGGTTACCCCATTCCTAGCCGCCTACCACCCGAGCTTGTCCCTCCTTCTACAAGACACCTGAATGACTCTATTGGAACGGTCAAGTCTCTTCTTTCTCAGGATGCTGAAACTCGCAAGGCTACCGGGGCATTCCTGCAGCCGCAGAAGACTGGCGTAAGCTATCTTAAGGATCACTCATTCCGTGGTGGTGCAGGAGGCTCTGCTGGGGCCAGCCGCAAGGATGCGACAATGTTCAAGAACAATGACTCCGCTGGTGGCTATCGCTCAAGTGCACGCCGTCGCGTTGGTAACGAGGCTCGTACCCCGTCCCCGGCCGCCTCTGGCGCTTCAGACGAGGAGTATTCCGTGGAACAGCTGCACAAGAAGATCCGCGAGGCTAAAGTCATGATTGACGCTGCCGATTTCCAAGACGCGAACCGGGCCGAGGATGATGATGATCTAGACCGCCAGGATCGCCGGGAAGCAGAGAGTCTTATGGACCGTATTCGTCGTGTACAGGACGACCTCGATACACACCCCAATGCCGCATTCCGTCAAGTAGACAGCGGGGCAGAGCGCAGGGCCCTTCGTCGCCAACTGCAGTCATATGAAGATCAAGTTCCTCAGGTAGCATCTGACGTGCGTCGTCTTGAGCGTGAGATCGCGGACGCGAAGCTTGAGCTGTTCCGTCTCAGGGACGCCAAAGCGCACCCCGGCGGCGCCTCTAATATCGTTGGCACTGGCCCTGGTGGCACTGTAACCGAGGCAGATCGAATCAAGGCCCGGGCGCGTGCGCGTATGCAAGCCAGGGCTGCTGAGCTTGCTGGACGTCCCGCCCCTGCGACGGAAGATGACGATGGTCAAGCAGCTCGTCGTCTGGAGTCTGAGAGCACTAACGTGAAGATGGAGCGGGAGCGCAACGATACTATGACTCGCGATGTCGAGGAAAGTGTCCGTGACTTCGCTCGCAGTTTGGAGGACAGTCTCCGTGTTGAGGGCCAAACCTCCTCACGCGAGCATGAAAAGCGTCGTTGGGAAGAGGCATTGGGAGTTGAGGACGTCATTCGTGATTTCATTTACGATTTGAGCCGCAATGCGCGAACTGCAAATATTCGCAAAGAGGAGTATGTTATTCTTGTCGATCAGGAAGAGCGTTCAATACTGACAATTTATAGGCGAGAGAGACCCTCCCCGGAGGTGAGTTCTCGAGGATCCCCAGCTGCCGAATCAGCTGCGCGCCCTTCGATGCCCCAGTCCGTGGACTCGTCAACCTCTCTTCCTGGTAATACACATGCAGATCGTGTGGCGGCTGCACGAGAGCGTGCGCAGAAGCGCATTGCTGAGCGCATGGCTGCTGCTGGTTTGAAGCCAAACGATGCTACTGAGACTCTTGCGCAACGCCAGGAGCGTGAGAAAAAGGAGCGTGAAGACCGTGTCAGACGCGCCGAGGAAGAGGACGCCAAGCGGGAACAGGAGAGACAACGTCGCCTGGCTGAGGAACGCGGTGGTCCTAGTGATGCAGCTCCGAAGACTGCTGGCAAGAAACCACCTCCGGCCCCACCCACCCGCAGGGCTCGGACCGATAGTGCCGGCCAAGCCGATGTCAAGAGGGCAGAGGAGCCCATTAGAGTGGACCAGGCTGCTCGTGAGCAGGCCATCAAGGAAGAACAAGAGGTGCAGGAGGCGGAGACTAAGCGTCTAGAGTGAGTATTCCACAACTGACATAGAAAACAAAAACCAGCGCGGTTGGCTAATACATTTATAGGAGCGAGGCAAGCCAACGCGAGCTGGAATTCCAGCGTGAGAAGGATGCCCAAGCCGCTCGACTTCATGCTCTCGAGGAACAGGTCCGCCAGGGGAAGATCAAGAAGCAGGAAGAGAAACGTCGCAGGGAAGAGGCTAGCCGACAGGCCAAAGAACAGGAAGCTAGTCTTGCAGCCCAACGCGCTGAACTGGAGGCGGCCAAGGAACGTGAGCGACAACTGCAGCGTGAACTCGAGGGGCTTGACGAGTCGTCGTCTGATGACGAAGGCCCTGACGATATTACGCCTCAGTACAGCACCCCGACGCAGAGCCAGACTCTCCCTACCCCACCCCCTGTGCCCACCATAGCTATTCCTGAACCCCCCGCCCCCGAAAGCGTGCCTAGCGAAGTGAGCTCCCCAGAGAGCAGCCGTGGTGTTCCTGCTGTCACGCCCGAGGCTGAATCCAAGAACCCCTACTTCAAGAAATTGGGTCAGCCATCAGACCCCACCCCAGCGACTTCGCCGGCTGCTACGGCTCAGTCTACGAATCCCTTCCACCGCTTGACCCAGCAAGAACCCATCAAGCCCACCTTCACTGGCGCGGCCCCCCCTGGAACGCAAGACTCGCACACGCCCTGAGGAAGACGACGATTGGTCTGCTGCTGGTTCGGATTTCGATTCGTCTGATGACGAGGACGACCGCCCAACCGGCGGTAGTGCCAAACAACTTGCCAGTATCCTGTTCGGCACTATGGCGCCCCCACGTCCTCTGAGTGCCATGGACGAAGACAAGTCTGCCTCGAAATCTGCTACCCCGGTACAAGACAGCCCTGTTGCACCTCCGCCCCCACCCCCAGTAACTCTTCCTCCTGTTCCTGCTATTCCAGGCTCGGGCGATGCCATCTCCCCACCAGCGGCACCATCTGGCGTACCTCCCCCTCCCCCACCTCCGCCTCCTCCCCCAGGAGCCGGTGCTCCTTCTATGCCCCCTCCCCCACCCCCCCGGTGGGGCCCCCTCTGCTCCCCCCCCCCCTCCAGCAGGTATCCCTCCTCCACCTGCTCCCGCGGCTGCCGGTGCTGGTCGAGGTGCCCTCCTCGCGTCCATCCAGCAAGGCATGACCCTGAAGAAGACTCAAGTGAATGACCGTAGCACAAGCTCGTCAGCTGGACGTGTGCTGTGAGGATAGAATTGGAGAGCTTTTTTTTTAACTTTGTTCCTGTTTTCGGAGCACATACTGTACAGAGAGAGAGAAGACATCGTACCTACATGATTGCTGAACATGGTGACGATGTCATGGGATAATGGGAGTGTAGTTAGCTGTGCTTTTGTACTTTTCTTGGAATACTCATTTTTGTTTATTATCACCCATATATGGGCCTTACTTTGGAAGTAACCTTATCAACTGTAGGCCTCCTGCTTCCGTTTCAAGTTACATCATTCATTGAAACCGCCAATATCTGGAAGTCGATATAAGAATCCACGGTCAATGAGTTCAAAGCAATGTCACAGGCTAATTCCTGGGCACACTCATCCCCACCCATCCAAGAGACCACTCGAGACCACCAACTGGCCGCCCTGAACATCATTGTAGTCGTATATTCCCAGTATTCAGGTAGCCGTCCGACTGACTCCCAGTCAAAAGTTCCGTATAGATGACCGTCCTCTCCGACGAGAATGTTACGGGCTTTGAAGTCACAGTCCACAAAGCCCATAACCCAACCCACCCCACGAATGGGCTGGGCTTTGGGCCAAGCTCCGGGCCCACCAGGCCCATAATGGGGCCCATTAGGCCCAATTAGCACCAAACAATGCCAACGTTCTGAAATACTTAGCCTATGTCTAAGCCCCGTAGATAGCCTTGATATAGCTATTTTAAACTTATGCTCCAAATTCTGATTGCTGTAGAATCAATAGAAGACCAGAATACAGCGATTACAAGTCGGCTTATAAGTGCCAAGACCCCCTTAATGGGCTATGATGGGCTATTATGGGCCCCCATAGATGGCCCATAGATAGCCCATAGCCCACTACTGGTTGGGCCTTGGGCCCCCATTTATGGGCTTTGCGGGTGTGGTCCACACCCCATCAATCACCAGCGATACCCTCAAAATACTCCGTGATGCGCCGATCAATAGGTGAAGCCAACTTCGCAGGCAACCCCAAAAGGTCTGCAGCTGGTGGGAACTGTACCGGTCATTTTTGGAGTGTGAGGGTTTCACCTACCCATAGATGAGAATGGTAGGTTCTATATGATAAATTCATAATTGCCAAAGCTATAGTCGACTTTAGATATAAGACCGCGAGAAAACAAAAGAAAGATAGCTTGCTCGCGATAGGGGACTCAGATAGACACTATTTAATATACTCTCAAACTGCCCCTGGCCGTGAATACGTCGATGTCTGTCTGGTTCACTCAGGCGCCAAGTCGCTGTCCGTCTCTGCATTAGCAGCTACTTGCTGCATTTGCATTTTCCTGATCATCTCTGCTGCTTCGAAAGAGTACTTGCACTTCATTCGGACCACTGCACCATATCGGTACATAATCAACGGAAAGGGCATGCACACGAGAGTCATGAATGCCGGGATGGAGGACGCCCAGTGAATTCCCAAATTGTGATACATCTGCGTCGTAAATAGGGGAAATGCAGCGCCCACGACTGAGCGGAAAATGGCAGCTGCAGCCAGGACCGAGGCCGCATAGATTGTGTAAGAGTCAATCAAGTAGTTCATGATAGGCAGTATGACGAGTACACAGCCAAGTCCAAACGGTGTAGACAGGATAATACTGATAGACCAGTGGATGCTGGGGTAACTGGTCCAGGCAAAGGCGAACATGCCGATAGGGAGGGCAATACCTCCAACAATCGCAGGTGGCAGTCGAGACTCGGCCGTTGCAGATTTTGCCACGAACAGCTTCATGTATCGGCTATTGTTGTCCCAAATGGCGTATATCAGTCCAAAGATAATTCCAACGGCAATTCCCAAGAACGACAGTCCGCCGATACCTTCGCTCCAACCACGGTCTTCGTTGTACACTATGGGCATAGCGCCCATGAACATGTAGACCGTGCCGTAGATGATAGCCATATATAGTGATGCCACTAAGACGATGGGCTCGAGGAAGAGGAACACCCAGGGACGGAACAAAGCACGCTTGAAGACCTCTGACGGCTTCTTCTTCCCTTGGTTTCTTTCCAAAACGCTAACGTAGACCTTGCCGTCGGCCTTAGCCAGTTGATGTGCCCGACGTTGAAGCAGCACCGGGCCATATGTCTCAGGAATGAAAATGGTACCCACAATTCCAATTACGCCAATAAAGATTACGCAGACCCCTTGGACCCATCTCCATCCAATGTCCTCAGATACGAAGCCACCCACGATTGGGCCCAAAATAGGGCCAAGGAAGGGCGCAACACAATAGATAGTCAATGCCAAGCCACGCTGAGCAGGCGGAAAGAGATCGGCAATTGTTCCGCCAGAGTTAACAATTGGCGAGCCACCAAATGTACCGGCAAAGAATCTGAGGATGAGGAGGGTGGCCACGTTTTGGCTGCCTGCGGATCCTCCGAGAAAAGCGACCATAGCAATGTGGGACATGATCCAGAGAATCTGTCTCCCGTAAAGTTCTGATCTTGAGCTGATGTTAGCCAACGGGCTCGGTACAAAGTATGTGTGTAGGAATGCATCGTTGAGACTTACTGTCCCACAAAATATGGTTAGCTGAGTTCCTCAGTAGTATAAATGATCGATGACTTACCAAGGGACCCCATACAGCAGGGCCAATTGCAAACCCGAGCACAAAAAGAGAAAGCCCGACAGTGAAGACCTCGGTGCTGATGTCGAAGTCCTGGAAGACTTCATTTGCCGACGCCGAGTACGCAGAGGAAGTGACGGTCACTGCGAAGACTGAGAAAGTCGCAATCGCTGCAATGAACCATTTGCGGACCTCACCCCAGTTCATCGGATTGCTGGGGTCGTCTTTTTGGAACTCCACCACGAATGGATCATCCACGGTGCCCGAGCCATCGTAGGTGTGACTCTTCTCGGCCTCGCCTGCGTCAATACGAGACTTCGGCGCGATGATAGACATGTCTTGAGAGTAGATAGAGTTCAAATTCAACCTCGTGTTGTCTACGAGGAAAGCCTTCTTTGCTGCAGCTCTCGATCTATATAATGTTGACCTGCGGAAGCCATCAAAAACGGACTGTTCGCTCATTGGTCAGCTCGTCTGAAACGGGGATCGTCAGCGAATGAAAGAGCTTTCCGTTGTGGGTCAATTTCGGTGGATCGTTGAGACGGGAAGACATCTGATTGGTGAACATTTTGATTGTTAATCCGGGCAGATAGCCCTGATCGATGGGAGCACTCGCCGTCCTCAACCCTGCAATCAAGGTGTGATGAATGACATTATGGTTGACCAGCATACCTCGTCAGGTACTTTACGAAGGCAGAGATTAAAAGTCTCTACCGCCTGCCAAACATGTCGCCTGAGGAAGATCAAATGCGATGGCGCTCGCCCGGGTATCTATCTGCTTCTATTGTTCTTTTAGCCCCCAGAGTATGTCCACAAAGCTGACATAAAATATAAAGCATGCACCAGATGTCAGGAAAGAGGCAAAAAGTGTACTTATGGGCATTCTCTCAGTGCCGCTAAGAAGCAGACAGCGCGTAAACCTCGTGGACAATCATTATCAGTTCACAATCCCGCTCCTATGCTGATCTCTCCCCCTACTCAATGCCTTTACCCATGACGCCCCCGGCGTCTTATACCAGAGCGTTTTCTTTGGTTGATTCAATAGCCGGGTCTCACCATGTGGACGAAGATCGAGAGGCAGAGCCTGACCTGGAGCAAGACCGGGCATACTATACCGCACATGGGCAGTTTGCTGACCGGGTCGCGGCTGCCATAGATGTGAGAGCAGGATCTACCCCGATCCCCAGTCATCAGATCCCACTAGTAGATGCTCCGCTATTTGGAGATCTTGACCTCTCTTCTAACTCTTGTGTCTTGTTATCGTCGACCGAGTTACCTCCCCGAGCATATGCTGATCAACTAATTGATATATACTGGCAACATATTGATCCTATGGAGCCGGTGTTAGATCGCCAACGGTTTCTTGAGAACTATGGAAATGTATATGCAACATCCGTAGCACCACTCTCCGCAAACTACGACCACCGGCGTACTATTCTCAATCTAGTTTTTGCACTGGCAGTCCAAAGACAAGAGCAAATCCCGCGGTATCAGAGGAACAAGGAGGGAAATTGCTTTTTCCAGCGCGCATGGGCCCTGCTTCCAGCTGAATCTATGCTATGGCAACCTGGATCTCTCGAGCTTGTGCAGTGCTTGATGTTAATGAATCGATATCTCCATTGTACCAACAATCAGCAGAAGACATGGATGACAGCGGGGTTAGCAATGCGAATTGCGCAGAGCATGTGCTGTCACCTCCCCGAGTCGCCTTTTGCAATGAACCCTAGTGACGACAAAGCGCTAAAGCAGAAAATATGGGCTAGCTGTGTTGCCCTCGATCGGTATGTCATGGAACGGCCGCCCCTTTATAATTGTCACTGGCTCATTTCATATAGATGCATCTCTTGGTCACTAGGTAAAACATCGGCGTTGGTGCTAATTCCATCGCCACCAACCAGTAGCAACCAACGATTAGGCCACAACTCGATACATAATAACTGGGGATTGGATCTCCACGAAATCGGGAATCAAATCCAGTTGGCGCAGATACAGATGCGAACTAGTCTCGCAGCCAGATTTCGCCCTCCACTTTTATCCCAGCAGGACGAGTACCATAAATCGGCATTGCAACTAGATGCATATCTTCGAGATTGGGAAAATAACCTTCCTGGCGACTGGCAGTTGCAGAACCTCAAGATGGTTTCCGACAGGTCGCATCGAGCTGAGCGATACGTGCTTCATCTTCGGTGTGTCAAGAATTTTCCCCTCTTACTAGAATCGATTGACAATGTTCTATGTAGCTATCTCCACCACCGAATCTTTCTCTACAGACCCATGCTCGCCCGGTTCTACTCGATAAAAGCAGACACCTCCTCACTTGGGACACCAAGCCTAAGCCACCGGCTCCTCCGTGAATGTGCCAGCATGTGTATCGAAGCCGCACAGAATGTAGTCTCATTGGTAAAAGAGACACTCGAGCCAGATGAGCCCATCGGGCTCCTTCCGTGGTGGTACAGAATATACTATCTTCACATCGCGGGGTCCAATTTCCTGGCAGCCATGTTTCGGTCAGATCTGTTTACAGCCTCTGTTTCCCAGTCTTGGGAAAATGTGCTGCTGGCTCTTCACGCTCATGAACACTTGAGTCCCTACATTCAACAGTGTGTGTGGACATTCGAGGCCCTGGCAGCCAAGATCACGAGTAAGCCATACCCCGGTTTGGATGGCAGTGGGTGTGATTTGATGGTAGATGGATCTGCGAGTGTTTGTTTCGATGATATCTTCAAGGATGTTGATTTCGACTTTGACAACTTTATATTTGGACCCGAGGAGTTCGGAGAAGGGTTGCTTTGATGGCGAAGCTATTTAATGGGATTTCTGGAGGGCCATCACGCTTGCCCTACGAGCTCTCGGTGGGCACGAGTCATAATATATGAACAGTCCAACATACTAATCCTCAAGTGCTATTTCCTTCAATCCACGAAGTTGTTCGTTAATTCTAGGAAAGCCCCCGAGTAGGGCTGAGAATCGCAATTGATCATCGGTAGTTAACATGAAATCGAGAATTCGATGCTGACCCTAGATGACGGATACAAGCCCTTTGTCCGGAGTACCGACGGGCAACGGCTCCACATTAGATGGAGAAGCCTACCCATGTAGGTAGTACTGTAGAGTAGTATCATCCGCAGCGGGATACACGGGCGTAGAGCTAGAATTAGTTTTGCTTGCTCCCGTTTGAAATCATCGAATTAGAGGATGAGTACCCGGAGTTCACGGAGTTCACGGAGTCGGACGGGGATATAAGAGATGCAGAGGGACAAAAGTATTGACTTACTATACAGCCTTCTATGTAGCTGTCGGGTGAACGTTTTTGATATATGTAGAAGTATTTGCATATCAAATATTGGAATTGAATGAGCATGCATTTCGTATATCATAGTCCCTTCACAATTACTTTACATGCAGAACGACTGTACTATCGGCATGCGATTAGCTGTACATTGAAAACTGGAGAACAGAAAAGAAGAACCACCACAATGCCTGACAAACACCGACAATCAATCCGAACCAAAAGAAAACCTAACCATGAATCGCCATCCTCGATTGTGTGTTCAATACTCTAACACAATCTCACAGGACAACTTCCGCAATCACATTACCCAGGGTACTGACACACCAAACAGCGATGAGACCCCAGCCAACCTTGCGATCCATTCTCCACTTATTCATCGGAACAACGATCAAAAGTCCAACCAGGATGAACAAAAGCGTTGCGCCGCTGATGACAAGGACCTTGGAGATGGCGATCTCATAGGGAACTTGCACAGAGATGACATCCTGCAGCGCCTGATCGGATCTTTGGTTTCCACCGTTGACGGTCATATAAAGACCACCAAGCCCGATACCGAGGAGGATATTGAGCATGGGTCCACCGAAGCAGGCGCTCAGGGCCATGACTGGATACCCGAGGCGGGCGACGGTGACATCAGCGACTAGATCGCCAAGTGAGTTCCCAACGGCGAAAATAGTCAATCCGAGCAGCGAATCAGAGATGTTGAGAATAACTCCGATGGTCTTGAGGATAGAGACAACTTCCGTGGCAATCGTCGCAATCCAGGCTATAGCGACAAAGAAACCAAGTAGGGAGAGGAAAGGCCGCCATGGCGATGGGAGGGTGTCGGCGTGGAGATGAGATTCGTGGGGGAAAGTTGATGCGGATAGATCTGCACTGAGAAGTCGGTGGTTCCGTTGACGGCGGGTGCTTATTGTGAGGACCGTGAAACAGATGGAGGAGAATAAGAGGGCGACGAGGGAGGGAAAAATGAGGTTGCGCGGCTGACGGTCTTCATCCACGGTCGTCCAGGCAATGAGCACGGCGAAGAAGGGACCCGTGAAAAGCTGTATGGAAACCAGCCAGCGATTCCAGTCCTTAGGTGGCACAGGATGCTCAGGAGGTGAACTCGGTGCTCGTACTGCCGGGAGTTCCGAATCCCACCGCGGACGACCAGGCTGTTCGTACGACGACTTTCGATGAGGGTGCGTTGGCGACACGTTAGAAACTGATCCGGCGAAGTCGTGTGCCTGAGCCGCAATCACTGGACTATCGGCTGGAAGTTTGACCCTTGGGGAGGGGTTCCCTTCATCGTCGACATTCTGAATGATCACCGAGGGTATGGGCTCTGGTTCCATAGACTCCGGTACCTCTGGCTCCACGACTGGGACCGTTATAGTAAGAAGTAGCACACTGGGGGCTGCGATGATACCGAGCAGCCGTTCCCAGATATTTTTAGACTTCCAGCCCACCAAGGTCGGGAAGAGAGTGCAGCCAATCTGCTGGAGAGGGGGAATCGAGTCAGGCCACCAATCCCTCAGGTATTTGCGGAAAGGGAGGCCTACATGAGCGAAATCATCATATCCTTCTTGAACTTGTAGCCGTTCTAGTGGGCTGGCTGAGTTGGGAAGTCGTATGCTAGATGGTCGTGAGGGTGCCGTGGATGGTAAGTCACTATATGATGGGAAGGGCATTGAAGGGCTTTCTAGCCCGAAGCCTGAATGAGTGCGGGTTGCAGTGCCCTTAGGAGATACTGATAGCGAGGGCCGTTCACTTGCCCCTCCGTTGTGGTAATTGGGAGAATGAAAAGCGTCCGATGGAGCGAGCCGGTCAGAGCTTTGAGGACTTATGGTACCTGGACTTGGACTTGGCGACCGACTCGCAGGAGACACATCCAGCGCCTGCCCGGTGTCAATTCGAGGGAGTTGTCGCGACTGCATGGCTTCTTGTCCCGAAGTATCCTCGTAAGAAGGTCTGCTCACTGTAAGCAATGGACCTTGTGTTGGCGAGGGCTCCAAAACACTGGAGTCAAATTTCAAACCCGCGGCATCGTTTGCTGACACAGCTCGAGCCCGAGAGGAACCTGCTGCACTGGACGGTGACAGGCGGTCGTTAGTGGTCGGTGGCCGACTGGCGCGAGGATGCGATGCCACCGAACGCGTGTCGAAATCGGAGTCACCGTCATCCGAATAGCTGTTCAGGCTAATTGCCGGATTGCGGCGGGTGTTTCTTGATTTCTGCAGCGATTGAAGCACAGACTGAAACTCTAGTGCACCGACAAGACTTGGTCGAATGGGGTTCATCGTATTACGTCTTGATTTCACGGGCCGATAGACGTGCATGTTCTCACGGATTTCGGCTAAGTACCGATTGCGTGTTTCATCGTCGTCCTCGTCCTCTTCTTTCCATAGAGGAGCGGCCTCTGCGCGTTCCAAAAGATCAAAATCCTCAGTTGAGGCTCCGTGGAGAAGACTTCGTGACTCTGACGCTACACCTGGATCATCGTCCTCAGCGGCCTCTTCGATATCAAGTTCTTGGTTTTCCGGTATGTGAAAGTGAGCTCGCGCTGCGAGGTCTCTCTCAGTCTTTCGGCGTCGTCGTACCAGATACCAGTGCCAGGTAACCACCATTACGACATAGAAGGCGTACAAGCCTACCATCGTCGCTGACTCCCATACATGTAGTTTCCCATCGGCCAGCATGAACATGCTAAAAACTATGGCCACTATAAAGTACCCCACATCTCGGACGAAACTCCTTCGCGCGACCTTGAAGGGCCGAACTAACGCCATGGAACCGGCGACAACGGAGGTGATAAAGGTCGCCGCGCCGATCAACTCACCAATCGCCAAGCTCCCACTATTCGAACGCATGGCGGCGAAAGTGGAAAATACATCGGGGCTTCCATTACCAAATGCAAGGAATGTCACGCCTGTCAGACTCTCGCTCAATCCTAGGATGCTGGCCAATGTACTCAGATCAATACACAGGAAATCGCTTGCCGCGATGCCGATGGTACTGAAGAGCAGTGATAGCCAGAGGACCAATATCATGAATGCTACCGGTTTTGCATCCGCCAGCCCACAATAGTAAAATTGAAGGTACGAGATTAGACCATCCTCGTGGTCGGGGCAATTTGCGCGGACGTAGGCACACTGATTTTCGACGTTACGGACCAAGCGGCACTATACCATCGTGTAACAGGGTAGCATTTAGCCTTTGGTGCCATCTCACAGGAAAGGATATGGGAAGGGAAAGATACCTCTAGTTCACCCTCTCGCTTGAACAGGTTTACATGTGGCCCTGTACCCGGTTGCGCCAACTGCACATGTTCAGTTGTGGTACCAGCTGTGAGCCACTTCGCTGTTCCAATAAGTGTAAACACCAACAGCGTGGTATAAAATGGTCTGGTTGAGTATCGAGGCTTGCGGACGGCAGGCTGCAGGAAGGACGGCAGCTGGTTCATTATGACGAGAGGTCTGGCGGCATCGCGGGCCGAAGACTTTATGTGCAGTGGCCCAACCTATACCAGAAAGATCAACATTGAAGACTCAATGCTTGTACAATATATACCCCACGCGTTTAACAGATGTATGCCAGCGTGAGTTCGGTGAGGACGGTGATGTCAGCTGGGCGGAGCTGTGGCGGGCCTCGGGAGTGGGCCAATGCAAGTCCGCCGATCGGTGCACCGACCTCTGCAGGAATCAAGCTAGGAGGATCAATCGCAGGTAAGATAGTTGTAATTCATATATGCTAAATGATCCAGTTGTACGAGTCGGAATTAAATAACGGGGGAATTGGTTGTTGGAGGCTCAAAAAGATGGACCGAAGGAAAGCCCGACTTGGGTGTGATCTGAACACCTGATATTCCAGGCATAAATGATTACGTGAGAGATAAAGCGCTAGTGGCACGCCTGGACCACCGTATGTTTGTTGACTTCCCCATTTGTTTTGCTTCATCGATATCAACTCCCCCTCCATCAAACCTTCCATTTCAACGTTATCTCCCCTATCGGGGGCAACCGCAACCATGCCGCGTGTCGCAAACAAGGTGCATCGCCGTTCTAATGGCACCTCAACCCCGCACAAAAACTCACCGGTCAAGTATGTATTTGGATATCTCCTGATTGTTACATTCAACTAATTAGATCAGGATTCCCCTCAACGATGATGAGGGTGAGAAGGCAGCTCGTATGGAGGCTCGTCAAGCGCGTCATGATCGTCAAATGAGCGAGATCAAAGCTGCAGTCAAGACGCCTATGCCACCCCGCCGATACACTCTCGATCGTGAAGGAAGCGACAGTCCCGCAACTCCCCGAGCCTCGAGCCACCGCGGTCGCACAAGCGACGTCAACGGCCGCGCAGTAACTCCGATGAAGCGCGTACCTATCTTGGCCAATTTTGAGGAGTGGATGAAGATGGCGACCGATAACAAAATCAATGCGAATAACTCTTGGAACTTTGCGCTCATCGACTACTTTCACGACATGTCATTGCTGAAGGAAGGAGATAGTGTCAACTTCCAAAAGGCTAGTTGCACCCTTGACGGCTGTGTTAAAATCTACACCAGCCGAGTGGACAGTGTTGCAACGGAGACGGGAAAACTTCTTAGTGGACTCGCCGATAGTCGCGATAAGAGAGGGCGCGGCGAGGAGGTGGAAGATGGCGATGGCGATGAGGACGAGGAAGGCGAAGATGGACAGGGTCGCAAGTCACGGAAAAAGGCATGGTCAATACGATTTCAAAGTTCCAGGGTTTTACTAACTAGATGGTTTCTAGACACGTTCCCATGAGGCTACCCTCGCCCCGTCGTTCTCGTCGTTACAACTGAAGAAGTTTGAGCTAGAGTTCGCCGTGGACCCGCTATTCAAGAAAGCATCAGCAGATTTTGACGAAGGAGGCGCCAAGGGCTTGCTTCTGAACCACCTTGCTATCGATAGCCATGGAAGAATTGTATTCGACAGCAGCGACGATGCGGTGGATGATAGTGCTAAAACCGCCGAAGATGACCGTCAAGAGTCTACTGGTCCTGACCAGCAAACCGAGGACCAAACAAAACCAACTCCGAAACCCGCAAGCGATACCTTTGAAGATAACACAGAGATCGACCTTGCCACGCTAGCAAGCCAGTTTTTCCCAGATTTAGATCGTCTTGATGAACAAGATATTTGTCCATCGCTCAAGAACCTCGATCTGGGTGATCTAAGCGGATCACTAGATCTCCCTCTCCTCAAAGCGCCAGAAGAATGGCGCCATGACAAGATGGACGAAGACGGACGAGCACCTGACGACCCATCTGGTATTATGCTCGACGATGACAACGCTGTAGGTTTTGATGACGATGATGCTACCCTAGCCGGGTTTGATCTCAGCGGTGACACTGGGTTCGGTGACGGAGGAGAGGTATGGGCTCGGGAAGCCGCCTTGGAACCGATGTTGAATGTTCACCGGGTTGCCCACGATGGAGATAATGACGGCGAGGGCGACGATGGCGACGAAGACGCATATGCCATCTCTATGTCTCATCAAAATAACAGCCACGACCACGAGAACATTCTGAGCTACTTCGACAACGCACTACAGAAGAACTGGGCCGGCCCAGAGCACTGGAAGATTCGAAGAATCAAAGAGCATGCAACACCCGCTACATCGGCACCTAAGCCGCGCAAAGAGAAAGAGCCTTTTGAGATTGATTTTGCCACCCCTCTTGATCCTGCTATCGCAGAATTAATCTACACCCCGGCCAGCTCCAACTCCGCCGTCTCATTACCGAAGACACAGTGGAAGACAAAGGGTCGTAACCTTCTTCCCGACGACAAGCATTTCAACTCCCGCAATCTGCTCACATTGTTCCTCAAGCCAAAGGCCAGGATGGGCTCAAAGAAGATTCTGGGCAAACGCCGGCGGCAGGATTTAACATCTGGAAATGGAGACATGGACGAAGCGTTTTGGGCAAATCGCAAGCCGGAAGAAAACGCCGGCGAGGAAGGTGCTGCCGGTGCCTATGATGCCAACTTCTTTGCTGATGATGATGGTCTTGCTTTCCCGAACGGTATGGATCTCGACGACGACGACAATCTGCCATTCGCAGATGCCCGGGAGATGCTTTCCCCGCCCCTAGACGGGCCTCCAGGCACATCAGCCGGGGAAGCAGGTGGAGCAACTGGACTCAGCGCGCTCTTGAATATGGTTGGTGCCACACCTGGCCGACCCGGAGCTGGTGGTTACGGCTCACAATTAGTGACCCAAGGTGGTCGTCGTGCACGACCAGACTACGTTGCCTATGCACGTGTGGCAAAGAAGGTTGATGTGCGGCGTCTCAAAACGGAGATGTGGAAGGGCATGGGCGAGCGCTTGGTCGATGCCGTGGACTTTGCCTCAGCTTCACAACCAGGGGCCGTGTCCAGTGAGCCTCCGACCGAACCCGAGAGTGAACCGGATGCCCCTGCCCCTCTCACACCAAAGGCCGAGAGCCCAGAGCAAAATGCTGACGCCAAGAACAATGGCCGACTACGGTTCACGCAGATCATGAACTCCCTCAAGACAGTCTACCCGGCTGAAACCCTACGTGATATCAGCACATCGTTTGGGTTTATTTGTCTTTTGCATCTTGCCAACGAACAGGGTCTCGTACTTGAAAGTGATCTCAGCAAGATGGGCGCTAATGCGGTGACCTTGGAAGAGATTTTCGTAAGCAGGGATACGCACGCTATCATTGAAGAGGCAGGCGGGATGTGAGAGCCTAGTTTTTTAACTTGCATGTACAGTTGACACGGGTAGAAACACTACAGTATGCATGCTGGTCACGAGTGATGAGATGGACAGGACGGTGTGACTCGGTAAATTCCTTGCGGCGTTGTGGTTTTGCTTTTTCCCTGTTCGCAGTGAACGGCGCTCTTGGGTCTTTATGCCTCTTCGGTTAACTTCTTTTGTGATGAATTGAAACAATTTCACATATTTTCTGGTCCAGTATTTGAGTAGACTTGAATTAAGGTGGAAATTCGTTGCCTTGTTAGCCACCACAAATGTTTGTCAAATTCCCCCAATCTACAGTGCTGGGGTGGAAGTTGGTACGGAGATGACAAGCTCATGTATATGTATCATTGCAATATATTCATTCATTGGACAAACCCAAAGATAAAAAGAGTAAATACACCAACAGTGTACCAAAGTCCAAATAGGTATTTGTATCTCACACCAAAACGCCCCGTGCTCCAGGGTGTACATTAAACTCCATAACAAGGAGGGTAAACAAAAGAAAGTCGAACAAGTGTCCGGTTTTGAAGCAGATCGATCAAAAATGGCGACCTCGATTGTAGTTTTCGGAGATTTTCCACCTTTTTTTTTCATGTTTTCATCGTTTTCAGGTACTTTCATTACCCACGAAGGGAAATCGAATCAATCGAACCAAAACACCCCATCTCAAAAGAAGAAAAAAATCTTGCAGTCATCAACATTTACTTGCGTACAGGGGGTGGGAACACCGGCACCATGGGACTTTGATAAGCTCCAGGAATCGGCACGGAGTCGTAAGTGCGCTCACCGGGAGCACTACCTCTACTCACAGGCTGACTCTGGCGCTGACTGTGAGGAGGCGGCGGTGAGTAACGAGCAGGAGGAGCAAACTCCTCTTGTGCAGATTGAGGGGTTGCCTGTTGGACCTTGATAGGAGGGGGCTGGAGCTGGAAGGATGGGGTAGGGCGGGTAGGCGAACGCGGCGAGGCATACTGGGTAACCTGGGGTTGAGCCATGCCCTTTTCGGCGCTCGAGTAGGGGTCCACGGGACCGGCGGCGTAGAAGGGGCTCTTGGGAGGATAGGAAGTGAAGCCTGCGAAGCCGGGGGTGTTGGGGGCGGATTGCAGACGCAGCTGGGCGAGGTATAGATCTGAACGGGCGTTGTCGCGGGTGTCCATGGACTTCATCAGCTTGCGCTTACTCCAGACACGGTAGAAGACTACGACGTAGATCAGGATGACTAGGACTTCAATGACGACTTCGATGATGGCGCAGACCAGGCCCCAGTCTTGTAGACGACAGAGGAGAGCATAGTCGACGCTGTTGTGGTAGATCTGTTCGCGGGTGTTCTGCACACAGGACCATCCCCACATGTCTTTGTTGTTTCCTGTGGCCTTGGAGTGCTGGTAGACTGCTGCGCCGACGATCCACATGATCAGGTTCACGGCAAAAAAGGCGATCGAGAAGCCGGTGTAGTAGACGGCGGCTTTTTCGGCGCGTCCGTGTCCACCCTTTCGGTAGGCATAGAAGACGAGTAGACAAGCGACCAAGGAAACGCAAGCCATGCCCAGAAGAAGGTATTGAGCCCAAGGGTTGGTGCCCTCTGCCCAGGCAGGAAGGTTGTTACGAGTGGGGAGGTGTTTAGTTGCGTTGAAGACAGTCAATGTCACGGCTAGCAGAGACAACACAATCAGACTGCAGCCGAAGTTGACAAAACGTAGGAAGACCTTGGCGATCCGAACGCGGAGTTTGATTCTCTGGTGACAATTAGTAATTTGCATTGATTTGTATCGTCGGGCGGCTTTCTTACCAGGTCTCGGGCATTCTCGACTTCGGCCTTCTTTTCTTGCTTCTCAAGCATGTATTCCTCACGGAAAGTTGGACTGAGCGGGTTCAATGACTTGGCAGTCTGCGGTACCTTCAGGTCAGGTCGGAAAGGTGACATTGGCACCTGGTCATCCGCATGCTGAGCAGCACTGTTCGCTGCCACGTAACCGAATCCCACATCTCCAACATCTCCCGTTGTCTGAGTCTTGGGAGGATCGGCGAAAGGTGATCGTCCAGCTTCTGTGCGATCGATGGGAGAGTGGATTGATGTGGCCTCAGCGAATCGAGCAGTGCGCGGACTCTTGAGCGAGGCATTGCTCGTATCAGAACCACTGCGAGTCTCTCGCACGGTGTGCTGTGGTAGAGGGCCCATTGCACTGTGATAAGAGCCACGGGTGAGATCCGTAGGAACCACGGGCTCGTAGGTCACAGGCGAGTTATCTCGACTATCGTCTGATACTGCCATTGTATCGATGAGCAATGTAGGCAAAGGAATCAAACAATTAGGTCAAGAGGCCAGCTCTTGACTTGAGGGCCACAAGACTGGCTGCTGGCAATAGAACGACCCGAATCGGGTTGAATATACAGCAAAAGAAAACCAATGTGGGACAACGGCTGAACTAGATCAGGGTTGATAGTTTATCACCGATACCGTGTGCGAAGCCTGCGTACACGAGTATTAACCAGCAGATGGTGAGAAGGAAAGCAAAATGAAAATAATTCGCAAGGCACAGGAACCGGCCTTGGGTTGAATATCAATAATGTTCGAATGCTGGCATCCGAGAGGCGGGGGACCAAAATGCAGAGTTGTGATTCTCGTCACCTAAGGCGGGCCAGAGTAAGCGCCGAGAGGGATTTTGCAGCGACCAGGAACATGATTGGAAGATCCAAAGCCTGTCAAGCCCTCTCGCTGCAAGTGCACTGTACCTCGAGGCGTTGCGAGGGGAGTGTGACTGGCCGACGGGAGTGATCAGCCAAGCTTGTCACAGTGGAGTAACGGGCCAGTAAGATCGAGTAGGGGGCCATGCTTGCTCACGATGCACCTCTGTCACCCCCAACCCGGGCGCTAATCCGCCGATCGTCCAACCAAATGCAATGCAGAACCGCTTTAGTGTGTGAGATGGATGAGCGGTCCGAGGGAGAACAGGAAAGGTGTGAACGACTGGATGAAAGAACCCGGTCAAGCCAATTTCAAGGTCCAGTCATATAGCTCGATTAAGCACCCTTGAACCCCTTGAATACTGAGAGGGGGAGATAGGTCTGTGCACTTGGCTATTTTTGCTTCTTTTTCGTAGACTTGGTAGTTGGTCACATTTGTGATAGTACTTTTCTCACGCATACCTCCATGAGACCATGAGACGTTGACTATCTACGGACTATCTACGGAGTAGCTTTACTAGGGCTCTCCCTTTCTCTCTTTTTTTTACTTTTTTAGCAATATAGCGATTCATGCTTTTTGGTGTCTGATTCTCATACAATCCTAATATTCAACTTGTCAAAAAGTACCACACTTTCTGGATAGTGTGAACATTGAGACTGGTAGCCGCCCAGCTAAGAACGCCACCTCACCTGCAGATATGCATAGCATGTCCAAGAGGTACCTCGGTCTCAGTACTCTGTACTCCGGATTCTTTTCGCCTTTCATTCTCTTCTGATCTTTCCTTTCTCTCCGTCAAAATGTCTGCTTACGAAGGAACTTGTAGTCGATCAGTCATATCCCAGACATATATCTGATATAGATCAGGATGAGGTCCTCGATAGTGGAACAGTTTAACCGCCGAGCAAAACTCCAAGCTCCCAGGAACTCTCGTCTCCTTTGCCACCCAATATCATTTGCTCATTATTCACAAAAAGATACTTCCACTCATGCTGACTGGTTGATAAGAGAAGCCACGGCCTAAAATATCTCGGAATGAAATTGAAGGAGCGTCTCACATGTCCTGACCGGGCAATAATGTATACCATAGAGATATCATCAATCATCTAATAAATATAGATCGTGTCATGTCAATGGCCACATAATACACTCGCTTTTTGGGGAATCTGATGATCACTGCCCTCTATGTTGTCTCGCGTGAGTGGACATGGGTGCGATGGCGGATAGGGTTTGGACGAACTGATTCGACAGCATGATAGTATATAGTTTTGAGAATTGTGTAGATGGATAAAATTAGACGCTCCTGGGGGTTGTTCTCTCTTCGTTTCTAGACCATTTCACTAGCCATTTGGTGGCGAGTGCGTTCTCCACGTCGTTTCATACATAGGCCATTATTGTGTTCCAATCACTGGCATTTGGAGCTGGGCCTTCATGTTCGTAACGCTGCATGACATCGTGGCAAATCTCGAGACTCCGGTGCTCTGTTTATACTTGGTTGTCCCTGTTCATCTCCGTCCGAACCGCTGATCCTTCACTTCTCTTAGGCGAGTTGACTGAAGCTCTAGCAATTTTGGGGGTTCTCGCTGGACTCTTAAACCGGAACATTATGCACAGAAGTGTGTTGGGGTCTATCCATATGCTCAAGTTCTCTTTCCCGGGGTACAGTGTCATCATCTCAATGCTCCCTATAAGCTTCCTGCCCTTCTGGATTCAGTAGTATATCGAGGTTTTGAAGAATCTCCGTCTCTCCCGCGTGTGGATCCTTGAATAGTTCATTGGCCATGATTCGTGCGTAGCGACGGGCTGGCGATAACTCCAATTTTTTGAATGTAGACGGGACGTAATAGATAAAAAGGCCGAAACAGCTGGTCACAATGTAAACGATGAAGATAGCGAGGTTGCGTGCTTGGGGCGGTTGAGAACCCACTTCACTGAACGCTAAACACCCAAATTAGATACCAATTCCACTAATGAAAGATGCTAGGGCATAATTCAAAAGAATGGCCGGTGCCTTCACCATAAGTATAGAATAGAAGGAAGCAGATTTCCACCTATGCTTGCTTTTAAACTCTTGATAGTTGATTCTAGTTCTGCCATGTTTTCGTGTCGCGAATTTCTCTTCCGTATTTCTGATGTCAAATAATCGAGCTATTGCTCGAGAAATCGAAGTTCTTCTGAACTGCTGGGCTTGCTGAAAAAGTCTTTGACATCATCAGTGGTGAAAAGGCTGCTCATCTTCTGTTATACCAAGCAAGCATTAAAAGACTGATAGACCCCCAGCTGTCAAGCTGAGTACAAATGCTGCTTCTGCGGTCCAATGGACCTTGTTAAGGTCTTCAAGTCCTAATGCTGTAATGGCAACTTGGGCTATAATAGCTGCCTAGGAATGAACATATTAGGCTTACCTTTGCACTTGTTTAGGTGATATTTCTTCACATACAGCAACAGCTAGCATTGTGCAATCTTCCGATGTTGCTTTTCGGAACACTATCACCTCGTTTGTTTTGGCGTCGAGTACATGCTTTTCAACTCGCTCCACGATTGGTGTAACATCTGGAAATATCATTATAAGCGCTAAGGCCTGGAGTGTCCCCAACCTCGGACGCAAACTGCCATATTTCTGGCGCAGGTGATCAAGTGTGAAAACTTCCCAAACAGGGTAACCAAACTTTGTTGTCGCGGCGAGCTTAAGTGCTAGGTTAATGTATGCAAAAACAACAAGAGTTGACTTCATTTATGGGGGAATACAAGGACTTTGTTTGCTGATCGCAGAAATAGAGGCAAAAAGTCAAGGATTGCAGATATCTGATGGCTGGAGAGATGAGCTGCGCGCGGGGACGGTGAACAGACAGAAACTGTGTTTCTATTGGCGTGATTGATCTGGGACAGTGGCCAATCACTTAGCTATTCCTTATGCATACACAAGTCATCAGCATGCAGTTACCTAGTATTATTGATTGAGCTATTTCCCCAATTTACAGTAGGAGTACTATACGCTGTTGGTGTCTCTGACATCGTGTAGTTGATCTTGGTTTTAGGTTCGGGAATTGCTCAAAGAATGTAGGTGGCCGATTTCCAGAAACACCGTAATGTTAGGAATCGGATGCTGCAGGTGAGCTTGCATAGGGTCAGAAGTAGCGTTTGTGCTGAGTGCCAGCAGCCCCTGCACCCCATTTATAGTGAGTTCATGGACATTGTAGTAATATCCACCTCGAGAATGACCCCTACTATTGTGACCACCGTCACCCGAAAGCCCGGAATACATCGGGGTGGTACATGATGTTTGGGGCTTTAGGTGGGAGGCCAAGTGCATGGTGCATATCGATTCCGCAAGGCGAACGCAATGTGCCGGATGATGATTGGCATAAAAAAACTGAATTGGCGTTATCATATCTATTATAGAAGATACCTGACTGGGATTGTGACAATGCTTGATCGACAATTTCGACGCTACCGTGGAATACATTTCTCATATCTAGCACGTGGCTAAGCAACATTCCGAGTCGTATTTGAGACTTGGCAAAGGAGATTCACGTTTCATGAAGGCATCTGGAGTAGTATATAGAGAATGGTCGGTCTCAGCCACGGGCTATTTTTGGGAGTGGAGTAAGTGGCGTAGAGAATTACAAGATTCAAACTTGGAAGGCCTGTAGAAGACTCCGCGGGTTCCTTGCTTCCTGTCATGTGTGGTATAGAATGTGGCTTGATCCTTCCAATCATTGCAGGCGAGAAGGGATAATATGCTCTAGGTGGTCATAGACCAATATACCTTTGAGGCTACACATTTGGCACGTATGTATATTGACCCACGTGTTATGTATGTATTGTTCTATGGGGCTCCGTGTGGGCGTCGATCCTGGAAGTCGCCTCAGGTGTAACGAACAACATTGTAAGTAGAATCCTTGAAACATGGCGCAGCAAATGTATTGCGCCCTGTATTACCAAGGCAACTCGGGACAATATATATGCGACCTAGGTAGTAAGGTAATTCAAGGACATAAGTGGCTCGTGTCAATGAGTCAGTGTATTACTCCGTACCTGGGGTTTGCATATATGGACTATGTACTTCGTAGTAGTACGAAGTATATATCGAAAAATACAAAAAATACACGTACCAAACCTTCAATACAACCATCTACCACTTGATCTGCAGATCTCTAAACCAGGCATTTCAGTTGCAGATAGAATATATTGTGCAAATACTCTATAGATTGTACAAATGTACAATAGATACAATAGATACAATAGATACAACAGATAGAATAGGTACGGTATATTGTGCGTACCCCATGTGACATCACTTCGATTGCGTGGAGATATACATTCCATACCAAAACCATAACCAAGGAATACCGGTTTGAAGACACATGATCTCATACTGTTCAACCTCTAGATGTAGATCATATGGCGTCTACGCCGTACTTGGCATTAAGTTCAAGGTCAGGAAATGTTAGAAATGTTAGAAATGTTAGCAATGTCAGAAATGTCAGAAGTGTCAGAAGTGTCAGAAATGTAAGAAATGTAAGGCAACGTGTACGGAGTACTGAAGAGAAGGTCAGCCGCAGAAAGTGCCCCACGAGCCAGCCACACTGTGTTAGCGGTTTACACAGCCTCAATCTTAACAAGGTACTGGGTACTTGGTGAGATATGGTGCTGATAGTACAGATACCAGGTACTCAGTACTTAGTTGCCTCAGGGTTCATTTCTCCCAGAGCCTCGACCTCTCTGGTCCCCACCAAACATATCCCCTGCCCAGTTTCTGTTCACACGTTCACTCTCTTTGCGTGTTTTGTTTTTTTGCCTTCGTCAAATCATAGACGGTAAATGGCGTGAATGATAACTAGTCCAGTACCATCCACCTCTCTGTCTTCACCACTCCCATTCTCCCGTGTTCTTATGCTGTTCCGCCCATTCCAAACCTCAGGCAATTGAATCTCATCCACTCATTTCCCGATCGCTATTTTAAAGGATTAAGCCCCTGGGATCATTCAGGTGGATCTTGACAGGTTCAAAGCTGAAACCACTCGTCAGCTTGCGCCACACTCGTGAGAAACGCCCCACACAGCCTGGTCTTCGCTCTCTTTCCCCCCAACCTCGTCTGCTAGGCATCTTTGATATATCCCGGTGGATGAAAGTTAGTCAAGTCCCTTTCCCCTCAATCATCCTCGCATGACCCTAACATGGCATCCAAAGTAGCTGTCGCATTTGCTCGTCCACCCTTTGAGGCTGGCGCGAAACCTTCCTTCTCCATGGCGACGTTGGTGTCCAATAACGAGCCCATCACCGCGTCCAACTCACTGTCCGGAAACTCTATCACCAGCTCCGAACCCCTCTCTTTGTTTAAAACCTCCAAACCCGAGAGCCTGAGCTCGATTGCCAGCGCCGGCCTACACGTCTCGCGATCCAGAGATCAGCTTCCTCCGATGACAAGTCCAACCTCAGTACCGGCGGATCGGCCGGAGCATGAGAAGGATGCCGAACGAAACAGCTCACAGGTGGCCCGAGAGGCTCTGGGTGCTAGCGAAAAGTCGCCAGGTGGCTTGGTTCATGAGCCTTCGGTCCATACATCCCCGGAGCATATGCAAATCGACTCGCACGCGACCGAATCACCATCGGACCCTTACGGATCAAATGATCATCATCACGACTCACTAATACATACCTCGACTGTAGCTAGTCCTGGCCCCATTGAGGAATCCAATTCTCAGGATGGTGATCGACGGTCGCGCGATGACTCCGAGATCGATCACGATGGCAAAGCTTTCTCATATCCAATGCCTACGGGTAACATTAACGATCCGCGTCGCGGGCTGAGCCTACCGAACGCAGGCTACAATCGAGGCAGCCCTCGCTCTCCATCGGCGAAGAAACACCGCTGTCCATACTGCGCAACAGAATTTACGCGGCAACATAATCTCAAGAGCCATCTGCTCACCCACAGTCAGGAAAAGCCTTTCGTTTGCCAAACTTGCCAGTCACGGTTCCGAAGACTACACGATTTGAAGCGTCACACAAAGCTGCACACCGGCGAGCGACCACACATCTGTCCTAAATGTGGACGTCGTTTCGCCCGAGGTGACGCGCTTGCTCGGCACAATAAAGGACAGGGAGGCTGCGCGGGTCGGCGTGCGAGTATGGGCAGCTTCGCGGGAGACGATGAGTATGGCGATGGCACGGCTGGGGGACCCGACGATATGGATGGGTTGATGTACACAGCCGAACCTGAGCGCATGGACGAAGAAGACGAACGACGAATGACCATGCCCAGCATTCGCAAGCATGAAGCAGATACAGTTGCTCGGTCTGACTCAATTCACTCACGCCAGTCCAACACTTACCCGCCAATTGCTGCCGGTCGTCCCAGCCACCTTTTCCCACCCCCAGCCAATCATGGTGGATCAAGCGTACCAACATCAGCCACGCAGTCTGCTACACACATGACTTTCCCCCGGCAGGGCTCACCTCGAGCTCATCTATCTTTCCTTCCAACAATATCAGTGACAGTCCTAAACCGTTGTCCCCGAATGCTCTTTCATCGCAACATGATAGTGCGCCGCCACATCGCGCACACTCTCCCGGTTTAGGACAGTCCTTGCCACACCCGCAGTCCTCTTACGGGCGAGCCAATCAAGCTTCGAACCACGCACCACCTACTTTAGGCCTACCCCTGCCGCAGCCAGGTGCGCCCCAGCTGCCCCCGCCGCCGGGTATGACTTCCCCGGATGCTCGATTTGGCATGCAAGCTGCAACCAAACACACTCCTTCCCACAGCCACTCCAGTACCCACAGTCTATCTCATCTCAAGGGCTTCGATGGATCGGATGCCAATTCAAATGACGCCAGTCAAATCGACAAGCTTTGGGCGTACGTGCGCACAATGCACGATGAGTTGACTGGTCTGCGCACAGAAGTTGCCGCTTTACGGGCGCACGTTGCCTCGTCCAACTCGGTGCCTCCAGCTCCAGTGGAAGTGAACTTGAATAACTCCGGACCGCGGTGATGCGCTTTTTTGAGTGTGGTTCTAGTGTGTACGATATGGCTGACCATTAGCCGCGTGAAATTGGCTTTTATGCCCTCCCCTCCTTTTTCCACTTTGTTGATATGCCTTGATTATCTCATCTTTTTTATGAGGGTCAAACTTCATGCCCTCATGATCACCATACCGACAGCCGCCGACGTTGGTGTTTTCTATGCCCCCATTATTTTTATTTCCTTTTCTTATTTCCCTTTCCCCTGGAGTCATGTCATCCGGGAGAGCCTTTCCGTTCTAGCCTACTTTATTCATACCTGGAGTGAGCTGCAAAGTGTGTCTTTTTTTCCCCTCTGCTTGTTGAACAGCCAAAGGAGTTTGGTGTGTCAAAAATTGGTCTGGCATCGCTATGGGATGAGAACGTTGCTTCTCACCGGACTGCGACCTGGATCCCTTGTGTCCTGTCGATTCCATATCAAAGATGTCAGTGTCATATGATTGTGTTTGGATATGTGCATGGATTACGCTGGGTTTGGAGTTTTCTTTCGTAATGCTGTTATTCCCGACTTAGGTAGTGATAATATACTCTTCAATCCGATAAATGGGTACATAGCTGTTGATAGGCAGCTTCGCAATGGAAGTATATATTGTAGTTATCCTCGCTTTCATACGTACATATGTTTATGGGTAAATGGCCGCCTATGCTTCTGGTGCTGGTCCGCTTTCATCGATTGAGATATCTGGTTTTTACCCAGCCGTGAAATAGTAATTTGGACTCTACGCGGTAAAGAGATATTCTGCAAGCCAAAACATCAAATTTCGAAAGACGTATTCAGCGACGATTTACATAGACGTACCTTATATCGATTCTTGGCCAGGCAAGATCTCCGTTGTGATGGTTCCTAAAACTCCTCATAGCGCCCAAATCTATCACTCTGGTCCTGCTTTTAGATTCTAGGCATCAAGTCTTTATCTTGAATCGAACATAAGTTGTATAAAGTATGTCGAAGCAGAATATAATACCTGTGATGTATATCCGCACCCCTCGCCTTCTGTATATCACACACCAGGGGCATCGTCACACTTCACAATTGAGCCGAGGTACTTCGGTGACCTTATATATTCTGCAACCAGTACCCATCTCACCTATAACCCTTGGAACATTCTATCTACAAACATCACAGTAAAATTTTGATCATGTCTCCCACACTGCTGCAGGCGTCGGCTGTATCCTTTGTATTGCTTTCCATCGGACACACGGTATTATTTCCAGACTCAGAACCCCTGAATAACGAAATTTATTGTTGCGTAGATCAAGGGCAGACAATGGACAGCCGACCCGAGATTTAAAGCTATCGCACGCACGAATTCATGGACGTGTGGGACTCTGGGGTGGTACCAGGTGCGTTCAACTTCGGCCTTGGTGTTGATATCACTCACCCCTGTTATGCTTTATACTAATTGTTCCGATATGGTTCCTATCAACAGGGAAGTGGTTTCTTTCTATTGACCGGTATGCTCATAAGTGTCATTCCTCATGAAGTTCTAACCATTATCATCGACAGGTCTTCTTCACTGGCAATGGGCGCGTGATCCTAGTCTTCTCCAGGACCCAGTGAACAAAGCCATGGCTGGAATCGCAAATGTTCTACTCTGGGCTAGCTCTGTCTGGTATGCTAAGCATGGTATTAGCGATACTGCCATTGTCCTTGGTATATCAGCTGCGTTGCAGGCTTTAGGTGTTGGGAAAGCTTTTCTGTGAAGTCTTCATAGAAAATATATCTTCGGAGGATACATATATGAAGGGCGATCTGATGAGCTCCGTGTCTTACAAAGAAACATTTTATGCTTATTTGTCTGCCCTTAGCTTTTGAGGCTTCTGTGCTTTGATCGTAATCCAAAGCAGTTGAAATTATCGGAGATGACAGAATGAGTGAATATCAATCAAGACCGCCAACAAACCAACAACAAATTAGCCCTCTCCCATTTGAGAATCCTGCTCCAACCTCCTCTCTTCCCGCCGCTTCACGACCCACTGAATAAACAATCCCACATCACCAACAACAGCCCGCGGCACTCCACCAAGCATCCAGCTCCGCTGAATACACCTAGGAATCTTCCCCCAGCCTCAGAAGTCGTCGCCATAGTCCACCGAAGATAACGCTCAGGGATTGTAGCAGTGGTACTCAAATCTCCCGTAGACGACAGACCCGAAGAGGCCGGGGTAGGAGGGGGCGGCAGAAGCTCAATCTGCTCGAGACTGGCATAGTACGCGAAGACAACCCGCTGCGGCACGGCGTCCATGATCTGAGCGTAAATTCCCTCGTACTGTGATCCCGGGATGATCGGTTTAGTCAGATAGAAAGGAATCTGTACCGTAATAAAGCCGTAGTCTGCCCGGGTTGCCTGATAAGAGCTAGCGAAGGTCGCCGACATGGTCCAGGATATGAAGGCCCGAGGCCGGATCAGTGCCCTTGGATGGAAGGTGTGGACAATGAGATTGACTAGGTTGGGTATTAATGTGCTGTCCTTGTGTATGAGCTGTGCTCGGGGACTTTTCTACATACGTTCGACCTCGAAATGCTTGTAGTTCATGTTTCCAGCAGTGATTGGCTCGTTTGAATCCCACTGTCGAGGCTCATTCCACTTCAGAAGTTGCTTTACACTTGTTACGCTGGGTGTGTACTCCATCTCGTGCTCGGCATGGTTGTATCGCAAGCCGTCGTGGAATTCCCACAAGGAGACTGTGCCAGGCAGACGATTAGAGTCTAGATGGTCGCTTTGGCGACATACCCAGAATTCCATTTTAGAGTCTGAGCCCTGGGGGGATTGTAGTGTTCGCCATCCCCGTGAAAGCTTGACTTTTGCTCTTGATGGTGGAGATGAGCGTAGCTTGCAGTCTGGTTTCAATGTTGACGGGAACTGGTTTAAAAGAGGCTGAGCTTCAAGCAGGACCGCTTGAATGAACGCCCGCAGATCTGGGGTGTTGGCGTCCCCTGGAAGATCTGGGTGACGGGGGAGGCTGGTGAATAGATGTGGTTCTAGTTGGATTAGCGGCATGATGGAGGGATGAAGCCTTGGCGATGAAAAAGAGAGGCATGTACGGAGCAGATGGAGAGAGGTGGAGGTTAAAAAAAAAAACGCAAGAGGCCAGCAAGGGGAATCTTGAGATGTCTTTCTTATTTGTTTGCTTAGATCGAGATTATGTGAGAATTTGAGGGTTGCTTCCTTAGACGATTTCATGAACACAAGAGACTTCATTCATCAGATTATCCGACAAAGTCGATGATATGATATTATTGATTTAATTGATATTTTGGCAACGGTTTAGGTAGGAATATAGACTATAGACAGCGAATCCCAGGCCCCACGCTGCCAGTCTCGAACATCTCCACAAGTCCCGCGCCTAGTGCTTCCTCTAGGACCCATCGAAAGCGCATCCCATAGAGCTCTTTCCATTTCCTAGTCTTACCCGGCAAAACTCCTGCAAACTCGCCACGGGCTCGCTTGGCTACATCGTAACTCTTGTCAGTCTCAACGGCTCCATCCCATCGATCTTTCATGAGGCCCAGAGGAGCTTCGCCAGAAGCGGACCGCCGGAGAAGAGCAAGCAGATGTGCACGACCTGATCCTAACAAGCGCAAATATGTTCCCGTGTTAGGAAGAGACAGGAAGAGAGTCGCAGCACGAGCCTGGGCAGCTGACTGCACGGAGCGCTCGGAGTGCGAAACAGACTCACTTCGACTTGCTGATGAAGTCGCCATTTGAGGTAAATTAGGAAGTGATGCAATACTTAATGTGCCCTGTGTATAAGATGATGACGAAACAATAAAGCCAGCACGGAGCAAAGCCCTGTACTCATCTGTTGTGAAGACCCCCTGCGATATCGCCGAGGAAGTCCCCATACGTTTTAATATATCAAGAAATTTCTCTGCAAACCCATCAGTCCATGACTCCTAAGTAAATCTGACTCGAAAACTCACCCTTTACTGGTTCGTCCAACGCAGGACTTTCTTGTACCATCTTGTCCCAATCCTCTGCTAGCACCAAACAATCGCCCAGCCCGGCCGCATCATTGCCTCGACCCGGTATAATGAGTCGCCGAATGCGACCGGTTTGGATTTGTTCAACAATTTCCCTTTCCACCTGTGTTGGTGCCTCCAAAATGGTATGAACATGGGCCACGGAGGCTAGTGGGGGCAAAGACCGGCGTAGATTGAGGACTTCTGCGATGCGCGTGCTGTTCATTCCTGCCCGTGCTGGAAGTTCTTCAAACATGCCATCCCGGATATATTGGATAGCCTGCAGCACATTCTGGACCGGTGCAGTCTCCGATATGAAATGAGACCCGCCTACATCTGGAAGCGGATCATCGAAACCTAAATCTGCAGTAGGCTTTATGCCCCCGCCAGATGTGGGCTTGCGGCGCGCATGAGCTGCAAAGGGCGAAGCGCGGGGTTTGGGGGCAGAGGGTTTGCGTTTCCTGATACCAGATACCGGAGCGGATGTAAGACGCAAGGTCATGGCATGAGTGGATGAACTGGGAGCGTCAAAGAACGGACGGGAGAAATATTACCTCATGTCAGGTGACACGTTCGCAGAGATTCCGCCAATCACAGTCGACCGGTCATAGTTCTGAAAATTACATACTGTAATACTGTACAGGTACCCCCCAACTGGGGTTTAAGTGGGGTAAGCCCGGTATGAGACAGTAAAGCTGTCAGGCGATGGATTGGCGTCTTTCCTCGGTTCCGTCTAGTATAATCTTATAGAGAAGAGAAACCTTCCAAGTTATATTTTCATCTCTCTGAATGCATCATCTACATCTATCTATTCATTCTTATTTGTCCTGACAATCCACTGCCAACCTTGCTGCTCCACTACTTGGCACCCTGTGGACTTTCACATGACGTAGTCATGAGAAACACATCGTAATCGTGTAACTAACCTTTTTTTTCTCTCTTCAGCTTGGCCTTGTTAGAACTTCCAGCCGCTCGTTTGCTTGCATATATCTACCTTTTGCTACAAGCTGGGAAGTTTCTCTCTCTCCCTCTCGCGCGCTCTGTTTTGATATTATTCTGCCTAACCACTACGGCCGGGCCCAATCACCATGACTGTCTTCATAGCGTCTCTGTACGTGGCTATTCCTCGACCTTGAAAATCACATATGGCTAACTGGTGAATCTTTCTTGTAGATTTTTGCCCTACACTGTCAATTTCCAGCTCAACAACTCGCACACCCGCTCTCCTAATCCAAGTCCTCCTCCGTCCGCGAACCCCACCATTGAGGGAATTACCCCCATCCCGAAGGCTACGGCTAGCTTGTTCGAACAGAACATTCCAGGGAAAACACCGGGTCTTACACCAGGGGCTACAACAGATCATGAGCGCATCTTCGCTTCCGACGTAGGCAAGGTAGAACAAGAGAAAAACGGGTACCCATTCCCTTTGGCCATCGAGCAGGATAACCGGCTCCTCACGGAGAGTGAGGGTCATTCCCCAATATGGGGCGCCACAACTTCATTCACCCAGCCAAAGCCAATGCCACTTCTGTCCCCATCTCCGTCCATTCTCAAGCATCAAGATCCTCGTCCCGCCAAGGAACCTGCGACGCAACGGCCTCCTACAAGCGAGCCCATTGCTCCCTATGCGAGACTAAGAAAGGGCAGTACAGCGAGCCGGAAACTGTCATTTTCGAAAGCTGAGTGGACCATTGAGACCGCGGAACAGGGAAATGGCGGCCTGCGCAATGCAGTGCGATCCGCGACAGACGCTGGGGCTTTAGATAACATGATGTGGGTGGGCACCGTGGGTATGCCCACTGACGTCTTGGCAAGTCACACCCGCCGAGATATCGCGGAGAAATTGGAAGACGAATATGGGTCTCTGACGGTATTCGTAAACGACGGTGACTTTGACGGGCACTACACGCATTTTTGCAAGACCATCCTTTGGCCGGTATTCCATTATCAGATTCCGGATAATCCGAAGAGCAAAGCTTATGAGGACCACTCGTGGATCTACTATGTGAAGTTGAACCAGGCTTTTGCGAACCGCATTGCTAAGCATTGGAAGCGTGGTGATTCGATCTGGGTTCAGGATTATCATCTCTTACTGGTCCCAGCTATGCTCCGCAAACTGATTCCAGATGCGCAAATTGGGTTTTTCCTGCATATTGCTTTCCCCTCGTCGGAGGTCTTCAAGTGCTTAGCACCACGAAAGGAGCTCCTCCAGGGCATGCTAGGTGCCAACCTCATTGGCTTCCAAACGGATGAATACTGCCGGCACTTCCTGCAGACATGCAGTCGGATTTTGTGCGTGGAAGCCACACCCGAAGGAATCCAGTTAGAAGACGGTTTCGTCAACGTCGGCACGTTTCCTATTGGCATCGACCCAACTTCTTGGGACAAGCGCCGCCAGGCGACGGACGTGGAGCGATGGGTCGAGACAATCTCGGAGCGCTATCAAGGAAAGCGTCTCATCGTCTCGCGCGATAAAATTGATTCTGTTCGCGGTATTCGCCAAAAGCTTCTTAGCTACGAGCTGTTCCTGAACACATACCCAGAATGGGCTGATAAAGTTGTGTTGATTCAAGTCGCAACCAGCACCACGGAACAGCCAGAGCTGGAAGCGACCCTCTCTGATATTGCCATGCGGATCAACTCCACACACTCGACCCTCGCTCATCAGCCTTTGGTGTTCCTCAAACAAGACTTAGCCTTCCCGCAGTACCTTGCCCTCATCACTGTGGCAGATGCCCTGATGATCACCAGCTTACGTGAGGGAATGAACCTGACTAGCCACGAGTTTGTCTATTGCCAGGATGGTCAATGCGGCAACAAGGCCTACGGGTCATTAATTCTCAGCGAGTTCACTGGCAGCGCATCTGTTTTTGGTAACCATGCTCTTTTGGTCAACCCTTGGGATTACCGCCAGTGCTGCGAAGCGATTCACACAGCACTGACTCGCGATGAAAAGACACGGAAGGAGGTTTGGGAGGAACTACACCGCGCAGTCCTCAAGAACTCCACTGCCAACTGGGTTAAATCTTTTAGTGAAACACTCACCCGTGTCTGGAACGAGCAATCATCGCGGGAAATAATGGCTGTGCCCAGACTATCCGTATCCCGTCTCACCGAGCGGTATCGCAATTCCAAGCAACGGCTCATGATCGTAGATTACGAAGACACTCTAGCCTCATGGGGATCACCGCGCAGCATCATTCTGACCACCCCTCAGCGCGCAATCACAACTCTCAATGACTTAACCGAAGACCCTGCCAACGTGGTCTACGTAATGAGTTCGCGCATGCCCGAGGAGATGGAGCGACTGTTCCGACAAGTCAACAATTTGGGCCTCATTGCCGAGAACGGTTCTTTCGTGCGCCAACCGAATGCCGAGTCATGGACCCACCTTGCAGACAAGCTGCATGTCAAAACTTGGAAGGCATCCGTGTCTAATATCCTAGCGTACTTCCAAGCTCGTGTCGAGGGTAGCTGGATCGAGGAACGCCATTGCTCACTTGTCTTCCATCACGGATCCGCCGAAGACCGCAATGTTGCCGCTCGATCCGCTGCTGAATGTGCAGGCAATATCAATGACGCGTGTGCTAACTTAGGCGTGCATGCCATTCCCGTTGAGGGTGCTTTGATCGTGGAAACAATCCACACCAACAAGGCATCTGCGGCCGAAAAGGTCTGGAAATGGACCATGGCAAATGCAAACGAAAATGAGAATGCCCTCAAGCCTGATTTCTTGCTCGTTATTGGTGATAACCGTGAGGATGAGCCGGTCTTCCGGTGGGCTAATAAGCTGCAAAGCGCGAAGGCCATCAATTATGCCATGACTGTCACACTGGGCTCGCGCAGCACGGAGGCCAAAGCCACCCTGACACAAGGAGTTACTGGTAAGTTCCGTGTGATCTCGTATGTTATCCTAGTTGACTAATTTTCTATAGGCGTTCTTTCTTGTCTACAACAATTAGCCGCGTCTGTGCCACTTGGCAGCACAACAGGGCCAAAGTAAATTGCCAACCGCGCGAGTGATCCAGTGAGCAGATTTAATTTCAATTTCCAGGATATGAACATGCGAAGACGAATACATGAAGACAGCAAAACGGACCGGAGTTTTCTTTTTCTTTACCAGCTATGCCTTGGTGCTACCATACACATCTATTGCGGCACAATTTTAATCGAGTTGAGATGGTACATACATGGAGGCTCCACAGGAAGACATATTTGCATTCCAAGCATCTTGGTTCTTTTACAGACAATTTCAGATTAAAGAATAGAAAAGAAAAAAGATGACTTGAACATCTGGAGAGTTTCCTGGTAACTAAATTTCCGCATTTTGGTGATCTTAAGATAGAAGCCTATGGTGCCATAAGCGATAATATGGGAAAGCATTTTATTCAAGGTTGGGTGTCAAACATGAGATTGGGTCAACAGGAAAGTGTCTGCCTAAATAAGCAGGTAATGCATCCTATCTTGGCAATTGTATTATGTACTCATTTAGCATGAATATACACATTCAGTCAAAGACTAAATAAACATTATATTTCCATGTCATAAGCTATGGTTTATCATCAACCCGGACCGCTACACCTACGCAGCGGCCAGGATACCAGATGGCAAAGAGAAGAGCCACTAGCGCAATGGGCGCGAATTCAAGACACGCGAAATACACCTCGTTGGTTTGCAGCTCCCCCATCAGACCTTGACCAGTTTCCGCAAGACGGAAGATAGTCCTCAAATAAACCATGAGTGTCGAAACCGAGAAAGCCAAGCAGAAGAGCCCAAGCCCGTTTCCTCTGATAGCATGTCTCGCTCGGAACTGGAAACTCGCCGCCACGATGACGAAGATAGTCATAACAAAGACCTGGTACGCAAGGCCGCCCAGGAGGATATTGTTCGCGATCGTGGGATCTTGCCGGCGCGACTCTCTCACGCCGATGAGACATGCACCGGCGACTTGGACGATTGTTGAGATGACATCTGAGGTAATGAAGAAGGCCAGGATGATCTTTGGGGGTAGGATTGAATACTGTCTCCCGACTCGTGGGATCAGGGCTGATAGAATGGTGTAGATACCCGCGGCAAGCAATACAGGCGCCACAACAATGAAAAAGTAGTTGAGGATGAAGTAGATGAGGTGATAGGGATCCTTTTTGGCCGAGAGGGATCGCGCAATGTACCCTATCACCTCGAAAATCAGACCGGCGGAAAAGGTCAGCCACCACCAGCTGCGGATCTTGATAGTTTGCGCTGTGTGAAAGACAAAGTGAAGGAAAAACCAGGCGGCTGCGAAAGCAGCCAGCGCGATCGAAGGCGTATAGCCATAAATGATCACGGGGGTGTCCCTTTCGCCGCCTGGGTTGGGAAAGTTGGGATCAACATATCCATACGATCTGCCTGTTTGTTTTTGTTAATGATTGGAACTGATAGCGTTGGAGAGCGTCCATGTGAAATTACCTGTGATCTGACGATCCATCTCAGATTGACCTGCAGATTTGCTGCAAGAGGGGGTCAAATGGTTCATATAGCAATGCCATGGAATTTACCCTCGTTCTCGTATTCTGCATATTAAATTGAACTCCACAGCCCAGACCCCTTTTACCTACGCGAGCTGCCAAGCTCCATATCGCCTAGCGCAATCCATGAATATCTTCCAATGGTTCTTCGATGGACCTATCGCAAGGTCTCATCTATATCAAAGGGTCTTACTCTTTCCGATCTTAACTTGTTCCTTCAGCCCTCTTACATCACAACCCCCTCTAGCCCTGGATGCTCCGTATGTTGTGTGAGTTTGCAACGTCTTTCATTGGGAAGAAAACCTCCGGGGCGGTAGGGGCCCCGGGTGCCAATGAGCTGACTCATCTCGGTCTCAGGGCTGTCCGAGGCCTGGGGAAAACGCCGAGGTCCACCGGTGTATGGGGAAGCTTTATATATCAGAGAACTATATAAATGACCTTCTGCAGACCTCTTGCAGTATAATCCCTGTATATGCAGACCCTACCACAACCATGTCCACCATCAATCCATCCTTCCAAGAGGCCATTAAGGTCACTCCCCAAGGTTCCAACAGATACAGCGCCTTCCTTCGACCAGAATGGTGCATTGGAACCGGTACAGCAGATCCCATATTTTCCTTACCTACCAGTAACCGAAAACTAACACCGGACCAGTGCCACACGGTGGCTATACAACAGCCGTAATCTACCAATTAACCCTAACGCATTTCGCGCACGTCCACCCAAATCAATACAAAGGCCCCGCATCCCCGATCTCCATCCAACTCTCCTTCCTACGACGTACAGCCTCAGGCCCCGTCACTTTCGAAGTGGAAGATGTCAAGATCGGCCGTCGGACCAGCACGATCCACATCAAGCTGTTGCAGGCCTCGGAAACAAACCCCGACCAGCTAGAGGTCAAGCTAGCCGGCTATATCACCATCAGTCCACCTGAGGCTGAAGTCGGTTTGAGTGCGACCACAGGATGGAAGCCTCTCCCAGCTCCGGCAGCGGGATCGCGTGCCGACGGGTCCGTTGATCTGGCGGCACTGGGTCGGACAGGCATTGACGGCGCTTGGACGAAGCTTCAGCCAGCTTTCCCCGATTTCCGTAAAGCTGCGGCGCAGATTGAGCTGTTTGGCCCTGGAAATGGCGAGGAGCAAAGGAAGCGCTCGGGCAATTTGAATATTGATCAGTGGGCTAGGTTCCGGCCCGGGGGTGATGTTAATGGTCGCTGGACCGATGCTGCGGTGGGATTTCTTCTTGACATGTTCCCCATGGCTCTGGATAACATTGATGCCATGTTTGCTACAGCTGCGGCTAAAGAGAGTGGGTCTCCAGTTGTTGGGAAGAAGGCGAAGACTTGGTATCCTACTGTTACGCTCAGTGTGGATATGAAGAAGCATCTTCCTGCCGAGGGAGTGGAGTGGCTTTATAGTCGAGTTGTTGTTAAGGTTATTAAGGATGGACGGACGGATCTGGAGGTGACGGTCGTTGATGAGGCTGGGGATGTCATTGCGGTGAGTACACAGATTGGATTGGTTGTTAGTGCTAGTCGGAATGTTGGAACTAGGAAGATGGAGAAGCTGTAGATAGCTTTATAGATACGCATGCATTTGAATAGATTTCGGGCATTCAATCCAGACTCGGTTTTATGCTTTATATATATAATGTGGCTGGTTCTATCTGTACAAAGGGGGTGTTGTATGTACGGGATCAAAATTCCTATATGTACATCAGGGAATCAGATCCCCAGTCTATACTTCAAGCTCCGAGCCTGAGAAGAACAGGAGGATGATGCTCACAACTTCGAGTCGGACGTCACAAGCCAGAATGCCATAGCATCAGCCTTGATAACCTTCCTCTTAGCCCACTCCAAATGTCCCCCAGCACCCTCCTCATCCTCTTGCAATGCCTGCGCTCGCACCCAGAATTTTTTCCCCGCCCTACCAACAACCCGCGCCTTGACAACTAGCAAAGCAGGATTAGTCACGCGCTTCTTATATCTGACGTCGAGCTGCACGGTAAAGATCTTCCCGCGCGGGTTATCCTCATCCGTGCTTAGCGCAGTGGGCGCATTGGTATGCGCCGCGACAGCGAGAGACATGGCCTCGTCAATCAGCGTCGCGACAATGCCGCCGTGCACGGTGTATGGGTGGCCGGACAGACCGGGGCTGCTGAGATCCAAGATCATAATTATGTCTGCTGGATTTACGCCCGGGGTGGGCTTTGCGGCAGATGCGGCATCTTGTTTTGTTGCCGGGAGCCAGGTCGGGACTTCGGCGGGTGCGGGTGTGAGATTGCGCCGTTGCAGGGTTAGGCAGTGAGGGATTGTGGTCGGTGTATTGAGAGTCTGTGCCAGGAAGCCATCTTCCCCGGTTGTAGGCTTTAAGCGTCGAGAGTCGGTTTGGATTGGTTTGTAGTCGGCCGAGGAGATAAGGTTGTTTGCCCATGGGTTGGTGCGAAGATGCGCGATTGCCGGGGCGGGATCAGCCATTTCAATTATTTTCTTCTAGCGGTTGTTTGAGGATTATATTGGGGGAGTAATTGTGGCACGCCGGATGTAGATAAAGGACCTGGCATAGAATGTGTTTCAATAGTTTCAGTAGTATATTAGGGCAATGGTCAACATTATTTAACCTCGGCTCCGGCTATGACCGATTAGGTGATGATAAACAGTCACGTGAATACTCCGTCCCCTGGGTCGAATCATTTTGCACGGCCCTGTGGATTTGCAAAATTGATTTGCGGTGGAGAGGGAATATCAGATTGGAAGCGCTCAAGTAGATATAGATATTATTCCCATGTGCTTTGAACTAAAGAACCAATCATACGGTTCTTGAGCACAGACATAGTATTGTCTCACCCCTGGCATGTAGTCGGTAATTACCCGTAAGGGACATGGCGATAGGAATGGGAATTCGGGCAAGAATGCCCAAAGTAAACAGAACCATTAGCGACTTAAGTGTCCTGTTGTGCACTCAACAATCTCCGTCGACGGCTTTTGATTCGTACGGATTCATGCGGCAGGGGTTCACTTAACCTGACTAGGCTTAGTTATACGCAGCCAAGGACCCTCCAATTTAGCCTGGTATCTTTTGCAGGCTCTTTTAGGTCAGGCGTCTAGTAAATTCGAAAAAACAAGGCCTGTGCAAAGGAAATAATTGAAATCTTCACTAGAAATAAAACAATGACACTAGTGATAAAAAATCCACCTGGTATGCCAATAGGGGGAGTTATCCTGGCAGTTACCCTGGCAAATAATAGTCGGCCTTGTTCTTTCCTACGGAACCTTTGAAACTTTGGATACAAGTACCCAAGCACCTGCCCATTCTCTTGTTCAACTTCCTTTTACTCTTCTTCCCACTCTCTCTCTCTCTACACACATCTCTATCAATCATGCGTTCCTCACTTATCTTCATCTCGGCTTTGGCCACTGCCGTCATGGGCCAGAATTCCACCGAGTCTGATTACACCCTTCCCGCCGGCTTCAATATTGGTTTGGTGGAAAGCGGCGAGCGAAGTAGGAATCCTGACGCTTGACATGACCAAGTGCTAATAAGGATGCAGGCAGCTGGTGTTCTGCTCAGCGTAACACTTGCCCCGATATCTGCCAGAAAGGCACCAAGCTCAACTCATGCGACGCTGTATGTTTCTGTGTATCGCGTCTGTGCGCCCAGGAGATTAACGGTTTCAATAGTCGACCCTGAAGTTCACCTGTGTCTGCAGCGATGGTTCCGTGCCCGACGTGACCCCCTACCAGCAGACCGTTCCTTTCTACGTCTGCCAGGCCACTTACGGCCAGTGCGTTGTCTCGCACCCCGACGATGCCGAGGGTCAGCGCGCCTGCAAGAAGGCCGCCGTCTGTGGCTCCAAGAACGCCAGTGAGACCACCACCACCGCTTCTTCTTCTTCCACCATGGCTTCAACTACTGTGGCCATGGCTACTGCGACCGAGTCTTCCAGCTCCGAAACTTCCTCCGTGGCTCCTGCCAGCACTACCACCAACGCCGCTGTCGCTCTTGGTGACCTGACCCAGTACTCCACTGGTTTGGTGGCTGGCCTCATGTTCCTTGCTGCGCGCATGGTCCTGTAAAGGATGATCTTCGGTCTTTGGACAGTTAATTACCCCTTGATGGTTGGGACACATAGCGTCCTCTTTGTTCTATTCCCTTGAATCATCGCGATGCGATTTGCTTTTCTTCTTTCAAGGCATTCGATTCCCCGATTGTCCACATGTTTATGAACGTGGCGCCTGTCATTTCTTGTTTTGCTTTGGGTGGGAGTTCCTTTTTGCTTCATCTGCGCAGGTGACGATTTGGCGCATGAACTATTCGATGAAAAGTAATATTACCAATTATTGGCAACCCATTGAACAAAACAAACCGGTCGAGTAAACGTTGTAGCGCGTAGACATTAATTATTTGACCGCGATGAACGATTCGAAATCAAGTCAAAAGAGGTCGTAAACAAAGATCAGTCGAGACGTTTCAACTGTGGTGTTCCTTTTGCCAAGACTTTTTTGGCACACACTGAAATTTCTCAACTTATCGATAGACTCCACCATCAAGAACTTCACGTTCTCTCTTCCTCTCCTTTTCCCACCAACATCATGCCCGCCCCTACCAATACCCTCCTCATTGAGGGTTCTTTCACCGAGCTCGCCGACGAGTTCGCCCAGTACATCGATGCCCTCCGCAAAGAGGGTAACCTCCAGTCCGAGATCGCCCCGCTCCTCGAACCTCTCCGCCAGCAGGAACAGTCTGAAGGCGAGGCCGATCTGAAGCAGCGCGATGAAGTCCTGAAGAAGCTTGTGTCCTCTGCCACCGCTTTGAACAGTGCCCCCGAGAAGGGTAAGTGGGAGTATCGAATGATCTGCAGATAGTCGGAATCTGGCACTGAGATCTTTGATGGACAAAAACTGACATGGATTTACAAAAAATGCAGAGATCACCTCCGCCTACAACCTCCTGGTTCACCTCGTCCACCAGTCTTCCGATGCCGACGTGTTCCTTCCTCGCATCTGCACCTATCTCGCTAAGCCCATCACCACCTCGCCCCAGTTCGGCCCTACTCTCGCTATCTCTATTCTCACCACCATTTTCAACACTCTGTCTTCCAACGATTCGAGCCGGTACCACGTTCTCCTCGCCATTGTGGCCGTGATCCGCCAGTCTGGATCTGGAATCGCTTTCGAAGCCCTCAAGCCCCAGCTTTCTTCCCAGCTCCCCACATGGCTCTCCGCGTGGGAGTTGGAGAACGATGACGCCCGGAAGTTGCACATCGCCATTGCTGAGGCCGCCACTGCTGCTGGTGATGAGGATTTGGCCCAGACTCACATCGTGCAAGCGCTCGAGACCATCGACGCTGCCGACGTCAGCAAGCCCGAAGCCCGCGAGTTGGCTGTGCGCGCACTCGCTAGCGCTCTGCGTCGCTCCAACGTCTTCGATTTCACTCCCTTGACCGCATCAGACGCCGTGCAGGCCCTACGCTCCAGCGACAGCACTCTCTTTGAGCTGCTCGAGCTCTTCACCTCGGATACCCTCGACGCCTATGAGACCTTTGTCGCTGCCACCCCGCTCGCTTCCATCTCTGGCGGTGTGCTCGCCGATTACGCTGATGCGCTGCAGACCAAGATGCGTCTCCTTACCCTCACCTCGCTGGCATCCTCCACCCCTTCGCGCTCACTCCCCTACGCCACTATCGCCTCTGCTCTGCGCGTCCCCGCCACTGAGGTCGAGATGTGGGTCATCGACACCATCCGTGCCGGCCTCGTCGAGGGCCGCCTGTCCCAGCTGAAGTCCGAGTTCCTTGTGCACCGTGCCACCTACCGTGTCTTCGGCGAGAAGCAGTGGTCCGAGGTCCAAGGTCGCTTGATGGTCTGGCGCCGTTCCCTCGAGAGCGTTTTGAACGTCATCCGCACCGAGCGTGAGCGTTTTGCTCGCGAAGGTATCCAGGCCGCGGCTGACCAAGAAGCCAACGCCAACCGCAACGGTAACAGTGATCGCCGACGCATTCAACCCGCGCAGCCGCGTGAGGTTGAGGCCAGTGCTGAATAAATGACGCTCTATGGAACAGTTGTGTACTTTTTTTTTATAAATGGAAAAAAGCTCACAGAACACAAAAATCTTTCAGTTAATAGAGGGGAAATTTCGTTGTTTTTTTTTCCTCATGCATTTCTTTTTCCCTGGCCAGTTGTAGGGTTGGATTTATACTGCCCCCGTTGGATATTTGGGACCCCACGAGTCATGTCATGTCAATCTTAGTCTTGTTTATGTTTTCCGGAGGGATGACTTTTCTATTGTTCATCTTTTTTTTTACTCTGGCTTGAAGAATATTATATTTCTTTAGACTGGTCTTGGCTCATATTCGTAGTTGGGTCCATAGTTGATATTTGACTGACTACAGCAATGTCTGTATTCCAATGGAGCAAAGAAACGTCCATCATCCACCTAAGAGGCTGAAGTTTAAAAATGCTTAAATTCTTCTATGCTCTATTTTCAATTGGAGTCACTAGATAAAAACAACTTTCCCCCTTAGATTGAGCCCCGACTTTATTCTATATACATCGATACCATAACCCGCTTAACGCTTGTGCAAACCACGAGCCTCAATACCCGCCTTAACCTGCTCATAGACCTGCTCAACCGAGCTATCAGCCTTAACCGAAACAACCTTGCCCTTCTTCTCGAAATCATCAACAACAGGCATAGAAGTCTCAACAAAAGTATGGAACCGCTTGCGAATAGAAGCAGCGTTATCATCATCACGACCACTAGTCTCACCACGCTTCAACAATCTAGACTCCATAACATCCTCGGGGCAATCGAGGAATAGCACAAGCTCGGAGGGGCAAACAGTCTCCTCGAAGAAAACAGCCTGGTCAAGCTTGCGGGGGAAACCGTCGATCAAGAAGCGGGCCTTGGTGCCAGCAGGAGGCGGCGAGGTAGCCAGCGACTCGGCCATGGCATTCGACAGCAATGCAACGGTCACTTCCATGGGAACGATCTTGCCTTCGCGGATGTACTCGCGGATCAGGTCGCCGTATTGGCTGCCCTCGCGGACTTGTTCGGCGCGTAGGAGGTCGCCGGCGGAGAGGTGGACGAAACCGTAGTCTTTGACGAGGTTTGCGGATTGGGTGCCCTTTCCGCTGCCAGGGCCGCCGAGGAAGAAGACGACTGTCACGTCTTTCGTGGAGAAGCGGGGGGTGGCCATTGTGGATGGTTGTGGTGTGTTGTTGTTGTTGGTGAGAGAGGTGAGGTGAAGTTAAAGGGGTTTAGGATTGGGTGTCGAGTCTAGGTTGTTTGTGGGGGCTTTCTCGGTGGAGGGGCAACACTTGACTTGAAACGGATGTTAGTTTGCTTTTTTTTTCCCCCTTTGTACGGGCTAGGCCCTTCGATGCTTACTTCAAGCTAGTTTGGGCGTTTGTTGACGCCGGTGCGGGTCTTTACGAGGTAGATGTAGGCGCCGGAGCTGATGGCGGTTATGATGATGATGGGGATGATTGGGAAATTGGAGCGGCTGGATTGAGGGGCGGAGGGTGCGCGTGGCGGCGAAGATCTCGGAGGGTTCGAGTACAGGCGGTGGGGTACCAGGGTCGATCGGCTGAACTTTTGGCTGAGGATGAGAGGCTTGGAGCGTACTCCGGAGAATTGACGGGCTAGAGAAAACATAGAGGCAGTGGCTTCGGGTTGTTGAAGAGGGAAAAAGAAAAAGGAGTTGGGATCGCCGAAACGGGATTAGCTGCTGATCTGTATACCTCGATGCGGTTGTGTATAAATTTGTGTACGCCTTCGGCTTCAACAGTGGCAAGTGATGTTAGGTAAGATTATTAACTGCTCTCTTAGGTTTATATCAGGACTTAGCCAATAGAAACCCTGGAAATGTACGTACAGACTACAATTTCTCCCGGGGCCAAGGACACGATCGTTCATGCACCTCACGTACTAGGCTGAAGCTTCCATGTGATATAGGATTATCAGGGGCTCTTTGAGAATAATGACTAAATTCAGTCCATTGAATATTGCCTAACTGCCTTAAGAGAACCTGAATCAAAAGCAAAACGCTAATGCCCTTGAATCACTATACCAATGGTCACCTTCGAACACTTCGCGTTGCTAGAAAATATAAGATCCCATGTATGCCCTTTCACAATGCTGTATTCAAGAACCTCTTTGTGCCAGCCTATTATAGGTTTCCTCGGGTGAAGATATGTTGATCACGCATGCTATTCATGGATATATATCATTTGGAGACGATTCATCAAATCATACGCAGCAAGGGGCGCCTTGCTAACTTTTGAGTATAGACCAACATATTCCATAGATAGATATAGAATTGAATTAGATGCAGGCCGGATTCCTATAAAGCCCCTGAGACCAAAGTCTACGTGTAGTACAGAGGAGGAACAAGGTCAAGTTGAATTTGGTTGGATCAAGGGGCTAAGTGTATGAAACTCGGACCTAGAATCATTATACCGTAGTGCTTACATAGTGTATACAGGACACCGAAGTTTCAGCTTTTGCATAGAGCAACGATATGATACTTGATAGCTCGCGGTAGTTTGCTATTGTTACGACAGGTACGGAGTACTCCGTAGAGGGTTGATTTTAGGTGGTATTTGTCTTGGGGCAAAATGCACTGTCCATGTAGTTCTAACTTCTAGTACCACCCAATGTTTACGATCTAGGGTAGTATGTAATATTCTCTGTTTTAGATGTCATAAACATGTGCATTGCTGGTGGTATACTACGTTTATGATTGGATGGATGAGCGGGTGTGCCAGCCTACGCTGAAGAAATACGCCGAGATACATTTCCAGGGTTCACCGTGTATGTACTTGTGCACTTCAATGGTTGCTATTGCTAGCATTTGAATGTAATACTGTAATAGCCGCCATATCTATACTTTGGGAAGCAACCCATTCCTGTGTTCAATATTGTCAACAACTGTAATTGACAGTAATCTTTTCTATCTCATATCACTTACGAATTCCATGACCGAATTAGTATAATTACTGCTCAGTCATTGCTAGACGGCTTTTAACAAAATCCACGACGTCCTGATTGTACTTCGATACATAGCCGTGGTGTGCGGCATTGCCGTCTTCTGGGTATGGCGAGCAGCATTGGGCATCACCGTAATCACAATAGCTATGTATTGAGCTAGCAAAGGGTCTGCACAAGGCCGAATTTATACGGGGAAGAAGCTGATCCATTCGCTTTAGCTTATAATTGGGCACTTGAATCTGGAGTTTGTATTACTCACGCCTATACCCATCGTGCAATTACCCACATTCCACGGCATGCCAGGAACGTAGGTTATATCACCATATGAAATTGCAGCTATGACTGAATTTGATCAGATTTGTGTGCTCTGATATTTGCTTCGGAATCACGTACTGATCGAGTTATAGAACGGAGCCAGAGGAGCGACGAAGAAGAATCCAATCTCACTGGTTCCACATAGAGAATCCATCATGAGCACTGCTCCCTACAGGCTGAGTCTTAGCATTTTGTGCGGGTATTGTCGTAGAACGAGGACGTATTGTCAAATATGGGGTTGATATTGGCGCACCATTGAATATCCCACCACCACAATCTTAGTGCTGGGACAGCTTTCGACGTACTCCTGCACAAATTGTTGCATTAGGACCGCACCGTCGTGAACTGTGTGCATCTTCGCAGTGTCGTTCAACACGTTTTCGTGATCGTAGGGTAAGCCGATGGTTGTCGAGCCGGGAATTTGCTTCAGGATCAAGTCTGAAAGAGTGATCAGCACATTCAGATCATCGCCTCCGCCTTGTCCCCTGGTAATGATGGCATGAACTCCCGTCGCGCAGTCATCCTCGGACACAGATTGTGCGTGGGTCTGGGTCAGCATCAAGGTAATAGCCAACAGTGCCCAAATGATCTTCACTATCGCGTCATACATTTTGTAGAATTCGTAGTCACATCTAAAATTATTTGCTTTTTGTTCCTTGCTTATAACTTGATTGTTCAAGAGGAACCGCCCGGCTTTGTTATATATCGCTTTATAAACCCTCCGAGATCATGTGGTACTGTCACTTCAGGTAGAAGGGGAGGCTGCAATTTGATGTTTTTCATATGTGGTTGGCACTCATTTTTGCAGATTATACTTGCAGGCGATAATATCAATGAAATTCTCTTGGCCTGGTTTACTTCAAATTTCGCTTAGTGTATGGTCAGATATATGCTGCCGAATGTCAAGTATGCAGCCAGACTTTTTGAGATTGCAATCTACAGCCTCAACATATCATAGCTTAGCTTAATCACCGTCCAGACTTTGAGTGCATCATTTCGACTGGACAGTAGAGCTTGAACTCTGACTTGCAGCGTTGATCAATCCAGGATTTAAAGAGCTTCCAGAATAATAGTACACCCGAGGACCCAAACTGATGGTTTGTGAGAGTGAAAGCAGAGTAGGCAAGTTTCCAATTGCGATATAAGCTCTTTCAAATTTATCCCTCGGATGAGCTACAATATCAGCTGGTGGGTGGCACATCATCCCCATTGGAAAAAGGCAACGCTAGATACCTTTGGATGAATGACTATACACGTAAAAATTCAAAATCTAACTGTCTTGCAGCACATGGTCTTTTGAAATCTGGAACCCCGAGGCCCGAGTTTGTTTATCCGTCAACGCACTTCGTGCTTCCCATGAATCATGCCGCTCGCTTACGCTTGATATGCCCTGGCAATCAAGTCTCGTACGGCATTTCCCAATTCGGCGATGACCGGGCCGGACCGAGGGATGGTGTGGCCTCGTCCGGTGTCGAACATGGCTGCCGTATCAGGGTCACAAATGTTGAACAACGCCAGTGCCCCGTACCGGTAGGGGTCTGTCAAAGATACATGGTGAGTATATGATTTATATGAGGGCAATATATGTCAAAAGTACCGTCTGCACCAACCACATGAAGCGTCGGAATGTCTAGCATATAATCGCTCTCATCTGCCAGGACCACGTCTTCCTCAGGGGAAAGAGGGGGCCAGCCAGTGAAAAAAACTGCGCATTTTATGCGACGAGGACGACCGGTCTCCTGGGCCTTTCGATCCTCATCCAAAATTAGACTTCCAGCCATCGTAGCACCCTCACTATATCCGACTATGCCTTCGATATCGGGATTCTGCTCCAGCGTGTCATAGAGGTATTCCATGACTTCCTGGTGATTATTCCAATGGCCATCCCAATTCTTGCCCAATGTTCTCATCATGTCTTCCGGACACAAACCATGTGGGGATTTTCGAACACGGGTGATCATGGAGTCCTCTGCTGCTCCTCCATCGTCCAACCACCGGTAATGCGGCCCTACTCCGAAATACTCCGCGAACCCTAGGGGCATACGGAAATCAGAACAATGGTTTCTATGCTTGAGCACGTCAGGAAATTACCTGCTGGCGGGGACACAGGAACAGGGCCGTTGATAGAGTGGAATGAAGCGAAACCCTCCATAGCCATATGCTTCACCAGCGGGCCTGCGTTGTTGTCAGTGAATCCTCGTCCAAGTCTTGAGCCCCGAATAATACGTACCAAGCTGGATATTAATATTCTGCAACAAAGAAATCAGCATTGACGTTCACCATATCTCCCATTACATACATCGATATTCCCAATGGCGCCGTGAAGACACAAGAACCTCATCTTGTATGAACAGGCTGAGAGATATATGAAGCAAGTCTGTATATTTAGATCAAACCAAGGGAAAGACAATGAGCAGTGGAAGAGAGATCAATATTCGCAGATATACTATGTCAAAAATTACCGCTCGGGCTGTACAAGTGGACGTTGGCAAACAAAAATCCACGGGATTTCCACCGAACATCAACTCTCCAACTACAAAAAATTAGTATATCGAATAATGTGGGAATGTGGGACGGTACAACATTTCAGTCCAAGTCACCACTTCGGGAATAACCACCGATCACCCAATACTAGCAGAGACAGCTTCATCAAGCCGTACACCCCAAAATGACCCGCACCAGAAGAGCTGGCGTGAGGTATTTACAACGCTATATAGGCCACTATAGACAATCAGCTTGCCAGATGTCTTCCCCCGATGCCTTTGCGGCCCCCCAAAATCCTTCAGACTCATATTGCAATTGCACCTTCCGCACTTTTCACCCACAAACATGGACGGTGCTAACTCTGAAGGTGCACTCCATGATGAGAAAGGTACACCACAGCCTATAGCCATCATTGGGTATGCCTGTCGACTGCCGGGGCAGGTAAATTCTCCCAGTGACCTATGGGAGCTATGCACCCGAGCTCGCAGTGGCTGGTCACTCATACCCAAAGATCGCTTCTCTGTCAGAGCACTCCAACACCCTAATCCGTCCAAGGTTGGCTGCTTCAATCCTCAGGGGGGCTACTTCCTCGACGAGGATATTGCACGCTTTGACGCTCCCTTCTTCAACATTACTGTCCAAGAAGCCACGTCAATGGATCCCCAACAACGCTTGCTGCTGGAGTGTACTTACGAAGCTTTGGAGAGTGCTGGAATCCCCAAAGAAAATCTTGCCCGTCGGAACGTGGGGGTTTTTGTCGGTGGCAATTTCTCTGATTATGAGCTCCATAACGTCCGTGATATCGAGACTATCCCCATGTATCAAGCCACCGCATGTGCAGCCTCACTACAATCCAACCGTATCTCATACTTTTTCGATCTACGAGGGCCCAGTATCACAGTGGATACAGCTTGCTCTTCTTCACTCGTTGCACTCCATTATGCAGTACAGAGCTTACGAAATGGGGAGTCCACGGAAGCCCTGATCGCTGGTTGTCATCTTAACCTTGTACCAGATATTTGGGTTTCTATGTCTATGTCACAGTAAGCATTTCCGTGTTCCTCTAAGCCAAGATCACGACAACGTCATCTGACTGTCTGTAATTGTATAGACTGTTCAATGATGAGGGTAAAATATTCTCTTTCGACGAGAGAGCCAGATCTGGTTTCGCGCGAGGCGAGGGCTGTGGTGTCGTTGTTTTGAAACCTCTCGAAGTCGCATTACGAGACAAAGATCCCGTCCGAGCTGTTATTGTTCATTCAGGAGTCAATCAAGATGGGCGAACAAAGGGAATTACATTACCAAATGGTCAAGCCCAGGAGGAGCTAATCCGACGGGTCTACAAAGAGGCCAACCTCAACCCGGACGAATGCGGATTTGTAGAAATGCATGGCACTGGAACAAAGGCCGGTGATCCCGTCGAAGCTGCAGCGGTCCATGCGGCACTTGGAAAGAATCGTACTGCCAGAAACCCACTTTACATTGGATCCGTCAAGTCCAACATTGGGCATTTGGAGGGTGCCAGTGGTATAATTTCCGTCATAAAAGCAGCCATGATGCTTGATAGAGAGTTGATGCTTCCGAACGCAGAGTTCAAGAAAGCGAACCCTAATATTCCGATGAGCGAGTGGAATATGAAAGTTTTAACGACGACGCGACCCTGGCCTTCTCGCAAGAAATACCTCAGCGTGTCAAACTACGGCTTTGGAGGAACTAATGCACATGTCGTTCTCGAAAAGGCGCCACTAGCATCAAAAGCCCCAGATGAGGCTATTGAAGATGTTGGAGCGGACCCTAAGCGCAAACTGTTCTTGATATCCGCCAACGACAAGGAGTCTTTGCGCACTCGGATTAAAGACTTCGGTATTTACTTTGAACAACATCCCGAAGTTTTTGAAAAGGTCTTGTTCGGCAACTTTGCTTATACTCTAGGCAACAAAATGTCCCAACTCTCGTACCGTGTTGGCGTATCAGCTACCTCTCTAGACGACCTTGGAATCCGTCTTGCTCAACTGAAGATCAATCCGTCCCGGGTTCTAGGCGCCCCAATAGTTTCGTTTGTCTTCACTGGCCAAGGAGCTCAATGGGCGCAGATGGGTGTCCCTCTGATGCATGAGTACCCTGTATACGAGCTGACTATCAATCGAGCCGATCAATACCTACGAGAGCTCGGCGCTGATTTTTCCCTTATAGAAGAGTTAGAAAAGGACCACAACACTTCAGAGATTGACTCCCCTCACCTAAGTCAACCGGCCTGCACAGCGCTTCAGATTGCACTCGTCAATCTCCTACAATCCTGGGGGATTCGTCCAGCTTCAGTGATTGGCCACAGCTCTGGAGAAATTAGTGCAGCCTACGCTGCAGGAATTTATGACCTGAAGGGAGCTATGGCTCTGGGTTACTGGCGTGGAAAAATGACATCCTTACTGAAGTCCTCGTTCCCGTCCCTCAAGGGCACCATGATTGCCGTCGGCGCCAGTCGCGAGGCTATTCAGCCTATGTTGAAACAACTTTCCGGATACGCCACCGTCGCTTGCGTGAACAGTCCTTCGAGCGTGACGGTGTCGGGAGAAGTGTGCGCAATCGATGAACTCGAAAAGATTCTTCAAGACAAGCAGCTTTTCAACCGAAGATTGAAAATTGACGTCGCCTACCATTCCGACCATATGAAGAAGGTTGCCGAGGCTTACCTGGCTGCAATTGAGAATATTCAGCACTTCCCATCAGCAATGGTCTCTTTCTTTTCTTCTGTCTTTGGGCGTCTGGTAGAGCCTGCCGAGCTTTGTCCAGAATATTGGACTGCTAACTTGACATCACCGGTGCTGTTCTCTGACGCTCTCAGCAAGATTGTATCGGAAGATGAAACACGGCCAAACCTTTTTGTGGAAATCGGTCCACACTCTACAATGAAGGGGCCCATCATGGATACTCTAAGGAGCTTGGGTCCCACCGTCTCTAAGATTGGATATACACCAACTATTGTTCGTAAAGTGGACGCAGCTGAGTCGGTCTTGGATACCGCTGCTGCTGCCTACGTGCGTGGCGCTACACTCAATATGACAGGAGTGAATTTCCCCAAGACTGGTGCAGCAAACCGTTGGTTCTTGACTAACCTGCCTCGCTATCCATGGCAACATGGAACTCGATACTGGCACGTTGCCCGTATCTCGCAGAAGCATGCGACTAGAGATCGTGCCAGGAACGATGTATTGGGGGTATTGGCAAATTACTCAAATGATCTGGAGCCAACGTGGCGTAACATAGTTCGCTTAGACGAGATACCATACCTCCGAGACCATAAGATGCAGGGGATGGCTGTTTACCCACTGGCGGGCTATGTATGTTTGATGAATGACAAGCTATATAGGCTATGTTCACTGACTGCCAAATAGTTAGTTATGGCCATTGAGGCCGCTCGGCGACGCGCGAAGCAAGCTGATATTCAAATTTCTTTATTTGAGTTGAGGGAAGTCATTGTGGGTTCGGCGCTCGTACTGAGCGACGACACTGATGCAGAGACCACAATTACCCTACGTCCTTATGCCGAAGGCACCCGGGGATCATCCGATCTGTGGGATGAGTTCCGTGTCTGCTCCTGGACTCCAAAGCGAGGATGGACAGAGCATTGCACTGGTCAGGTGCGGGTTCGCTCAGATCCAAAACAGCAGGCGGCTGCGATCTCGAGCCCGTTCGAGACTCAAACCACTCACACGAAAGCCCAGATTGCCCGAATCCAGGAATCGGCTACTAATTACCTCGACATGTCCCACATGTACCAGGTTCTTAGTGATCTAGGAGCCGGATATGGTCCCATCTTTCAGGACATTGATAACTGTTATTCCAGCCCTAACCACTCGTTCGGTGATCTTCACGTGAGAGATACACGCAGTGTCATGCCGAAGCAATTTGAGCCTCCCTTGACTGTCCACCCATCATTCCTTGACGGACTTCTACATTTTGCCTGGCCCCTACTTGGACAAGGCTTGGGTCGAATGGACCTGGACACACTTTACATGCCGACAATGATCAAGCGCGTGACAGTCGGTCTCAATGTCCCAACGACTGCTGGTGAGCATGTTAAAGGTTACTGCAGTGGAAGTCCCAGCTTGCCCTTCCCTGAACCGACGAAATTTGACCTTTTTGCTATCCGAGAGGGCGACGTAGAGCCTATCGTCACAATAGAAGGTCTAGTAATGACTCCCCTCAGAAATCCAAACACCCACGGCGAAGACACTCGCAAACTGTGCTACAAGATCAATTGGCATCCTTTGACTGAGGTTGAAAATACCGTCGAAGCAGATGTTCAAGATCACAAAGACCCTGTGAAGTCTCATGACAATACTTACACTCACGGGGACGCAAACATGAGTGAAATTACAGAGCAGAAGAACGATTTGCATGCAAATGGGAATCAGGTCGTACACAAACACGATCTTGTCATCTCCTACCTTGGAAAGCCCGATGATGGTATTGCTGATAAACTTAGCATCGCACTGTGCAATATATCAGGGTGGCAGGTTTCTGTCCAAGCCTTTGGTGAGATGGACTTCACTCAAAAGCATCTTGTTCTACTTCAATTTGGACCTAGCTCCCTACGACATCTCACCGAGGACGTATTTGAGGAGCTCAAGAAGGCGCTACTAAATGCTCGAACTGTGCTCTGGGTCTACCGAACTGATTCTCCCGATGCTCAAATGGCAGTCGGATTGGCTCGTACCCTGCGCTCAGAGACTATGGCTAGGATAGCTACCCTTGGGTTGGCTCCTGAAGACACCGAATATCCCGAGAAGCCTATTCAAGCAGCCATGAGGGCTATATGGCCCACCGATGGGACCAAGCCCTCAAAGGATCTCGAGTTCAAAGCTAAAGGCTCGGAGCTCTTTGTCCAACGCGTCGTGGAGGATGATACTGCTAATTGTTTCGTCCATAATGAAACCCACGATATGACAATCTCAACCCAACCATTCAGTCAGCCCGGGCGACGCTTCAAGATCCAGATTGGCAATCCAGGTGCCCTTGACTCTCTCTACTTCGTAGACGACAATCCCCAGCCACTAGGCGAGGACCAGATCGAGCTTCAAGTGAGAGCAAGTGGTCTCAACTTCAAAGATATTGTTGTATCCATGGGCCAGCTTGCACAATCATACATCGGAATCGAATGCAGTGGTATTGTCTCCAGTGTAGGATCCAACGTGAAGAATTTCAAGGTTGGTCAAAGAGTCATGGCCATGCCAGAGGGTTGTTTCTCGACCTATGCGCGATGCTCTGTGACCAGCGCTGCGGAAATCCCAGCCGACATGTCATTTGAGGTTGCAGCCACAGTGCCAGTTGTATTTTGTACTGCATACTACGCACTATTTGACCTAGGTCAACTGCAAGCCGGCGAGCGGGTTCTCATCCACGCCGGTGCTGGTGGTGTCGGTCAAGCTGCCATAATGCTAGCCCAGATGACTGGCGCAGACATCTTTGTTACAGTCGGAAGCCTCGAAAAGAAACAATTCTTAATAAACCAGTACGGTATTCCTGAAGACCGTATCTTCTATAGTCGTGATGCATCTTTTGCCCGCAGCGTGCGCAGAGCCACCGGTGGTGTTGGTGTAGACGTTATCGTCAACTCCCTAGCAGGCGATCTTTTGCGCGAGACTTGGGAGTGCCTTGCACCATTCGGACGATTTGTCGAGATTGGCAAGGCTGATATTACGAAAAATACGCGGCTTGAAATGCAGCCTTTTGAGCAGAACGTCACATTCTCGTCGGTTGATCTCACCAAGGTTGGCAAGATCAAGCCGCAGTTGATGAAGCGACTCCTGGGCGATGTCTGTCGGTTGATTCGCGAGGGATCAGTGCAACCTATCCTACCACTTTCGATATATCGAATTTCTGAAATCGAAAAGGCGTTCCGTACTCTACAGATTGGTAAGAGCATGGGTAAAATTGTGGTAGTTCCTCACGAAGGCGATCAAGTCAAGGTAAGCAATAACACATCTGAAATCAGATCTTCGAACATAATCATTTATTCTTACAGGCCGTGGCTCCCAAGACCAGCACCAAGCTCTTAAGACCTGATGCATCTTACATCTTGGTCGGTGGTACTGGTGGCTTAGGCCGAAGCATAGCCAAGTGGATGTCTTCGAAGGGCGCAAAGAACATTGTTCTTGTATCTCGTCGAGCTACAATTGATAATAAGGTCCAAGCTTTGATTGATACCTTGACTCCCTCGGGTATGAGGATTGTCGTCAAGGCTTGCGATGTCAGCAGCCAGGAGTCAGTTGAGGCGCTGGTTAGGGATGAGATGAGAGACCTCCCGCCTATACGTGGTGTTATTCACGGCTCAATGGTGCTTCGCGTAAGTTCCCTATCATATGAATTGATGTATAACACTCATTTTTGAATACTGACCCTAATTAGGACATGCTCTTCGAAAACATGTCGCTTGAAGACTTCACGGCTGTGGCGTGCAATAAGGTAGAAGGGGCTTGGAACTTGCATAATGCACTGATCCATTCCCCACTGGATTTCTTCATTGCCCTTTCATCGGTGGCCGGAATTATCGGCAATCGCGGTCAAGCAGCCTACTCCGCGGCAAATGCATTCCTGGATGGATTTATAGCATATCGCAAATCCCTTGGTCTTCCAGGGACATCAATTGACCTAGCTGCCGTCAGCGACGTCGGTTATCTAGCAGATACCGACGCCCAGCGGCGCCAGGAGGTAATGAAAAATATTGGCGGCCAGACCATCGACGAGTCGGAGGTCCTAGCACTGATAGCTGCCGCTCTGACCGGTGATCTTGATCAGTCCTGCTCTGGACAATGCATCACAGGACTGCGCTTGGATTCACTCGAGAACAACTTCTGGGTCCAGGATGCGAAGTTCAGCGTGCTATATGAGGCTGCCAAGAGGTCACTGGGAAATAGCTCACAGCGGGACGGCCCGTCGGTGCCGCTGCAAGTCACTCTGTCGGCTGCGCCATCTAAGGAGGAGGCTTTGAAAGTGTGTTACGAGGCGCTGGCCGCTAAGCTAGCACAGGTTCTCGTTCTCTCCGTGGAGGATATGGATCCCTCGATTACAGTTGCTTCGTTGGGTCTTGACTCGTTGGTTGCTATTGAGATTCGTAACTGGATTGCCCGTGAGGCCAATGCCAATGTGCAGGTTCTGGAGTTGTTGTCCAGTGGCAGTTTGATGGCTTTGGCTGAGATTATCCTCAAAAAGTCTCAGGCTTATACGCGTACTGAGTAACAGGATGATAGCATGGACTGCGGCGGTATACGAGCCATTAGACTGTTTTGTATACCTTATAAGTTTCCCCGGACTATTTACAGATTGTTACTATTTGATAAACTGATTCTTCTTTTATTTATGATCTCTCATTTCGAATAGTACTTACTATTTTGGAATGTTCCTTGGAGCCCAAATTTGGTCGATGATAAAGATCAACGTTAGGTGCTGAATCATTATGTAGCTGGGAAGGAAATCTTTCCATTCACTATCTACATCTCTCAAGGCATGAGCCCTAAGGTTATCATCCTATAGGCCAATTGGCACAATGAAAACACATAAATCGATATCTACAAGTACTGAGTAACTGCATAGACGGGCGTATCTGCACATCTTGACCGGTTCACCAGCTTGGATACCGTCACTCCTTTTATGCATTTCTGGTAGTCCCTAAACGCCAAATTCAATTTCTATCGTCAGGGCTTGTAATGCCCTCATATACATCATTTCTCTTCTCCTTTTCGCTCTCCCGATCATGTCGCCATTTTAGTCTCAGTCCAATTTGAGTCTTCCTTTGCCGTCTAAGACAAGTGATCTATCCTATCTGCCTTCCTTCTGATATGCTCCTTATTCCAGCTCAATGGTGCCGGGAGGCTTGGAGGTTCTAGAAAGATAATGTTAGCTTGATCCTCGAGACCGAATAGAAAGATTTCAACTTACAAATCATAGACAACACGGGCCACGCCCTCAACCTGGTTGCAAATAGTGCGCGAAACATCCTAGGTAGATACATTAGTAAATGTAGGATATGATGGTGATCGGCCTTTACGGCAGATAGGGTGGCTCACCTTGAGGAAGGCGGTATCGAAGTCAAAGATGTCTGCGCTCATGAAATCCTTAGTGGTGACAGCACGGAGAATCACGATGTAACCCCAAACGCGCTGATCACCGAACACACCAACACTGCGGTTAGTATCAAGACCAGCGAAGGCTTGGGAAATCTGGGAGAGATTAGCTTATGTCTGTATTCGTTAAGGACTTAACCTACCTGGTTGTAAAGACCGGCCTCCTTGATCTTGGTGATGAAGATGTGGTCGGCCTTACGAGCGATCTCCACGCGCTCCTTGGTAACATCGCCGAGGATGCGAATGGCAATACCAGGACCAGGGAAGGGGTGTCGGTTCACGAGCGACTCGTGGATGCCGAGCTTGCGACCAATTGCCTGTAAAATTTAGTATAATTCGAGGTAGAATTCACATTATCAGGATAGCATACCCGAACTTCATCCTTGAACAAAAGTCTGAGCGGCTCAATCAGCTATAATAAGATCACGTTAGTCCTATATGCGTTGATGAAGATAAAGAAGGCATATACTTACACGCAAACCTTGCTGAACGTGCCAATGTGGTTAGTAAATTCAAACAATCAAGCTTCTTCGAATACTTCGACTTACTCCGTTCATCATCCGCTATATGCTGATTAGTTGCGATACTTTCAATACGAAGGTGGAACTGCTTACCTCTGGTAGACCGCCAACGTTGTGGTGAGCTATTCATGTCAGTTTCATTTGACTTTGTTGAAATATCCTGCTTTAGAGTTCATTGACTCACTCTTGATAGTGGCCGAAGGGCCTCGGAAGCTTAAAGATTCAATACTAAAAGAAAAAATTAGCTTGGATCTGGCAAATAGCTCAAAACGACTTACACATCAGGGTATAAGGTGCCTTGGAGGAAGAATTCCACCTTCCCGGAGTGAGGGGTGTTCTCTGCTTCCTTCTCGATCTAGGAGGTCTGTTAGCATCTGATCTACGGAGCCAAGAGTAGAGAACATCAAGTACCCGGATAGCCTCTTTCTCGAAGAGATCGATGACTTCAAGATCGTTAGCACCCTGCCAAAAACAAAACGGAGAAAAAAAAAAACGGAGTACGCACAAGTAGTTCCAATGATCTTTCGCTTCTTCTCAGGGTCAGCAACACCGGCAAGACGACTCATGAACAGATCGCCGGCCTCAACAACTGTAAGATTAATGCCAAGATGCTTTCCGAGCGTCTCCTTAACAACCTCGCACTCATTAAGGCGCATGCACCCTGTGTCGATGAGGATAGCCTTGAAACGGTCCCCAATAGCCTCACGCATGAGAGCCGCTCCTACAGTGCTGTCGACGCCACCCGAGACGGCACCGAGGACAAGCGCACGCTCACCAACAAGCTCGCGGATACGAGCGATCTCAAGCTCAGCGAAGTCGCCCATTTTCCAGTTCGCTTGAGCTCCGCAGATATCAACACTGAAGTTGCGGAGGATATCGCTTCCGCGGGGTGTCTATATTCCAAGCATGTTAGAGGGGTGTGGTGTGAGTGGGATTTTCAGGGACGAACGTGTTCAAGCTCAGGGTGGAACTGGACGCCTAGTCATTATTAGCTCATTTCCTTCATACGTCAGACAACTTAGTGGAAGACAAACCGAAGATAGGCTTCTCCTCGTGGGCGATTCCGGCGTACTCTGAGTTAGTGGTGGCACCAACAACGACAAATCCCTATTCAAGTTAATGATGTTGTTTCGGAAACGAGATAATTTCACTCACTGTAGGCAGGGAGACTAGCTTGTCGAAGTGGGACATGAACACAGGGATCTCATCGCCGAGACCAGCGAAAAGTCGGTCGACATTGCTGTTAACCTTAGTAATTTTGACGTCGGCGTGGCCATATTCTGGAGGAAAGAGTCAGAATTGATTTCAAAGTGTTCCAAAGGTCACATACCTCGTGCCTCTCCACGTGCGACATTCTTTGAGTCAATTCGCCAAGCGATCTCCTGGCAGCCGTAGCTAGCTGAAGTGTCAGTATCATACTAATTTCGATGCTGAAGCAAGCCGTACCAAATACCCCTAGATATCCCGTATTAGTCCATTGAACCTGAATGAGTGGGCAAAAATAACACTCACAGAATAGGCACGTTAAGATCAAAAACAGCGGGGTCAACATCTATATATAGGTATAAGTATAGGTAATAGGACGTTCTGAAAACGAAGACCTACGGGGCGAGCCCTCGTCGTAGACAGAGGAAGGACCTAGTAGCTCAGTCAGACATGTCACAACCTATGCGATAATGACTCATTATACCTCCAGAGAACACAATTCCCTTGGGTTTCCAAGTCAGCTCAGCGATCTTGGTGGTGCATGGGAGCAGCTCAGCGAAGACGCCGAGAGCGCGAAGTCGGCGTAGGATAAGATGGCTCGTTTGGGACTTTATAAAGCGGAGTTAGCGTTTGCCGTTATGAAGCTCCGTTATGTGAAAAGGCCGAAAGAAAGGTAGAGGGGTAGAGGGGTCGAGGGGTAAGAAGATGCCGGGGACATACGCCAAAATCGAGAACGAGGATAGTCTAGAAAATCAAGTGTTAGCCAATCCATTCTTCATATGTTTGTCAATATCGATTGCGCCTACACGGCGATCGATCGTAAGTTGTAGAGAACGACGATGGAGTTTCCGAGCTCGCCATGCCGGCTCTTAGGGTGCTGATAGTACGTACATCAAAGCTGTTGTGAGGCGCTTCAGCCTCGACGTTAGGAGCCATTGTGATGATTTCTGCGTATCGAGATAATTGGCGGGGTTTGCAGAGTCACAAAGATAGAAAAGAAAAAAAAAAGGCCCTGATACAATACCGCCTCCTGAATAGGACACCGCCTGAAGAATAGTAGCTTATGACTGGACAAACAAGTTTTTAGTGCGGCAGTACCCGTGTCAACCCCTCAATGACCCTGGTCCTGGAAGGGCGGTCTGGGCCGAATATCAAAGCCGCTTGGGGAACTTGACCAATTGTCAGCGGGTGATAGTAGAATATGGTGCCTAAAGGTGTAGAATTTATAAGATCAACATGAGTTACTCAGGGTCATCGGGGTTTGCTATTTTCCTCTTCACGTCCTACAGCATTTTATCCAAGAAGAGCCCAACAGGGATGATGGGAGTATAAAGCTAACTCATGTCATGTGGTACTTTAGCGACAACATTTTAGTCTGGAGTCCACAGAGGTCAAGTAAAGGAAGAATGGACTAGCTCGAGTAATAGATGCAAGGATTGAACAAGTCAAATGTGCCGTCTTGAATTCGAGAAGACGCAAAACCCGTGAATAAAAAATGACAGGGTGTTGGAGAACAAAACCAAACTCCATCCGGAATAAAAGTCCAACGGAAAACCATACTGAAAAGGCTCATGTAAATCCCAAACCGAAACTCCTTGTTGATGCCAGACGATTGGACTATTGAGAATGGGGCAAAGGAAGAAAAGCGCTCTCTCCATAACTCCCATCTGGGAATACCCATGCAGATGAGAAAACAAAAAGGTCCAAACGGACACCCATCACGCATCATGGGGCCAATAGACATGTTGAAAAAAGAAAATCACAACGAAAGAGACCGCTAGAGATCTATGCTCAGCGTGGGGGTTCATGTATCACTCATGTTCACCAAATTTACAGCTGAGTGGAGTTCCCAGCAACAGACACTGCCACTGCGACTGCCGCGCCGAGAATGGCGCTTTCCGGGGCCGGATTGAGACGAATGGAGGATCGAGTGCCCGGATATGCGTCCTCGGTCAACTGATCCAGATATTTCTGACAGGTAGCACGGAAGCCAGGATACTTGTTGATGACGGCACCGTCGCAGGCGATAGAAAGGCTCTTATCTGAGTCTCCGCTCTCGATGACGGTGATTTCGGGTGATTCTTTGGCGAGGAAGTCGGTGGTGGACGAGGGCGAGGGGAATTCCACCTCGTTACGGAGACACCACATGCTGTGGATGGCGGTCGCCAGATATCCAGCGGCACGGCGAGAGATTGCTTGGGAGATACGGCGCATAAATCGAAGGTCTTCGACGGAGGGAGGGTTGTTAAAGGTATGCTGCTCTTGCAGGAGGGCGGCGGAGGTGGTAAGGGAGGCAGAAGAGTCATCCTCGAGGCAGGCGACGATGCTTGTATCAAAGGAATAGGGTTCGCGCATGGATTCTGGTAGCTTGCCGCCGAACAGGCGGGCGGTCTCGGTTGCCTCAACGATAATCAGACGCACAATCTCACCCAAGTAGCGACCTGTGATTATGTATTCGAGCGGCTGGTAGTTGGGACGAAGATGCGTACTATTCAAGATGTCGTCCCACCGAGTCGTAGGCAGCACGCCTCCGCCAAACATACTCATCTCGGTGTTGATGAGAACATGCTTGGCGTGATCGAACCAGCCCTCTGGACGGACTCCAAATTTGGACGGTCCGATCTCTTGTACCGGGAAGTGGATCGCCATGTTGGTACCGGTACCCAAGATAAGAGACATGCGGGTCTTGGGATCGACATAGGCACGCGAGAGTAGAGCCGCTGAGCTGTCGTTCAGAATAGCAGCAACCTCTACGTTCAAATTGCGCTTGCGGCAAGACTGGATAATAAGATTCCCCAGTTCCTGGCCTACCGTGCCTTCGGAGGCCTTGAATCCTTTACCCATATGTATCACCAACCCGCTGCTGTGCGACGTTTGTTCAATAGGGAATGACCAGGACAATCCCATCGCCAGCGGTACATCGCCACGCCCGTAGTCCGTTCCAACTTCCATCAGCATGGTTTCGATCTGCTCTGCCATCCAATCGAAAAACAATGTCCCCTCCAGCATCTTGAGTTTCTCATCGATGTGTACCGATGATACTTTCAGGATGCGTACTTCCTCATCCCGGCCGTTCAATTCGATCAAAGCTACGCGGAACGTCGATCCGCCCACGTCCAAAGCCAGATATGTGCCCTTTTCCGAGCCAGCGGGAAGTGCGGTATCGTAGGATGGAAGCATGCAACATGGACTATTCTGTAGACATTCTCGGAACTGTGTGCGGATCTTCTCCGACATGTCAACCATGTTGCGCGTTGACAGCGGCGTGGAGCACGAGGTCTCCACTTCTTCGGCGAAGTCATCGAGGCTACGGCGTTTCCAATGGGCGCCCAGGAACGTCTTTCGTCGGTGTCGCGAAAGACCGCGAAAGAGCGAGGGGAAGAGGATCATGCTTTCGAGTGCGGCGACCACGTTATGGAATAACTCTTGTAGTCGGTGTAGCACCTTGACCAGTGGGGCCGACATAGTCGGGGGAAGGGAGGGAGAGGAGGCGAGGTCGCAAAACGGAGGGGGGGAGGGGTTGAGGTTCACACAGAATATGTAGGATCATGAAGCAAATAAAGAAGAAAGATCCAAAGTTATAACACCTTGGGCATGAGTGGACAAGTTGATGTGACACTCCCACTGGAGTTGTGTCTCGAGTGGATCGGTGGGAGTGTGGAAGCAATAATTCCCCACAGAAGGGACAGATAGAAGAGAAGAAAAGAGGAAAAGGTTGTCAATCCAATGGGATCAACATTGGCCCATTCTTGTGTTGACAGTGTCACCGGGAGTGCACCTGGAAGACCTTGGGGTCATGGAGTATGGTAATGTAACCGTAATTTATGTCTCATTTTACCCATATTGATTGATTCGATCCGTTATCTATCTGGTAGCGTCACATTGAAAAGTCATTTCTAATACCATACAGATATATATCTTTACCCGATAATTGTACCAACATGTGTGTTGTATATGTATGCCTAGGTATATGTTGTCTATCCCTTAAAGTAGAGCAGTATAATATCTTCAATTCTATCAATTGCACAGAGTATTCCAAATCAAAATATAATACGCCGTACAGGCATTCCCGTACATACTCAATGACCCCCTTGAGTGCAACGGTGGTAGTCGGGGCCCAATTGGGAGGGGGATGGTTACATGTGGAACGGTCAATCGTTCTACTTAACTCACCTCTCTTCTTTTTTGATCTCGACAATTTCCCCTTTCTTAGTTTTTTAGGCTGAATCTGAAACCAATGTGACTACCCCGGGGCCCGGATCAATACCCTAATCTGGGATTCTGCGTTGCAACCTATCTCCCTGGCCCTCTTACGCTAGAACTGTAAAATATGTATGTGTATAGTCTTTTGCCCCTGTCACGGGATAACAGGGTCCATCCTGCCCTTGAGCCTCAACTGCAGATTGAACATTCTGTGTATCACAATCATACCCTTCAAAAAGGATCAACATTCCAGCTCGTTTCAAATCTCTAAAATCCGACTGGTCTGTACGGAGTAGATGTTCCAATGAAGTGCCATGACATCACCCTTTGTGGTAGACATAACATATCTTTCTAGAAGTTGGGAACGGACAATTTGAGTAGTAATTCATGCAAATCTCAAAATCACCATCGAAGGTTTATCGAGGTACAGGATCAGACAGGCAACAATATCGTCCAAGGTGACTCCGTCTACTCCGTACTCCGTACACCACATTCAGAGGCGGGTCGCATGAGGGCAAGGTAGGATTCCTGTATCTAGGGCTAATCTTTCGTCCGTGCTACGGTCCAGCAAAATTTGACCCATCAGCAGGTCGGATCGATCGTCAAGGATCAAGCTAATGCCAAATATGAGGGTCTCGCCAGCAATCCTAAGTCAAGTACAACATCGGCGAGGCAGTGGGTATCATTGTTCTTGGAGATCATGCCCATGGTTTTCCAGGTCACTGCGAAAGTGTGTTCCGTGTTCTTGACTAATCTCATCAGTGAATATTGGAGGTCATCTACACCGATCAACATGACCACCGAGTCGCGTCCCTTCCGAGCTCTCTAACAAAGCAATAGAAGGATATCCAAATGACTACGTTGTAGGAGTATATAGCTCATGTAAAGGAGAAATAACCCTGGCACAGTTGATACACCACAAACAGGGATTATGAGGTTTCTCGATACCCCCTATAACGATAATGAGCCCTACAATTCTTGTGTCTATGAACAATGCTCTGCGTGAACTACATCCTAATTCTACATGGTTTATTTGTTTGAGTCTTGGTTAACAATATCTTTGTGTGGCTCATTTACAGATTATCGCGGGGATGTTCCAGAGATAGCCTTTATGTCGCAAGACAATGTTTTCTATATTATCTCACCATTCTTTGTGCACCTTACATCCTCTAGTTTTGACATCTGATTGCCATTGTTCTATCTCTCTTTTGTGTGATGAAGTTTCTTGTCCATAAGTATACATGGCTTGGTTGTAAATACAAATATATATATCAACGAAGCCCACCATTGTATCTTTTGCCCGTTTCACCTTCAACGGCAGTTGTCGATAGCAAACCCTATAAATTGGATCCTTAATCAAGAAGAGCGACAAATCTTCACTCATTCGTCATGCTCGACACGAATACTGCCCAATCACCGGAGGACCATCCCCAGCCCCAGCCATTGAGGTACGACAACCTCCAAACAACAGGGGCTTTGAGGGCTTCATGGATAAGGGATCCCAACCAAAAATGTCCAATTACTCCCTCACAGCTGACAATGCAAAACATGGTTGAATTAGGATGGGGAATCCGGCACGAAAAACGAAGTTTTCCACCCGACCAAATCTACGAAGAAGCCGTCGAACTAGGGCTTTCGGGAGAAGAACTCTACCGCAAGATCGTACTATGGAAGTCTGGAGTATCGCGCGGAAAATACTGGGTCCATGACTACAAGTTACAAACAGGGCCAGGTGTGATTTTTGCCACGGATAGCTTCCGTCCTGATTCGGCATATTGGGCGCAAATTGCGCAGGCCGTGTACAAAGATGAGCACCCTATTGAGGACCTGAAGTACGTCATCCAGTGTAATATCATCAACCCCGAGACTATGCTGTTTGTTCAGAAGAGTCTCTATGTTGCAGATAATGGTCTTGGCTGGCCAGATGATAGAATGCATGTCTGGGAGGAGAATACCGTTGAGTATCAGGCTCTACTGGGTACGAGGCTTGCTAAAGGTGTGGCTTATTTGGTTCTAGGCGCTTTCCCGCGAGGAACGAGACGCATTGCAAGAATTGTGACATGGGGAGGTCGGTATATTCCCTACATACAGATGCGGTTTGATATTGAGAAGGCTTGATTTACGAGACGTACTGGTAGAATCTTTGGCTTGTTGCGGTATTTTGCTTATTTTCAGAAAGGGTAGTTGATTTCTAGACAAGATCAAACATAAATTGGTACTGTGGTACCTTGCTCTGAATTATAAAGGCTCCTTCCAATACAAACACCATCCATGGCTGCTCAAGCTTACTGTAGTACTGGGTGCTAATAGACTGCATTGTGACTTCGGAATCGCCGACTACCACATGTAATCGATGAGGGATTTTATAGAGTGCATTTGTGCATTCTATCTAATTTTTGGAATATAAATGCTAGCCATCGTTATATGAAACCTCAAGACTTCTTCTTGGGCTAAGTAACGGACAGCATGGTGGATGTCCAGCCCAAAGCTGCCGCCAAGTCACAAATCCCTGCCTAGTTTCCCCTTTTGATGACTCTTTACCCATGTACCCCAATTACAAACGGACCAAAAATTTGCCACAGTCTGTTGTAGTAGTATGTACATGTCTTCTGCAAATAGTGAAGCATCACATTAAAGAGCCAAAATGGAGATAATAAAGACCATTAGGTGCGAGGACTTTCGATAGTATGCTTGCCCTTTATGTCAACCCAGATTGATCGAGTGTTGCACTCCACTTCTTCAAAAACCAAGGCATGGCCTCCCAGCTTCTTTGATCCCATGGCTGACAAGGTTTATCAGCACGAGACCGGTGACAAACAAGTGCATTTCGTGTATAAATGTCCAACTTAAAGTCCCAGAGATCAAATATATCAGGCATGGCAAAGCACAACATCATAGCACGTTCCCGCAGAAAGGGTATAGGGATCAAATCCAGACTGGCATGATGAGGAACCAGAATCTGAGCCATCGTTGGCTGGAGGTGAACAGGGATAGAGGGGTTCATAGCTGATACTACCAGATCCCGGGGGTTGTCGTGCGCTGTGATTGGTTTGTAAAATGGGGACATATATGTCACTGCACAGGCTGATAGTAGTTCCGTATCATGTCCCAGACATATGGCATTTCTGAATATGGCCACCAACATAGTGGATTGCGGAGTTTGCAGCGTATTCATCCATGGATCAGCGGGCGAAGTTGATAAAGCATCATTTTTATGGCTGGCACTTGAAAGTATTAAGGATGACGTATTATCTGAGCTTGCAGAGTCCAAGTCAGTGCCGGGTATGTTGTTCGGTGCTGATCCGGACGATTCTGACGGTGGCCGAGGTGCAAGTCTCCTTGTTTGTCTTTCATGGGCGTTGGAACATATTCGTTTTTTTCTTTGTCTCTCACCTAGAGACAGAGGAAGAATTAACAAGTGCTATGAAACAAACAATAGCAGGGCCGACACACGATACGTCCTTTGTGCAGTCCTATTTTGTTCTTTTCGCGCTAGTGTGAGGACTCGCTTCTTGGGCTTTTTAGATGAGGGAGCCTCAGGCTGGTTCGAGTCACTGATAGGCGTAAGCACGTCGTGGCTTTCCAATAACACCATAGCCAAAATTTGAATATGCAAGTCAATGCTAGTCCTGACTCAATTGGAGTTAAAAAAGAATCGGGGCGAATGAGCACGGAGGTAGTGGATGTAACCCGGCGAGATCTTAACTCCGTAACTCCGACACCGTAAGCCAGTATGGCTTACGCTTCTTATCCAATCAGATTACTCGAACTATATACGCATCGCAGACTAGCATCAATGTTTCCATCGGTTGCCACGAGTCGAAAAACATAAAATGGACGACTGTTGCTTCGGAATTGAATGTAGACATCACAGAAATACTTCACTGGAAATCACAAGCCACCCACTTCGAAGAATGGCATTCACAAAGAAGATCATCGCAGTTGTCGGCGCTACCGGCACACAAGGAGCATCAGTTGCTCGCACATTCCTGCACCTTCCAAACTGGCATGTTCGCTGCCTCACCCGAAATTCTGCTTCCGAGAAAGCACGACAGCTCGCTGAACAGGGCGCCGAGGTTGTCGAGGCCAACCTCAACGACAAAGAATCCCTCCGTCGAGCGTTCACCGGCGTACATGCCATTTTCCTCAACACAGACTTTTGGCAAACCTATCGCGATGCTCTCGCATCGGGCATTGATGAAGCGACAAGTGCCAAACAAGGCTACGAGGCGGAAATTACCTACGGAGAGAATGCAGCGAATATCGCTGCTACGATTCCCACGCTGGAAAGGTTGATCTATTCGGCTCTTGGCCCAATGAATAGGGCTTCGGGTGGGAAATACTCGCACTGCCATCATTGGGAGACCAAGGCGCACATCGTCGACTACATTGAGACTCAGAAGCCCGAATTGTCAAAGAAGACATCCTTCATCTACATTGCTTGTTACATCAGTAATCCGTTCTTGTATCCCAAGTTCCAGCCGGAGAACAAGCAATTTGTGTCTGTCATGCCGGCTAGCAAGGCTATGCGCATGCCCATTATTGATACTCCCCGCTCAACTGGACCATTTGTCAGAGCTTTGGTGGAGGATGAAGCCTCAGGGACAAAATTGCTTGCTTACGATGATTACATCTCTATCGGAGAGTTGATGGAAATTTGGACCCGAGCCCTTGGAAAGCAGGTTGAGTTTGTTCAAACGACAGTCAAGGATTTGAATGAAAGTTCTGGCATCCCAGTTGAGATTTTGACTGGCCCAGCATTTGTTGATGAGTTTGGGTACTCTGCTGGAGTGGAGAACATTATTGAGCCTGCTCAGTTGAAGTCTCGTGTACAGGGTCAGAAGTTTGAGGAGTGGCTGAAAAGCCAGGATGTTGCCGAGCTGCTTAATTTGAAGGAGTTGAACAATGGGGATGGGCTTGTACAGTAAGCAGATATCTAGTGTGGCTTCTTAAATATATTCCTGTCCTTTGCTACTGTCTCCAACAAAGGATGTAGTTGATACAGATGATGGCGAATAGCTCCTGATCCAATATTCTATATAGAATCTCTATCCCGGAGAACTCAGCAAATCCCTGACCGAGGTATCTATAGTCTTGGGCATAGAATGCAGAGAACAGATTACATTAATTCATTAAACGGTGGATCGTGGGGCTAAGGCACATATATGTCTTGAGATCAGAGGCGAGACCCCAGTTAACGTTGCCCACATACATATGTATATTGTGAGAAAATTTCGACATGAATATCCACTCCCGCTAGATAAGGAGCATGTATCAACGTAATACGGAGTACAGAGCAAGATACATATTGTAAATGATTATAGCACCGCAGTGCATGAGATTTTGACTAGACTATGAATAACTGCTCCATTCGAGTATGGAGTACTCCGTAGACACAATGATATTCATAAGGATTTTCCTGCCGATCACCAAGCCCAATGGAGCGGAAACAGGAGAAACCCCTGAAGACTCCATCCCTCACCAGGTTTGGATAGAGTGCCAAGACGTCCCCCTGGACGATCTTCTATCAAATCTGACGAGGCGGAGAAAGTCCCGTATGGCGTCCAAGGCAAAGCTCCGACATATAGGCCACGCCATCATACCAGAAACTGAATGGACGAACACGATGGCCATAGATCTGAAAAGGATAAGAACTCCGTAGTGGAAATAAAATCCCGATGTTTAGCCCTGAAGATGGCACTTTATAGGGCAAACGGCACACCTTCTCCACTTGAAACAAATGCCAAGACTTTTCATTACGTCGACTCGGCGCGGCGCTCTTCTCTCTTCTCTTTGGCATCTGGGCCTCTCTCGGCGTTTTTTCATTGTTTTCAAGTGTTTTTATCTGATTTATCTTAATAAAATGATTGTTCTATCCTCTTAATTGCCTAGCGTTGTCGTATCCCCCCCCACTCTTTACTGATGCCACTGACGACGACCGTCTGAATGTTTCGGTGTCTAGCATCGGCTCTTATGTAGCTCATTTCCCTTTCCATTTTCGTTTCATTACCAGGAAGATCTACTCTTCCTAGCCATTCTTTAAACGTGAATCAAGATGCTTTGGGCTGCATTGCTCTTGTTATCGGGTAATGCCGTCGCAACGCGTCATGATTCGGATTTGATGTCTTTTGTGACGGTGGGTTGAATATCGACAGTGTTGGAAATGTGTGGTTCTAATAACCAAAATCCAGCTCCCTGAAGTTCGGGCCTTGAAATGGGAGGTTGAATACCATGACCGCGAGCGGTTGGCCCCCGGATACTGGTTCGTCGCGCCATATGGGCAAATCAGCCCAGAGAAACCCACCATGAAATATCAACAATACCAAGTCGGACCCTACATTTACGATGACAGTGGCGTATGTCTCACCTCCAAACCCCGGCCAACAAGCACCAGCTGACTCGCGTGTTGCGTAAAAGGTCCTTATCTGGGCTGGAGCGCCCTTGTACGACAATCATAATGTCTTCGACTTCAAGCCGGTACACAACATCGGGGATGACCCTTATCTGTCGTTCATTGTGGGGTGGGAATACGATGATTCCAAGAAGGGCCACGGCGCGATTGTGAACAATCACTACGAGGTGGAAAAAGAGGTCCAGGCTCTCAGCGATGTCCATGATTTCAACATGCACGAATTCAACATTATGGATGGTGGAAAGACTGCATTGGCTTGCATATATCGACCCCAGCTCGTCAGTCTGACCGACTTCGGACGCCCAACGGAAGAGAGTTGGGTTACGGTTGGTGGATTTGTCGAGGTGGATATCGAAACCAGCAAGGTTCTGGTGCAGTGGGATTCATTCGACAAGATTGATCTGCACGAATCGACCATGTTCCATGAATCGGATGCCCCAGCTGGATCGCCCGGTTGGGACTACGTACATATCAATGCAGTCGACAAAAACGAGGCCGGCGACTATTTGATCTCATTGCGGTTCACCAATACCATTTACTTGATTTCTGGCAAGGATGGAAACATCTTATGGCGCTTGGGTGGAAAAGAGAGCAATTTCGAGCAGGACTTTACCTTCTCTAAGCAGCATGATGTCAAGTTTGTCTCGTCAGACGGCACCCACCACGTGATCTCGATGCTGAACAATGCCTCCGACGAAGGTGGCCAGGACGAGAAGATATCCTCCGTTTTGTTCATCGAGCTAGACACAAGTCTTGTCCCTATGACCGCCAAGGTGATTAAGCGGATTAATCGCCCCGATAGTGGTCTCACCCGACTCCGTGGTAGCGCTCGCGCCCTTCCCAACGGCAACGTCTTTATCGGATGGAGCGAGCGCGGCTACTCGAGCGAGCACGCATCGAACGGCGATCTTCTAATGACCGCCCGGTTTGTATCAGATCGGTACTCAACCTATCGCTCTTACAAGGGTGAGTTTATCGGTCGCCCCACTGCGCCTCCAGACCTAGTCGCATCGGTCTACGGTACCAGCGACGAGGACATGACAACGATCATCCACGTCAGCTGGAACGGTGCGACCGATGTCGTTCAGTGGAAATTCTACGCGCAGGCCCGTGACCACGGTCAATCTGTGCTCCTCGGCACCACCAACAAAACAGACTTCGAGACCATGTTCATCGCCGATGGTTATATGGACTTTGTTTCCGCAGAGGCCATCGATACCGACGGCAATGTCATGCATACTTCTGAAATCATGCGCACTGGAACCCCACCCGACTGGAAAGCCGCCGGCTGGACCGGTTCTGGCTCCGGCCCTACTCCTGACGACCCCTCGATCATCGTCGCTGCGAACAACGATAACACGAAGTCGATGTCTTCCGCCGACACCAATGGCGACAAAGCGACCGAATCGATCAAGAACAGTACATCCACTGGTTCTGGCGACCGTTCAAATGCCCAATACGCTGACGCGAAGGAGGTCGCCAAGAATGTTGCCAAGGCCTACGAGGTCGTCCGCGCAATTGGCAATCTCCTCATCTTTATCCTTCTGGCTGGCGTTTTGTGCGGAGGCGGGTTTGCTGCCCGGCGGTTCATGCGCACCCGCCGTGGCCGCCGCTACCAGGAGGTCCCCTCTGGGGAGCGTCTCCCCGTGGAAGAATTCCGTCTCTCTTCCCACCAACGGTCTTGAATGTTTTGGCCTTTTTGCGCTTCGAATCGTACGTGATTAGAACTGCATCTTGCACCGTTTCGCGTTTGCATCGAGAATCTTTACTCGCGAACATTACCAAACCGGGCTTGCAACTTTGCCCGAGGTTTGCGAAAGAAAGAAAAACAAAAGAAAAACAGGGCTATCTGAGGCCATTTGGTGTCTACCCTTCCGCTCATGATCGTTTCATGCATATCATACCCACCCTCTGGCGTTATCTTCATTCTGTTTCTGCATATGCCTGGCTTGTTTACATACTATTTTCCTATGGGGAATCGAGCTGACCTCTGTACATCTTTCTTCTCATTCTATGTATTATCACAACCCGGTTCCTACGCCCGGTTCCATTACATTTCGTTTTATGAAATACATGTCTCTGTATATAGTGTGAACCTCAATTTCAATTACAAGCCATCATGGTACCCCGTTCCGCATCCAATGTTCACACATACACATTTGCAACCTTGCTCAGGGCGAGCGAAAAACGTTGCGACGGACCAGATAAGGGAAGTATTATTGGGTAGGCTCATACGCAGTACAGCATACACAGACGTATCCAAATAGTTCGAGATGGCGCGGCATGAAGCTGACGACGAATGTTCGTGGATTGGGAGGCCGCGTCATTATTTCCACTAGCGCAGATAAAGAATGGATCTATGTAGCATTGGGCTGTGGATATTGATCAAAATATCCTCTCCATGTAACCATGCCAAGCGCCTAGCACCGCACTTATGTTGTTGCAGACATAGGTGTAGTGTTAGGCGCTCGGGACAGTTACGAAGTAAAGATCAGAATAGGACACGGGGGCCATTCTTGTACAGTGGTATATCTCAGACGATCCCTCCCCCTAGACACCAATCGTTGGGGTGAAATGATTGATATTTGGTAGGTACTTTTCTTTCGCTCATTTGTAGAAGTTCATCCCTGGTTTTCTGTTTTTTATGTGCAAGCTGGGCCCGGGTGGCCAGGCCCTAAATATGAAGTATAATACATTGATAGAACACGCAGAGCTATGAACTAAAACTTTACAATCTGACCCTTTGTAAACCCAACTTGATTTAGAATCCCACTCTGGAATCTCGATCCAACCAACGATTCCTCCATAGCAGGAGGTCCACAAACAAAGACCTTCGCATCACCGTCGGCCTTCACAACCTCCCGCAATAACTCCTCCGTAACATATCCCTTCCTGAAACCATGACCCTGTCCCTTCGGATGACTGACTGTGTATATATAGTCAAAGCGACCCGGGAAGCGCGTCTTAAAGCTCTCCAGCTCTTCTCGTAGCAGCAAGTCCTGCTCTGTATTGACGCCGAAGACGAGGTTGATTTTAGTTTTGTCAGCAGGGTTGTTGAGAATACCCTGCGCAAGCTGGTAGATTGGTGTAATACCGGCTCCGCCTGCTATGAGGTAAACCTGTGGCGATTGGTTCGGTGTCCAGGCGTGTCCCTTAATTGCCGCTGCGAATGTGAGGGTGTCTCCTGGCTTGAGGGAGTGGATGTGGGAGCTCGCTTTGCCGTTTGGATATTTCTTGATCATGAATTCGATCTGGCCTTCTTGATCTGTTGTTTGTTAATTTATCGTCATGTCGGGGCTTGGGGGTGTTGCTCATACTTAGATCGCTGATGGGTGTATATGGGCGTAGCACGGGGAACCAGCGTCCTTCGGGCCGGGTTATGGTGAGGAGTGCCGCTGGAACATGTTAGTCTGTACGCTTTAATAGTTGAAGTTGGGCTGTGACTCGGGGCCATACAAGTTAATGACAATCCGCTTGTGGCGTTCTCGATTGGATACTCGAAGACGAGTCTTTTCGTGTTGTGGTTTACATCTTTGGTGCTTTGCAAGCGCAAGGTTGTAAGTCCAAATCCTGAGAAGATTTTGGGAGTCACACTTGACTCGGCGTTGGCAGTTGATATAAGACGTGATTGGACGCCGTAAGCTCCAATGCCTAGTAAAGTGACGGTCGCGACCGACTTTGCTGTTGTGGACTTGGGGATAATGGCTCTGAACATGGTGGAAAAGAAATCTTTCGATATATTTACCCTACATCAATCAGGTTAATAGCAAAATTTCCAATTTATATACTCGTTGCTGCGCTCTGTCCAAAAGCCGCAAAACCCGTGGAAATCACGGACGACCTCAGCCCCGACCCCCGACATATCAGACAATCAATGATTCATCAACTTGGGAGCCTCATTGGATCGACGAATACTTTTAAGCTGGACTAGAGTTCGGTCTTTGCCAAACCCCGATGGAAAAGTGGGTATATAGCGAGTCTGAGTCTAGATGATGAAACGACCCGAACTATTCTCAAATATAGAAACTGAAGCCATATATTGGAACATTCATCAAGTTGGTGTAAAATATATCAAATGACTCCATAGTATTGAGTAAAGCAACATAACAGCATTGCTAGCGCCAGCGCCTAGCGAAATGGAATTTGGTATATGACAGGCTAAGGGCGCATACAAAAGAGAGGAAAAACAACAATAAGCCAAGCCAAGCCATCACCCGGTCACATCTGTGATGCCCTCACTCTTTCTGAGGAACGGCTTGAGCCTGTGAAACAAAGCTCGCCTTGCCTGTCTCTTGGTTGTAGATATTATATCCATAGTCGGCAGCATTAGGCGGGGTATATACTATATAACACCCATCAGCACTCAATGCCCATTGAAATCTTGTGGTCCAGCACTTACAGTGAAGAGAAACAGCAACTTGGTCACTACTCGGGTTGTGAACGCGATGTAATCCGATATCATCCGAGATATAAGCGACGTCATTCATGGTATGTCTCGTATCAGACTTGATTTCCAACGGACCAGCAAGATCAGAGTCCTGATCCGGAACGTTGTAGATAGTCTCCTGTAGTGTGCCAGCCAAGACCTTCATGATACAATGTGCATTGGCATGGTCGTGGATGGGAGAGCCTTTCCCGGGATTCCAGACGAGCAGGAGCTGCGATATGGGTTAATTTTTAATTCTCGCGATCCAATGTTGACAGGATCTAGCTAAGATTGGACCATAACTCACAATGTTTGCTTTCTGATTAATGTTTTCAATGGCATTGCGGGTATAGTTCTTGCTAGTGTCGTTGTAATAAAAGCGGGCCCAGTCGTTCGGATCAGAGTTGTACTTTTGCGCCAGCGAGATCAGGTACTCGTTGTCCACATCTGCCGAGGAAATGCCACCCCTCTCGCCTAGGTAGATTTTAATGTCTTGTACCAGATCATCTAGGCTGTACTGGGGTTTGTAGTGCTTGTTTCCTAGTGATAGGCTGGTGCCAAGCGGGATTAAGGGAAGGACAGCGGGCATCGTGGATAGAAGTTTTGGTGTTGGAGAAAGATATTCTTGGATGATAATGGGAGCTAAGAAGGAGAATTCATGGATGAATTATATTTCTGAGAGCAATTGGTATCTATTTCCCCCTGAATCCCTCCGTGCGATCTCAGTTATAAAATAGGATCTCAATCGCCGATTGATCCAATTCCTTGCATTCCAGTGCCCCAGATGGATTGCAGTCTCACCTGATAGCACGCAGAGGCCTGCACATGTATTTTCTAGGTGACGAGTAATATATTTTAAACAGAAAGGGAGATGATGTTAAGAATGTGAGAATGCTACAATCTGTAAAATCCTTATCTATTCGCATTACAGCCGTTGGTTACAAGAATTGAGTAGGACTTGAAACAATCTAAACATTTTTAGATTCGTCTTTCTAATTTCTGAACACGTTTTTTTTTTCCTGAATGCCTGTCAAGATTTCAATATTCAATCTAGTGAACTGTTGAGGATGAAACCCAGTTGTCAATGCGATGGTATGAATACCTAATGTACATAGACATGTAGTTACAGTTCAGCCATCTAGTACTCTCGTGTGAGTTGATGATGTCAGAGCGGTCTAACAGATGTACATACTAAGGTGACTTTGTAGATCAACACATCGGCGAACAACTGCTAGCATATGGTAGATCCCCTATGTCATCCACTGTGGATGTCAACGCAAAGATCGTTATCACGGTTATCAGCGGATATTCAATCAACACAAACCCCATGAAGGAATGGTCGGTGGGTATTCTAGCCATATCTCCCGATATATGATTGTGAGTGTGAAAAGCGCATGGAATAATACTCCGTACTGTCGGACTTTTCGCTACATCAGTGTCACAAATTGATACTATTTGTGACACTGATGTTACTTCGAGAAAGCAGTCTTTCATCTGCCAGGTGTATTTATTTCGGGTTATCGCACAAGATGTTGGTACGATGTGCCAAACGGAACGAGGGAGTTCCAACGGGCCAATCAGATGTCTTATCGGCGCGGTCGGCGACTCAAAAGTTCAATCGGCGTTTGACATATAGAAATTCTCTTAGCGTTCATGTTTGGACACCTATCATTATGATATATCGCTAGCATTTACTTAATTAAGGCCCGATACTTAATTCATATCTTGCTGCATGAGGCCAACAGAGATTTGCCCAAAAAACTATTACATAAAAAGAACATCGAGCGTAGTACGTGCTTGGTTTTCTTCTTTGAATATATTGAATTACTACATTAGCCCCCGAGTATAACCGATCTAATTCATATCGAAATCAGGAATAGCGCTAAAAAAAGAAGCATTATAACAAGTTGGGTCGATGAACGCCGGGGAAAATTCTGGCGGCATGAAATCATGCCCGTCTGGCATAACAGGGACGGGATTGGCACCGGAGCTGGGTCGTTCTTGGTCGCTAGGTGTGGTGCCTGCCGGTGTGAATCGATGTAGTGGTTCTGCATTCCATTTTTCCATCGAATCCGTCAAGACTTCCGCCGCAGAAGATCGAAGAGCATGATACAGAGACTCGGCCAGTTTCCATGTCCGCTGGGTGCTCTTGAGACATCCTAGAATGAGTGTGACACGGTTGCAATGATGGTCAAAGCATTCCTCGGAATGACTGGTGGATGTGGCGAGCTGGATGAGTCCGCAAAGGGCCAGGGCAGGGATGATGAAGGGGGTGTGCTTTGACACATTTGGACAAACAGATATGGAATCCGAGATTCGCCTCGAGGCTTCTGTTGCTTTAATACTATGGACTAGACGGGTGAAGGTTGATGAAAGCTGGCCAGTCAGACCGGGCCAGAAGCGATCATCTGGTTGGGACTGAGACAATACAGATGGGAGGTCACTTCGGGGTAAATGTAGGAGCATGGCGGCATAGGCTATCGTTAAATGCGCTTGGAACATCATTTCGTCAACATTGCCGTATGAATCAACAATGTCGAGCTTTTTGGGTGGTAGGTGGTTGATCCAGCTCACTAGTGCATTTTCGACGGCTTGAAGATGATCGCGGTGACAGTCGCGTAGTCGATTCAGGACGAGAACCCGGCATAATATTGTCGTGGCTTCGATTCGATAGCTGAAAGATGAGAAGACAGTATCCTCTGCCGCGAGGATCCTCCGCTTGAACTCGATGATCATCCGTGGTTTCGGGATATCACCCCCACAGTTATATGCCGACTCTTCGCAGGGCAAGGCCACCTCCGGTGGTACAGTGCTACATCGAAATGTCGTGGTTTCGAGTGGAACTGCCATGAATATATCGGTAACGTATAGTTCCCACCATGTTCGTCTCATGCTTTCGGCTTCAAGAGATCTTTCGGGGTTTGTGGATGAAGCGAATGGCCAGCGGTTCATGCCAAGCTCCAGAGCAATATCAGTGCTATGGGAGAGAGCATCTCGTGCCTCCGTCCATTCATCACGGGCATATAGAGCAATGGAATATAGTAGCCAAGCCTGAACCATGGAAGCCGATCGATCAGGGTTTGTCTTTAGCTCAGCTACAACTTGTTCCTTGTATGGCTGACTCGGAATCGACGCAATATAGTGAGAGCCCACAAAATGCACGACTAGCTGTAAGAAATGAGGGTAATTGTGGTCATGATACAAGGTGCTAGGTACCAAGATCGGATGTGCGACATGGAAGTTTTCATAGTACAACCGAGGCAGGCGCTCATCACGGAGCGACACTTTGCTTGCTGGTTCCACCGGTTGCTGAACAGGAGCATTTCCCGCAAGCATCACTGGCCATGTGACCGGCTCCGTGGGAATATCGAGTCCTGTCTGCCTGCCTGTCTGCGAATCTGGTGGGGTCTGAACAGGTGCTATTGGCAGAACAGGGACCGTAGACTGGTACCGAGTCTAGAACTAATTTAAGCATATACTCACGGAGAAAAATAAGGAGAACTGACATTGACATTGACAGTTTGTGGTTGGCGTTGATATGGACTCTCAAGCCGGGATTTCCTGCGTCCGCCCCTTCGGGAGGGTAGATATTGACAGAGAAATCCATTCTGAACACATCGCGAACATGATGGTTTGCTGGCGTCACATTTGAGATGTTGTTTTCTGCACTCAGTGCAAGCCAGCGAGGCTAGACCACTTTGTTTAGTCGATCTTGTTGGAGTCATGCTAAAAAAAAATGATGGAATGAAGAGTGACGTTTCAATCCCCGGGCTATCGGCGTTTGGCAGGCGGTCGGCCGAGGCATTCCGACAGTTCCAAATCAAAGAAAAATCGATAGATTTATTTGGTTCGTTTAGTAAATGCTTCTCGCACAATGATTGCGGGTAATATAGGGAGTAGACAAATGGAAATAAACATAGGATCGCTTTCAAGCCTACCCCGGGGCTTAAGGTAGCCCGGTACGCACCGGTGAACGGGAATCTCTACACAGACAACACGCACTTAGACACCATTTCGAAGAGACTATTTGTTCATATTGAAGCGCCCAACTCTGCAAGTATATGGCTCAGCTTCATAAGTTATAATAGTTTGCATACTAAGGAATGCGAGTTTGCTATACGTCGTCTCTATGCGTATAGTTACGTATACTTCAAGAAAAACATCAAGCCTAATAATTCAAAGATATTGAAAAATCACTTCCTCTCCTCGCTTTCTTCGCCAACAATTCGTAGACCCAGTTAACTTCCGCACTCTACACATCAGCCATGGCCATTTCTTCAAGAATTACTCCGTAATCGCCCATTTCTTTAGATCCGAAGGTTCTCCCCACACCAGCAGGCCACAGCTCTTCGTCGGGGTATCCCAGAATCCTATGATACCGATGCATAATAGACCTTCATCCAACTCCACACGGGCAGAAATCGGTTTGTCGTGCATTCTACGAAATGGAAAAGCAAGTATAGCCAGGGATGATAGGGGAGTTAGCGCTGTATTTGCGTCGGTCATGGGTTGAGTGACAGCTTCATATTGTCGACCTACTCTGGCTTTGCATGTATTGAATGGCGATGTTGTACTTTCCAATATCCAACCGATGTAAGGTTACAGTCCAATGATGGAGAGATTTTAGATGAATGCGCGGTATACATTTAGTTTGGTGAGTGTAGTTAGGTGGCCCGCTGTAGGGGAGCATCCCACACAACTCTCGAATGAGGATTTGTTGAATTGATTTGGGAGGAATATTGGCTTCAGCAGACAGCCACCGCCTTAGGCCTTGTGTTCAACTTCGGGTGTTGGATGGGAGACGAGTTGACCTTCGGCAACTTGATCACTTTGAGCGATTTCTCATCTTTCTGTCTTCAGATTAGTTGATCGCCTGTGCATATGAATTGCTCATTCAGAGACATGAACCTACTTATATGATGAGCTCTTTGATTAAGCCGATCTTGCAGTTTTTGATATTCCAATCTGACGGCACAGTGATGCTTGGCGATATCACTCAGTCTAGCTTCGATATGGTGCATGAATGCGGGGATCAGGCCAGTATATGTTGACTGCAGAAAAAAAACAAAGCCTCCTGAGAAGCACAATGTTTGAGTGGTCTCAGCAAAGCATATTCCTCACACCAACAATGCAAGTATAGATCGGCCGGAGTTAAGTGGAATGCAAGAATACTAAGCAATTATCTGGGCCTTGAAATTGGAAGGTTACACGCATTTCTACATCGACCAATCAATGAAGTCTAGTAAATATTCTCAGGAACCAATGAGCCTTGAGCCTTTTGATTGCCCTGACCTTGGTGCCGGGTAGATTAATGACACTGGTCTTTTCATTGGTGGGTTGAAATCAAGATCCACTAATATCTACTCCATCCTACTAAGGGATCTAGGTATGTGCGCCTCAAAATCACTATTTATCACGAGAAACGTGATTAGGCTGAGAGAGTGTTCCTTGTCTTCGTCTCTTAACTTCCAAACACAACGACCCTTTCAAATGCTACAGCTTATCACACTCACTCATGAAGGGCATCACCTCCGGCCAGACAATATTGAATCCCGAGGATTCAGCGACATATGTACGCCTCAGCCTTCTTGATGTTAACAATATCAGCCAACCTACCGGCTGTACTAAAATGGTGCTTGATGCTGTGACAGACTTTTCATTGAGGTCCTTATCGCCGTCGTCTCCTTCATCCGCCGCGCGATTGACGGCAACCAAATGCAGGAACATAATGCTCTGTGACTGAAATTGCCTATTCGTATTAATAATATGAGTAAGGCCCTCAGAGAAGGAGGGAAAAATAACAGGTCCCGTCCATTAGAAAGACAAAGAGCTGCATCATTGATTGAAATCTGTATATCTGATTATTGATGAGCTTGGTATTCATTCGGCGTGAGCGATAACGTAGGTCATCAAGGAGACTAGGTACCCGAAGTAGTGAGGGGATATTGCGCCAATAGGAAATCGCAGCAATGCCATCTCCTAGTGCCGAACACTCGTCAGGCCTGGCACAGAGTACAACTTGAGTGGATTCTTCAATTGCCAGTCATACTTTTCTTGGTGTTATTAGCTTCATTGAGCATGATTGTACGTATGGTTTAGCCTAGATATATACTATGAATTTTCTTCCTAACTGCACATACATACACTGTAGTAAAACTCCTGGTTTCAGAGAAGGCCCCTGTATTGTATTTGCAACTCAAGAACTTCCATGGTCGTTCAATCATTATCGACCGTGGTTGAGACTCTAGTTCACACCAAAAAGGATGAATCGAAAGTAGATCCGAGGTTCTGAGAAGTACCTCATTATTTACACAGATCCTCTAGCAACTCCAGCATGCGTTGTTGCAACTTCACAAGCTCAGATTTAGCAATAGGTGATGGGATGATTTGGTTGGACTCGGTCTGGCTCTGTGACTGTGAGGCTTCTGCATTGGATGGAGTGTCTTGAATCAGCTCCTTCCGAAGCGTAAAGAACGGAATATCCAGACCGCGCAATTCGGCAATAATAGCATCTGCCATTTGCACAGCTGCCCTATGAACCTTTGCATCGTAGGCTGCAATCTCTGCTGCAAATTCTTTCTCGGTCTAATAGAAATCAGTCATACCGAAGAAGTGAAAGTGGTACTGAGAACATACCGAGCCATCGTCCTCTTTTACTGGGGCACCGATCGACCTCCTTATTCAAGTGTCAGTGATCAACCAATAGTAAACTACTATAGAGCAGTATCATATGGGTAGACCTACAGGACTGCATCTAGCTCTTTCTGTTTCTCAGGGCGACCCTGCTGCTGCTTTAATAATGCCTCTCGGCCATGGAACCATTGTTGTTCATGGCGGTGTTGACCTCGGATTATACCGCGGATGCGCGCCTGGGTCTCTTCATTTTGACCCACGGTGCGCATCACATGTCTTAGTGCTGCGGGCCAAGTTGTGATAGTTGATGAGCCCGATGTAGAAATGGTGGGGGGTCTCGTTATCCTCGGCTGCGGTGGGCGAGGATCCTCCGAGGGTTTGGATAGAGAGGATGTGGCTTTTGGTGGTGGCTGAGGTGTGGATATATTTTGACTAGTACTGCCCTGACCCTGAGAAGCTAGACTAGACAAAGCACTGAGGACTGAGTTCAAGTCCGAGGCATTGTAGGAGCTGCCTCCCATATTGAGATGATTGTCTCCTGATGAAACTTGGGAGATATTTAAACTGATTCAAGGTCTTCTAGTCAACAACCCTGGAAGTCTTATTTGAGAAGTAAAGACTGGGAATGGCGAGTGAAGATTGATGTAGATGTGAAGTGTTCCAAAAACGGTCGTAGAATAAAGGAGAAGGATGTGTCTTCAAAAAGACATGTCAATTTCAAAAAGAGTAAGTATAATTCATTGATAGCATATACATTAAAAATCCCACCAAAGTGAGAAGTGAGAAGGGACTGAAAGATGAAAGTCATCAGTTGAAGCTGTTGAATGTCTTGGCGCATCTCCCGTGCTGAAAATTTACCTTCCAACCTGCAAATCCCCCGGTTTATCCAACTGCCTCCAGCTCCATCACCCCACCACGGCCCTCTAGTTGTCTCTGGCCAATCTGCAGTAATAATAATTTGATTCCTAATCACCATCTCGAGCTCTCCCTCCGAAGTCGAGAACACCCAACATGTCCCGATCCGCCGCAGACGCAACGCGGTTCACGGCCACAGGGCCCTACGCCAACTCCAAGACCGCCGGCGCATACCAAGCCCCAGACTTTGTGAAGACATCCAACAAGAAGCAATCACCACAGGAACTTGGCCCCAGTGGTCAACCGGAGACACCCAAGGAGAAGGTGGAACGACTGCGAGCACAGGCACGGGCTGCTCGGAAGGCACAGGCAGCTGGCAGCGGCACGGATCGATGGATTGAGACTGGGCGGAAGTTTGCCAATAAAGCGCACAAGGGAATGGTTTATTCATTGATTGCCGCGTCCGGTATGTTTCCTGTCCTGTGGAATATGAGCAAAATAGCAACACAACATACGATCCCTTCGGAAGTCCGAGTCAGCGACGACAATCAACAACGACTCCCCAATTGACCACTACTGGGCTTGTACTAATCTTATTGGGTTATACTAGGTGTCTGCGGTGTTCTTACAATCTACTCGATGGTCTCGCTCACGCTCTATAACCGTCGCCAACGCACGCTTTGGATCGCAAAGGAACTCGAAACTCTCAAACAAGCCGAGATCGCATGCGCCAACGGTACTGCAACTATCGAGCAGGAGGAACTCTTGAAGAAGGAAAGGATTGGTGAAATTATGAAGCAGAAGCGCGAGGAGGAAAAGGCACAGAAGCCCTGGGCCAAGGCCAAGCGATTCCTCTTCGAGAAGCTCAACATGGAAGACACTGGTGCCAATGCTGCACCAGTCTTGGCTATTGAGGGTGCCGACCAGACCCAAGGCAGTGTTATGGAGGCCGTGCAGGCCAAGCAAGCTCTGGATGCTGCCTCGGCGAAGACCGGCGCTCCGCTGCCCGGTCAGTTGGATGTGATGGCTGAAAATGTGGAACAAGCTGCGAAGGCCAAGACATCGAGCTGGACTAGCTGGTTGACAGGGCGGTAAATTGGTGTCGACTGCGGTCGTCCAAGCAAACAAAAAGATAAAAAGGCCGGAATGGATGGGTCAATTGACACAACCTGCGTGCTGATACAACTCCCTCCGGACTTCACTTCTCGCCATCTGCAATACTTCTTTCTCTTGCATGGCAAGCCGCGATCTTTTCTCGGGGCCTGCTTCCATTCTCCCAGGGGGTTTACGGCGTTTTCTGCTTCTCATCTTTCTGGAAAGTGTTCCTAGTCAGTAAAGTCTTCCCTGATACTCCGAAGGGAGTGGACGGGCGGACTTCCATGTATATCGTGTACAGTACATAGATCTGCTTCTATCTCATTTCTATTTCATCTTCAAATCCTACTCGCAATGTGACCTGTGAGTGTATACTACATGTAGATACTACCTATCGCCCTCACAACGTAGCAGACCACCCAAATTTCACCGATACAGACCCTTACAACCCAAGTTTACGCACTAATCCTCATGAGGAACCTCCCGGAGAAGCGCTTTGCCGCGGCTACACATGGCCCATGCATGTAGTGGAGCAGAAAAAAAGGGGGATTCTTATAAGTAGACGGTAGATCCTAGAAAATTATATGAACAGATTGATTCAGCCTTTGATCATATTCCTAAAACTTTTTTTTGGCCAGTTCTCAGTCCCAGCCCAACGCAAACCCCGCAATGCTTTTGACACCACATTCACACATGAAATCCCAAGGGGGTTTCCCAAGGAACAAGCAGGAAAAACAAAAAGGTACAAAGGAAACCGCTGAAAACCCGAGAAAAAGAAACAACAGGCACCGAAACGAGGAATCTATGCCAGACCCGTCCTCCCTCCCCTCGGAAGAAGGGTTGTGAAAATCAGAGACCGGGCATCTAGAGAAAGGGACAAGCCTCTATTGCTGCGCTTTTTGGGCAGCACGACGCGCACGAACACCATCAGCAAGATCCTCAAGAACCTCGACCGTCATCTCCCAGTTGATGCAAGCATCAGTGATGCTGACACCGCGGAGAAGAGCCTCGGGTCCCTCGGGGGAACCTTCTGGTTACCCTCGTAGATGTTGGACTCGATCATAACACCGATGATGGCAGTCTGACCCTCACGGAGCTGGTCAGAGACCTCCTTGGCAACGAGGGGCTGGTTCAGGTGGTTCTTGTTGGAGTTGCCGTGCGAGCAGTCGACCATGAGGACCTCACGCTGCTTCTTGGAGCGGAGAGCCTCGCGAGCAGTGCGGATGCTCTCGCGGTCATAGTTTGTGCCTCTGTTGCCACCGCGCAGGATGACGAAACCGTGCTCGTTACCGGCAGTCTTAGTGATGGCAGCAAGGCCCTGCTTGGTGACACCGAGGAAGCGGTGAGGGTGCGAGGCGGCGCCGATGGCGTCAACGGCGACGGTCAGGTTGCCGTCGGTGCCGTTCTTGTAACCAATGGGGAAGGATAGACCCGAGGCGAGCTCGCGGTGAAGCTGGGACTCGGTGGTGCGGGCGCCGATCGCGCCCAGTGAGATCAGGTCTGCAAGGTACTGTGGGGAGATAGTGTCGAGCATCTCGGAGGCGATGGGGAGTCCGGTGCTGGTCAGGTCGGTGTACAGCTTACGGGACACGCGGAGACCCTTGTTGATGTTGTAGGTCTCGTCGATATCGGGGTCGTTGATCAGACCCTTCCAGCCGACTGTTGTACGGGGCTTCTCGAGGTAGGCGCGCATGATTACGCAGAGGTCCTTCTCCAGTTTTGTGGAAAGCTCCTTGAGGCGGCGGGCGTACTCGAGGGCGGTATCGGGGTCGTGAATGGAGCATGGTCCGACAACGACTAGCAGGCGGTCATCGCGCTGCTCGATAATCTCGACTGCTTGATTCCGGCCGGCACGGACTGTCTCAATGGCACGGGCAGGCTATACAGACAATTGTCAGTTGGTGCGCTTGAACAGTTTTGCCATGTCCCCGCGAAGAGCGGGGTGAAGCTGAAAAAAAAAAAAAAAAATCGACTCACCGCAGGAATCTCATTCTGCAAGAAGTAGGGCGACAGCAATGGATCGTATCCAAGGACTAACACAGATCAGTATCATCCAGAATTGTCGTGAACAAATTCCACATACCCCGAGTGTCCTCGTTGACTTCGGTAGTGTTAATAAGAGGCATGATGTTCAAACACTAGTCGTAACAAACACTAGTCGTAATTAGTATTCGAAGAGGTTATAAAAGATTACAAAAGAATCTCCACGAACTTCAGTTGAAATAGAAATGACTCACCAGGACCTGTCAAGGGGAAAAATGGAACAAAGAGGCAAAAGTGGGCCGGCCGATTTCACGGGCCAAAGGACACTTCTTATACTCCCAATTTTATTTTTAGGGCTTGTAAACACAAAACTGCAGTCTACAACATATGTAGAGTCAACTGTTGTACTGGGTACATCGAATGTGTCAGATCTCCGAGTCCTTTTCCTTGCTGTTTTAGTCTTCACTCCTTGCCGCTTTTTGGCCTCAGTGTAAACCTGAGCACGTACCCTAACTTGCTTACGCCGAGGTAATCTAAGAAGCAAAGTAGATCAAGTTTAGGCATGTTTTTTTTTTTCTTTATTTGATGATTGGAATAACAGAGTACATAGATTTCACTAAGAACGCTATTAGAAAACAAAAACAAAGACTTGTTCATGTACAGAGAGGTTTACTGCCAGCGACATGAGCCGAACATCTCGAACTTTTTAGGGCAAGAATGAGTATCAATGCAATAAATCGAGATATTCACTCAAAAGTCAAGTATTGGAATTCAGACTAAATACAAAGTACAGGAAGACATATAATGACCAGACAGGCTCAAAATTCGCCAACAGTGAGCCATACATCTCTCCGCTCAGTCAGGCAGACCATGTGTGTCGTTTAGACTGGTATCTACAAGTGTTCTTCGTTTGTAGTCCAATCCCACCAACGACCGTTCATCGAAGTCCCGTAGTAGTAATCCTTGCATCCCTCCAGGAACGGCTTATCAAAGTCGTCCTTGAAGTTGGCCGCCTTGTAGAATTCCGCTGTAGCGTTCTTATCCATTCCACAGATTGGTCCACACCAGTGTGGGCGTTGGTCGTACCCATAAGGGCTGAGGATCTCATCCTTGCCACCGTAGACGTAGTCGGGGTTGTTGACAGTTTTGCTGATATCGCACACGGGGATAGTCCAGAGACCTTCCATGCTCGGACCCTCCGAGTAGACGTCGGCGCCGGTAGCTAAGATTTCGGCCATACGACTGCTAAAGGTTGACGCGTCGTAATTATTGCCAGCAGCCTTGAAGGATTTGACAGAGGACTTGATAGAGTCCTGTAGGGTAGGAAGTATTAGCACACGATATAGACCATATACGTGCCAAGTGTCACATACCAATGGATCAAGATTCTTCCAAAATGGGCCGGAGCCGCCATCTGCCTCTAATATAGGGGACTTGCCCATACGATCGGATCCCCAGGGCCGAGAAATCCATCCTTGAGGCTTTCTCGGATCTGACTTCTGGAACTTCTGCCAGTAGTATAGGTACCAAGCACGATTTTCGTCATCACAGAAAACATTATCGCCTTCGTTGATACCTTGGCCGACATCCTCACCATCCCCACAGGCGCCACCACCGATGATATAAACACGCTGGGAACGCCATAAAGTGTTAATCATCATCGACTGCATTATGGCGACCATCGAATCCCGTGCTTGATTCTTATGTAGTCCTGGATAGTTGAGCCACGCCCCGCCCTGGAGTATGCTACGGACATCTTCTCATCATGCCAGAAATTAGTCACAAGCTCATCATTCTCTAGGGCTGAGACGACAGCAGCGATATTGAAGGATTCCTCTAGACCGAGGAAGAAACCATGCAGGTTAACAAGCGACTGTAAAACATAGTACGCCGACTCGGTGTTGTTACCTAACGAGTTGAGTTTGGCTTGTTTGCAAGGCGAGAGGTCGCAGTTGGTGTTACTGCCGGTGTTCTGGCACGACCATTCAGACTCGCCTAGTGCGTACTGGCCGAAAGCACCAGCGAATCCGAATGAGCTACTCTCCCGTTTTTCGGCATTCACGGTCCACCATTTCTCAAGCCAGTCGTCCGTGCCAGCCTTGTTCCATTTTTCGAGAGTTCGGTTCTCTGTGTACTTTGCGACTGGGCCACAGGGGTCTTCGTCAGCTCGGGGTTTCTTGTAGGAAGGACCGTGGGGGACGGCGGTTGCTTGGAGGATAACCGCTGCCCACGTGCCCATGCAAAGGAGGGAAGATGCGGAAAACATGCCGCTGGACAGTCAACACTGAGACTGTACCCCCGACTAGGTTTGATGCGAAAGGTGGTGATGATTATTGACATTTCAGAGGTATCCAAGGGTTTATATGTCGTCCTCATTGCCGCCATCAACGATTAGGAAAGTGGTTTTGATCTAGATCAACAGTATTCCTGTTCACTTGGCAGTCTGTACAGAATTCAGCATTATCTAGAAACGCACAAGGTACAGGAAGGGGCAAGAAAGAATGTGCCAATCATTATGCCCTAGCGCGTTGGATCTGCCCAAGATCCCTTAAAACACAGAAGAAGTCTGTGACTAGAGGATATCATGCGATCAAAGCATTGGTAGGAGATATAGATCTTCCAGTTTCTTACTGATATAGGTCAATGAGAAAGACCATTGTTCCCTTTCGACTGGAAATGGAGACCAAGGGGTCGTAACGTATGGAATATGGTTGCATTGGTTGCTTGGATTCGGGATCTCTGTGCTTGGCCCCTAGGTGCTGTTCCCTAAAGCATGTTAAGCCTAGAACCTAATCCGCCGGAGGGATGATCTCTTGGTTTCTTCCCAGGCTAGAGAGTACTCCATCGCCTGGGAAGAAATGACAGTGTAGGTGTATAGTTACCTGAAACCGCAGTAGGCATCCTCAACCCTGAAACTTAACCTCAAGTCCATATTGCCAATGACTCTATCAATCCCGTTCTCGTCCCTGTGTATATCGTATATTAGTACGGAGTACTCCGTACCTGGCATACGCCAAGATACAGATGCGTCATACTCCGTACAAAAGTACTCCGTACACCCCCACAATATCCTACGAGACCCACTCATCAATGGCGCTGACGACTAAAAAGAATATTGATTGGTGTGGAGAGAGGTTGGTAGAAATAAATTCTTCAAATTTAAATTGCAGTACAATATGAAACGAGAAATTTACTTCCAGTTTCCCAACAAAGTAGAATGGCCAAGCCAGATTCTTGGGGCGAAAAGAAGAGACTGCCGATCCGAAATCTTCGAGTAACCATCAGAGGAAGGAAAGAGGAAGATCACTTTGAGTGGCAAGTTCCTATCAGCCCCTGTCAGCCTGACCTCGGGGATCTTCACATCCCCCTGATAAGGACGCGTTCAACCTGTGTGATTGGCGAATTGAAAGATGTGAAAGGTCCCTTCACGCTTGGATATCAAACCCTCTCCTACTCTTGGTTGCCCCTATCCGAGCTCTTCCCTATGTTCTATTGTCGGAGGCTTCGTAGGCTTGTAATGACTTTGAGCGGGTTTATACAGTGTATTTTAGGCAGGCGGTATGTGGCAGCAGTATATGCCCCTATAGTGGCGGTGAGCTAGATAGGTCTATACCGAGCTATGGGGTGCAAAAACTTATGCCCACTGAGTCACTGACTGTACATAAAGTCTCGTTGTGGAAGGTCATATTACAATCACCAGAAATAAGAAATCTAAGTGAAAGAAGACGGTTGCAGCTACAACCAGCAATTCTGGTGCATGCAATTGATATGGTCCGTGTAACCGGCACAACAGGGCCAGGTCGTGCAGCTCTCCGGGACTTTCTTCTGAGCCATTCCAAATGATATCGTAGACTTTGCAGACCGGGATGCCAAATACTCCCGCGGTGGCCAGAAAGTTTTGGATGGTGAATTCGCCCTTGGTGCCTGCCCCGTCAATGAGCATGGTGCTACCGATGTCGTTCAGATCGATGGAGTATCCGTTCTTGTTGCCGTTGAGCTGGTACCCTTGGAAAGAGCCGTCCTTTAGATTAGCCTCATGTCTCCATCTTACTCTCCTCTGAAAGTGGAGACATACCTGATCATCGTGTCGGCAAAGGTGACGTTTCCCCACTCCGTGTTGTTCATGCTGAGTTGGTCGATGGCCGGGAGTAGGATGAGGTCTCCTTTGGAGCATATGTGTACCTCAGGCACGTTGAGGAGATAGAGGGTATAGTCACCCGCCGTGATGCGGAGCATTTTGGCATCCTTGTTCTTTATACCCCAGTGGTCGGCGCCCTCCTGGTATCTGCAATCAAAAGACTGGTCGTCGGTATTATAGCTGGCGTACATGCCCGCAAAGGGGTTGGTCTAGTTGTTAGCGCCAGGTTGAACCAGCACTACGGGGTTGGTATGGTAGGAGATACTCCACGCCAGAGGGATGAGCATGGTGACGAAGACGGAGAACCACAAGGACTGGGCAATGTCGCCGAGAGACTGGTTCTCGGCGAAGTCGATAGTTTTTATAATGGCGCCGCCAGACATCAGGCCCTGGATGCTCTCCGTGTCGTTGCCGAGGAAGAGACCAGTCCCAGTGTCGCGGACGAACCTGACGGTCTGGTTGTAGATGGAGGACCGGTTGCTGCCAAGCTAGGCGTTGTCGTTAAGCTGAGGCTGGGCAGCTTGGCCAGCGTCCCTGGCAATGGCTATGGCGCTGACGCTCATCTGGGCCGTCGAGGCTTGGCTCAGGCGAGGCTGCCCTTGCGGCTCTTGTTATCCTTGATGAAGGGCAAGCTCTGGAGGACCTTGTTGTGGACGCCCGACAGGGTGCCGAAGACTAGAGAGAAGACGAAGACGTCGAGGATGATGTTAAGGATCTGGTTCCCGTGATCCTTGTGGGTCTGGACCAATATCTTGGCCAGAAAATCCAGCTTCTCCGCAAAGTGCTGGTCCGCGACGTTGACGGTGTCGTACAAGGTGGAGAAGTAGGTCTGGATGGAGCTGAATGAGTCGAAGATGAGCCCGCCGGCCGGCGCGTCGGTGTCACAGACGCTGATGGCGGCGCAGTTCTGGTCGTTAGGGAAACAGCTTAGCTCCGAGCGATCGGCCTGGAAGGTGACTTTGAAGTACTTGGCGGCGGCAGGGACGATGTTGTTCTAGTCCATGCCTGACAGGTGGCTGTCCTCGCGGGCCGCATTGTACCAGCCGAAGAAGGTGGCTACGGCGACACATAAGCCCTAGCCCTCTGCAGCCACCCACATGGCCCAGCGCCTCATCTCAGCTTGGCCTTATTTGTCGGGTCGGAGTTATAAGGCCTCTTGCCCGTGCACAGCCGTGCAATATGTCACTATGAAATCCCGCTCAGCAGCAATGAGGCAATTCATCCCAGGTGAGATAGAATGCGACTTGAGTAAAATCTTTCTGCTCCTTTCACTTTGACAGCCCAAAGTAAAGGATCATTTTTGCGTTCAATTCCCTAGGCAGGTGCATCACGGCCCTTTGTGGTCTTCATAGTTATCACAATGTTGGTCGCCATCCGATAGCAGTAGACATGTTTCTCTCCCACACACGAATTAAGTCATCAACTGACGCATCCGTCGTCCTAGAATGAGGTGTCTACTTGGGATCTGCCATTCTTATGAACACCAAGGTTGATGGATAGTCATAGAGCACATCGTCAACCATTTCCTATCTTTTACATCAAGTCATTCAGAATATAGCTCCAATACTGGCGACGAGTACTCAGACCGAGTAATGAACATCATTAGACTCCAATTAGGAAATTTAACATCGAAGAGATCTCAGCAACTCTGCAGTAAAGTCTATTCCTTTGCATGACCCTATCCGTCGCACCTCTCCGATGTTTGTGAAATCCACCCTCATTCTTCGAAAATCATCGTGAAATTTCGCCATTGCTCTCCTAATCATCGGTGCCTCGTTCTTCACGGCTCTACCTTAGTAGGCATTTGAAAGCGCCTCTTTGTCTGCTTTATGGCTTGGTACGCGTGGTCTGCTAGTGACCGTGTAAGCCTCATACGGTAACCCGCACGAGACATAATGACTAGTGAATCGCGAGGTCCACGAATGAGCTATGAGCCTGGGGTCTGGGCCCATTCGTGGGGCCCCGTAAGACGCCCATTATAGCCTATTGAGGGGGTTCCTCTAGCACCTTATAATCAATGTATTCTGACCCTTCTACTGAGTTTAAAGAGTTCAAATCTGGATTTTGGATTGAAAGTGCTATGTAAGTATGTAATCTGATTTTAAATAAAATCCAAACGGTGGAGGCCGAAAAGAAGGCAACATATGCTATGATATCAGATATATGTTTTAGATCTGTGAAGAAGTACCACGACTCTCAGTGAATATCTATACTTTATCAATTCTCTAAGTAGCGCATTTTCTCGCATGGTTTCATGTGATTGATTTATCTTAGTATTAATCTACTTATGCATTAATGAGAACAATGAAATAATACCTATATTGCACCTAGTTCACTCGGAGCCTGGACCGAAATGTACTCAGTGAGTATAACGCCCTCGTAAAAGCGGCGGCAGCTAGGATCAAAGAGCCCGGAGGAAATATGTTGCGCACAGTGACATAGGTACATTTATGCATGTATGTAGTACATCATATGTATCTCAGTCTGTGCTCTGTGCAGTTGGCTGTGAAGTGCATATTTGTGAGGTCCAATCATTGGGCCAGGGATGACCACAGTCAATGTTATACACGTCCTACTCCGTATTGTTTTTACACCGACAGGATTCTTCTTTATCTGACATGCATATTCTGTCATGTACTTCTCATATTGTCATACTGGCCAACAAGTCTATTCATTCTCCGATGTACTACGTGATTGGTCAAGTCAAATGTTCAATGGATGTATCATACCTTCCTAACCGGGTAATGATCAATAGAATAGAAACAATGAAATAGTTACAACATCAATCCAATTGAATTAACGAGATCTAAAAAACACCTCAATTGGACTTATTGAAATCTAGAGAACTCCCTATTGTTCCTCTCATCAAATAGAACAAATTCTAATGTTTGAATTCCTCCACTATATAATCTACTCCGTTCCAACACTTCTTTCGTTCTGACACGTTCCCAAACTTGGAATTTACCTTTGCATGGTTACCTTGAACTCTGTCAAGTACTTTCTCAGGTAACGATGATTCCTTCCAAGCGAACCCTCGAGGGCCTGGAGCAGTCCAAGAAAAAGGTCAGTCAACGATATCTATACCATAGTATATCCTAGCCACTAATTCAAGACAGCGACTTTGCCGCCCTGCACCGCTGAAACTCAAAGACCCGTCCATGCCAACTCACCTGGCAAATGGTGATAACCTGTCCCCCTTCCTGGCCGAGAATGGTCAACCCTCGCCAATTCCCGCCAAGCTGTTCACCAACGCGTTAGAGATCAATGAACCATCCACCACGCCCACCCCGTTGGCCAATGGCGATGCTCTCTCCCCCGTTTGGTCCAAGAAAATGGCCAGCCCTCACCCATCCCGCAGACCCTCTTCAACCAGTCCCTGAATATAAGTGAGCCATCCGAGGCCGCGCCCATTCAGGGCCCATCCCCCTTCTCCGGCGCAGGAAACACCCAGCCGGCCGAGTTCAACCCCCGTCTCTCTACCCCCAACAATGGGGCATCGGGCACCGCCAACGTCAATTGGCCACTGCCATACACTCGCACTGTTGGCCCGGTCAACGAGGACGGCTTCGCCGTAGTCACCCAGACTTGGTATGACTACAGCGCGATGAATGATGATAGCGCGACGGACTCGTCCTCGGGAAGTCCTCGCTCGTTCCGCTTCACCCCCCGGGCCTTTCCTGCCCCCCCGAGTCCGAACCCGCGTCCAGTACTTCGGCCGGTCTGGTGGAGCAGCTCGCAGGCGGCCCCGCTTCATCATGGGGTTCCGCAGGGGCTGCCCCCAGTGCCGTCGCCACGTACCTGGCCACTCCAACCATCTCATCTTCCGTTGAGATGGCCCTTTGATGACTCTCATGAAGAAATGAGGTTGAGTTGACTTCTGAGAGTTATTGGAACGGCCCTGGAGGCCTCATGTTCAATTCCATAGTCTTTGTTAGAAAAATTCATCTCTTGAACGGCTCAATTCGTTCTCGTATTACACTGTGCACCTCAAAGTATGCTTTCCTAGATCTTTTTCTCCATTCTATGAGCCTTGACAGCTGGGTTCACTTTTAATCACAAGCTCCTTTCCAAACATCATTACTATAGTGCCTCTCGTTTGATGCGCCACCCCCCGGCAGCACATCACTGAGCTGTCACATTCGCGTGGGAGTTTCACATTCGTTACGCCTGTAGTATCTCCCCTTCTATACACAGTTCTAGTATTTCTTTTTTTAATGCCCTATAAGTCCAAGTGCCTCTCTATCGAAGCACCCTAAAACTAGCGTGGTATGGGCATTGTCCTCTCACCTAAAAGGCGGGACAAATTGCAGCTCTTTGTTCTACTTCAATGAAATACAGAATCCGTTAAATTAGAACTGAATTCGTATTCTGATGTGTTCAAAATATCAACTCTGTAGTCATGGTGGTTAACATTCTACAATTTTGTACTAAGATATGAAGTGTTGAGAAGTAGGTGCGCTCTTTTGTAGTCACATCCGGACTCCAGCCGTTTGCTTTGACTGTGATTGTCCTCTTTCCATTTCATATTGATCTTTGTTTCCTGCTGCTCCTCTTAACACTCATGTTCCCTTTCTTCCCTCCCTTCAACTCTCCGGTTGACTACTTTTTTTGATCTTCAAGAAGAATATTCAGCCATGCCTTCCATCAATGGAGTTGCTGTTCCTGTTCGCATCCAAACAAAGAAAAGAAGGGAGAGACTTGAAATCGAGTCGTCGGAATTAGCCCGCGTCCCTCGAAAGTCACAGATCCCCCAGAAAGAGAAAGCCCACCATCCACCTCAGGTAAGCACTGACCTTTACCTCGGGGTCACACTGGCATAACCTACCTCACCTATTCGTGTTACGCAAATACCATCTTCCATATACTTATCATTATGGCTAGGGAATGGAGGGCTGCATCCACAGCTCCACTGCACATGGTCCAAGCACCAAGGGAGTTTCCCGCCACCATGTAGCTGGCTCTCCCGTGAAGAAGAACGGAGAGATAACCCATGCAGACCGCCGATTCCGTGCCGAGGATGAGTACCCTGCCCACTTCACTCTGCCAGAAATCGAAATCGACATCGGCTCGTGGATGTGTCTTGCATGTCCTACTTCAACCAGCAAATGCAAGGACTGCAAACAATACGAAGGTCACGAAGACTCCCTGATCATCGCTATTCATGGAGAATGCATCACCGGAAAGTTTGGAAAACTTTCGGCAATCGGAGTGTTCTACGGCCGTGGCAACGCCGGCAACATCTCCTGGCCCATTCCAGGCAAAGATGACCACAGCCACACGACCCAAATCGCCGAGTTGACTGCCTGCCTGCGTGCGTTGCGCAATGCAACCTCCATCATCGACAAGCGCCGTAACATGATGCGCAAGGGCAAGGTCCTCATGCCGTTGAACTTATTCATAATCAAAACAGAATCTGAGTACCTCGTTCGCAGCTTGACAGAGTGGCTCCCCAAGTGGAAGAACAATGGATGGAAGACCTGCAAGGGCGTTCCGGTTGCTAATGCTGAAATTTTTAAGCTGGTAGAGGCTGGTATCATGATGGTTGAGATGGTCGTCCAGGTTAAGTTCTGGCTCGTGCCCAAGGAGAACAACATGGAGGCTACTTGCCTGGCAAAGATGGCTTTCACGGCGTGAGGAGCAAGGGGAACCATTCATATGCCCATCATGAGGGCTATCAATCAGCTTATCTCAGAATCTCAGAATATCCAAATCAAATCAAAGGTATCAAATTCGGGAATGTCTTCATTTATCCGCGGCTTCGTTGCCGGTTTCAAAGTGCCGATCCGAAATAGCTGACATAAGCATCCGATGGACTTGAGCTCAGAGCCGACGTCGAGGGACTGCCATTGCAATTATTCAGTTTGGTACGGAGTAGAACTATTCAGAGATACTTTGTAGATTCAAACAGTAAGACTTGGAAGAGTAGGCTTGGGAGCTATACTATAAGTTGGAGCATCAACGTCCAATTTCTCCCCACATTTCGCGGGAAACCGCTTAGCCGATCTCCAGTGCCGCGGCCTCTCAACGGTACTGGGCGACCAAACTACTTCCGACCCCGGAATTTTGTCCGGCATTTTCCTATAATTATGGTGGCCCGGGGTGTTTGGGTGGAATTGTTGACTGCTTCACTTTTTTCTGTTTCCTGCATATTTTAGCCATTGTACAGATGTGAGTAACTATGCCAAAGTATGAGATTCTAGACCAAACTGACAGGGCCGAGAAAGACCGGAAATACCATCGAGCTTCAGTATACAACTCGCGATCAATTTCAAATACTTCGACCAACCTACACAATAATGGCTTCTCCAATTCCCCGCGGTCTCCGCCAAGTACTCCAGAAGTCCCCCAATGACATCGTCATCCTCTCCTCGCTGCGTACACCCGTCACTCGCGCCAAGAAGGGCGGCTTCAAGGATGCCTACCCAGAGGAGCTCCTCGCCAGCGTACTACAAGCTACACTGAAAGCAAACCCAAATCTAGACCCGGCCCAGATCGACGATGTTCTCATCGGCTCCGTCTTGCAAGAATTAGGCGGCGCTAAAGCCGGCCGCATGGGCCAGATCCACGCAGGCTTCCCTCACTCCGTGCCCTTCAACACGATCAACCGTCAATGCTCATCCGGCCTGGCAGCAATCACAACAATTGCCAATGGCATCCGCGCCGGCGCAATTAACATCGGTGTCGGCGGCGGCATGGAATCCATGACCCGAAACTACGGTTCCCGCGCAATCCCCACAGTCCTCTGGCCTGAGCTGAAGGAGTCCCACTCCCAAGATGCTCGCGACTGCATCATGCCCATGGGCATTACCTCGGAGAACGTCGCGTCACGCTACGGTATCTCCCGTGCAGACCAGGACGCTTTCGCCGTTGAGTCCCACGCAAAGGCATCTGCAGCCCAGAAGGCAGGTCGCTTCGACTCCGAGATTGTCAAAGTCACTACCAAGACCCTCGACCCTGAGAACCCAGATGCCCCCGCTAAGGATATCACCGTTTCCCAGGACGACGGTATCCGTCACGGACTGTCCCTCGAGAAGGTCGGCGCGCTCAAGCCCGCTTTCTCGCCTACCGGCGCCAGCACAGCCGGTAACAGCTCGCAGGTCAGCGATGGTGCCGCTGCTGCTTTGTTGATGCGTCGCTCCACTGCCGAGGAGCTGGGTCTCTCTGGTTCTATTAAGGCGCGCTGGGTCGCGTCTGCCGTCGCAGGCTGTGCCCCCGACGAGATGGGCGTTGGCCCTGCTGTTGCCATCCCTAAGCTGCTGCAGGCTGTTGGTATTGAGGTTCCTGAGGTTGGGGTTTGGGAGATTAATGAGGCTTTCGCTTCGCAGGCTCTCTACAGCGTTCGCAAGCTTGGCATCGACCAGGCGAAGGTTAACCCTAACGGCGGTGCTATCGCTATCGGACACCCCCTTGGTGCTACTGGTGCTCGCCAATTGGCTACTCTGTTGCCTGAGTTGGAGCGCAGTGGCCAGGAGATCGGTGTCATCAGCATGTGCATTGGTACGGGTATGGGTATGGCGGGCATGTTTGTCCGTGAGTAAGTTTTTACTTGATTTGCATAAAATTTCTTTTGTGTTTCTCGCTTAGTAGTATGATACCAGCGTTGCATGTGTATATACAGTTTGCATACTATACATGATTTTTTTACCTTGACTATACTTACCAGCCTCGAAATTTGAGATTAGGCTCCGAGATATTTCTGAGGCAAGTTATACCTTGAGTATACTTGCTACCAGTCAAAATTGGATCTTGTTGTACTATATATATTTTTTTTCTGGCTGCAATTATTGACGATGTTGTGGTGCCATGTGGTACAGACATGTAATAGTCATCGAATATTGTTTCCCATCTAACATCGAGCGTAGATTCAAGTGATGAACCGACAGAGAAAAGAATAAATTACCACATACAATCCTCTTAGCGAAAAATTATTGACTTGCAATGCCGAAGCCCCGGCCTTGAGGGAGCGCGGTCAATGCCAAGCATAAAGATCAACGACACGTGACCCGTACCTTTCTCGAATTTGTTTCTCCGTCCAAGCCAACTCCGCCGGCTCGACGCTCTTAAACAACATTCGCGCCCACCTTAATAATGCGACCTTCAATGCGCCTTCCTCTGCGCGAGGCAAAATTTGTCTGCTCCAGCTGCAGAATTGGAGCTAGCCCCCGTGTCTCGCCGCTCGGTCAAGTCCGCCGCTATGCCTCCGACGACCCCGGAGTCCTCGAACGCGCCCGCCGCAAGCTTTGGGGAACCGACAACCCTCCCGGTCCAGCAGACCCCTACTCTGGAAGTCAGATCATGCCTGGATCTAACATGAGCCCTGGAGAGCCCAGCGCCGGAGAGCCCAAGGCAGATGAAGCATTCAGTCTTCAAGAGGGTCAAGCACCATCTGGAGAAATTGACGAGAGCCTGACCTGGGAGGGAATGCCCAAGATTGGCTATCTCAGAGAGGTAGAATGGCGTGTTAAGGGACCCAACGGGGAAGCGGATAAAGTCACACCGTACGTTCAATCCAAGTAACCAATGTGTCTCCACATTGGTTTGATTCCCAATGGATTTACTGACAATGGCGTCCTTGATCGAACAGATGGTACCAAAACCCTGAACCTGTCCCGTATACGAAGGCTGCGCATCAAGCTGCCGTTGAGATTGGTTTGATGCAATTGTTGGGGAGAAAAGTCAGCGTTGTTAGCCAACTCCACCCGCGAGAGATCCAAGACCAGCTCGAGATGGTTAAGATCGAAGGTGATTCTGGTAACTGGGGTGACCGTCTCCGGTTCCCAAGCAGCGAAGTGATGGAATCTCTCCTACAAAATGCAGCAGGCGAAGAAATGGCCGAGGCTGCTTTCCAGAAGCAATTGCAGAAGATAACTGGCACAAGTGAAAATCGCTTGTATAACCCAGAGACCAAGGATCAGAAGAACAGCCTCGATTCCTTGTCACTGGCTGATGGAAGCGTCAAGTTTGCTGTTCGTATTTTCCCATCGACTTTTGTACCACCAAATCACTAACAACCACATCTAGTTCTTCGCTCGCCTCTCCAAATTGACCTCTCAGCGCATTTCCGACTCCATCATTTCTTCCACCACTACCGGAGAAGTCCTCACCGCACAGGAGGAACTTCGCAAAAAGACTCTCAGGTTGACACCTGTGATTCTCCATGAGCTTATGGACAAGAACGGCATCGCTAAATTGCCTAATGTAAAGATTGCCGACGTCCGACAGACTCGCCATGACAACGATGAAGATCTTGGCCGCAAGAAGGCCATTGTTTCCGCGCTCTACAAGGGTGGCTTGATCAGCAAGCCCCTCGGTCAAAAAAAGCTGCCGCCTTGGAAGCAGGCTAAGAAGACCGGGCTGAATGCCTAGGCCCTTCATGTTTTGTAGAATGTTGGAGGCGTTGTTTCATCTAAGAGCAATCTTTTGTATATTAGAATTGTTGATCGAATTGCATTTTTTATGCTTGTTTCATTTAGTCATGTCAAGTGAATTTAGATAATTGTACATGTTAATTCTGGAATGTACGGTATGTCTACCAATCTCGTCCATACAACGCTGCAGTCACCATCAATCATTTAAGAACATCAAAATCCCTGTGAACTCCGGAAATAAAACTCCCCCACGACCTTGATCACATTCAACCCCCAAGGCTTTTCATTCGGGCAAAGTGTCTACCTCTGCGCAGCAGCAAGGTAGGACACATCAGGTCATGATATAGAAAAACCTCTGGTCATGAAATCGCGATTCTTGGACTCGCTGCCTTTCTTGGAGAAGAGACTGTCGAGATTCTCATTCCTGCCGATCATCTTCCGGCGCTTATTCTTCTCATTCTCCTCCGCCAATACACGGGCAGTGAGCGAAGAAGTAGCAGCGTTCTTGATTCCATTGCCAGAAGTAGTAGTAGGCACTGGCGTGGAAGTATTGCTTCGGCTTTTAGAATTCGAGGATTGCTTAGGTACTACCAAGTCAGCAGGCTCTATAGGACCGGATGCATCAGTTACACCCTCAGCGGTGGCGTTCTTCTTGCGTTTCTTTGAGCCGGGGGCTTTTTTTGAGGGAATGCGTGAGGCCTTGTTCGGCAAGTTTATGACCTCGCTCAATCAGACGTTGTTTGTCTTCTTTTTTGATCGTAAGGATGGGAATGATGTTCTCTTCGGTGTAGGATTCGTTGCACTAACACACGCACGTTAGCCACTATCACCGCTTTGCATCCAGAGAATGGTTCTTACCTGCAAACACTTATCGCCTTTAAGCTGCCGGATAGCCTCATCTGAAAACACATGTCCACATGGCACTAGGTACACAGACTTCACACTTGGGCCCAATGGCTTTGCGGTGATCGGGCAAATCCAGCCCTCGCGGCGCTCACGGGGCGCATAAGCACGGCCGGACGGGTGTTCGGTGAGCTCGGTGTCGACTTCGAAATTCAACTCGACCACATCACGAAGTGATTTCACTCGCCCGCACAGAATCTCTTCGCAGTCGGCCTTCGAGCTGATGCCCTCGACATCGTCGCCGGGGAGGAGGAACTGGAGTATAGCGTCCTTGTTGTAAAGATTCCCGACTGAGTCTGATACAATTGGCCGGGACAACGACTTGTGTGAGAGAGGACAGGTAGTCCAGCAGTGTTCTTGCTGCTCGCGCTGTGTTTCTTTTACTTGCGCCGTGCTTGGGGCACGCGCTGCTTCGCGGACGAGCTCTCGACGAGTCGGAATACTACAAAGACTTTTATTAGTATGTTTGGGTCTGTAGCGCGACTCTAACAGGGCCACTCACCTGCCACCGTCATTACCCATATTTGCGATGCAGTTGATGTAAGATGCTCGCACTACTTCGCCACGATAAAGTTGGAAAGATAGCGCGCTGACTCAGCGGCGATTAGATCCAGCCTGGGCCCGCTATCAACAGCTGGCCAGAAGCTCTCTCCGCACCTCCACAAACAAAGCTCAATGCCTCAAGCATGAGACTCTCTCAGTCGTTATTGTTCCTGGCTGCCGCTGGGTCGGTAGCCCAGGCAAGTAGTGATAAGCCTGCCCGTCCCCGTGGCTTGGGCCCAGAATGTGAGTATCTGAACCTTTTAGATCTCCATCAGTGTTTGTTTCTGCAGCGGGTTCATGTAGCAGTGATCTATGATAGGCAATTGATCATTTTTTTTACTTCGAGTTCATACTAATATAGTATACTCAGTTGCAAAATTCTACCAGGACTCGACGACTTTCACCTGTATCTCAAATCCCTCGGTCAAAATCCCCTTCTCGGCCGTCAACGATGACTACTGTGACTGCCCCGACGGAAGCGACGAGCCTGGCACGTCTGCCTGCGCACACATCTCACGCAACTCGCCGTTAACAGTAGCAGACCGGCCCGGGAATCGCGATTTGGACACCGCACTTGCCCTCCCGGGTTTCTACTGCAAAAACAAGGGCCACCGGCCATCATACGTTCCATTCCAGCGTGTCAACGATGGTATTTGTGATTATGAGCAGTGCTGCGACGGCAGCGACGAGTGGGCTCGTGTTGGGGGCACGAAATGTGAAGACCGATGCAAGGAGATTGGCAAGCAATGGCGGAAGCAGGAAGAGCAGAACCAAAAGTCGATGACTGCTGCCTTGAGGAAGAAGAAGGATCTTCTTGTTGATGCTGGTCGCCAGCAGCAGGAGATTGAGGATCATATCGCTGGGCTAGAGGCCGAAATCCAGGGCGCTGAGGTCAAGGAACAGAGCCTCGAGGCTGATCTGAAGCTCGCCCAGGAGCAGGATCGTAAGGTGGTCCACACTGGAAAGGGTAAGGGCAAAGTTAGTGCCCTTTCCAAATTGGCCAAGGCCCGTGTTGATGAGCTACGCAATGCGTTGGTCGATGTGCGTCACCAGCGGGATGAAGCCCGTGAGCGGGTGAAGGAGCTTGAGGATATTCTGGCTAAGTTCAAGGTGGAATATAACCCTAACTTCAACGACGAAGGTGTGAAACGTGCGGTCCGTAGCTATGAGGACTACGCCGCTCGTGAACAAGGCACTGATGGTGCTAACGCTGCCGTGGACCGCGACTTGGACGAGATTTCCAAGGTCGACAGCGAAGAAAATGGTGTTCACTGGGAGCACTGGGAAAACGAGGAGGATGGATGCAATGACACAGATCTAGGTAAGTAATTCCTCGGTTTCTTGCGACACCTAGTATAGCTTACTAATGGGAAACCATAGTGTACAAGCTCGCCGCGTATCTCCCACCATCGCTTGTGAGCTTCATCGAAAACAAAGTTGTCTCTGCCAAGAACTTCCTTGAAGAAAATGGCATCTTGCCCAAGCCCGATGCAGACTCTTCCTCTGAATCCAAGGCCGTGACCCAGGCACGCGATGCCCTCAAGGCCGCGCAAGACACTGTTACCAGTCTCAAGAACAAGCTACGCGACCAGCGTGCCGACCTTGAGCAGGACTATGGCCCCGCGTCGATTTTCCGCGCACTCAAGGGGGTCTGTATCTCCCAGGATGCCGGTGAGTACACGTACGAGCATTGCTTCCTTGAGTCGACCAAGCAGAACCAGAGGAAGGGAGGTAATTCAGTTTCCATGGGCAAGTTCTCTCATGTTGGAACCATGAGTGTGGAAGAAGTGAACGAGGCTGGCGAGGTGATCAATGTCGAGAAGATGATGATCGAGTACGATCGCGGCCAGTCTTGCTGGAATGGGCCTAGCCGGTCAACCAAGGTTATTTTGGAGTGCGGCGAGGAGAATCGAATCTTGAAGACAGCGGAAGAGGAAAAGTGTGTGTACTCCATGCTTGTTACCTCGCCAGCTGCATGTGCAAGTGGTGAGGAGGCAGGTAATGTTGTGCCTCGCTCGAAAGACGAGTTGTGACAGCTATGTTAGATCTATAGATCTGATGTTACATATTGAATGTTTATTTCATATGCATCCCATTAGTAAGAATGGATTGCAATTTGAGCGATTTTGTATACTTCTGTTCTTGTTCCTTGTCAAAGTAAGCATTTGTTTCTCGTCGACTAGGTTCGATACAATATATGTAAAAGGCGCCCAGATGCACTGACAGCCCGCATTACCAGGATTGAATCACCTAGCCACTTGCTGGAGCACAGATGTACTACTGAATATCACGGATAACAATATAACCAGCATATTTATAGCTATAGCACTTGGCTGAAGACTAAATGACAAGAACGTACACGAGGTCAATCTGAACCCTTGAACTTAACACCCCATCCACAAGGCTCCAGGCCCTATTACCCCAGATCATAACATACGATCTTCTCGATCATGGGCAATCACAATGAAATCATCTCATGGCCTCGGCAATGAGGACACCCGCACCCCAGCTAGTTTGACAACAGTGGGAGCCCGGGCCTGGTATGAGTCGTATTGGAGGAAGATGGCGGTGGTGATGGCGTGTGAGCCGGCTTAGTGCTAGAAGGGTAGTTAGTATATCTTTCGCCCCAGGGCGGCATTCCATTTTGAGTAAAGCTGGCTATAAGACACGTAGTGAGCAAGCAATGACATACCTTGCAGCTGGCACAAGAGCAGGAGTTGCACTCGCCGGAGCAGCAGTTGCAGGTGCAAGGAGACATGGTGAGTATAGATGTGGTAGGTAAAGAACCTTGAAAAAGAAGCTTAAGTGTAGGTGTTTGACTTGGATATAGATGGCTTGGGTAGAGAAAGAAAAAGTCCAACAAGGGATACGATGTCACCTTTATACCTCTAGAATCCATAACTGCTACTTCATCCCGATCGATAATAGCGCGGCGGATAATTCTATTTCTTCCATCTATCATGCACCTCCATCCAATCCAAGACGTAGTGACGCCGTCGCGGTGCCCCGTTCACACTCCATCGTATCGCGTGGTCGAGTCAAATGAGCCCACTACTGCATCCTACTCAGGGCCCCCGACCCCGTCCTGACTACCACCTATCATGTCTTCAGCCTATTCTCACGCGCTATGCGCTGTACCATAGTCAGGCTACTCTACCGCTCGCCAATAGAACGGAGCCTATCGGGCTGTATGATGTAAACATCTGAAGTCTGGAGCCACTCTCGGGTGAATATGGCGCAAAGACCGGTGAAAGGGTGAGTCCCCGATCTATTTTCTTACGAAGTCTAAATAACATCTCGGTGTTTGCTCGGCAGTCTATGGAGTACAACATCACGTTAATCAGGTATATACGGAGTAGATCAGATTACATAGTGTTCGGGCCGGGTTCCTGCGAATGATATGGTTCGTTTATTGGCTTAGAACGAAGGGATCGAGCAGGGTTCCTTTTGTGGAGCAATAACATGCGTTGATTATGCTTTGTTAGATATGGTCATGTTTGCCTGTACTATAAATGTTTAAATCTCGACTGGCTTGGGTATTTCATCATATGATACTGCTATATGAAGTGCTATTATGTGAGTATACAGTATATCAAACATTGACTATAGCAAATATAGGACAACATATAGCAATATTGCAACCTAATTAGGGTGTTTATTGAAATTAATACCTTCTATTATCATGCCACGATGACGGCCACGTTTCGGGTACGACGTAGATCTACATTCCTTGTTAGATCCACTTCGGGACGGGCCTCTCAGGTATTATCTCATGGGTACAGTCATATGTACAACATGCGTACCATATGGGGACTGGAAGTACCAGGACCAACTAGGGCAAACGTATTCGAAGGAAGAATGGAGTCTGCTCAGCAAGTAAGGGCCAGGAATGAAATTTCCGGCGCCTGCAGCGGTTTCGGTTTTGAATCTCGTCGTGGCAGCCTATTAGGCGATATTTGCCGGATTGGGGACCTTGGAGGAGGGGTGCTTTCCGGCCTCATTGGTAGCCTTCGGTTACCTGAGATGCATGTTTATGTCCACCCGGTGGAGCCGTGCCAAGGTGTTTCGACCTTCGTGTTTTTCTTGCTTGGTTTCGGGGTATTTGTTTGCTAAAAGTGTGTAACGGGCGAGACGCTCTAGGAATTGCACCTGCATTGTGGGGGTCGTTTTAGCTTTCGAGGTCAGTTTGAGACTAGTATTGGATCATCTCGCTACATATTACATTTGATGATATCTATCCAGAAAGGGAACGAGGTATACTATAAAGCAAAATGCGAGATCTGATAACACGGGCTAGGAAAGGTATGTCACTTTACACAATGTAAGTGGCATAGAAATGTATACTACCTACATTGTACGCTTGGGCCTCTATTCTATGCGAGCACAGACTCTCCTTGGGATCTGACTGAGAGCCAGAAACAAGCCAGCAAGACACCGGGAAAGTGGAGAGGCTGCAGCTTGAAAGCTACCAGAGCATATCACAGACCCTCATGCATAATTATGATTGGCTTCAATCTGATACTACTCTTCTCGGACTCGTGCACCATCGAGTCCCACTTTTTATCTCTTCTTGCATCTCGACTCCGGTACCAGGTGTTGGGGTCAAGGAATGTTGAAAATGGCGCATCGGCAAAACATAGCCGCAGAGACTGTAGGAAAGACGGGAAGGATATTTCCTCTTCTGGCTACTGTGACGATGAGACGATCACTTAGTGGAGTGTTTGGTTGGGTTGACAAGGATGCCTGATATTGTATGAAGATCCTCGGCGACTCGCCCGCACAGCTCCTTCCTTTCCGAGTGTATGGGCTACTTCCCTGGGCTGTGTATTAGCATGATAGGATCTGTTCTATGTACCGAGGTACTCTGTAGATGCTATGTATCATGTACGTTGTAGGTCTATGTTAGGTATTTCTACTATTCTCTGCCTAGGAGACTGTTCGGGTATCTAGACATGTCGGACAGCCTCTTGAACTTGTAAGGGTGACCAATCCCGATCTAAAAGATCCAAAAATTGGATCTGATGCTCACAAGGTACTTGTTTTACAAAGAATAAAAGTAATCCAGCAACCGCATATCATTCATTGTGGCGAGCCCTCCAGGGTTCCTACATATTTTATGACATGACGTGCAGGCCCGAGGAACACAACCGGGAGTTATCCGACTCAAATATCCTCCGTCTCACTGCATGTCTCGAGCCCCCTGGAAATTTCAAATCGAGTCATCGTGAATGCCCATATGGGTTTATTTCTTCTAAACGGAGGGGTCGGGTCAGCCAGACGTCATCGAGGGAAGGAATACAACACGTACAGGGCAGTTGCAAGAGCCGGCAGGGCACTGGCAAGAGGAGCCGCAGCTGCATCCGTGATCGCCTATCATATTTGGTCAGCATCGAGAAGAAATGGGTGAAATACGATGAAGGACAACCCCACTATGACCCCGCCATTTCGGAAATCAGGCCAAGACAAAGCGCGATTCTTCAATATGAAGTCACAGATGGCATAGAAGATGGGAATGCTTACTCATTTTGAATGGAGTTGGTAAAAACTGGTAAAGCTGTTTGAAGTTGTGTTGGTTGTAAAAGGTAAGGTGGGGGGGGAGGAAGAGAGAGATGGGCGGGACCCTTATATACTCGTGACTTTCGGGGAATACATGTTGAGTCTGAGGGTCTCAGACTTGAGTGAATTGTCATTTCACATCTTTCACGTTACACTTTCAGGGTGAGCATATTACTGCAATATCCCCGCTTACGCCAACGCATTGGTTTCTGAGAGCCGCGTTTGCGAGATCTCCAAAATATTCGGCTCCTGAAAACATGACCACTTCTATCGCCTGCATATGTGGAAGCGTAGCCTTATCTATCCAGTTGGACTCTGAGATTGACCAATCCAAACTCCAATTATGCCATTGCACCGGCTGTCGGATGGTGACAGGGCAGTTGGCTACATCGTATTATCTCCTTCAGCATGAACCACCGAATCTAGATGGGCTTCAAGACTATCAACAGTCCAGCCATGTCAGCCTTTTTTTTTGTAAGACATGTGGTGCTCACGTCTTTGCCCGCCTGCAGTCCGAGGGACAGTTTCTGATTGCCTCGGGTTTGTTGGCAGCTAAGGACGTTCTCTCGGTCCGAGCAGTTGAGCATTGGCAAAGCAGCGATACCGGGGATGGTGGACTCAGTGCTCTACTTCCTGGAACGGAGTCCCGCATCACAGGTTGCAGATTACATCGTTCAGCTAGCATGGAGAACCCCGGCCGAAAATCAGTAAGCCCGGCAAAATATATATCAACAAGCCAGCATTTGCGAGCCCGCTGCCTTTGTGGAGGGGTTGAGTTTTATATCACCAAGCCCGATGAAACCTCCCTACAAGCATCCTCGCCATGGCCAGATCTGCTGGTTCCATACCATTCGGGGTCTGGAGCGAATCCTGATGATATCAAATGGTGGTTGCGAGAGGGGGATACAAAATATCTTGCAGGGACCTGTGTCTGCGACAGTTGTCGACTGAGTAGTGGGTTTCCAATTCAGACCTGGGCATTTGTGCCCAAATCCAACATATTTAATGTAGACGGGTCACCACTCAAGTTTGGTGCAGGGACCATGCAGCGGCATAGAAGTTCACTAGGGGTATTCAGAGAATTCTGCAGCTGCTGTGGGGCTACTGCCTTTTGGCATTGTGATGAACGACCGCTGCTCATTGATGTAAGTGTGGGATTGCTCCAAGCGAATGGTGCTAGAGCTGAGGACTGGTTGGAATGGGTAACAAGTCGTGTCAGTTTTGCTGAGATGGCGGTACAACATGATTTGGTTCATATTCTGGAGGAGGGTCTCAAGATACATTCAAAGCAAAGGTAGAAGTCGACATGTGAAGACTATAATGTATGAATGTTATCTCATATGTCTCATATATCTTATAGTCCTCCAGACTTCTATTCCATACAGACACAAGTGCGCCTTCCTCTGAAGCACGTGTGGAAGGACCTTGTCCGTCACCGCCTTCCCTCCGCCCGACTTTTTTGGGGATCTTTTTTTCGCGTCTGATCCGATGCCTCTTGATCATCTTTCCCACACGCGTCCGCATTTTTGCTGCTTAACCGCAGCTGCTCAAAATGCCTCCAATGCCTCCATTTGCTCCATTCCAGTTCAGAGGAAATTCTAACTATCGTGGCTCACGCCCTAATCCGCGACACGAGTTCACTTTCCGGTACCAGAAACCTGCCACTTCAGACCGACCCTTATTATCCTCGAAGAGAGAAAGCACGCCCGAACGACTCCAGGGCGAGAATGAGACCAAGCCTGCACTCAGATTTGCGGAACTTTCTACTTTGAGCGACAGTGAAGAAGCAGAAATGGACATGTCTGATGACTCCGACACAGAGCGACCGCGCAAGAGACGTGCAGTAGGTTCTGATGGGCCCCAAGAAGCTGCTCCAGCTCCTCCAGTTCCTAAATGGTCGAACCCTGATCCGTACACTGCGCTACCTCCCCCAGCTGAAACTACAAACAAAAGGGTGGATGTTGTCAAGCTGATTCGCAAGGCGAGACTTGACATAGCTGCAAAGACGGACGAAACAGACGCAGTCAAACAGAACTCAGACTTTATTTCTCTTGGCATGGAACCTGAACCAGAAGTTCCTCAGAGCAACGCTCCCGATAACGCTCCCAGAGGGCCAAAGGCCCAGGAAGGTCTAGATTCCGCCATTGCGAGTCGAAAGCGAACCCACGACAGTGAGATCAAAGGGTACTCCCGAAAGACTGGAAAGCCTGCCAGCAGATTCAACTCTGATGGTTCTGTTATCGATCAATGGAAACCACTCACCCCAGAGAGAGGCACGCCTTGGTTTGAGGGCACCCCAGCTTCCTTGCACGTGGGAACCCAGTCAGTACTATCCTTTGCGCTTTTCCCGATCCCTCTCTAACATTTAAGCTAGGCTGCATAATGAGATTCTCAGCTTCTATCACTGGGCCAAGCCACAGGAATTTGAACATATCGTCCGTGCAGATCTTGTCAATCGATTGGAGACCGCATTCCAACAACGATACCATAACGTTTCAATCCGGGCCTTTGGTTCTTTTGCCTCGGGTCTTTATCTCCCCACTGCTGATATTGATTTGGTGCTGCTTTCTCACACATTTTTGCGCACGGGAGTTCGAACATTTGGAGAGAGGAAGGGTCAGATCTACGCGTTTTCGGCTTTCCTCAAGAGCACAAATCTCGCTGTTCCCAACTCGATCGAATGCATTGCCTCCGCCCGAGTTCCGATTCTCAAATACGTGGACAAGCTGACTGGATTGCGAGTGGATTTGTCCTTTGACAATGACAGTGGCTTGGTCGCCAATGAGACATTCCAGAAATGGAAAACTCAGTATCCTATGATGCCGGTTATCCTGGCCGTGATTAAGCAGTTCTTGTTGATACGTGGCCTCAACGAAGTCCCAACCGGTGGAATCGGAGGTTTCTCCATCACTTGTTTGGTCACGAGTCTTCTCCAGCATCTCCCCCAAGGCCACATGCAGCCAAATCTCGCAACAATCTTGCTGGACTTTTTCAATTTCTATGGGAAGGAATTCTGCTATGATAGGCTGGCAGTCCGCATGGATCCTCCGGGCTATTTCAACAAGGTGGGTGGACTTTGGTCTGGATCTTGTAAATTAGCGAGCTGATCATGTCAAACAGGGCTATTATTTTGGCAATCCGGATCGTCTCACCATCGAAGATCCCAATAACCGTGACAACGATATCTCAGGCGGCACAAAGGAAATTGGGTTGATCTTCCGAGCCTTTTCTAATGCCCACACTGCCCTGAGGAATCGCATGGAATATCTTGCACTTGTCCAAGGACCGAACAAGAGCATTCTCGAACCCATTATTGCGGCGAACTTTGATGAATATATCGAACAACGCTTTCAGCTCCGCCAGGTGTTTATGACAGAAGCGAGGTTTGCTCGTTACAGGGAGGCTTCACCTCCGCCTCCGCCGCCGGGATCCCCCCCCTGCTAACGAAGCCTCGCCTCCTCCTCCTCCCCCTCCTGCGGACGGAACCCGCTCTCCCATGCCAACGGCCGCAGCTCGCAAGCCTGCCACAAAGCCTAAAGGAAAGTTGAAGGGCACAAAATCGGAGCCAGAAGATATCTCTTCTGATGAAGCGCCCGAATCTGAACCAAAGTCTGCCAAGGCTCGCAAGGGTGAGACAAGACGTCAGTTGTGTCAAGAACGTGCTGCCAGGCTCAAACGCCTGAGGCCTGACCTCACCAAACTTCCCAACACCCTCAGCCTCCGCCAAGCTCGCCGCCATGCAGGTTACGAGACCGATGAGCAGATGAATGCGGACTTGGACCGAAGAGAGCAGGAACTTCTCGCCTCGGCATAAACTTGAGTCCCCGTTTCCACGCCCGCAACGACTTTTTTTGGTTTCTGTTTGTATGCTTTATCTTGTACGATGATACCCCTTACTTCGAATGGTTTGGTGATTTGCAAGGGGAAGAAAGGAGGGATGTGTGCAATGACGGTACGGTGGGGGTCGATGATATCTTCGCATATGCCTCGACAAAAGTGTGCTTCTACTACTCTCGATGGCGAGAAGCGCAGCGAATGACTACTGGTGGATAATCGAGAATGAGCATTCTTCTTTGAGCTTGAGATGAAAAAAGTAACTTACCATTTAGGATTCTCTCCCGGATTTCGACTTCGCCAGAATCTGTTGACCTGTCCCTTGGTCATGATTGATTAGGGCTGTCCAAATTTAGAAGCCAGTTCTCGATCTTATTTGATTGAGAGCTACTTTCAATATGGATAGCCCGCGACAATTTCAAACCCTGGATGATCTTGTCTCCATCTCCTGTTCAAGTCGATTCGGCGCCTCAACGTCTAATGCCTCCTCGATTTTCACCCGACGAGCACCTAGTTCTTGCAGTTCTTTGGTCCCAACACGGGATGCTGTTAGTGATTTCAATGGAACCCCCCGATGATCATGGATTCACGCCCAACGTGGATCTATGTTTGTTGGCGTTTATCTTTTTTGCTTTTCCCTTATGCCTCTTCATCCCATGCCTCCTTTCTCACCCAGAGAGCGCTATATGCGACATCTGGGAGAGGATTGGACACCAGGAGCTACCGGGCTTGGGACTACAAGCCGCACTTGCCTTTCTATGGAAGGTGAGCCCATCTCCACGTGCTGCCAAGTCCCAGGGTTACTGGGTTCCTGCCCGGAACTCTTTGTCTAACCCAAATCCCAGAAAATACACCTAGGGAGTATGAGAAAACACTCGATGCCAGGGCTATATGTTTCGATACACTCATGAAGTCCTATTTTAATCCTATGCAAGCTGCTTTTCCACATCTGATGGTGGTGTCAGCATAGGATTTTCCTCGATGGCTGTATCAGATATAGTGAGATGAGGCTTCCGTCCTGTTCTCTCCTCGGCCTCGATCCTCTGCAAAGCGGCAACATGCTCCTCGGATAACGAATTCACAAAGTCTGGTGACGGACTGGCCCAGACATAATCAACCCACGCTGTACCTAGGATGTCCCGAATCTCTCGTGCCAACTGCAAGATATGAAGGCCACGCGTATGAGACCAGGCACGATCTGTGATAAGGCCCTCCTGGGGCGTGAGGATATTCGATGATGCGGAATCATCGCCCATCGGAACACCCAAGCTAGGAGTCGACGGTCCAGCTGATTTCAACTCAGTATCGAGATACGAAGCGTCGTCATCCTCATTCCAATTCTCCAATCCATCAACGATACTGTGCCACACGCGCAAAGTCTCATCCAGCTCAGCGATATTACTAACGCCCATCACGCTGACACCAAGCCTTCTCCCCGTGCCCATACTAGCCACAGACAAGAACCCAGGATCAGCATCCGGAGCACGAGCAAGCGGCGCACCGAGACCGCCAGCCCGCGCACCAACACGCAGCCACGCCTCCAGCGCAAACCGAATCGCAACAACCTCAAGCTTCTCTCCGTGCTGCGAAGCACAATCTGCAGCATCACGAATAGCACTCCGCAGTGCATTAGGAGCGGGATGGAAATCACCCATCGAGCCAATCGGCACGCCGTCACGACGAAGCAATCCCATGCCCAGCGGCGAAGCGTTAGGAACAACATCAACGCCCGCTGCGATCAGTCTGGGCAAGGCGTGCGAGTGCAGTCGCGTGTTCTGCAAAGTAAAGTTGGCATACGACATGACGATATCGAGCGGCTCGCCCGTCTCGCGGAGGACCGTCTCTGCCAGATCGCTGAGCACGTCGACAGGATATCCCGAGATACCAACGTAGCGTAGTATGCCCTCTTCATCGCGCAGACGACGCAGCTCCCGCACGGCCGTGACCACTTCTGCTACAGTCACGAATTCCACGTCGTGGCAGTACACTACGTCCAGGTAGTCTGTGTGTAGGCGTTGCAGACTACGCTGCACACTATGTCTGATCCATTGTGGCGAGTAGTCGAATGATGAGCCGGCTACACGCCCGACTTTCGTGAGGAGGTGGTATGCCTCCCGTGGAAATTTGGTTCGCACGGTTTCTGTTGCGAGGGCGCGGCCGAGGAGCTCTTCTGCGGGGCCGTAGTAGGGGGATGTGTCGAAGGCGCGGATGCCGCGTGAAAGTGCTCGCTGTACGAGTTCTGTTGTTGGAAGGGCGTATGGGTCGGTGTTATATTGAGAATTGAAGGTTGCAGTGCCCATTATCAGCGGTGGCAGGGCCGCGGACAGTGGGGTGGAGGGGCGCATGGTGGTTTGGAGGTCAATATTGTCAATGCCGAAAGAGTCGGCTATGGGTATGTGCGTATTTCTTATGGATTGGGGAATTGGTAAGGTCTTTTCAAATGGTATATGCTGTTCCTATAATTTCTCCGAGAAAAAAAAAGAACCCCCGGGCTCCGCTCCGGATTGCGCCATGGCGGGGGATTGTGCCCAGATCGGGACATGTGGCCACAATCTGATCGGCTTTGTGTTACATTTCGGTGAATCCTTGAATGATTGGCGTTGAATGGCCGATTGATAGAACCTTGCAGGTTATAGGGACATAGGGACGTGATGTTCCTGGCAAAGCGGCGGTGGCAAAAAACCGAAAAAAAAAAGTCAGCGAGTTCCGGCAACTCCATGTATATATATACGATGGTCCTGCGAAGAAGACACAGTAAATAAGTCTAGATCGGACATTACACAAGTTAATGCAAGTATATAGCTATTGTACATGAATCCTTTCCGGGTGAGAGTGGAGAAGGGGGTCAAACGCGCATCACAGATGATATACACAACCGAAAGGTCGATGAGAAAGTCGGAGATGGAGGCAACAACTTCCACTTCCGACGGGAGATGGTACCCAAGGGAAGATTCAAGGGCCATCTAAAAATATCAGAGAGAAAGACCCCAGTCTAGAAAATCAAGGCGTCTTTCTCCAACAACCCAAACGCCATGCTATGCCAAAACAAGAAAGACGAGCAGATCGAAAACAAAGAAGCCGGAGTTGGAGGCTTCTGTCGCAGGAAGCGTAGATGTGCTCGTAGGAAAACCGGAGGGCCTGAAAAGCCGGAGAACCGCACTTATTGTCGAATTCATTTATCCTTGTAGACCTTGGGGTTCCAGCCTTCCTTTAATTCCTTGTCGATCGCAGACTTGCGCTCGATCTCGCGGAACTCCATTTCCAGGCGCTCGCGTGCACGCAGAATCTTGCTCTGCAAATAGAAACTGCCGCCTTTTTCGGGGTTGTTGGTGTCGAACAGTTTCTTGAATCGGCCCATAACGTGTTCGAGGTCGTGTTCGCCTGAGGCCGGGGGCTTGACGTTCAGGATTTTGCAGGCTTCCTCGACGGTTACACTCGATGTGGAAGTGGACTTTCCAGCTGCCTTTTGCTGGCCAGCATATTTGCCGGACGCTTGGGCTTGCTTGTAGGCTTCGGCGAAGGCGCGGCCGAAGACCCGGGCTCCGGTCACGACGACTTGAGAGACAATGCGATGAGCCTAACAGATTATTAGTTTTGATTTTGGAAATGGGAATAATGGAGAGATTGATAAACATACCATTGAGGAGGTGCCGTGAAGAAGGCGATCACGATATGTTATAGGTTGGAGGAAGAAAGAAGAGAAGGGGAAAATTTCGGCTGCGGGTTTTAGCGTCGGCAGCTCCAGGCACAAGTATAGAGAACAGTAGTATACAACACAGGTATCAAGGTCATTCCAATTTAAGATTTTAGACATAGGTATTCATTACTATTCCGTCTATATAGTGATCTTTTTCTTTAAAAAAAATATCCAAGTAGTAAAACAATAAAACAGAGAATATCCAAACCCTTCACTATATACCGAGAGTCACATGCCCACAACTTCGATCTCCCCGCAGATCTTCTTGAACCGAAACATAACGAACGATATAAATTCCGCATACACTCATCCCGGGGGATGAGTTGATTGTCTTCTCTATGACATGTCCGTAATTGGATGGCAGCTTTAGGTATGTCATCTGATGATACTTCTCCTGGAACATCACTGATAGAAAGACAGACAACCTTCCGTGGATAGACTCCATGGCACCCTCATCGAACGTACAAGATCAAGGCCAGTCGGACTTTCAACCTCCGACGGTCGCTGCCTTTTCCCCAACCACGATTACTGGCTCGGCTTTAACCTCGCGCCAGCGCTCCAGTGTCATCGTGCATCGCAAGTCACCTCTTCTAGTGGCCACGCCCCCGGCCATCACTCGCGCTCTAGCCTACTCGCACCCCTTCCTACTACCTCTAAACAAACTCGCAGGTCTCCTAACATGGACATCTGGAGACCCATGGCAGAGCTTCCTGCTGGTAGCTACCTTTTGGACTATCGTGCTGTATAGCGATGCCATCATTCTTCGGGCAGGACCGATCTTGGTCGTAATCGCGTTGATCCTCGGCATGTATGGACGTCGTTACTCGCCTCTGTCATCAACTATATCAACAGGCGAAAAGCACAAGACCAAAGTTGCCCCAGATAGCTCCCTACGTCATCAAAAGAGTCTTGATGAAATAGTTGAAACCCTTCGCATCTTCACAACCAGATGCAATATCCTCCTAGAGCCTCTACTCGACCTCACCGACTTCCTATCCACCCAGCGCACTCCTACATCGGCGACTACCAGACCCGCTCTGACAGCTCTGTTCATTCGCATACTCTTAGTCACTCCTGTGTGGATCGGCCTGACTCTACCTCCATTCTACATACTTACCACGCGCCGCATCGTCATGGCCGTCGGCACTATCATTTTGACTTACCACTCCCGGCCCGCCAGGGTCTCACGTGTCATTCTGTGGCGGTCTCGAGCCGTGCGTCGGCTCTGTGCCGCAGCCACGGGACTCTCCGTCGCCGATACCCCGAGCAGCTCACAAAAGGCCCCGGCCCAGGCCCAGGGTCAAAAGCAAGGCCTGAACATTTCAACTCGGCGGCGCGGAGACAACGCAGGTGTGCGATTCACGTTTGTTGTCTATGAGAATCAGCGCCGCTGGTTAGGTATCGGGTGGACTTACTCGTTGTTCCCGGCAGAACGTCCCGCCTGGACAGACGAGCACATGAACCCAGTGAACCCCAAAGATTCTTTCGAGTTACCAGATGTTCAAACAGGAGATGCCAAATGGCGCTGGGTGGAGGGAAGTGAGTGGCGTATCGAAGGAGCGGACAACTTCAATGGAAAATCGGACTCGAAGGGCTCAACCGGCGAAGGATGGATCTACTATGATAACAAGGTTGGTGATTTGTCCTTACTGACTTTGATGTATTATCTTCTAACCAACCCTAGTGGAATGACGGTCGCCGCGGACAGGACGGATGGGATCGCTATACCCGTCGACGCAAGTGGTACCGTGACGCTGAATTAGCGGAGCCCTCACCCTCCGGAACCCAGAACGTTTCGGAAGAAACCATTTCCGGGCTCACGCAGGCTCTCGAAAAGGAGAAAGAACAGCAGAACGACGATGACGCCGACGCACAAAGCATCGCGGCATCCACCTCCTCCAAGTCCCATCGTCGGCGCTGGTTCAGCGGTACCAAGGAAAAAGACCAGACCCGCGGTGGGCCCGCTGATAGTGGACGTACGACAGGCTCAAACGCCTCCGGCGCAGCCGATAGAGCAGATGCCTCGCGACCCATCAGCATCAAGAATTCCCGCAGACCGTCCCATGCCCGCGAAGGAAGCGTAGCAACTAGTGACAGCGCCAGTTTGCGGGAGAAGGAGATAGCAAACTCGCAAGATCATCTCGACCGGTGGTCCACTCGAGCTGCGGGTGGGACTGAAAGGGCGGAAAGGGAATGGGGACTTAGCGATGAGGTGAATATGGGACTGAGTTGATACGTTCTACGTTCATGTATGCAATCCTCAAATTCCGCTTGCTACCCAAGGCGGCTTATATATCCTTATTATTTGTAGTGTACAAAGACCTGTGAATTTCTTTCCCGATTTTGCATACTCCGTCATGTAACCTGCCTTCAATGCTCCCGACATAAAAGACACCTCGCTCCTCGTCATCCTATTTCATACATATAGTATCCAACCTACACCACAAGTTGTATTCCCTCGACAGAGTAGCTTGATCTCCTAAGTAGGATCTCAAGACAACACAAACAAGCAAGAACATAGTTGATGTGTCTAGCGCCGACTAAGTTTGGCCGCTCCTTGGCTATGCTCATGAGTTCATGATGGCAAATCCACCACATCGTTCTATATTTAGAAAGTGAATGCAGGGACAGTTCATCTCGGAGGACATTTTGATATAGAGAGATCTAATGCCCCTGTGGATCAAAGTGAAGCTGAGCAAAGAGGTAGTCCAGCATTGACTGCATTGTCACAGTGTTGAAAGATAAGAAAGCCAAGGTGCGTCGCTGTTGTCAAAAGTACATGAACCCCTGCCGAATACAGTAACTGGTCTTTTTTCCATCTTTCATTGATTTTGATTTTTGAGCTCATACTTACTTTCTAGTAGGACCTACGGAGTGGAGACTTATTGGAGACCTTATTCAGCCCGAGGAAAGGAAATGTGATAAAAATACAGTGTTGAAATAGTATTATGTATGTTCGATTCTTGGGGATTTCCCAAGAATCCTACGGGGTATGTCCCGGATGTATTTACAATTCGCAAAGCACAAACCACATCTTCATATCACATAACGGAATTCCGGGTTCTGCCGGTCCGTCAAGTCCAAAAACGCACTGTTTTCTGGAACAACGTACGCATCACCCAATGCCTCCTTCTCCCGGTCACGTCGGTTATTCTCCCGCTGCGACACCCACCAGATAAGGCACAGATCCAGCGTGACGACGAAATACAGCACGCAGATAGAGATCTTGGCGGGCAGATACCCAGGGGCATCTTTAGCCTGGAAGGTCTGTGGCGAGATAATGTTGCCAACAGTGTAGGCGATAGTCTGGATGCAGGACACGGTGATCTTCTTGGTTGATCCGGCCACATTGGTACTGGTGAGACCAAGAATCGTCGTCCAGCCGAGAGGAATACCTCCGGTGAGATAGTATCCGATCAGGGCAGGGACCTTGTTGGTGGTTGCCATCAAAATCGCACCGACAATAGCCAGAATATGGCCAACGATGCACCAGAAGAGTCGGCGCTGGGTCTTCATGGCCAGATAGGTTAGGCCGATCAGCACCACGACCTCATAAGCACCCATTGGGGTGACAAGCAAAAGACTTTCTGTTTTCGTGTATCCCATGCCCGTTACCATGATGTTTCCGAAACTCGTTGCAGTGGAGTTTGGTACATTGGCCGCCATGACCCAGAAAGCGTAGAGCCAGGTGTGCGGGTCGGTAAGGGCTTCGTAGACCTGCTCTTTCTTGAAGACATTGCTTCCGATGCCCTGTCCGTTACCACGAAGGCGCTCCGCGTGCATTGCCTTTTCTTCCGTGGTCAAAAATCCCGCTGTTAAAGGGGAATCAGGCAAGCAGAAGAAGAAGGTAATGCCAACCACCACGGTCAACAGACCCAGAATCAGGAAAATAACCTGCCAACCTCGCAGAGAGGCACTAGGGTCTCCACCGATGTGGGTTGCTACGCCGTACGCGACGTAGCCGCCGAACATCTGCGCAAATCCACACATGGAGAACCACAATCCGACGCGGAAAGCCTGTTCTTCCTTTCGGTACCACTGTGAGGTGAAGACGACCCAGGCGGGGATGATGGCGGCTTCGGCGGCACCCAGAAGTGCGCGGCAGACCATCAAAGAGGCGAAGGACTTGCAGGCGGCCATGCAGGCCAGGATGGTGCCCCAGACTGTGACGTTGACGGAGACGTATTTGGCGAGTGGGAATGATTGCATCAAGCGCATTGTGGGGAAGGCGAGCGCAAGCTGACCGAAAAAGAAGATACTCGACACCCAGTTGAATTGGTTGCCGTGCAGGTGTGTAGACTCGCGCAGCCCTGTAACACTGGCATAACTGACGGCGATTTTGTCGAGATACTGTAGGAAGTATACGATGCAGATCAGGGGCATGATATACAAATCGATTTTGCGCAATAGTCGTCTCGACGCTGCAGGATCGAGAACGCTTGGCGAGCCGGCTTCGAGTAATTGCAGTGCGCCATCGCCTGTAGCCTGAGAATATGAGGGTTTCTTCTCGTTATCGGCCGAGATGCTCTCGACCGGAGATGTTTGAACGGTCATCTTGAGGTTGTGTAGTGAGATGTCGCGGTTCAAGATAGGAGAACCCGTTGGTTAAGTAGAGGGTGCTTATGGAGCTTGCCAATATTCACAGGCAAGCACGCCATCGCTCCTGGCTGTCACAATATTATTGCCCAGTGGCGATTTGCCGGCCTATAGTCATTATCTGGGTCCTAGTGGAGTCAGGACTCAAGGATTTTTCAAGCGAGGAGATTTATCCCAAGCAGTCTGATTGGTGATGTTATGTAGAGAATATATTATCTATAGATGTAGTGTCTTATCAAGCTAAAGTTCCAACATGTAGAAGTAGTTACACACTAAAAAAGCAGGGAAAAAGTAGTACCTTAATAACCAAGCCTACCCTGAAGGTCCGGAGTAGATTAGCTAGGTCCGGACATGGTTAATGGTTTTCCGACCCCCGGTCTCGGGGACTCTGCCAAGTCCTAACGAAGATTCGGGTCCGGGGAGTTTGCCGGGCGGGCCCGGAAGCAAATTCTTACCAGATGGCAATTAGTCAGATTTTGATCTTTCTAGATGTAAGGTACATATGACCATGATACCTATCTTGAATCACTTTAGTATTATCGTTGGTTCAGACCGCCATAGCATTTTTTTACATACTCACCTGGAGCTCTCGACACTATGCGATGTCCATATTTAGCCTTGATCTGGAGTAGATTAAACTCAACGTGCATTAGAACTTTATTTTCCCTGAATGACACCGAGTTTACTCCGAGTTCGAGACAATGGCTCATGTCATCTATGTACCTTTAATATGGAGTTACCATACAAAAGATACCTACACAAATGGTTTGCCTCATTTGGACCGCCTTCTGAGAGAGCATACCGCCCGGTGACTCGAACTTTTGATTGATGGAGACCTAGCTTGCCGGCAGAATATGAACCGGGGGTCTACAGGTGTCAAAATCTAAGCGGTGTGACGGAATTGTGGCATAAAGGCTGTGATCGTCAGTCATGATTTCTAAGAATATGCACACAAAACCGATGTTCGGGTCATTCTTACAAGGATTCAACCTTCTATCCGGTAGTCCAGGCCCCTATCTATGCAAGAATCAATTCCCACCCCAACTCCTCTACAAGATCTAACCAATGTACATTTTTCTGACCCATCTCAATAAACCGAGCATCGAAATCAGCATCTTGTCTCCCCCACAAAATACCCAATAACTCCTTGGCACGTTTTACATTCCCAATCCCGAAATTATCCTGTAGCTTGCTCAAGAAACGAAGCACAACCTCTCTGTCCGCTAGATTATCACTCTCACACCCCGATATAAAGAGCGGGAACGTGAGCGCCGAATACTCGCAATGGTCACCCAGCGGGAAATCCTCAATCCGGGAAAGACAGCGGTAGACGGCGAGAGTCTTGGGCGTGGAGATGAGAGGAACCCAATCTCCCTCCGAGAGAGGTTGGGTCTCCTCTGGTCGAGTATTGACCATGGTACCAGTGTGAGTGGCAGAAGAGACATCCGAACGGGTTCTGCTGATGCGCTCCATGATTGAATGAAGATAGATGAACCCTGCGTCGCGGAAACATTCTGCTACCAGTTGAAGCCGGGTTAGGGTTGCTATTGATGTCCCTTGGGGAATTATACAGGGCGTTGAAGTGGGAGACCAGGTGAGGAGTGAATCATTTCTGAGATGGGGTGTTAGTGCGGGGGCTCGGATGGACTATCTTGGGTAATCACGGAGAGAGACATACATGGAAGCAACGCTGAGTCGAAGAGCCAACGTATCAGCCTGGAGAGAAGGCAGTTCTGCAATGCGTGCACATAATTTGAGAATCTCCTCTGTGTATCCAATATATATGTCCAACTTCGGGATGCCGATGTTACTGTCGACAAGGAAATCCGTAGAAGTGATACACTTGCGGTTGCTGATCCGGGCCATGTTATAGGCATACACGAATCTAGATGATGACATCTTATGTTAGCGTTCGACAATGTATGTCGCAGGTTGTCACACATACAGTCCACGCAGGAACTCGGCTGCATCTCGATCCATTGAAGCGAATCCACCGCGTGAAACAATCAAACGTTGCAATGCGTTGAGATGAACAACCCATTGCTTAACGCTACCACGCACGATCTCATATTTGCATAGTAGACCGACTGCTAGCATGGCATCGTCAGGAAATACCTCCGTGGAGCACTTGCCTAGTGCTGTGCGGAGTCCGCTGAGCGTTCCACTATAGTATTTGACTGCAGCAGTATGTGCTCCAAAGCCGTGGGAGCGATTTGCTAGATGGAGAGCGGAGACGGCACATACAGCCTTCATCAGCAGGGGTGACAACATTGCCCTCGGGATCAACATCGACCGAAGGGGATTATCATCGCTTTCTAGATTTGCTAGCAGCCGAGATCCCTGCTCCATGTGATATTGGAGGTAGTGAGTCTCATGTGTTGAGAGATGACTGATATATCCCTGAGGCTGTGGGATCACCGCGACAGAGCCATGCGAATCACCAATATCCTGGCTAGATTTGAATTCTTCCGCATCCTGAGCCGGACTGGTAGCTGCCTGAAATGATGCATATCCCCAAGGAGAAGATGGACCAGGCCAGCTCAGGGAAGTCCGCGGCCCAGGAGATACATTAGTTTCGAGGCATGCATCCGAGGACGGGGACGGGGACGGCGCAGGCGAAGGTAATTGAGATGTCGAGGACGCACTAAGCCGTCGACGCTTTGGACTCTCCCTCTGCGAGAATACCTGCGCCGATGGAACTAGCGGCTCTGCCCATATAGAGCCGTAGCCCTCGCACGTACGACCTTGCTTAAGACAATTGTTACAACTGATCAAAATTAGTCATGAAAATTCAAAGCCAAATTCTCGCACGCACCTTGGTTTGGTCTTATCGCAGGCCTTGCGTCTTTTTTTGCAGGTTATGCATCCTGATCGAGTCCATGCCGTGCCAGATTGCCGTGTCCTACCCTTCTTCGGGACGGAAGTGGGCTGGCCAGATGTGATAGATGACGACTGCGGTGAGCCATTCAGAGGAAAGGCATTCATAATGTCAAGGAGCGCCTAGATAGTACGGAGATTCTCTAACAGGTACTAGTGACGGCATGCTTATCGCAGATATTGGACAAATTCAGACAAGCATGCGCTGTAGCGGGCATTGGCCCGCACAATTTCTCGGAGGGTTATCGATAGCAGAATAAACTAACCCAAATTGGGACAATTCCGCGCCGACCCCATACTCACGTGACATGGTGATTGTGGATTAAAGGTCATGTGATTTTGAACTTTAAATGCCCTCCTCTCACGCCGTCTCGACAGACAACAGGGTATAATATACCTAGTACCAGTTCGGGTCACTAATATAGGTTAGAAATGTACCCCGAGTAAGCCGAGCGAGTTCTTTCGCTATAAGTCTTCCTTCGTACATCCGTGTTGAACCCGTTTTGCTCCAATCGTTCAGTGCCAAGACCCCTCTGCCCCTACACTCCACTTGCCCTGGGTTGTTTCCTAATCAGGCAGGTACAGCCAGACCTTATGTAACCCGATAAGATTCCCCCAGATTGCGACGAGATACTTAAGTGCAGGCATTGCGTCTGATCTTCTCGTCATCACACCTCTTACTTTTCTCACTTATCCGTGAGCTCTTGTGACATCTTCTCTCCCATATCTCCCACAACTGCCTCATATCTCTACTTCAGAAGTGCACTCCCGTACTGCCAAAATGGTGACGAACTACGGGCCTCACCCATTCGACCCAATCAGACCGGAGGAGATTAAGCTCGCCGTACGCATCCTTGAGGCGACCTTCCCGGGCGTCTCCCTGCGCTACAAGCGCATTGATGTCAACGAACCTATCAAGAAGGATGTTATCGCATACATTGAAGCAGAGCGCCTACGGCGGCCATTGCCCCCACCACCAGCCCGTGTGCTCTATGTGCTCTTCCACCGTCTAGATACTGGTGCATTCTATAAGGCTCTCCTCAATGCTGACAAGCGCACCGTTATCTACGCCAAGGAACTTCCCAAGGAGGTTCAGGTGAGCAGAGCCCTCCCTCGCCCAGAGAAAGCAAAGGGGTCAACTAACAGTTCTGCTCTATAGGGTCCCATTGATATCGATGAAATTGCCGGTATCGAAGCGATGTGCATGAAACACCCCGCCGTGCTAGCCGAGATCAAGAAATTGCAACTGCCCGCTGGCGTCACTGTTTGCAACGACCCTTGGATGTACGGCACAGACAGTGACAACGAGGACCGACGGCTTTTCCAATGCTTTATGTACATGGTCGAAGTAGACCACCCCCAGAACAATCACTACTCGCTCCCTTGCAAATTCTCACCGGTGTTCGACGGCCTCACTCATGAGTTGGTCCGTATGGACTACCTGCCGGGCGGTGCTGATTTCGAGACTACCTCTACCCAGCCTTGGAAGCCTGTCAAGACAGTCCAGTATGCCCACGACCTTTTGGATGAACCCCTTCGTACCGACCTCAAGCCCTACATTGTACAACAGCCAGAGGGTCCTTCTTATTCGGTGGATGGCAACTCTGTTTACTGGCAGAAGTGGCGCTTCAGAGTCGGTTTCAACGCTCGCGAAGGCTTGGTCATCTATAACGTTACATATGACAACAGAAACATCTTCTATCGTTTGGCTGTTTCGGAGATGACTGTTCCCTATGGAGGTAAGTGGGATCAAAACCATATTACATATAACTCATATCGGATCTGACTAACATGAATATAGATCCACGAGCCCCCTACCACCGTAAGCAGGCATTTGATGTTGGTGACACTGGTTTTGGTATGAATGCCAATCAGCTATCACTTGGATGCGACTGTCTGGGCCATATCAAGTATTTCGATGGTTATAGCAACGACTCTAAAGGCAATCCACTGCATATGAAGAACGTGGTTTGCATGCACGAGCAAGATAACGGCTTGCAGCATAAGCACACTAACTATCGGTCCGGTGCTGCTACTGTTGTGCGCAACCGCCAGTTGGTCCTACAGATGATCTGCACTGTAGCTAACTATGAGTACATCTTCAACTACATCTTTGATCAAGCCGCCAATGTCGAACTGGAAGTCCGGGCCACCGGTATTCTTTCCACCGTCCCATTCGACAACGAGAATGGCGAGACTGTCCCTTGGGGTACCAACGTTGGCCCTGGTGTTATGGCTCCCTTCCACCAGCACATGTTCTCCCTACGAATTGACCCCGCTATTGATGGATTTAAGAACACTGTCTACTACGAGGACAGCGTTCCCATGCCCGAAGACGAGAAGAATCCCTACCTTGTGGGCTACACCTCGGAGTCTACAGTGATACGCACGGCAGGAACAGCGAACACCAGCGTGGATCGCCACCGCGTCTTCAAGATCCGCAACGACAACATTACCAACCCAATCACCTATAAGCCTGTTGCATACAAGCTTATGGCAGCTCCCAGCCAAATGCTCCTGGTCAGCCCGAATGCTCACGGCCACCGCCGTGCTGAGTTTGCCACCAAGCCGATTTGGGTCACCAAATACCAAGATGATGAACTATACGCTGCAGGAGAGTTTACCAACCAAAGTCGCCGTGCCGAGGGCGTCGAGACTTGGGTGCAGCGTAAGGACAACACAGAGAACGAAGATATCGTCCTTTGGCACAGTAAGCATTCCTCCCCGCGACTTGATATGTGTTCTATAACTAACAAACCGCTTCAGCCTTCGGCCTTACTCACAACCCCCGCATTGAGGACTTCCCCGTCATGCCGATGGAGCGCATCAGTATCATGCTGAAGCCTGATGGCTTCTTTAACAAGAACCCGGCTCTCGACGTCCCACAGTCCTCTCAGTTGTTCAACAAATCTTCTCTCCACCCCGAGGAGAAGCCTGCTGCTTCCTGTTGTGCCGGTGCTTCGTCTGCTGGCTCCAAGGCCAAGCTGTACAAGCGTGTTGAATAAATCTCTTTCTTTGAACCTATAGATACCCGATACACCACCCTATGGTTCAGCACATATGCACAGGGTGTGTTTTATCGATATGAATCGACTTGGCGGCTTCGTTTTTTCCCCTTCCATTTTGGCCCCTTCGTTTGGGCTTAACGATATTCATGATTTACAATTTCAATAAAGCACAAATCTTGATGAATGTTTTCTACATGATGCAATAGATATTGACTGCGATAGTAACATAATACTGGTAGGGTTGTAATTATATCCATGTTAAATCACTTTGCGAGTAACCTGATTTGTATTGACAAGGGAGTAATAGTGATAATAATGCGCAGTAAAAATGGAATGGCAGATCGCCTCATATGAAGGGGTTTATGAAACGCCGAGGTGAATGAAACCCGAAAGGTAAATGGACAAGAGAAATAGATGCACAGCAGATGGTAAAGAAAGAGAGGGAGAAATCTCAATATGGATCCAACAAAAACAGTTCGCCAACTATCATTCCTTCATATAATGACCAGCATACCGAGAGCGAAGCCAGCGGCATTATCGACGGCCCGAATCAGAGCTGTGAGGAACATGGCTTTCAAACAGGTCCTCAAGATACGCGCTAGGAGCACGGCCCTGTGGCGCCTGATTCAGATTCAACGAACTCGTCGAAGCACCCATATAAGAATGGCGCTGATTATGGGAGTCATGGTAGACACCAGCTGGGGGCAGAGAAGGTGACGAGAGGCCAGCAGTGGGCGAGTATAGAGGCTCTCCACTTGGCGCGGGGTTGGAGCCACCGGCAGCAGCGTAGTATCCAGCAGGCAGGTATGTGGAGGCACGATTTCCCGCGCCTCCTGCAGCGTGCAGACTGGCATGCGATGCAGTGGGACCGCCTGCTGTAGGCGAGAAGAAAAGACCACTGTTCGCGCTCGGGACCCGGTTGGGCTTGTAGCTTGCGCGAGTTGCGGCACCGAGTTTGTGAAGGGATACGTCGGTCGCTGGGGCGGCGGAGTAGGGGACTGATCGCTTCTTTCTGCTGCCGCGGAGGAGGCGCTTTGATTCTGAGGCGTGCATGACGGCGGCGCGCCGAACTGAGCGGTTTACAGACCATGCGACCATTGCGTGCCATGCGAGCAGAGTTAAGCCGATTAGCCCTAGCGCAGCGCCAACGGCGATGAACACTGTGCCTTCTGGTGCATTGCTCTCTTGCATATAAGGAGCGTTGGCTATTGGGGGTATTGTCACAATGGCGGAGTCAGCTGTGGAGGAGGAGGAGGATGTTGATGACTTCGTTGTCGTGGAGACGGATGATGTTGTTGTACTGCTTTCGGATGTCGTGGAGGAGATGGATGTGGTGGTTTCATCCATGGTTGTTGTCTCTGTAGATTCGGAGGTGCTCGTGGATTTCGAGGTGGAAGTCGTTGAGGAAGTGGTGGTTTCACTCACGCTAGAGGTTGTTTGAGTGGTGGAGAGATCGTCGGTGGTCCTAGCTGCATCGGTATCCGTTGTTGTCTCGTCGGCCGGTACGGCAGACACCTGAGCAGCGATGGCAATGACCAGAAACAATAACAAAAGGAATGACGGCTTGGCTGTCCCAAGCCTTTGTGGTAGAACTCGCATGGCGGGCGTAAAGATTCGATCAGCTGCTTCTCCACAGTATGCGGGTCACCTGGAGTAGGCGCCGATCCCAACGACCGCGAGGAACAAAGAAGATGACGGATTCTTGCTAGGTAATCAATGAAAGCTGGGTAGCAAGACTGATGTCTCTGCTGATTCCGAAAATAACTGCGACTTGTCTCTCGTGGAAGATGGGATGCTAAACTTAGGTCGCAGGTCACGGATCCGCAATCAACAAATTTCCATATGAGGTAAGGACTTGGAAGTTTCTCATAAACGAACGACTGTTGTTTAAGTGAGGCCAACGAGTGCCTAGAGATGATAGTAAGACGAGTCCTTAACCGAGAATTGGAAGAAACCACAAGACGCCAACGCTAAAGGAGAGGGGTGCCTTAGGCAAGACTGAGACTGTCACCTGACAGTTTCCAAAAAAAAGACATGAAGGACTTGAATTTACATAGGCAAATCTAACATTCGAGGACTGGGTGACTATGATTTATCATACATGGAAATACAAGATAGTTGCTCCTTGAACCCCAAAGAAAATCAATCGCAGTAATGGAGGTGTATTCCAAAAAAAAAAAAAAAAGAAAGAAATCCAACAAATCACTACAAATCACTGCGCTTTCTTCTGCACAGCAGCCGAGGTATCCTTCTCAAATGCAGCATAGGGGATCTGGAGACTGCTTAGGGCATTGATGCCGATGTACAAGATCGCGAGGAACAGGAAGGTAGCCATGAGTCCCATGAAGATACCTGGAAGGAGGTGAGTATAATAAACAGATAGGTGGTAGGATTAGAGATACAAACCTGGAGTGAAGTATTGGTACTCCTCAAAGAGAGATGTGTGGTTTGATGAGCTCGAGACGCTACCATGCGCGGAGTAGTCCCGCTTGAGCTCCATGCGGAGCAGGTCTTGGTACGAATCCCCGGAGGCTTCATAGATAACGGAATCTGTCTCGGGGAACTCTCTCGGCGAGGTGATGTAGATAATTGTATATTTGGATGAGGAGGGAAGGCGATCAATGATGTCGGCAAGGTAACCATCTAGCAGAGTCAGTAACGATGAAAGGCATAAGTGGACTGCACACATACCGAATCCAGAAAGCTGTTGTGCACGGTCTGAGTCCAGTGATAGCATGGGGAATTCGACATCAATAATCCGGGGTCCCTTCTCGAAGGATGAGGGGTACGATCCGGCTTCACATTGTTAGCTTTGATGTTCGCTAACTCCATTGTTGGGCACCAAAGCAACTTACAGGAAGCGTCGACGGCGGTAGTCTGAGCCTTGCACTTCTTTTCCAAAAGGCTCTTGATCTCCTTTGGTTCTACCAATCCGGCGACCTCGTTGATGCTCATCTTGGACCGGATCGAGCTGTCTTTCCCGAGCATCTTCGCTCCCAAGCGGGGTGCTGACTTTCGCGTCGAGAAGTCGGAACTGTGCACACCAGGTTGATGGACAACGACATAGTAATCTGAAGGACAGTTACTAAGAGATGAGGAAAGATTCTCGAGGAGCGAAGCTCCTGTCTGGATGTAGGCGGAGTTCGTCAGGACCCTAAGGGAGAAGCGGTTAGTCAACCGTATCGGGAGACCTTCAATCAAACATACTCCGAAGTTGAGGCGAGGAAGAATGGCGAAGTATCTCTGAAAGCATTTGCGGCAGACACCCCAAGGGCTAGTAACCCGAACCTGCTAAAATACATTGTGTCTGTCGTGGGGGATGGGGTCAGGTCGGCGATGATGTTGCCAACGGGAGGTGTCCGACTTGGCCTCGGAGGCGGTCGAGAGCCCCGACCCGCCTGAGCTTTAATATCAACTTTTTTTTTTTTGCTTTTGAACGCAGTCCTAACACAACCTACGGTATACAAAGGTCTACTTGTTGTTTGAAAGAAAGTACCCAAAATTGGGCTTTTCATTCACCATGGGTCCCAAGGATTTGAAAAAACGCAAAATTGTTGCTGGGCCTAAAGTTGAAGAGGTCAATTTTGACGACGAGTCCCGTCATGAATACTTGACTGGTTTTCACAAACGCAAGGTGCAACGCGCCAAGCATGCACAAGAAAATGCCCTGAAGAGATATAAGGAGGAGAAGAGAGATGCAAGAAAAAAGGTTCGTCTTCAATGCTCGCCTAAAGACATTCGCTCATTTTTTTAGATTCGCGAGGATCGCAAAAGAGACTTCGAACAGGCAATGGCGGAACATAAAGCGGTACTCAAGCGCATGAAGGAGGATGCTGGAGACCTCGGCGAAATGGAGGGTGAGGAAGAAGAGGAAGGCTGGGAGGGAATTGAGGAGCCTCCAGCAGTGGACTATGAAGCCGAATATATCGACGAGGACAAATACACAACGGTCACAGTTGAAGAAATGGATGCGTCTCGTGAAGGTCTACTCAAGGCTTCCAAGGAGGCGGACGAAGAAGGCGAAGAAAAGAAAACATACCCGGTTGAGTCGACAGAAGACACAAAGAAGAAGAGAAAGCCCCGGAGTGCAGCCTCCGAAGCAGCCAGGAAAAAGAAGAGAAACTTCCGCTATGAGACCAAGGTCGAGCGCAAGCAAACAATGTTAAAGCAGCGGGCTGTGAAAGCGAAGAGGGCAAAGGCACGAAAAGGCGCAGAGGAGTGAGGAAACCACATCTTGAAAGAGATACGACATGATATGTGCATATACTCGGCTTTAGGCAATTATTCATTAGTCAATTTTACGGATCACAGGCGTTTCACATGAAAGAATGCAATGATGCAGGAAATGGTAGACACCGTAGTGCACGTTGCATGATAAAAAGTTATTGCTATCAAAGCGCTTTATCTGGCCCATATGATTGGCACCAGTATAACACAAACAATCACAGCCTGAAAAAGCAGACAAACCAGATACTGAAGCCTGTATCCAATCAAATGTATCCCGATATCCTGCACCCATCACCAGTCCAAACCAGCTTAGATGTCGGCCATCTGGGATGCAAGGTCATCGAGCTCCTTCTTCACGGTGTTGTGTTCCTTGATCGCATCCTCGTATCTTTGCTCAAGCTTAGCATGTTGATCCTCAAGTGCCTGTACCTTTCGCTCGTAGTGGCCAGCCTTGATGTCGGTTTGACGGAGCCTAAGTGCCCAAGATGTTAGTGCCTAACTTTGGAAGTATGAATAGCGGGTCGTACTTCTCATTGGTTTCCCGCAGAGTCTTGTCATTCTCTTCGGCCTCCTCCTCAAGGAGCTGCACCCGTCGCTGAAGGGCCTCATTCTGGGTGTCGTGCTGGAGGCTCTGGCTGGCAGCATCCTTCGCCTCCTTGAGAGCGGTCTCGGCCTTCTCAACCTCCTCCTCTAGAAGCTGATTGCGGTGGTTGAGCGATGTGATCTCTTGTTCCTTTGACAAATTCTCCTGTTCCAATGTCTTGACCTTGGCCTTAAGCTCATCGACGAGCTCATGAGCCTCGTCAGCCTCGGCGCGGAGGGCGACCATGCGCTAAAATAAATCCTATGTTAGCAAAAATCCCAGTTGGGAAGTGATGGAATGCTGGAGGGGGGTGCATATATGCATATGACGAGGGGCTGGTTGATTTTGGGAAACAGTGAAGCTACCCCGCCGGCAGGGGTGTTGGTGACTTACCTCCTTAATCTTGTCCATTTTAGAAGTATTGAAAAGGAAGTAAAGAAGATAATATGTATGGTTGAAAGGAAGAGTAGTTAGGCTTTCGCTCAGCGAGAAACCGGGCGAGTGTTGGATGGGTGGGAAGATGATTTGGGGAGAGTTTTGGGAGAGAAGGGGAGGAAGAATGGCTGACTAGTGAACAAGTAGACAGTACCAACACAACAGGTATTAGCTCCACTACAGGGGAGGTACCGTATACTTACTGTGTACCAACGGCGTAACCATGGTATGGTTAGGTACACAATCCGCTCTTTCTCTCTGCCAATCACCGCCCAACGATCGCCGCGTCTCCACGGGCAACCACTTGACAACACCTGCATCTAGAACTTGCTCTGGCTCTTGATCATTCTCAACCGGATAACGCGACTTTGATCTCTTTCAGACGGTGCATGAGAATCATCTGTTTCATTTCGCCACTATGTTGGCTCTTCGCGACCAGGAGAACCTGGTAAACACTCACCAGACTGCCGCTGCAGCTAAGCCTTTGAACCAAAGCAAGCCGCTAGCACCCAAGACCCCCGGCAAGCAACGAAATGACGAGAATAACCCCTTGGCATTTGGAAACCGTACTGTGAAGGGCAATGGTAATCGCCAGGAGAATGGAAAACCGGGCAACGCGTTTATGACTCCGATGGGTACGCGTGCTTTTCGCGATAATTAGAAGTTTGGATTGGATAATTAACTTATTTCCTATAGTGAAGGACCGCGCTCCTCTAGGCATGAAAACGACCAATCTCAAAGCCAACAATCTCCAGACACCCGCGCCCTTTGGAACCACCAAGCAACCGAAAACAAACCGCAGACAGTCCACTACCCAGAAGATCAGAAAAGCTGCTCCAGTGACACAACAAGCCCAAACCAAAGTCCACATCGATTCTGCTGCCGACGATGTACCGGATATTGAATACATGCCGCCTAAGCCTAGAGGTACGCTAAGCACCACTAAAGCTGCAACCCTAAAAGTTTATTTCTGACGAGCTACAGATCTTCCAGACCTTCCAGACGATGTAACATATGACACCACATTCCCCCAATTCAAACCTAAGAATCGAGCTCTAGGACTGGAGAGTGTGTACGGAAAGCAACAAGTCGGCAGGGATGGACTCACAGCGAAACAGCGGAAGTTCAAAGAGGATTCAGCGGCGTGCGACAGGATGGTGGATGATATGATCATGAAACAACTCGAGGACATTGGGTTTGAGAGCTCCGGTGAGAGCGAGTCTGCAAAGGCACTCCAGCCTGATGTCATCTCCACCAACAGACCTACAACTGCACGCCAAACTCGTAGTGTGTCCACGCTTCGAGCTCGCGACGCTGCTGCTGCACTTGCCGGACCTCAACCAACTACTGCACCCAGAGTGGCTCTGACCCCGAAACCACGGGTGGCATCGTTGGCATCGTCATTGGTCATGCCTAAAAGACAGGCTAGGCTCCCGTCTAACCCCTCTTCCATGCGCAATACTGCTGCTTCTGTCAACTCTCGGACGACCGTTGGCTATTCCAAAGGACGCAGTGTGTCGTCCACCCTACGGGAGAAACATTCCAAAATGCAGAGGGCCTCGAGCTCTGAGGTTCTGTCTCCCGAAACTTATATGCAGCTGTATGGACCCCCTCCGCTGGACTCGGAAATGTGGACTCGTTGTAAAGCTGCTGGATGCTTTGATACCCCGGATGAAACCACCCAGGAACTGGAAGTATCACTGCCCACGTTTGACGAAGATGATGAGGCGGAGAGCTTCCAGCTCACTTTGTAGGGGTATGTTGCGAAAGATACTCATCGAAAGGGGATTCTAACCTTCAATTCTACTTCACTTTGGTTATTTGGCATACGATTGGCAGTTGTTTACAGGGTTTGGCGGCAAGCCGAAGGATCCCGGCGTTATGGGAATTAGTGTTAATGTACTTGTAACTGGATAGGTCGCAACCCTTCCGAGGTCAACTGCGGAGCATACTGTTTCAGGCGTTCTCCACTCCCATGATGATCCTTTGCCAAGCCACAGACAGGCGAGAACGCACATGGGTATTTCCCTTGAGGACCACGTAGGCAGTACCAGATTCTAGGGATGTGGAATTCCAGGTTCACTGTCACTGGGTGTTTGTCACAAAGGGCTCACAATAAGTTAGTGAATGAGACAAACCCACTTAGCTAATCCCTGTAATAATGCTCCGTAGTGCGTACGTCAGTGGGAAAAACAGAACCCAATGGACAGGCGGCACAAAGTAAACTCGGTGTACCTGGCGGGTACCAGGTCCTGAAGTAGCCCATCCGTGGAACTTACAGGTACCAATCACGTACTTCCCGGTACCTTGGTCTAGCCCACACCGCCCCCGGAATTGCCCATATCTTCTTATTTACTCTGGCCTCTCCTTTTCCTTTCCAATTCCTCTCACCTTCGCCGCCATGACGACCATTCATCCGGACTCCACCGAGGAGTTCGAATACATCCAGACTCCGGCTGCCACCGAGCAGACCAAGCCTGCCTTCGACTGCGGTGTTCCGACTACCCTGGTAAGAGAGAGCTATCCGCGAAGGATGTTTGACGTGTCCAGGACCTGATTTGTATCTTTTACTATCCAGTACCCGGCTATTAAGAATGCCCCAGTCCCTGCCGACTCACCCGGCAGCGACAGCTTCTCCAATGGCTTGATGATTGCTCTGGAGATCATCGTGCCCTGGTATCTAGCTCGCCAGGTTGGTGGAGGTTTCTATACCACCATCTTCTTTGCTCTCTTCACCTCAGTTCCCATCTTGGTGTCCTTCTGGGCTGTTTCTTCGGCCGTTTCTCCTCGCAAGACCGAGAAGGCCAAGTACTGTGGCCGCCCCGTCGAGCACTATCTGCAGTTCCACAGCGAGCACGACCGTGCTACTTACCGTGGCAAGAGCAAGATTCCCATGGCCGTCTTCTATGAGAAGTACTTTAATGGTGAGGTTGACTTCAAGGGCGATGCTCTGGAGTGCCTCGAGTACCGTCACGATTGGGCCAACTTCAAGTTCACCACTAGTCTCTTCAAGCACTTCCTGTTTGGTTTCATCCCCGAGATGCTTATGCACACTCGTTCTCAGGGTTAGTAACTCTTCCTGCAGCTTCGTTGGCGATTCTAACCCTATTTCTAGACGAGGAGCAGGTCCGCGATCACTACGACCGAGGTGATGACTTCTACGCTTGGTTCCTTGGCCCACGCATGATCTACACCTCTGGTATCATCAGTGATATCAACAAGGAGGAGACTCTCGAGGAGCTCCAGGACAACAAGCTGGCCATTGTTTGCGAAAAGATTGGTGTTAAGCCCGGTGACAAGATCCTCGATCTTGGCTGTGGCTGGGGAACCCTTGCTAAGTATGCTTCGGCTCACTACGGCGCTCATGTTACCGGTATCACTCTTGGCCGCAACCAAACCGCCTGGGGTAACAATGGTCTTCGCAAGGCTGGCATCGAGGAGGATCAGAGTCGTATTCTGTGCAGTGATTACCGCGATGCTCCACGTGTTGAGGGTGGATACCAACACATCACTTGTCTCGAGATGGCCGAGCACGTCGGTGTCCGTCATTTCTCTTCTTTCTTGAGCCAGGTTTACGACATGCTTGACGACAACGGTACTTTCTTCTTGCAGATCGCTGGTCTCCGCAAGTCCTGGCAATACGAGGATCTGATCTGGGGTCTTTTCATGAACAAATACATTTTCCCCGGTGCCGACGCTAGTACTCCTCTCGGTTTCGTCGTAGACCGCCTCGAGGGTGCTGGCTTTGAAGTCAAGGCTGTTGACACCATTGGTGTGCACTACTCTGCTACCCTCTGGCGCTGGTACCGGAACTGGATGGGCAACCGCGACAAGGTCGAGGCCAAGTATGGAAAGCGCTGGTTCCGCGTAAGTTTTGGCTGAGTCCTTAGTCTTTCTAGAGCCTTACTAACCACTGTTCTTTAGATCTGGGAGTACTTCCTTGCTTCCTCCACCATCACTTCCCGCCAGGGTGGTGCTACCTGCTGGCAGCTCACCCTTGTCAAGAACATCAACTCCACCCACCGTATTGAAGGTATCGCCACTCAGTTCGGTCTTGCTGGAGCTCGCCAGAGCGCCATCGACCGCGCTGGCACCCTTCCCAAGGCCCACGTCATCAAGAAGGACCTTTGAAGGATTGATGTACAATCCTCGCCCTCATCTGCTTATCCGGGGGTTCATATCAGCCCCCCCTCGGACTAGTATGACAGTACCTGCAAGGGCGCAGCAATATATGGATGCTGTTCCACTGTGAGCATATCCAAATGTTTCAACAAATATGTATGACATGAGTGACATGAGGTGAGGTGAAGCGAACCTGAAACGCATGAGTGGGAGGAAACTGGCAGGAGATGGCAGTGGGAGAGAAGCATGGATAGGTCAGAGGCCTATTTGGCTGGTCCACCCGGATATTTATTTCGCTATTTGTCTGTGGTTGTGTTTCTATTTCTTATGTGTCGCCTTGTCTGTGGAGGATATTTGCACGAAGTCAACGAGTCTGTCTTTGTGGTGTTATTTTTTAGATGTCAATGGACTATTTTCTTTAGACCAACACCCGTAGTTTTCCCTTCAATTCAAATAAGTTATATCGTGACTTGCACTGGGCCAATTTCACACATGCCCAATATGAGTTCGCAATAAGGCCATGAAGCCCGGGAGACTCGCCAGACAATGCAGCGGAATTCTAGGCCTTTACATCTCCTGCCACTACAGTCTAGCCGGCATCGTCTAACAAAGTCGCACCATGTGTCTAGAAGCCAAATTCAAGTTTTCAATCATTAGGTTCGTTAATCATCAAAACACCAAGGCCATAAAGATAAGCCACTAACAAACACCGATTAGATTTTCCGACAACTAAACGCCGGCAAGGAAAGAAAGAAATAGAAGACCAAGATTGCGATCCAATAGAATAAATGGTATATGTAAAGAGGGAAACAAAGGGGTAAATGCAGACGTCAGACCAGGTTGACCCTAGGTAAATAATTGGTACAGTAAAGAGTAAACCACAAGTCCAGAGAAAAAAAGAAATTCATGCTTGCCTCAGGCCCAGAGATCAAGTCTTAGGAATCTAGGAATCCATTGCGCATGAGGTGACATGCACATATAGCTGAATTGAGCCCCCAAAGGAAAACAATAGGCGTACACGGGCGTGTGATGACAGTGATCCACACATGCCGGGAAAACAAAAATAAAAGAGCTATGCTCAGGCCTCATCTATCGCTGCTCTAGTACTGAATTGGGTAGGGTTATTCTGAGATTGGTTAGGGGAGCAGTATATGCCCGAAGACTCAACGGCTGTGTTGAGTTGAGAGGGGGTGTTTTTCGTTCTCGTTCCAAGTCGCTCGAAGTTATGATCAAAGATGAAAGGTGTAGGTGAATTTAGTCCGCGTCGAATTTGTGGTTGTATTCGCCGAGGAGGACGTCATCTGGACCTGGGCCATGGGTGTTTCGAACTAATGCACAAAAAAGCGTTAATAAAAGTGTCCGAAAACCAGTATAGTGGTGCTTGGGTCGCACGGTTGGGATCAGGAGCAGTGCAGGTGCACAGGGGTAAAACATACTCCATTCAGCTTCAGTCCGGAAGAATACCCACATCCAACGTCGTACAACTTCGAGGAACATGAGCATCCAGACTCCGCTTTCGGATTCTGGAATCCAGCCAAGGCCTGGGACAATGCGCCATAGCCATGAGAAACGAAGAGCCAAATCCGCGATAATGACGTAGTGGTACATCTTGTCGGATCCGAAGTAGCGATACCGGCGAAGTCCGTATGGGTGGCCACTGTCGCGACGCTCCGGGGAGAAGAGGGTCATGTCCCAATCCTTGACAACATCCCACCAGAAAGAGTAGGCGGAGTTGATGAAAGAGACGATAAAGCTGTGGGGGCATTAGAGAACGGCATAGACATACTAGATGAGGAATAACAAGCTTACAGAAGACGCATCATGCTGACCTCGCTATATCCACGTAGCTCCAAGGGATTGTAGTTACGCATTTTGGAGGCCATCCAAATGACAGGGAACGCAGTTGCATACTTAAGAGCGTTGGCCAAGTGCTGGGTTGCCTTTTGTGTCTCTCTCCGGGTGACTGTCCGCCGCGCACGATAATATTCAGTCAAACACTGACGAAGACGAATCAAGCTAGGAACGGCAAGGATGATCGGAACGACAATTGAGCTTCCACATGCCCGGTTGGGTTTCGAAGTAGCGGCCAGGCCATCGGTGAAGAACATGCAGAAGCTGACATATAGATCCCCGATTACGCGAGCATAGCTAGTGAGGGCATCTGCCAGCAGAATGTCGCCAAACTTGCCATCTTGAGACTCAGCCAGGCCCCCAATGCTGATCCGCTTGAGGGTCAGGAGAAATCGGATTCGGCCGGAACGGGAGGCGCGGTTGAAAGGCCAGATCAGGATAAGAAGGAGGATAATGAACACCGATTGTGGGACCCAGTCCAATCGTTCTACCAAGTCAGGCGACCGGCGGGTGGCGACCCAAAAGACGAGAAACCATAGGGCCAGTGGGATGGTGAAACATGTGGCCAGACGATAGACGGCGGTGTGATGTGGACGTTGCGAGGAGGATGTGCGGGCAGGATATTTGATGAGTGCCGGAACGTCCTGAAGGTATGGGAAATCTGATTAGCCGCTGGTGATACGGTGATACGGTGATACGATGGCTAGATGAGGGGCGCCACTTACGATGTTCGCTTTGGCCAGGTATTGAAGGTTAAGACCCCATCCCCAGAAACCTAGCCCCTTGTGTTAACATACCTAATTGGTACTCATCTTGGACAGAAGTGTCACCTACCAGCAACCAAGAGTGCGGCTACACGTAGCGGCAATGGAAAGACCAGCCCAAAGGCATCCAATTGAGCATGTTGATCAACCGCCATCTTCCATTGATCAGGGGGAAGCGATCGCAAGAAAAAGAAAAGGCTAAAACGACAACAAAGAACCCCGTAGATAAATCAAAAGAAAAAAGAATGACTAGGGGTGAGTCGACGATCTTGAAAGTCCAGAAGTTGAGACTTTTCCCAGTGAAGCCGCCGGGGCAGTTTTAATAAGCGGAGAGGAGATTATCCAGTACACGCCTGGACTAGTCAGAGGCCGCCGATGGTCTGGATCTCCACACAATGCCGAATTGGATATAATTAGAATATTAGAACTAGGGAGAAGCGCATCTCAGGAGAAGTCAAGAAAAAACATGTATAAGGTGAGTATGTAGTTACAACCCAGGATAACCACGTACAGATGGCATCATATACCAAAAAAAAAATCTCTTTGAGAGGGAACTACGTAACACCCCTGATTTCTGCAAAAGGGGGTACCGAATGAGGTACATTCAGCCACTGCAAGCCTTCCGCTTTCATCTGCAACAAACGCCAGGTACCTCGGAAGTACCTGAAGTGGGACGCTTGCGGTGTATGGAAATATGGTAATTATCGTATGCATCGGTATGGGCTGTATGATACAGTCAGCCACGTGAGATATCACATGATCTGAATGGAGGTCACATGATGTCCACTCTTATACCGAGGCATGACATCCGAGGGCAACTCCGGGGAAATTGCTATCTCCAGGTATGAAAGCTGGGGAATTGAACCGATGACTGGTCTAGGGATGCACTAAATGAGCAAATACCCCATCCACAGCCACATTCAAGCTTAATATCCCTATATCAACACTCTATAACCCACCATGGCGGACGACGACTCCCATCTCTCTCTACCAACTGCGAACTCAGCCCTCGGCTCATCTACCTCACACTTTTACCCCTTTGCAACTTCACCAGATATCATCCGGTCGCACGAAAAGGATGCGTTTCTCACAGGCAGCCTGATTCAACAATCTCAAGGCATCATCCGTGCTCTCCGCGGCGCCCGATACGCCCATACACACTCCGACGCCATCAAGCACCTCACAGAACTCCTCTATTTCACCCTAACAACCGCCATCGGTAACCGCACCCTAGGCGAAGAATATTGCGATCTTGTACAATTAGAAGATGACACACTTCAATTACCGTCAATTGGCCGTCGCGTGGGGTACATCCTAAGCAGCATCCTAGTACCATGGACACTGCAACGCCTACTACCCACACTGCGACAGAAGATCCGCAACAAGCTTGAGCGTAACATCGCACGTCAGCAGTTACGAGCGGCACAGCAGGCTGGCCTGCTCAATAAACCCCAATTCTCAACCACCCCGATCAAACGGCCGATCTTTACGAAACTGCGCATCCAGCAATACCTCCTTGAACACCTGGACTCCATCACATCCTTGTCGCCCATTTATGCGTTGAGCATCGCGACGTTCTATTTCACGGGCTCGTACTACCATCTCTCCAAGCGACTTTGGCGTTTGCGCTACGTTTTTACAAAGAAGATCGACGACAATGAACAGCGTATCGGATATGAGGTTCTAGGTGTGTTACTTGTTCTCCAGATCGCTGTACAGGGGTTCCTGCATGCCCGCAAACTGGGCGCAAGTATGAATGAAGACGAGAACCAGTCTGCGGATGTTGGCCAGTCTTCTTCGCAGGGCGGAGCTGTCTTGGCTTCGATCCAGAACCCGTCTGCTATTCCACTTCTTCCTGCCTCTGTTCCTCTGTATGATCTTGAGGAGGACCCTGGCGCCGTCGCGTGGATTCCCGAGGGTCAACAGCGGAAGTGCACCTTGTGTCTGGAGATGTTCAAGGATCCTAGTGTTACTACTTGTGGGCATGTCTTTTGCTGGATTTGTGTTCGGGACTGGGTTCGTGAAAAGCCTGAGTGTCCGCTATGTCGACAGGAGGTCTTACTGTCTAAAGTGCTTCCGCTAAGAGGCTAGCTCTGTGATTAGTTGATGTAATAAGTCCTATGCTAGTGCTTTTATGATCTTTGTGGTTATCGCCGAGGAGATTGGCATAGCCGATACATGTTTATACACTTATCTTGGATAAATATATACCCCCTTTTTTCTATCTCATTCAAGTATCATTCTCATAGAGTTCCACGCCACGATTCGATTGAACTCACAGTAATGTGGAATATGCATATCTTAGTACATGTAGATTGTAAATATACATCACATCAATATGCAGGCCGTTTAAGCACAACGCCGGGGAAAAAAGACGAAAGAAAGCAAAAGACCTCTCAGGATTGAAACTGTACAAATATATACTCTAATATTTGCAAATCAAAACGAGTGGGGTATCTAGGAGACATCCAAATGCAAGTCCAAAGTACATGCATGCATACATATCTACATGGTCAGATCAATGGGTCCTCCTCGCTGTTGACTGCTTGTCCAAGTGGAAGAACAATGGGCTGGTTGAGTTCAGCGTATGCAGGACGAGGCGGCACTGGGTTCATGGCTTGTCTTTTCGCCTCCATGGTATGAAACAGCCGAACGCAGGCATAGGGGTCGGTAGCAGCATCTAGAGAAAAGACACGATTAGTACTGAAAAGAGAGATTGTGCAGGTCTCCAAGTACTCACATTGAACCTGACGATAATTCAAAGCCCGAGTCCAATCACTGCAGCGGACATCATCACTTTTCTCGAGAGGCAGACCGAAATGCTCGTTGATTTGCTCACTGAGATTGACGCCCCTCTTGTTCACCAGTTTGGGATTGTCTTTGCCGTACTTGATCAATTTGTACAAATGGCTGAGCTCAAAGGTGGCTCTGGCGTCGACGCCGAGGTATTTGCGCAGCCGAGTGCAGTCTGCTTTGATTGAAACACCCACTTTGATGACGTCGGGAGATTCGATGAGGCGTTTTAATGACGGGGAGACCAAGTCCTCCAAAGAACGTGCAGGTCTGAAGAGCGCAACTTGGAAGATGGCGATACGCTCCTCGTTTGCGATTTGGATCACGGAAACATTGCTTTGAATGCTGTCCCAACCCGATGCTTGAGCCTTCCATTCCATGTCAAATCCAATGACCTTACTCCCAAGGAAATGTTGCACAGCTTCTTCGGTGCTTTGAAGGGTCCGGCAATAATGCACGATGAGTTTTCGGCCATCGGGGCTTTGCTGTGAACTATGGCTCCAAAACTGGGGGGTTGTAAGATTGTTGACACTGGAACCAATATCTGATGATGGGACTAGGTCAACTGCGGAATCATTTTCTTCAATAGACCCTGGCCCATCTCTGGCCATGGTATCTGGGACCGGGGTCATAGCAGTTTCAAACGGCCGTTTAGATAGGGGATCATCGCTGACATCGCCGTCTTGTCGAAATTTTGTTCGGTAGGACACTGCATCCGTACTATACTTTCTCCCGTTGTTTGGTTCTGGTTGAACGAATGGTTTTCTCCATAGCATAAGGGCAGGTCGGGGTTTGTTGTGTCTCCGTGTGCCTGGGTATTCATTACTGGTTTGTCTCATCGGTGGTTGGAGGCTATCAAGATGTGGCTCCTTATTGGGGCCCATGTCTTTGCTCTTCGAAAGCATGTGTGCTGGCCTGGGAGGAGCCTGGTTTCCTTCTTGATATGTATGGCTAGCAAGCGCATTGCCCAGGGACGAGTCGAATTCAGGCACGTCGTGGCTCCTAGATTGCTTCTTCCAGAGTCTGGGCGAGGATTTGGAGATGACCCGACTGTCTTCCTGATTGGTCTGAACGCTAGGCACATCCACTGGGGGTGATTTAGATACAGGCTTCCCCTTTGTTGAGTGGTCATCAGCTTCTGTTGTTGAGCCATTGAGTTTGTCTTCAAGGCGCCTCTCGTGTTCAACACCTTGGTTGGCAGCTAAATCGGCTGAATGCTGTTGTTCAGCTCTCTTCCTTAGCCTCCCTATTCTCCGCCCAGAGGCACGACTCGAGCGTTTCACAACCTGATCGGGCCCCTGATTATCCTTACTGGTAGGTGGGGACTTTGGATGGCCCGGCACTTGCTCATTAATATACCTCGAGAGACGGCTCTGAGAGAAATTCATAAAAGCAGCCTTATCCTTGGGAGATTTGAATTCCTCTAGTCCCTTCCTACGCCTGGGGTTGGCCACCGAAGAACCCAGTTCTAAGAACTGGGGGCTGGCGGAAGCATCCCGCACAATCGGGCGGCCAAACTGGTTGTGGATGGATTCCCACTCATTTTCCGACATCTGGGTGGCGATCGAGGTAGTATGGGCTTCAGTAGCCAGCTGGCCAATGCGATCGGTCCATTGCTTGAAGCGGCGGTTATCCTGGCTGATTGGATCAAGGACTTCAAACCTTCCAGCAAGATAGGCAGGTTCTCCCATTGAGTGGAGCACGGTTTCCGATCGAAGACGCAGCCAGTTTATATGCTTGTAACTAGCAACCAATTTTCGAAGACTACCGCGATGTTCCTGAAATCTCATGCACCAATCGGCCAAATTTGAAAGAGTGTGCCGCAGAGTCGTATCAGGAACCCAGGCCCACAATGCTCCATGATCACCTCTGAGGCTGTGGTGAAGGTACCAACCCTCGTTGTGAAGCGACCATGTGCTAAGATCGATCATGTAAAGTGGAGCTATTACATCCAACTGTCGCCAATAGATATGTAGCTCAGAGCTGCGTGCCGGTTTTGGCTTCCAAAGACGCTTGTATTGGAGATAGATCTTGTTGGATAGGAGGAGCCGACTGTTCTCTAAGTACTGACTCGCCGGTGAGGCCTCTGGCGCACTTAGCGCATGTGCAAGCAAGATACTCTTGTCAGTTACTGTAGAAGGACGTGCCGAAGCTGCTGCTGCCATGAAATCAGACAGATTCCATAGTTCACTTTGTCGAAGTGGATGGAAAGCCATTTGCCTTCTAAGCCAGGCTGAACGGTGATAATGAGCAAATGAACGAATTTCGCTATGACTACGCTCAATAAATTCTTTGTACTGGCCAAACACCCGTCTATCGGCTGGATCAATGTTCACGTTGCCTTGAAGCTCTAGGCAAAGGTCTCTGATGGCGAAGGGCCTTGCTTTGGTGGCTTTCAGTCTCAACTCGGCGTAGTTTTTATCAATCAGTTTGCTTTGATGAATCACTCCATCAATTCGACTTCTCGCAGTTTCCCTGGGTCTTAGGTAATCGTTGTTGAGAAGGTCTCTCAATTGACGGATTGATTGCTCAGAAGTCTTGATCTGAGGTTCCAGGAGCGTTATGTGAATCGCACGGAGAGAAGTCCTCCAATCGCCGATGTTCTGGGCGGATAACTGCAGCTCTCTTGCTAATTCTGGAGTTCCAGCAAAAACAGTGCAGCAGAATTCATGATCAATTATCCGAGCGGTATTCTCTGCTTTTGTGACAGCAGCCTGGATTCGGCCCAGTATGGAAGACGAAAGATGTCTCACTTCAGCGATGTACTCTTTCGTAATTTTCTCTGCTTGTAGAACTGAATCTGTGGCGTCTGACACTATAGCTATACTTCGCGCCGTGATGAAGTTTGAGCGATTTTCCCATTCAGCCACATGTCTTTCAGTGGCCTCGATGCAATCTTGACTGGCCTTAGTGGATTCAACAACGAGGTCATCAAGGTGTTTATACTTCAATTGGATGAAATTCTCAACAAGCCTCTGGTATGAAGGTAGCGAATTGAACTGCTTCTCAATGCGCAGGCGTTCAGATACGCGAGCTTTTCCCTCTGCTCTCGATCGAATCAAGCTTGTCAAGTCTCGATGATGGGCAGGGCGCACAAACCCCGACCGGCCTGGAGTTCGTTGCGCGGGTTTTGGCTCTAGGACTTCTTCGTCGTCATCATCCCATATGCCTTCTTTGCGTGTAGTGTTGGAAAACGTCCGCTTTGGTTGAAAGCTCGCGAGTGGAGTGTACGAGGGGTTCGTATTCGGCAAAGACACATTTTGAAACCTCGAGACAGATGGTATGCAAGTGTTGTGGCCACTGTAGTTTAGTTAAAAAAATACAGCCATTGAAGCTGTACACAATAGTGTGCTTACCGCCGCCGCTCAAAAAGTCCCCTTTGTAGTGAACCATAGGACATGGATCTATCGAGGAGACCGCTATGTTTTGCAATCGAAGATCGGGTCCTCCGACTTGCTAAAAGATTTGGCCGTATTGGCATAATGTGTGACAATCATAGTGGACCAGCCTGAAGGCCCACGAAGGAATCGAATATGATCGATTTGATGGACAACAAATGGTAACTCAGTATATGTGCAATCAACGAAACTGGAGGCAGGAGACCAATTAAGGATCAGGATAACACTCCATCCATGTTGCGGAGCTCCAAGCGCCTCTGGAAGTTGCCGCTAATCCTTGTTTGGCTAGTCTCTCGGGCCGGATCATCATACGTGCCGAGCGACGAGCGATCACGTCCTTTTCTATATCGAACTTGCCCACGCGAAACGCTTGATCACCTTTGTTTTCTAATCAAGACGCTACTCAAGCAAAAGTTTACCAGCATCCATAATTTCTATCTTCCAACATCATGGCTTCTCAGCTGCTTCCCCTCGGTGTGTGCCAAATGACCTAAGAAAACCATGACCCCGCTAACTCAGTTGATAGAGCTCATTGATAAGTGTGTTGGCTCCCGGATTTGGGTTGTCATGAAGGGTGATAAAGGTCAGCTAGGATTCAATGGTTGACAATGAAACTGAGTCGAGGTACTAATGCTTATGAAGAGTTCTCCGGGACCTTGCTCGGATTTGATGACTACGTCAGTGAGTATCCCTGTATGAGAAGTGTGACGATCTCACCAGGCACTAATTCCAACTTAGACATGGTTATGGAAGACGTGACAGAGTTGTATGTATTTTGATCTCTGATTTCCCAATTTGGACTACCCTTGTCCCTCTCTGTGGCCGTATTTGTTTGCTTGCACTGGCTCCGATCCCCTGGACAGTGCTCATTGATCTCCATCTGGATTCGCAGATTGTTTATCGACATGATCGACAAGTTACTGCTATGATAGCTCCCTAGACTAACCTGCTCTCAGCGACTATACCGGTGCCCAGATCAAGCTTCCTAAGCTTTTGTTGAATGGAAACAACATCTGCATGGTAAGTGATATTCATTATGAGATCATCTGGGTGCTTTATTAACACTGGAACCAGTTGATTCCCGGTGGTGAAGGCCCCGTGGCAAGCTCATGAGCTTGAGATATTCAGCTCTTGCCGTGACGAAATAAAAATTTGTGTATTAATGATACCAAACGCAACGAGATAGAACAAAATCGTTGAATGAACATCCATGCCAAGCGTGCTTCTGGCATTCCCGCCTATTATCCCGAGTCTCGTCGCGCGTAGCTCAGCATTGGAGTAAGACAAGGATGAAGCTGTTGCCAAGAACACCCAAGAGAATGCGCTTGATAGCTAGCTACAATCCAGGGGCGATTTCTACAGCACAGTCCGCCTACAGGGATTAGCTGCAGCCTCCATTGATATACGAGATAAGGCACGCAGGGACTAGGTACCCACCTAGCCCCCCAAAGGCCTCGGACTATCAGACCAAGATAAGCTCCCAGCGAGTCATTTCTACCTGAAATCAGCTTATCAACGGCTAATCCCGGTCGCCGCCCGCTATTTACAGTTTGAAACCGGATATTAATAAGATCTGGAACCATCCCATCGACACGAGCAGAGGCCCCTGCATGCTGATCGGACTATTCTTCGTGAATATCATGATTTACGAAGTAAAGAAACCGACTCCAAATTGCCTTGACTACCCCACATTCGTGTCAAATTGCTAGCCAGTCCATTGCGATAAAGTGGAGATGAATTATGGTGGATCGTAACGAATAGCTCATTGGCTTGTGATCATCCGGGGTACAGAGTACTCCGTACGGAGTACATTAGTCGATATATCACCTCCTAATTTGTACTGTAGATCTGGAGACCGCCCCGATACTAATATGCTGTTGAACCCTCGAGAGCCATGCCGAGTTTACAATAACGTAGATGCTGCAGGAGGCTGCCAAGTGCCAATTTCAAACAAGATCAGGTGCCCAGGAAAGTGGTACTCAAGGAAAGGGGTCGCAGTGAATACGGGCTTTCAAGTTTCGGGATTTCCATCACTTCCCCCAAAGCACGTTTCTTTGTGCCACCTTTTCCCCAGATTTTCCCAAAGTTGCTATGTGGAAACTGTTACCTAACAGAATGTCACCCCCACATTTTATATGCACCTAATATCGACTCCGGAGTTTATACTCGTTTGGATTGATTTTGTTCAAGACTTTGAAGACAAATCATAAAATAAAATCAATGAAGAGCTCCGACTCGGCTTCCGAAAATTGTTCAAATCGGGGACAAAAAAAAGGAGAAATGGCGCACGGAGTAGATTGAACAACCTGGGGTAATGCCGAGCTTATGGCGAACATCTGAATCCGCATTGCGTGGTCTGGGCTGGTCATTTCCGGGGCCTTTTGGTCGGCTTGAGTAACCTCAAAGTGAATGGAGGAGTCCTCCGGACTTTGTGGGGTATTGCCCGACTCTGCTGATCTTTTGAAACCCAACAAATAACCTCAAAAAGGGTCCGATGTGTCTGATGTGTCAACGAAAGAGCTAATATGTTACAGATCTCAAGGATTGTTACTAGTAGGCAGCCAAATTGTACTCCGTTTCACGTACGGAAGTACCTTTCGGGCGCAGCCGACCTACAAGTAATCCCAATCCTTGGCTCCAGTCCAGTCACCGGAACACAAATGCCAACCCACCCCGATGTTACCGTGGCTATCAGTTGCGGGAGCGTGGCCAGTAGAATCAGCTACTGCGCGCCATCAGCTGGGGAAGGCTTGAGTGGCTGATAGTCAAGCATAATTTCTATTCAGCTCAAGGCCGAGAACCCTGGTGCGCCTTTTTATTTGGCCCCTATTCTTGTTGACCGTGCCCAATTGTTATGGAAGGAATACCCTATCTGAGAAACTGGTGATGGACTTGACCCGCAACCGGGCACATGCAAGATAAGACCGGTGGAGCCCGTTTCCTCATCTCGATTTAGCGAAAGAGAGCTTTCTCTCGCCTCAAGGGATCACGCGGTTACGAACACCTTGAGATGTTAATGTTAAGCCATATGTTAGCCACCACATTTTAGTCACCAAATGTGATTAATCCTTTCAAGGTTCGACAGGGATGCCCAAATCCAGCTAGTGGTTCCATGGAAGTCTATTCGCCGACCTCAGGATGCGAGGGCATAATCTTGGACCTACCAGAGTTTCCTGCTTCTTGTTTTCTGCATGCATAGGCATAGCGCAAAGATACGAGGATCTTGCTTAACGCGCCGACGACAAGACCAATCATCATAGTCTTTAATGAGCACCACATGATAGTGACTTCCTAGCACACCCTCTCGGATGACTGGTATGCTTCTCCCGTGCTTCCATGCATATCACTGGCAGACCGCCACGAGCCCCTCAGGTAGACATCCTCGCCCCAAAAACGCCAAACGAGGAATTTGTGGCGCCATTCCTTCTCCAACCACTAGAGCTCATGTCAGGCGATAGGGGCAAACCCGAGGTGGTTTCGACCGTTCGCAATCTTGTCTGCCTTTCCATAAGCCCAAGACCTTACCATAAGGCCAAGACTTTTCCGTAAGGCCAAGAGAATGTACCGAGGTGAGCCAGGAAATTCAATTGTGAAAGGCCGCCAACCAGCCTCAGTGGGGCTAGCTACTGTCTCTAGCCATATGGCATTGCACGCATAGCCATAGCCCATAGCGCATGCCACAGGAACGGGGTCCGTCGGGAAGCCTCCCCATAGGTAAGGGATGAAAAATGAACCGGATTCCTTTTCTGTCCAATGGTCAATATTATATTGTTGCGGATATTTGCATCCTTCAAAGGTTATTTTCTTCCAAACTTAGAAAATCTCTCCCGATATAGTGTTCTGGAAAGATGCGAGAGGAAGTCCTGGGAGAGGGCCGTGAGAAATGTCCTTATCTCCCGAGTCTGATTGGGTAAGGATCGACTATCGGGTACCTAGGTAGAGTTGCGGAGAGACCGACAGATGGGGTTTAGTGGATCTGGGGAGTTGCCGTCTTTGGGCTCCAGAAGCTTGGCTTTTTCCTCGAGTACCTCGAGTGCCCCCCCTTGGCAAGGAATATCATGATACACATAAAGTCTTTTTCATTCTAGTAGACTATGACTTTACAAAAATACGAGATAACTACGGCATATATCCCCATAGACCAGGCAAAATCATCCCATTCTGACAGGCTCAATCACGCGAGAGATAAGTGGCGTTGAGCAGGGGGGGGTTCCACTTACACCCTGGACTCGCGATAATTAGCTCTTATTTTACCTTTTTAGTCCGCAATAAGATAGTCGGGTGAAACATGGAGGGTTCCCACGTTCCCGCTTATCTCCCGGTAACAAGCTCTTCGAGGACGCTTGCAGCTCTCCGCCATGCATACTCCGTATGTGTAACTCATCTCAAACATCATTCTTACGGTGTACTATGTAGATTGGAATTGAATAATAATCATAACAATTACAATAATAAGTAAGATCATTTGCCTCGGATGTACATTAGAGGCCTTACTCAGATGCCAAGGTTATCAGAAGATTGGAGTCTCAAACGTTATTAGTGCAAAAAAAATACTTGGTCTAAGCGCATCAAAGCAGATAGATTTGCGTCCTTTTTGATTTAATTTAATTTGATTATATTGAACGTAAAATGATTTATATCGCTTTTATCTGAAAGTGGACTGGTCGTATTTATACCCTCGTCTTCCCCCCTCCCCAACGATCAATCTTCCTCTTGTTTCATCTTGGATCAGACCTCCCATTCTGTCGATTTTTTGGGTCGAACAGATAGATATTTCTGTCCATCCTTCAGGATAATCCTAACATTTTGAAAGAGAAAACTCATTCATACACACCATGGAGGAGAAGAAGTTCGAAACGACGACAGTCCAGAGTGCCTCGGATACTCCCCCGGCCTATGGCGACTCGTCTGTCACGCGTGGAAGTTTTGGCCAACGGGTGCTGGACAGCTTCAAGAGAGATCCCAACCAGAATGTCACCGGCCGTGCTGGAGCTGATGGTTCTGGCTTCGATATCGAGACTGCCGCCCATAACACTGCCAACTCCCCGCTGCAGCGTAACTTGAAGGGTCGCCATTTGCAGAT